GCACCCAATGGTGGGGTGTCCACCCGTCAGTCCCGTCACCCAACTCAGTAACTAGTCATTCGGTCCCTCTGACAGCGGGACTGCTACTGAGTCTGAGGTAGTTACTGAGTTGGCTGATGGGCAGACACCCCCATTGAGTGTGGCGCCCTCCATCTCTTGGGGTGCAGTACTACGGTGCCGCAGTCAATCCTCTTCGGTGAGACCTGGTGGCTTCTCAAACCGCCTGTGCCGATTTCATCAGCTCCCATGCGCCGAGCAGATGGCCATGAAATATACCGGAACCGACCGAAGAGTTATTCACGATTTTACTCCTCAACCAATGACTGCAGAAAATCTCCGATCAGCTGAACTGCGCAGTGAGTACCGCTTTTTTTTTTCAACAGTGGGGGAATAACGGAATTCCCACCACAAGGCAATTTTACGGATGTGAATCATCACAGAAAAACTGCCGCAACCGTAAACCGGCTTTTCCCTTGCCACATGCAGTTCAGCACGTAGGCTATTCCCTTCAGGGAAAAGCAAAAATCATTAAAGAAAAACGAGGAAATCCAAAAAATAGAAATGCTAGAAATAGTTTAAATACTTGATGTTTTTTTTTATTGTCATTAGCATTAAAATTTGGAATACCAGTGTTCTAGTCACAGTGATTCCTATTTTTGGAGGGGAGCTCGTCAATCAAGTCCCCTATTTATTATATATTATTTTTCTATTAGGTTCTGTTAAGTTATAGTTGTCAGACAAATTTTACATTACTGTGCGTTATTAAAAAGTGGAGGGCTATGTGTAATTGCTATTTATTCCAAAATTCGAAGGCTTTACGAATTCTTTCGTTCTGCAGTCTTGCGTCAGCAGGTGGTAAATTCAATCGACTAGATGGGGGATGGAGTGTTGAAGACACGTCCTCGGTTTCGAATAGTTTTGCTGTGCGGCTAACATTCCCTGTGCGTACGTGACGTAAGGGTGGAATTGTTGTTGTTACCCTTGGGTTCGCGCCTTCGTCTGCTTTATCTGGAAATTGTGGAAATTAAATAGGTAGTAGTCGAATCGTATGAATGTCAAGTGGAAAAATCGATACCTATCAACACACCTAGTTGCAGATTGTTAGTTTCACACTGGGATTCAGTACTATCCTTATTCAATAAAACACTCTCATCGCAAATGGTAAAAGGACTTTGCACTAATTGAGGCATTTCTCCTTCAATCTCCATTATTGTCGGTGTTCCATCAATGGAACTATCAGTTATTCGCTCCTCGATATCTTTATCACTGATTATTTCAGGTGACAAATCATTTTTTGGGTAATTTGATGTGAATATGAGTGAATGCTCAGTCGGGGAAATATTCAGCTCCGAAATTTCCAGTGAATCCTCAGAGGGTGGATAAAAAATGTCAATTTCCTCAGGCACTGTCTCGGTGGAAATATTCTTCCGACTTTTAGCCGAAAGAATTGCCATTCTTCCCAAAGCACGAATGGCATTGCCAGTTTTCTGATAAATATCAAAATCAAATCCATGCGAAAACCCATGCTTGATTAATTCAAAACACACCTACGTATGCTAATTAATATAATTATTACCTGCCACTTTCGCCTGACGATAAAATTTTTTAATTTATCAGTGGGTAGAACTACTCGGTTCATATTTTCGGCACATTGAGCTAACCACGGATGTTCCAGGCAATCCTTCGCCGACAATCTTAATCTGAAAAACATGAATTAATGACTAAAACTGAAAGCTCATAGTCATCCCAATGATATTATTATGCACAAACTCTTTTCTTTTGATCAAAAGTGAACTGATAAAATCAATGGCTTCTTTGGAAATGGCACTGAATGCTTCATCATCGAAATCATAGTCAGCACGTGTTATGTTGACGAAAGTTTCTGCATCATTGTCACCCATGAAAGGTGACAATCCAGTTAATCTAGAGAATAATACCCAATTTATTGCATTATTGTTTAATTGATTAATTTATAATACACCCAGAAGTATTATAAATTCAATCGTACTTACAGTACATAACAGATAACTCCGATACTCCACATGTCCGACTCTGTCCCAATCGGTTCAAAACTAATGATTTCTGGAGATACGAATTCCGGGGTTCCGAATAATACCCTGACTGGCGTATTGGGTTGGAGTGTCTGTGCCAATCCGAAATCAATTAATTTTATTCGGTGACAGGTACGCGATTGGCACATGATGTTCTCTGGCTACAAATTTTCATTGTGATAAAATAAACGCCGAACTCCATAAATAATTGATTAATCAGATAATTAATAGACCTTTAAATCCATGTGTACGATATGTTGATCGTGCATGTAGGCAACTCCTTCACAAATTTGCCGAACAAAAAGGACACTGTCCTGTTCCGTCAACGTGAAATCGTCAGCTGCCACTCTCTCAAATAATTCTCCGCCCGAGATACTATTTAAAAGAGTGAGCGATAAGTAATTATCGATTAGAGCAATCATATGACCTGATTAATACGAGTAGTACGTACTATTCAGTGACCATAATCATTTCCTTTGATCCTTCAAACGCAGCCACTAATCGCATCAACTTCGGATGTTTCATCGTATTCATAATATCAATTTCCTTCAATACCTGTTGACGGTCCTTATTTTTAATCGTTCGGACAAATTTCGCTGCTCGATTGATTTCGCTCGACTTATCCAGTACTTTTCGAACAACTCCGTATCTGCCTTTACCGATTTCTTCAAGAATGTCGTAATGATCATCGAAGATCTCCCTAGGCATGACTTCCACGATGGAGAACTCTGGCATTTCGTCCAAATCGGTATCTTGATCCAGTGACAGTTATCAGTTGATTATAATTACTCAACAGTCTCTAGGAAAATTATTATTTCAACGTACCTCCCTCGTTTATGCTATCAGTTTTCATTGAAGACCTGTCTACTCTATTAATATTCGCCATGTGAGATTCGCAGTCAATAGCTCTAGGTATACTAATTGATATTGTACCTCCTGGGTTTATCACACTCGCAGATTCTGGAGAAAAGGGAATATAATGATTTACTCCAATCTGACTAACAATTTTCGTCTCAATGACAATTTCGTTTCGGTTCGATATATAAGAGAACGATAACTTTGGCGGCTCTTACATTTATATTGATATCAAACTTTCCATATTTTTGCATTTTTCACAATTTATCGAGTCGAGGAAAGACGGGCCCGCGGAATACTTTAACGAGAATGGTTGATGAGCTACTGAACAGCTCGAAGCATGAGAGTATTTACTTTAGACCTTGGGGAATAGTGGGGAGCGCACAGATCTGTCTGACGTGTACATACACAACGCATAAATCTACGTGCTACACATGTATATAATTTAGAATACGTGAGTCGTAAGTTTCAAATTCCTACGGAGAACATCCGAGAGACAACGTGGAAGGGAATAAAGTATTGTCTCAGATGTATTGCGAATTGAATTACTTTAGATAATACAATAAAGTGAAATAATAGACTGGACCAATTGTAACGAAACCTTGAGAAAAAATAGGAGATGTATTAATTACGTTTTTAGCTTCAGTTTATCTATCATGGTTGTTTGTTTTCATTTATGAATTGCAGAGATATATACCTTGTACTATCACATGCGCATCTATCGAATCTCCACCCATCGTATTTTCAATGCATACACTGTATTTTCCCGCTTGTTTGCGCGTAATTTCATTCATAATTAGACGAGTGAAACCCATCATTGTTTGAATTTTGATCTGATCATTGCGCATCACTTTTTTTCCCTAAAATTATGAAAAGAATTCAATGAGATATCGGTAAATTTGGGGTTTTAATACAGCTCTACCTCGCAGAACCACTGCGGTACAGCTTTTGGAAATCCACTGTATGTCGCCAAAAGTACAACAGTTTCTCCTTTGATTGCCAGTACATCAGCAGGTGCTGTTAAAATCACTGGACCCTTTTCCTCAACTTCAGTACAAAAGAATGACCCGTCATATTCATCTCTTGAAGACTTCTCCCTTGAAAGAAATTAATACTTCAAAAATCCTATTAAGAACTTTTTCTGGAAAGTGTTCCCTAAATTTTTTATAGACTTGACCTAATCGCATAAACGAACCTGTGATGAGGTAGTAAATACGTGGGAGTGGTTCTACTTATTCCAGAATATTTATCGAGTGAAGTAGATGAACGAGACTGATAATCTGGACTCAATGTGGGATAGAACGGTGGGCGATCACTGGCCGATCGATTCTGCCTCGAAGAATGTGTAATTCCCCTTGATACAGACGCATGTTTCCCTGTAGTTATGAATATAATAATTGATAATGCGGCCTTCCTCATCCATTACAAATGCAAATTAATAGATAATCGGTAACCTCTTATAACTTCGAGTCGAGCAGTCGCTTCGACTCTACCGATATCATTCTCCAGAGTGATTCGGTAGAGGCCAGCGTCTTCGTACGCGATCTGTGCAATTTCCAAAATTCTCAAATCATCCTTTTCTGTGATAGAGACTCTTGCACTTGATATTACAGTTATGCCATCCTTGTCCCAATTCGCCCAGGGTATTGGATGTCCTGTAACGGAACACTGGAATCTGATAGTGTCGCCTTCCTCAGCAACTCGGTTATGAGGTATTGCATAAAATTTCGGTGCTGCTGGTATTCTCCCTCGGCGTCCGGTGTTGTGCGTCAATTCACGGACTAATAGAAATATCACAGATAACAACAAGAAAATAATAAATAAGCAACAAACATTGCAATGTAAACGTACTGACGCACGACGGAGATAGACTCCGTATTGGAGTCGACCTTGGAGTTGAAATAGGCGTTGCATTTGGAGAGAGCAAACTGATGGGTTTCTTCAATCTCCGATTGATACATATTTCTTTACCTTCAGGTACTGCAATGATTATTACAATCATTACTGTGAATTATTGTAGTTCAATTAATCCATAATTACCATCCACTATCAAACAGGCTGACGTGTACGCACTCCCCAGATCGTTGTAGGCTACACAAATATATTCACCTTCATCTTCTGGATATACTTGCTGTATGTGTAATCGTGCTGTTTCGTCCTCAAAGTCGAAACTCACATCATTCTGAAGTGGTACTAACTTTCGAGTGGAATTCAAAACTTGCGTATTATTTTATTTCAATGAAAAATCAGAAGAAAACGGAGATATCGAAAAATATATATATATTATAACAAATACGCATTACCTTCCCGCCTTTTTCCCATCGAATCGATGGCGGTGGAGTTGCGTTAATTTTGCAAATGAATGTCACAGCATCTCCATCGCAACATCGAATGCTCTTCAAAGGACTTTGAATCACTGGTAATGTCTGTATCTCACTGGAAAATAGCCATAAGGAAACAACAGCACAACATTCATACTCTTAATTCCCTTTAATTCATACCTATGTTTGACTATTTGCTTCCTGTTAATATCTTGCCTGTCTGGATCTGCATAATAAAATTCAATGTAACAACCACTACTCTCTATTCTCACAAAAGAATTACCTCTGGCATAAATCTGAAGAGATATTACGGCTTTAGCCTCCCCATAACAATTCTTCGCAATGACAGAATAGGTTCCTGTAAAATCTAATTTCGCGTACGGAATCTCAAGCTGATACTGCGGTCCTAGACCCACAGGACGAAAATGTGGCGCATCTTTGTAATAATCAGGCTGAAACAAATGCCCGACAGACAAACGATCAAATGATGATCTTAAAATGACGAAATTATACAGTTTTTTAAGAACTCTTATAAATTTCAACGCATAAGTACTCGGCTAGCCTACATACGCTGAGATTCTGAAAGTGAGTTAGATGAAGATTAATTTTATGCTGTCAACCATATATAGAGGGAAAGTTTTGAACTCATTGGGTTCATAAATGGCAATCGCTGAAAATACTTCTCTTCTGTTATTCATGCAATATGAATGGATGATGTAGCTAAATCTACCGGCGTCAGTGCATGACGATTCTACAGCCTTGAAATATCTTCCCTTGAAGACGTGCAAACACTTTGCTTTCGAATAAAATTATATCGTAAAATAGTGTAAACATTTATATAAAAAATTCTAGTGTATTACCTTTAGAAAATCGCGAAGCCAGATTACATCTGGTTTAGGATCTCCGATAACTTGACAAAGAATAATAATATTGTCACCCTCGAATGCTTCTGTTGACAAAGGCTTCGTGATGAACACGGGCTCCCGAGAATACCTGAAACCCGTGGAATCATTGAAAGCCTGAAATATGAAATCTTTACTCCAGTGCTTACGGTATAACCGAAGTTTGTGCTGTTTCTGTTGAAGATTTCATTGATTCATCGACATCATCATTCATTAACACATTGACTTGAGTTTTATTTTCGGCACGTCCCACTTCGTTCGTCGCTATACAGCAATAAACACCGGCATCTTTGCATGTAATGTGTGCCAAAGTCAATTCGACAGTTCCATCATGATGCAATGACATGACTGTATTTCTGTTAGGACGAAGTCGCTTTCCATCTCGGTACCTGCATTTCGATAAGTATTCATCAATTTAATCATGCAAATTTTTCGTCCACACGGAATTAAAATGGATTACCATGTGATGCCGATAGCCGGATAGGCCTCTATTTGCGCGGTCATTCGAAGCTCTTGATTTTGAACGACAGTATAGACTGGGTTCAGAAAATGCAAAAATTCAGGAGCTATGTATGCTCTTATGCCCTCATCCACAACAAGATGACAGCGGCATGATAAGCATCCAAAGGCGTTCTGCGCTCTCACCATATAAATACCCGTATTATCAATTTTCGAACGATTTATTTCCAAAGTGTGAAAATGGGCTTCGTCTTTCCATATACTCATATTTTCCACTTGGCAATTGATATCATTGAAATAAATTTTAAATTATCACTCAGAAACATAACAAGTGAGAACTCTGAAGTAAATTTTTACCTTCAATATTTATTTCTTCTTCGTCTTTATACCAGGTTATCACGGGCTCGGGATTACCGTCAACTTGACATGTCAATCTGACAGGATACGTCGCTTGGACTCGTCTGTCTCTGAGTCTCATTGTGAATTCGGGTGGTCGTTCTTCACTTGAACGATCGTTCGCTCTGGGGAAACAATCAAAAAATAAATTCATTCCACGAAATTGATTTCCCATAATTAATGTATTGTGAATGAAAATGCACCTCATGGTTCTTAATTCGAGATCGGCATCTGCAATTTTCGGATCCGTAACAACTTGCACTCGAGCAAAAGTTGACACTCTTCCCGCGGAATTTGTCGCATCGCACACATATCGCCCGGAATCTCTTTCTCCGATATCAGCGATTGACAGAGAGCATTTTAAATCGACATTATTGATGACAACTCTCTGATCGTGTGTTCCATCGAGTTCTACATTATCTTTGTACCATCGTACATGGGCCACCGATTTATTACTCTCGATCTACAGGATTTGCAAATGAATTTGATAAATTCCCTGCGTCTGATAAATATTTAATATTCATCTTCAATGTTTACACACCTCACAATTCAAATTCAATGTTGTCCCGACAAGTGCTTTCAATTGACCCGGCAATATTTCCGAGAACTCCGGAAACTTGACGATTTCTTTTACAGTGACCGAATTCGTCATGGTGACGGATTCCCCCCATCCGTACCGATTTTTCGGAGTAATTCGAAATTTGTACTCTTCGCCCGGACACAAATTGAAGGCGTCGAAGGAGTTGGTTGATGTAACTCCAAGCTGAAATGAAGGATAAAGTTTTGGTTGAAGGGGACATTATTCTCTGAAATGCTGAATACCTCGATCCATCGGGCGCCACCATCACCCCCAAGTAACCAAGCATCAACTCGATAAGCAACAATCGGTGCTGGTCCTCTTTGTTCGGCTTTACCCCATGATAAAGCCAACCAAGTTTTTCCACCGTCAACCACCACAGGCTCGCTGGAGATAGGACCTGGTATGACTGAACATTCACAACATTCATTAGTCGTCATTAGTCGTCATTTAATATTTTCCACTTTAACTGCTTTCAGGATTTAAAAGACAGATTATTTTTTGACGTGCGAATTTCTCTTCACGTCACAATTGAACAATAAAAACAACTCCAATCGGAAGTATAGCCACTTGTTAGTACTCTCGATAAATAAAAGTATTTACATTTGACTTGTGAATGTGTTGGCTCATGGACATGACTCAGATATTTCTTCGTATTCTCGAAATTCCATTCCGTTGATCTCGCTGGTGTCAATGATCTCGCGCGTTGTTTAACCTGCAGGGGAATTCAATTGTATTCAACACGGAAAACCGGAAAATATTTATATTACCCTGATTGTGAAGAAAGTACGGTCATAGCCATAACGATTTTTAACGAGGATACAGTACGTTCCCTCATCCTCATCCTCTATTCTTTTGAATGTTATTCTAACGTAGTCATCATGACTTTCTTTGTAGGATCGAGTGCCGTTCGTGATATCAACCAGTCCCTTCATCAGAATCACTGGATTTTGAGTGAAGAATTGAGTATTTGGTATTGACGATTTTTTTCTGAATTACGCTAATAGAATTAGATTGTACCTTTTGGTTTAGGCACTCCACCCACTCTGAATGATAAACTCACGTCTTCTCCCACGCAAGCGTTGATTAATTTGTCAACGGGACGGGATATAAATATGGCAGGCTTGCCGTTTTCTTTTAAACATAAATATCCGCCATCCAATTTCACGTTACCACATTCAATAGATAAATCTGTTCGGTGGCTGTAGATCGAGCGATCAATACCAAATGGATCAGAAAGAATGAAAGAATACATGTCATAATCCACAGTGGAATGCATTTCAGAAGTTAAATTGTGTCTTTTATTATGAGCACTTAAACTCGTCAAGTCAAACTTCGGCGCAACTGTAAAGAGGACGAAAAAAATTGTACCGCTCCTTCCAGCTTCAAAGAAAAATTAATGAATTTGATATTAATGAGTATTTTTTTACCCGCGTGTTCATTGTATGTGAAACGAGAATTGCATTCACTGAACCCAGATTTATTTTCCGCTCTGCACGTGTAAATACCGTCGTCATCATTACACGGATTAGATATTTGTAAGCGGCAGATTCCTTCAGCTAAATCACTTTGTCTGCACCTGTCATTCATTACCATTATTTTTCCATCCTTCAACCAAGTTATAATTGGTGGAGGTTGAGCCCGTACTCGGCATTCCAGAATAAATTTGTTTTCGTTTCGTTTGAAAGTATCTAATAAAAGATGAATATTATTCAGTACACGATAATTATAGAAAATATTTATATAAATATACAACAAATACCCCTCATTGGTCTCGTGAAAATGGGCGATGAATGTGTGGACTCGTATCCCGCGTAAACTTTTAATTTAGCTTCAGTGGATGCTTCACCATGAATATTTTTAGCAATGCACGCGTATTCTCCAGAATCTTCAGACTTCACTGAATAAATCTCCAATGATATCACTCCGTTATCGTTCGTTATGCAGTATCGGTTACTTGTCTGGGATAATTCCCGACCATTTTGCATCCAAAATACGCGAGGCTCGGGATCACCAAGGGCTGTACAAGTTAGTTTGATCCGAGAAGCTGCTGCTGCAGTTCGATCTATCAACTTCATGCAGAAAACTGGTTTTTTCCCTTTGTGCCTAGGACCAGGCAAATATTCCCTGTCACTGCCATATTCATTCCGGTATTTTCGCGATTTTTGCGCTAAATAATCAGAAGATCGGGATTGATCACTCGTCATTAATTCGTCTGTGTCAATTGATATTGATGGCAGGACAATCGATGCATCTCGTTCTTGGCGGTAGTCGAATTTTACATTTCGTTTTGAGGATTCTGATAATTCAGAATCTAGAGACAAATTTGTGGCGACTGAGGCCGATTCTAGATGGGAATCTTCGGTGTGTGATTCTGTATCCGAAGTGGGTCTTTCTTTTGATCTTATGTGAGTGTAATCACGATCTTCTATTTCCGATCCTTTAATTCGTGTTCTCGTGCCATTTTTTTTCAATTTTTGCTGTCTCTCATTTTGTAAATGCGTCTGTTTAATTTCTTCTTCAGTGTGATTAATTTTTTTAGGCTTTCCATATTGACTTGTCATTTCTTGTTCAATTAATGATCGTCGATAATCATTAGGGGTCTCCTGAAGGCCATTCTCCTCTGCACCCGGAAGTTCCGATTTTTCATGTTCCTTTACTCGATTTCCCTTTCTCACTCGTTCTTCATCATCAAAAGAACTCGAAGTGTCAGTCTTCTTTGAGTCTCGATGTTCCATGATATTTACTTCATCAATCTTCTTCTTCTTCATGAAATCTTTTTCACCACTCAATGCCAATTGTTCTTCATCAGCAATTTGAGAAGAATTTTTAGAAATTGCCTCCCCTTTCTCCAGTGAATTATTATTTTCAGAAGTGGGAACATTTTTTTCTTCCGAATGATTCTGCGTTTTTGGCGAACTTTCAGTTCCCTCGATGATTTGTTCCTCGACATTTTCATCTTTCATCGCTGAGGCTATAGAATTCTCTTTTCGCTCAGTATTACTGAATTGCGATTTTTCGTCTTTATTTTTCTGAATTTTACGTAATTTTTTCTCTTGCGGAGAACGCGACCCTTTCTTCTGCTCGTCCGCAATTTCATCGGAACTTTTCAAATTTTCACTTAATTCTTCAACAGATTCTTTTACTCCTTTATTGGCGCCTTGATTATCTTCAGTTGTCGTTTTTCCAACTGATTTCAAATCATGATGATCCGCAGGAACTGCACTCGTTGCATCAATTATTTCTTCATTATTTTTCAGAGAATCACCTTCAGAGAATTCTTCTCTATTAATTCGCAATTCGTCCAACACATTCTCTTTTTTTTCCGCTATTGATTGACTGATATCATTCGCAGGACCGGTCTCTCTTCCCAATACGATCTTCTCATCTGGTGATTTATTATTCACTGCCTCTGAATTTAGTACTCGCACCGTATGTTCGGAAGGGTTAGCCAGAGGATCAACATCCACAGGTGCAACATTATAATCCACTGGGGGATTGTTCATAATGTCTTGGGTGTATTCATTGGGTCCTACCTCATCAAGTGCTCGTGGACAGTTGAAAATCTGATGCTTATGCTGTGACGCTGGCTGCAGAGCATCATTACTTTTAAGAAGAGCCACTTGATGATCCTGGACTTCTGGACTTACAGCATCTTTCGAAATTTCCCAGAGCGCTCCCACATCCACAGTACTAGGCTGTCCCAGGATCATTGCTCCTCTCTTCGTGTCTGAAATATTTATTCTACATTCTTCTTCCGAAGGCAGCGAACTATCATCTGCCACGATTTTGGATTGTTCTTCTGGTAATTCAGGAATTATCAGATCACCAGTGCATTCTTCAGATGTAAATTGTTTGGAAGATACGGGGCTCTGTAAAATCATTGAGTGAGTACTCGGTTTGACAGGACTTATATATTTTTCCAGTTCAATCGCTTGAGCAGATGCACTTTCGAGTTCGGTTATCACCAGAGGCTCAACCGGTTCTTCCGGAGAGATATCAGTGATCGTTGTGGTTGCTCTGAGGTTTTTTAAATCGTCAAGAGCACAAGATTGAGCTGCTACTTGTACGCCTAGTTCCATCGAGCTCAAATCTTCTAGAGAATGATCAGAAAATTGACACTGGGACACCAATGGATTATTAAAAATTGTCTCGTGATATTTGGAATCGATCACTTCCCCGTGGTCATCTATCTGAATTACATTTCCAAATATTTTTTCCACCTCAGGCATAATCAGATCTACAGTTTCATGCTCATTATTATGATCCATAGGAATTTCCGTCGGCCAGATTTCTTGCAATGCTGGATTATGATCGTCATCTAGAATTTTCTGCAAGCTATCAATCGATTTCTGTTCAGATGACAGTATCGATTCATTTTGGACGCTTGTCTCGTCGTTTATCACACTCTCTCCTAATTTTACAGACTGAAGCTCGTCTACAGTAATATCACGAATGAGTTCTTCTAATATCGCCTGCTGATTTGCAGAACCTTCCAATGCAGCGACATGAACTTTCTCTTGAACAAGTTCAATAAAATTGATCGACGCATATCCCAGTGCACCTTGACGGTCCAATTCGTCTTCTATAATTTGTTTTATATTTTCATTTCTATCTGCCACATTGCCAAATGCTACGTCAGGCGTAATCAGTAATTGCTCTGGTGCATCAATTAATCCAGTTAGTGCTATCTTATTTCTCGGAAGTGAGGGATCATCTGATGCTTCATCAATAGGTAATGTTTCATTGTTTGGCGTTTCCTTTTTAATATTCACCTCTAAATCTTCCTCACTTGCAATTTTTCCATCGATCCTATCGGTAAAATTTAATGTCAATACTTCACATGATTCTGGATTCCCTCTATTTTCCGTTGCTTTCTCCAATGATTTATCATGCGTCACTTCTCCAAGCTCCTCCTTGCTTACAACAACAGGAATTATCTCTTCTAATTGTTGATCTGCATCAGGAACACTTGAAATACCGGTGTGTCCTTTTTCTTGAAGAGGTTCGTTCAAAATTTCAGATGAATCGAGGACTTGGTTGGTCTCATCATTTGCTGAATTATCCTTTATTGAGTCTTCTTGACATGTAAAATCGTCAAGAACATTCACTTCATTAATTAATTCTCCACCTTTAGTATTTGCATCCACAATTATCCCGGCATTAGATTTTTCATTATTTTTTGGTGTAGAATCTAGCGATGGGACTGATTCCGATAATTCTTGTATATTTAATTCTCTCTCTACCAATTCATTGTGTGATTTTTGTTCAGGCATATAGGATGACAGATCAATATTAACGTTCGGAATTTTATTGCAATTCGATTTTATAGACTGAAGCTCTTCCACAGTGATATCACGAACCAGCTCCTGGAATATTGATTCTTGATCTATATTATAATTTGAGGATGCAGCGGTATATATTTTATTCTGAACATCTTCAATGAACTTCATTGATGCATACTCTTGCGCGCCTTGGCGATCCAATTCGTCTTTTATAATTGTTTCTATTTTATTTTCCAATGACATCTGGGAATCTTGGAGAGCTTGATCATTTTGCTCGTTCATCAGTGAGTCATTTTTAATTTGAACATCCGGTGTTACTTCATGAGTCGATAACTCTGCGTTCATCGGATTTTCTTCATCATCATTTCCCTGGTCTGATCTATCCGTACTTTTCAATTTCTCGACAGCTGTTGATAAATGATCTGGAGATTCCCATATTCCATCGATCTGTATTTCTTCTTTCGCCATTTCTAATGATTCGACTTGATCATTATCTAATTCATTATTATTTACGTTGATAGATTCTTCCACAGCGATATCTCCAACTATTTCTTCCTCCATAAATTCCAGATCCTGTACTTTGTCTTGAATAATATTAATGACATTGATTGCCGCATAATCTTGCGCGTCTCCACGATTTAATTCACCTTCTATCACGTGTGCCGTATCACTCTCCAATGATATCTTAAAGTCTTTCAGAATTTCATCTTCCCCTGTGCTACAATTATCTTCAATTGTAGAAGACACTAGTGCTTGTTGTACATCAGCCATTGCGTTACTTAAAAATTGTAAATGTCTTGTTTCTTCCTTAATAGATAATGCTATTTCCATCAAATTTTTCGTATCATCATTCTGTTGATTTAATCTATCCGCAATTTGAGACTGATCGATACGTTCCTGTGCATAATTCAGAGACTCACACATTTCTTCAGGCCGGGCCCCTTTTTCCGCTTCTGATGATTCATCTTGAACCTTTTCGTAAAGTTTTTCATCATTGACAAGTTCTACATTTTCAATTATCTCCTGGGGCTGGTTCCGATAATCATTATCATTAACATCTGCCTTGACCGATTGAAGTTCTTCCACAGTGATATCCCGAATCATTTCCTCCAGTGCAGATTCCTGTTCGATATTATGATTTGAAGATATATTGGCGCTTACTTTGTCCTGAACAAGTTGAATAAAATTTAAAGAGGCGTAATTTCGCGCCCCTTGACGATCCAATTCGTCTTCTATTATCCCTGCGATGTCGATTTTCAATAATTCCGAGGAATCTTTAAAGACGTCATCCCTTGTATCTCTGTCCTCAATACCTGAAGACACTAGTGCTTGTTGTAGATCCATCATTAGATTATTTTGGGAGTGCGTTGATGTTTCGTTAGCAGACACGGTTATTGCTATCGGATTGTTATAATCATCATTTTGTTGCTCGAATTTATCTGATGTCTTCGATTCTTCGACAATTACTGACGCATGTTCTGGAGTCTCTAATGATTCTTCGACTAATGAATCAATCAATTCTTTTTTCATGTCTGAAGATTCATCACTAGTTATTCCGTGGAATTTTTCTTCGTTGATAAACGGTACATTTTGAATGATCTGTTGTGGTTGAATTATTTCGTCATTTACTGCCTGCTCTGACGTCAATGTCAACGACGAATTGATTATATCACTGACATTTTCATGATTGTCTGACTTGACGGAATGGAGTTCCTCCACAACGATATCTCGAATCATTTCCTCCAATATCGATTCCTGATCTACACCAGGACTTACTGACACCGTGGCATGTACTTTATCCTGAACAATTTTAATAAAATCGCTCGATCCACTCTCCTGCGCTCCTTGACGCTCCAATTCGTCTTCCACAATATATGCGACTTGGTTTTGTAATAACAATTGAAAACCGTCAAGAACTTTATTCTCCACAAAATCACAAGTTTCTTCCTGTATCATTGCGTAATTTAACGGATCCTCTGTAATGGTATCCTTAAAAATTTGGGGAAGTTCTGATTGTTTATCAATAAGCTCTTGATCATTCTTCGGATCTCCATTTTCGGGAGCTGTTGATTTCTCAATTTGCTGAGTAGAATCTAGTAATAAAGATTCAGGTGATTCGTCCGCTCGTACCTTCTCCTCGTTCGTCTCATACTGAGTCATTATTTGAGACTCGTTGTCATTAATCTTAAAGGTACTCTCCGGAACGATGTTTGCTAATATTTTATTATCTTCAGAATCAGTAGGAATCTCGAAAGAGTCTTGTTTATCATAAATCATTTCCAGTGGCTGTGAAGATTTTTGGATTAATGCATCATCCAATACTTCAATATCATTTAGTTCAATTGGTTTTTTGCTATCATCAGAAGGAATAGATGCTGTTTCTGGCAAATCAGGAATTGAATGAACACCATCAGCTTGCTCAGTTATGCCAGTACTCAACATCAATGTGACCGCATCACTCACATGATGAAGAGACTCCACAACTGCTGTAAGAGTTACAATTAAAGGCGCATCAGATGTTTGAACTTCAAGAGAAGCGACTGGTGGCTCTAAAAGTAATTGGTCTCGAAGGAATTGGAACTGTCCACACAAATCAGAAACAGAGCGCAGGAATTCTTCAAGATTTTGTTTCGTTACAGATTCCACCGGTTTTTTTCGAGAAATTTCTGTGGTCCTTTCTATACCATCACGCAATTGATTAACTGGCCACAACAATTTTTGGATAATGGCGACAAAGTCGCTTTCTAATGTCTGTTTTGGTGAATTTTTTAGAGCTGATTGAAGGGATACTATCTGATCATGGAGTGCATCCAAGGGTTCACAGAGAAGTGCGTGGATTTCTTCGTTGATGGATCTATCAAGAGAAAGCGTTGCATTAGCGAGTTGCTCTAATGGTTCAAAAGCTGTTGATGTCCATAAGAGCAATTGTTCAGTTCGAGCCGAAGTCGCAACTGCTTCTTCGCTTTTGCATTCGTCTTTTATGCCCGCCTGCACTGGTTGAGGAATGCCATCAGTTGTTTCAAATTCTTCAATCAGTGTTTCATTGGAGGACGCAATGGGAATTAAAGACACATGCCTCTCTATGCTCTCCAATAATTGAATAATCTCCAGCTCTGAATTATCTTTCTTGACAAGATTTACAGCTGTTTTTAAATGCTGCAGAGGCCGCATCATATCCTTCAGAAAATATGTTTCATCCACCTGATATTTTCGGTTCGTGAGATTTTCTTGTAAATCATGGAGAGGAATCTCCAGCTTTGCGAATTCATTTAACACGCGATCGTTATTGCTCACTGACATATTGGCGTCAAACAGGGAAGGTGTTGCGAATGCAATTGTTACATCACCAATGCATTGACGAAGTCTTTCGATACTATCTATCAGATTAGATGGAGATTCAATGTCATTCATGTCCGGGGGGCTATTGCCTGATATCCTCTCTAAAATGGAAGACAATTCAAAATGGATGCTGGTTAACACGAGAAGCAACTGACCAATAGTAGCTTCTGGTGCGGATTCTGCACGGGATAATTTTTTTTCCTCTTCAGTTTCCCCCGGTTTTGAAGATGAAGACTTGATTTGTATCCGTTTGTCATCTGATAGAGTCTCAAATAAAATTTTCGAAATATTATTCATGATATAATCCAGATTTTTAGCCAACACTTTATAATTTTCAGTCGTATCCTTTTTACAAGATTCATCTTCATATGTTTCTAGAGTTGTTACGAAAGTTTGTAATTTCAATTTAAAGTCGTCTACGAATTTTTCGAAGTTATTTAATGAATTCTTGGTAGGCCCCAAGGAATATAAACTTGCTGTTGCATGTGCGAGGTCTTCCAACGGTTCCGTGAGAATCCCAATTAAGAGCTCGTCAATTGGATTTTCAATAACTCCAGTTTTATGCGATGCGATAGCGAAAATGAAGGGATGAAGGGACGCGTAAATCATTTCCAAATTTTCAGCGAGCATGACCAGCTCTGGCTCATCATGCTCCTCATTCATGAGCAAAAAATGCTGAATAGTCTGTTCTAGATTTGAAATTGTGGTAATTATTCTCTTTGGGTCCTGTAATATGTAAGACATTTCAGATTGGATTATGGCAGGTTCCGGAATTATAACATCATAATCCATTATATCCGCAGGCTCGTCAATTTTTAAAAGATTCTGCTCATGAAGATCTACGGATGACGCATCATCGCGGATAGCTTCGGTGTTGTCAGTGTCAAGTGAAAATTGCCCTTCAATAGATGATGGTTCTCTGGCGCTGTGGTAAGCCTCTGATTGATCCGTTTTCATTGATTTGCGATGGCTTTTTTCACTGTGATCACTTTGGGAGGACCCACTTCCCTCAGATTTCTGCCTTTTCCTCACAGGTCTCACAGGAGTTTGTCCACCCATTGCTGAAGAGTATGATGATATATTACTTTGTGATTGGTCTTCCATTATTGATACGTCTTCAACGTCTACTTCCGTCCGCAGATCCTCGAACTTTTCGTTCGGAATAAAATAATCTGGGGAAACATCAATTACCACGGCTTCCATAAGAAGATTACCTGTAGTTGATGTTTCTTTAGTAAACCGCATTGGTGGAAGTTCGATGACATCACCTTCAGTAATGTGTTCGGATAATTGATCTGCGTACATTTCCATTATTTGAATAGCATCTTCTTCGGTCAAATCTGGAGTTTCGTAAAGGCTGAGAGAGACTTCTTTTCCATCGAGACTAAATGAAACCTCTCCGTGATCATCCTGAGTTACTGAATAATCACTTTGAGGTGTATCGTACAATTGAGAAGTCCTTTCTTCATGAATGGTAGACAGTGAGACGTTCTTCACTGATGTATCAAGCTGTTGATTATCTTGACTCTGCACTTGTTTCGCATCATCTTCGAAACCAAGGAGAGAAGCCGAGCTGCTGACGGATCCCATGCAATTTGTTGCACGGCAAGTGTAAGTTCCTAAACAGCAAGTTCCATTTTCTCCGGATATGATTCTGTGAACATCTCCAGGTTTCAGTTCGATCCCATCTTTGTACCACGTCAGAGCAGGTTGAGGAACTCCAATGACTTTGCACTCAAGACTCACAGTACCATCTTCAGAGAGCACGGCTTTGAGATTCTCCAGATATTTTGGTTTCCTGAAATGTTTCGGGATGATGAGCTTCAGAAAACACGATGTCACGCTGTGACCGAAATCATTCTCTGCCAGACATTTCCACTGCGATTCATCCACTAATTCCAGGTTCTTTATTTCCAGATGAAAATTTCCTAAAGTCTCTTTGACCAATTTATATTTAACGTCTCCACTGATTAATTCGTCGTTGCGGTACCAGGAAACCGATGGATCCGCTGACAAAGTCACATCGATCTGAACGGCAAATGTGAAAGCCTCATCAATTTTAGCCTCGCAACTTTTAAGGCCTTTCTTGAATTTCGGTACTTGAGTAAATTCCTTGGCTAATTGCAAACGCTCTTCCTCATTGAGTTGATTTTCGATATCTTCGATCGTAAGTTCCGCTGTGCTTTTAGCTTCACCCATACAATTCTTGGCAATACAACAATACGAGCCCAAAGAATTCGTTCCTGTCAATTGATAGACATCCCCTGGTTTTAATTCCTCGCCATCCTTAAACCATTTGAGTACAGGAGTCGGAAATCCAACGACTTTACATTCAAATGACACTAGACCTTCTTCCGTAAGAATAGCTCGAAGATCCTCCATAAATCGTGGAATCCGATAATTTTTTGGAATCAATACCGCAACATAACTCGTGGTAAATTGTTTAGCATTATCTAAGCTCGTTGCAACGCACTTCCATCGGCCTTTATCAACAGCTTCAATTCCATGAATTTCAACCGAATAAATTCCGAATGCATCTTGCACAATGTGATATTTTTCATTCGGTTCTATTCGGCCTGATTCGTTGTACCAAGCCACATCTTTTGGCCAAGGCGGTACCTGAATTTGACAAGAGAGTATTAGGCTCTCACCAATTTTACAGGACTGATCTTTCAAGAACTTCTCAAAAACTGGTAGTGACTCCAGGGATTTTATCGACACACTGGATTTTTGACCATCTTCTGAATTGATAACATGAACTTGTGAAGACGAACAGGCGACTCCCATACAATTAACGGCTTCACATCTGTAGATGCCTAGAGATGTTGGATCGTCCAAAGAAGCAGTTAGAGCAAATATATCACCAGCTTTCATTTCTTTCCCATCCTTGAACCATTTCAGTACCGGAGTTGGAACACCCAGTACCTTACATTCCAACGAAACACTTCCGCTTTCCGTCAAGATCGCCTGTAATTCCTCAATGAAATGCGGTTTTTTGTAAGCTTTTGGTACGAGTACGTTTAAATAACAACTGCATGATGATCTCCCATTATCATTTTCAGCTGTGCAAGTCCAATGGCCTCCGTCTTCAAGGGTGACTGGAGCCACATCGATGCAGTAAAAATTCCCTTCATGAACGAATGAGAAACGTGAACCGATATCAACGGGTTCATGATTCCTGTGCCATGTCACCTAGAAAATCAAAACAGGTAATATTCTAAATTGGTTCGGGCTCGATCGTTGAGCTCTTAAGGGTGAATCACCGCTTTTGTATTTTGTGAAATGACTAAATTGGACGCAATGCGGAAACAAGCTTGCATGGAGAGACAGGCGAATGTGCAAGTCGATTTATCTAAGCAACTGCACCGTTTTATCTTTGGCTTTCTAGTCTAAAAGGAAATATGTCACCGAAATAGTCGTCGAAATACAAGCGATTCGTGTACTGAGGAATTCGTGGTATAACTCAATAAAAAAAAAATTATACAAAATGAAAAACCTGAGGAGATGAAGAACTCTGGATTTCCACGAGGAACCGCGTTCTAGTGCCAATTTTAACAGCCAAATCGGTAAGTTTCTTGATGAAGAGCGGAGGGTCAGTCTCCTGAAGCTTTTCCAAAATGCCGTTGGTATTCATTGATCTGACTCGCCGTGGCACTCGATTATCATCATCAGCTGGAGAATAATTATTTTCCAAAATATCGATTATATAAGGATGATAGCTGGTGTAAAGTCTTCCCGATGTTTTCGATCTATATAGATCGATATTTTTATAAGAGCCAATTTTTTTGTTAAATGTTGATATCTCCTGGTTTCCATGAAATCTAGGAAAAAATAGAAAAATAGAAAAAGGGTCAATGAGACAGGAAAAATATGTGAAATAATTTACGGCACTTCATATAGTGCCTGATTGCACCACAGCGTGAAACCAAAATCTTGCTCTTTACTTTTCTTAATGATATTTCGAGCCAAGTTCTGTTAATATAACTATTGACATCCACCGCAGACGATAAATGACTGAAAAAGCAAGGCCAATAGATATAAATCGTACCTTCATGTATCCATGAAATCCATTCACGATAGTGATATGAAATTCTTCAACATTATGTAATGATGTGAATGAAATGAAAAAAAAAATAAATAAATTTATATTCAGATAAATCGTACCGAATATTTATACTTGTCGGTCTAGTTCGTGTGACTTGATGATTTTTCCTATCTGAACACTTACAGCACTGGCTTCCCATCTTCACTTCTTCATCATTTATTGTTAAACAAACAAGGCGCACATTCTTCGAGTGTAAACAGTCGATACATTTCTCATTATTTTCAAAAGCATAGTAGCATTGATCAACGAATACTATTTTAGTCCAATGCGAAAGAGCGCTGCATACGCCCACCGAACTAGAATACGAACCAAAATACTCATAGTTAAAATTGCAATTGTTCCCTGAGTGTCATTGTGAATGATATGTAAATTACTCTAACAAGATAATACAAGAGTGCAGTCAACAAGTGCAATGGAGATTTGTGATCCTTCAAGTATCTGAAGGAACACTGACGAATCCTTAAGTAAATCGATAATTAATCTTTTTGACCGATTGAGCAGTAGGTGGGTCTACGGCCTGCTTGAATCACACGAGCAATCTTCAAGGATTGGACTGAGCATCGAATTTAGACACAACTACGTTTGGACGTCACATGGAGCTGAACCGAAAACTTTCGTAATCACTGTTTTTTCCCTCCAACTCTCAAACCAATTTTAACTGAATACCAAGCTATATATACTTTCACATATTTCCCATCTTCAATTGAATCGGCGATACAATAATTCAATATCTTCATGAAGAATCGGCAATTGAATTCAAATGACTGCTGTCTGATTTGACACATTTCGTGGCACTCGGATTAATTTTTCAAATTTAGCTCATCAAGTTCTATTTTTCTGAATAGTTAAGTAACAGAATATTATTCGTGTGCCAAGGTACATCAGGGCCAGGACAATGTTATCACCGATGATATGTATTATTTATGGTCAGGCTTGCGATTGTTATGCAAGGGATAATAGTGAATGGACGTGAATCATCAGCAGGGGGATATGATGGCAATTAGATGTTGTGGTGGGATATCAACATTTACCGAGTGCAAATCGTGGGTATAATCTAGTTGTACAGACCCCGCGACGAACACTGCTGTCGTCGGTGCCGTCAAGTTCGATTCGCCGGCAGTTCCTCTAAAAATAGCATGTAAATGATCCAACATTGCTTGCGTTAATGTGCATTAACGTCGAAAATCAAATTCTTACATAGAATTGACTTTTTTGCAAACGCCCAACCGCCAATACCCCGGGTAAGATTTTTTTTACACCAACTGTTCACCTGATTCTGCATTAATCACGATTCACATCTAATTTCATATCACCGAAATTATGGAAATGATACAGAAAATTTAAAATACACAATCCACGATGGGTAATTTATTATGATTTATTATGATTGAGTCATTATGTATTATTCACAAATTTCATTCTAAATCGGATAAGTGAAATCTCTATATAATGCAATGAAATATGTAAACAATACTTTTTACCTGTTAAAATAGTGTCGTTTTGTATTTTTTTGTCGCAATTTTAAACATGACACTCACTTTGAAATATTGGAGTTTAACTTCTATTTAAATTATGAGTTTCATTATGGAAATGAGAATTTTCATTAAATTTAGTGATAGTACAGAAGATTAACTAGCCCGATCAAAATAAGATCCCAATGATGTTGGAACTCGACCGCTCTCTCTTGGAAGCTATCTTTTTTAGTCTAAAATCGTCATCTCGGCGAATGGCGCGCGCACAAGATACTAAGATATTTATCGTACTTTACTATCACGCACGCGCGATTTCACGCCATTTTTCATATTACTGTGAAAATGTGAATGTCATAATTTAATTTCATAATAAAAGCAGTACATCAGACATAAAAGTGATGAATGTAACAATAGAAAAATTAATTAAACCAAAAATTAATTAAACCAAGAGCAAAATTAATGAATTGTATCACCAGAAAACCGATTTACTTATTCAATCCTTTTCAATGTCCATCAAATTTTATTTATGTTTATGTGGAATCCAATTTGTTATATCCGCTTGTATTCTACGGTACAGTACAAGTCCAATCAGTGGAATCGCTAGTATTTCCTTTTTAAAAAGATAAATGTAAACAGCACCGAGGAATAATATCAGATCAATGACATAACTCATGATAGACTGCACTTTAATTTGCGTTTGAAGTATCAAGGGCTCTCCACTCGCATCGCCATCCTGTCGACCAGTTTCATCACTCCACTGCTTATTTCGATTAATTATTTTCGATGCACGCGATGACGCTTTCTCCAGTACTTCAGTCGGACCCTGCAACTTCTCCAAACGATCAATGAAATTCGGATTAACACCAGAGATCTCATCAATTTTTTTCTCCATCTTTTTTCCTCGCCTTTTCCGGGTTTTCGATGAAGATCTCGAAGTAGACGACTCTCGACTACTCCTTCCCAAATCAATTCTTGAAGACCTAGATGAAATACTATTCCGTCGAAGAGAATTGGTTGTGGATTCTGATGGACGGATTTGCTCCGCCGGTTTTCTCTGGCTTGTGAAATTCTTAGTGGATTGATTGTTCGATGATACAGGGGCATTCGGAATTTTGTGCGTAGCATTCTGAGAGTTGTCATTAAAATTGTCTGGATTCTTGGGACTTTCTCCACTTGACATGCGGGAGGGACTGGTTACACGCGAACTTCGCCCAGTTGGATAATTCGATGAGTAGTGAGACGGCGAGACTGAATGCGCGTTAACAATTTCGGTGTAATGATCGATCACAGCCCGTTGGGCTTCAATGTCTTCCTTCACTTCAGCTGACTCTTTCTTAGCCATCAGGGATTTAGCACTCGACTTTCTACGATTTTGGGCTACTTCAGCAGCGATCATCAAACTGGTGTTATCACTCTCTGTATCAGACATCACAGGTAAGTCCGTAGCGTGAGTTCCACCAATAATTGCATTTCCATTACCATTTCCACTGAATAACTTCGTGTGTCCGTCATCCCTCATTGTACCATCATTTAATTCCTGCGAAACAGCGGATTTCGTCTCACCAAAAGTTTCTAACGGTTGACTGAAATTATTACGATTCGCAGGCGCATCGTCAACTCTTTTTTTCAGGATAGATTTCGGCTGTGCGACGTTTGCTCCGGGAATCGAATTCTTCCGTGATGTTTGAAGAACAGTTTCAATTCCCGAGGCGTAATAAATATTATCTTGACTGGTAACACCAAATTCTCCTGATTCCACGGGACTTGCATCTTCATCACTTTCTACATTTTCCAAATTCGTAAAAGCTGAGTCGCTAGGAAATAATAATTCTTCATTGTCAGCCAGAGCTTCGTCTTGTGTAAAATTACTTTCGAGATTTTCTAAATTCGATGCCGATGTTTCATCAAATATCAATAATTTGTTTTCAGACCCGGAATACAAGTTGCTATCGTCCCATCTCCGAAGACTCGTTATCAATTCAGGAAATGATTGCCGAAGATCATTAATTGACTCTTCATTCAAATTCAAATTATCCAAATTGGAATCGGAAGCAACGGCCATTGGTGGAGCAGTGAACACACTGCCCATATCTTCACAGACGGTTTGTCCTTCACTCAATCTCCGTTTATTCCACATTGCCTGAGCGTCCGAAAAAGCTAGACCTGAACCCGATTGTATTTTCACCGGATTTCTCAATTTATTGGAACTCAGATCTTTCCCATCCGTCCATTTTTCCGAATTAGATATGTTTTTCCTGGAGTTCGCTTCCTCCATTGCCACGGCTTTTTGAAACCGCTCGAGTGCGCGTTCATGTAATAGTTCCGTTGAACTGAAGGCTTCCCTAACAGTTTCAACGATGTGATGATCTACACTGAATAATTCTGGAAGCGAGCGAGACATGGGTGGAGGTATCAAGTCATCATCACTTTCGAAATTCGTCTCAATTTTAGCTGCATATTTATCCTCCACATTGCCGATATCAGTATTGGGATAAAGAATCAACATAAATTCCTCGTCATTCTTCTCTTCATCATCCCCTTTCTCAATCGGTGAATTAACATTATTATTTTGAGGTATGGAGTCGCTCGTAATATTGGCATTACTCAATAAATTTTTTTCACTGGAATTTGACTGATCATTCAAATCCGTCGCGGGGGTTTGAGTTAAATCATTGGCTTTCCGGTCGTTAACCTTCAAGTTCTTATCACGTTTCACCCGCGGTTTTGCACGAGGCACAAACGTGTCGTCTAATGGCTCATCTGCATGGAGGAATACGGTGTCTGCAAAAGTAACTCTGCTATCTGATCTGAAAGATTTGGTCAATGGAGCGTCAGAGCTCAGGCGCTGAACGGAAACTGATCGTGACGGCAATGCCTGTGACTGCTGTCGATAGAAATCTTCAGAATGCTCATGACTCGCTGTCGCCTCAGCCCTCGTCAAGCTTCTCGTTCTTTTCGTTGATTTTTTAATATCATCTTCATATTTATCTAATCTACGCCCCCGGGAATTTTGTTGCTCACTCTGAAGCTTATGGTCTCGAGGCAGCGTTGGGGCGCTTTTACTGGAACTAACGGATATATAAATAAACAATTAATTGACACCTGATTCAATATAACTAGATAATAAACTAAATTCACCTCCCCGCAGCATGAGGAATGAATACCACATCACTTTCTTTACTGGGATCACTGATGCCGTAAGGATTCTCAGCTTTCACTCGAAATCTGTACTCTGAATCCCCAATTAAATCGACAAGAGTAGCTTCCGGTCTGCGACTGGTGTTGGCCTTCAACCACACATTCCAGCCAACCTGATGAATAAATAGACTTCCAATTAAGAGAACAATTTACATCAACCGCCAATGATTAATCTGTACTGACTCTGTAGTACTCGACTATATAAGTGCCTATTTTACAGCCCCCGTCGTCCTCAGGTTCGTCCCACGAAAGAGTCACCGATCGACCGAGAGTCATAATTATTCTTATAGTTCCAGGAGCTGACGGCCGATCTTGAATAAATTAAAATGTTTATAAGCATAAGTAATTAGGAACATTGCCAGTAATATTTGTGTACCTGTAACAGTAACGAGAAAGGAAGAGCTGTCTTCCCCGAGTTCATTAGATGCGGTAATCGTGTACTCCCCCCGATCATTTCGCACAGCTGTCAAAATAGTCAAAGAGTACTCTCCAGTATCAATTGACTCTATGATATGCCGATCCCCGAGAATAATCATTTCTCCATCGTGATACCATTTAACACATGGCGATGGCCGTCCAGCAATTGATATTTTTAATTTTATCGTTTCCCCTTTCTCGAATAACAGACCGTCCTCATACTGCCGTGGAAGTCTTATTTTTGGAAGTGCTGGAAGATTTGGTGATTAAATAATTCAAACAGTAAGTAATAAAGTCTTGAATTCGTACGGTACCTTGTAAAATAAGTTTCCCCCGGGTGCTAGTGTGACCCGCTTTATTCACAGCTGTACATTTTATTTCCCCTTCATCATTCAGCGCTGTTTGATGAATAACTAGACTGCTCCTTCCATTCTCCGTGATTATCTTCGTTCTACGACTGCTGAATATCTCAAATCCATCCTTGAACCAGGATATCTTGGGTATCGGTGTACCCGCAAAGTGCACAACAAATTCCACCTGCCGAAAATCCATGGATTAAAACTGAATTGACAAAATAAATAATTGCTGTTAAAATGGGATGAATGCAGTATTACTTGTTCATTTTCTAAAGCTGTAGTGTCCCTCAATTCGGAAATAAAATGCGGGGCTGCAGCTTCTGCTCGTTGGAGTGTCACAGTCAGAGGATCAGATATTTCACTGGTGGGAGACAGACCTATAGTATTTTGCGCCCTAACGCGAAATTGATATCGCCATCCTGGTTCAAGACCCCTCAAGGTAAGTTCCGGAAATGAGCAGAGACCAGGTGATGACCTGACCCAATGAGGTGACCCAAGACGACGATGCTCCACCAGATACCCAATGATAGCAGATCCTCCATTATATGACGATCTTTCCCACCGAATCCCGACAATAATCGGTTGCGAATCTTCAGTAAATGACGGTATGAGAATTGGTTTGCCGGGTGGTCCAGGTAGTCCTGCAATAATTTTAGTCACCAATATTTCATTTTTTTCACGTACTTAATTAAACAATTTATCAACAATATTATTTCTCAAATGGCAAAGGGGTGGTAGTGGTGTTCCACTACCAATATGCACGTGGGACTGAAAATAAAACGTTTGGCAACATCAGAATCAGTAGCTAAGACTATTCAGACCGAAGAATGTATATATATCCAATCGTGTATGTATTTATATATGTGCGCTTCAAGACATAATTCGGTATTGGATATATATGAACATAGATAGCTGTCCTGAGTCTAACAAAAAGCTCAGATCGCTCAATAATATTGTGGAATATATAAATAAATACAGCTGAAATATCTGTATTTACTCAGCCATATTTGAACTCTCGAAGTTAATGCAAATAAAAATAAAATAAATAAATTTCACGGATACGTGATAAACCATGAGTTCAATTAGACATGCAATAATAGCGGTTACTCGTATTACCTGAACTACCCCATTGAACCCGTTTTACATTATTCCCCGTTGAAGTTGAATTTCTACGTGATATTGCCGTTGATGTATTCCCCATTGCACAGCTACCTATTTTTGCTGTGGATTTTTTTGAAAATTTCTCCCAGGTTCACCGATACTTTCTTGCCAACAACATAAAAAACTTGAAGATGTAACATCGAGTATCTCCGTCAAGTGTTTCGTTTGTGCTGCCGCTGCAGTGTCAACAGTATAAATAATAAAAAAAAGGCCAGTTCCACTGATGTTAAGGCACTACTAGCACTCTGAACTACGAGGCAGCACTGGTTTAATGTGTGCAGGGGAAGAGAACATCTAAATAGCAACTGAATTACTCTCTCGCCCTGCGCAATCGATCTGACAGCATGGCGTTTCTTTAAATGTCATCATCGCGGGAATTTGAAATCAAAGATAATTACTCCCGACTATCATCTGTAAGCATTATCTCCAGGCTCTTCCCCACGCGATAATTCCATTTCCCAGGAAGATAGAGACGTATGAAAATTGATAGAAATTTAATTGCACCCCATGGGTAATGTCCTGGTCAACTGCAAATTACGAGTTCGCGCATGAAATTGCATCAATCGTCAGTGCAATTAATTACGAATAATGAATTCGTTGAGGTAATTGATTGTGTTGAATTTTTCAGTCTGGAGTGTTGACCCGCCAACTTTTAAACTGAGTTGTACGTGAAATTCAAGTGAGAATTGAAAGTTGCTGGTGCGTCTCTCACTTGCCGTCGTTTTTCGGTATCCCCGCAAGAGTAACAGGCTTGAAGATTCAGACGCACCTATGTATAGCACAGTTTATCAAATGTAGACGTCCAGTGTAAGTCGCGCCAGCTAACCGCTAGATTGTTTGTTACCTTCTCTCGTAAACACAATATTTTCGAATAAAACAGTGTAAAAAAATTTCTCCTTCATCTACTGTTATGTAAACCAAAGTGCCAATAAATTTGAAAGTAACGGTAATACCAGTTGGTGTTTAATAATTAATGTAATTGATAATTACTTGTTTATTTTGTGCGGCAATTTAGGTGAATATTGTTATATTGTCTTATTATTTTGTGTGCGGAATTTGAGACTTGAATTTCCATAGATTCCTTTGATACAAAAAATACAAAATATCCTGTCCAACCTTCTCCGAGTCGTCGGGCCGGTTTCGAGACCTACGCGTTTTTATTCTTACCCATACATCTGATCATCATCGATGTGTGATCTACCCGCAGTTACATGGAGAAAAACATGAATATATATCGAATTAAAAAATGTTTACTATGTAATTAACAAATAATTGTACAGAATTTGGAAATTTTGTAGAACTTGCCTGTGGAAAAAAAAACGAGAAGCCAAAATGGTAAACGATTATGCAGAGATTGCAAACAATGCAGAAATAAATAAACCGAATTGCGATGGAGAAAATGACACGGACAATCCCCTGGAATTACCAACAACAACGACAATTAGTACGATAGCTTTACAAAGTGGAAATACTCGTCTTGTCATTGCACTTCTGCAGGTGAGATTTCCATTAGAAATTATAGCTGCAATTTTTGAATAATTATGGGTTCATCAGTCCGACTGTTTTAACGCGTGACACAGTTAGTTCCCGATGATCAATCCATTGGGAAAATCTATTTATAAAATTCTCAATATAGAGAAGGCAGAGAACGGATGAATTATAGTCTAATATATAGAAAAATACTGGTGGTAATAATTCATTCGGATAGCAAGAAAAATATAGCATGTTTTTGTTTGAATATTCAAATAATCTTTTACCGACGATGACGACGGCTTTTTCTGTCATACTTTTTGCTTCATAAACGAATATAGATGTTAGTATAGAACGAAGTTTTCGAGCTTATATCCAAGGTTTAAATTTATCCTCCACGGGGTTTCGTAGAACGTGAGCAGAACTTGACTGTAGATTTTGCGAGGCATCGGAATGCCTAAACTTGAATAACGCGAACGCTCCACTGGAAATAACCAATATAGTTTTATCGAGTACTTGAGACACCAGATCCTCAATTTTTCATGTAAAAAAAAAATACGCTGAATTATTACCCCTCATATCATTCGCATAGATTAGACTACATAAGAAAAAAAAATGGATTTCGGCGTTAATGAGAGCTCAAGTCTTTTCCCGGATCAAATGGACAAAAAAAAATCATTCAACCTTGCCCAAAGGCCATGGAATGAGTACGAATTCGTTTTAATTGCAGAGTGGGAGCTTTTTGAAACTGAAAGTTCTGGAGATCTACCCTGAACTTTCGAAACTGGGGGTGACTGTTGAAACAGCAACCGATCTTGCAACTGCCCATGACGAAGTTCTGATCCATTTGAAAAATAAGCAGAGCCCTGTTGAAGAATTACTGCGACAAGCTGATCATCTCATTTCAACCCAAAAACCTCGAGCTGAAGTTTATGCAGCAATGGCAGATACTTTGGGTCAAGCCTGGAAAGATGTTAATGCCTTTCTAGAGCTTCGAAAACAAATTTTAGATCATAATGTTCTATTTCAATGGTGAGGCGTATAAATATTCCCTCAAAAAATCACAACAAATAATGAAATACCTCAATGTTATTGATAACTCATTAAATTTAATCTTTTTAGTTGCGCCGAAGAATTCAAAATAAATGCGACAGCTCTAGAAATCATCTGCACAGATGAGCAATTGCCGATAGAGATTGAATCAGTTAAAAAAATGATAAGTAAAATTCATGATGTTAGAAGAGATATGCTCAGTACTCTCCTCAGTACACTTCAAGAGGGCAAAGTCTTGATAGAACAGTTGCGTGAAGCAATTGATGGAGAATTAGATTTGCTGCCGGATCCCATGAGAGGTGACGTCGAAAATGCAATAGTTCACGTCGAGAAAAATCTCGAGGAGATACACGAGCAGAGAAAAATCACCGAAATGTATTTCAATACGAGGAAAAATCAATTGGAGCAGTGCTTAGCACTGGCTCTTCTGGCAATTGATCTGCGAAGTCTTGAAGTGACTCTCAATGAAAAAATTGCTGCTTTCAAAAGCAACGGCAATCACTTGGGCGATTCGTGTGCCAGTACCGAGGGATTGCTTCTCGATTTGAGAAATCTTCAGCAAGAAGCTAAAATATTCCAAGATCGATTACTGAAAATAACTAAATCGACCGAGAAACTTGTATTAGATGGGCATTTTGCTAGCGAACAAGCGACAGAAAAAGCGTATACTATTTTAGAAAAAGCTGCAGAGTATATAAATCAATTGGAAAACTATGAATATCTTCTCAATAGAGTAGGAAAATTCTTCGATTCGGTACAAACAGCTGTTGTAGAATTAAATTATTTGGAAATGAAGCTTTCAAACAACACATACCAGATATATTCAGCTGAATATATGAATTTTTATACTCAGGCTATCGAATCTCTATCGAAAATTACAATGAATTCTATAACCGAAGGATATGAAATACTCGAGATCGTCGGAAAAGGAACACCTGGGGCCGAGGGGGTGCGACAAGCCGTTGAGGAATTGGAAAATCGTAAACTAAAATTACACGAGCGATGTACATCATGTATAGAAGAAAATCTCATGGCTTGCGATGAATTCACGAAATTTTTCGACAAATACGAGACACTAAAGACGTGGCTTGAATTAACTATAGAAGCATTTATTCGTGACAATGCGAATTTGGGAAATGATTTTTCAATGGCCCAGACTTTTTACAAACAGCATGAAAAATTGTTGCAAGAGTTGAGAAAGCGGGAAAATGACGTACACGAATGTTTATCGAAATTTAATAATATTAATGTCGATTTGAGGAATGATGAGGGAAAAATTTTCCAGAAGGAAGACATTGATAAATACACCCATGGACTGAAGGACAAATGGTTGATCTTCGATAATATTATTGATGCTCGACTTCATTTGAGTTCTCTGTACATCGCAATTCACGAAAAAGCCGCAAATCTTTATAATGATTTTGATGTAATCAGTAATCAAATAAACGAGAGTGAGAATTTAGAGGAGAACGGGATGCCGCAAAATTTTGGGAAGAAATTGGGTGATCTCGGAACTCTCTATTCGGAATTGAAAAATGATGGGGAGAATTTCATCAGTGAAATCAATAAAAATACTGATCCGTATTTGGATAAATCTCATCCTAGGAATGTAGTGGAAATTATTTTAGAAAATTTTACAGCTAAACGCTTGAGCATTACGGAATCATGGGAACATTGGAAAATGTCAATGACAATTACGAGACAGATGAAGACTGAACAAGAGACCATAATTAAGGAGATCGTTAAAGTCTTGGAATTACTTTCGAGTGCGAAGAATCGATTATTTTGCAAATTAAATGTTGATGCTTTAACGCCTTCTGCGGTAATCGAAAATTTAGAGACAATGCAAAATGATTTTCTCTCTAAATTGGATACAGCATTCTCCCGTTTGCATTCAAAAATAAATAATTCCAATCGATACGAGAATTTGTGGAAAATAATGCAACAAAATGAGAAGCAGTGCCATGAATTATACAATAATTTACAGACGATTGTTCTGAAATATAAAGATCTACTGCAAGATTTCGTGGAGATGCTAGAATTTGTAAAAGGACTTGAACATAAATGTGGGGGTCTTTTACAGACACATGCAGGGAAAAAATCCCCTTCATTGATGATTTCCGAATCAAAAATTGATATCCAGGAAAATATAAATGAAATCAGTGAATTCAATGCAGCAATTGATCGAATTCTTCTGAAAGAATCGACAGGACCAGAGATGACAGAGAAAATTTCTGGAATTGACATGGAGCAATTGAAAAGAATTGATCACCGGACATTCGCGTATTTAATGAAAATGTCATCTGAACTGAGAGGACGAATTCAGAAATGTTTAGTATACTCTCGTTTTGCTGAAAATTTAAATTCCATCGACGAAGAAATACGCCAGTTGGGCATTCAACTGCAAGGGATCAGAGAGTTCCATCAATATTTCAGTGGTGATGAAATTTCATTGGTCAAATCTACATCTGATGCTTTCAAAAATGTCAATGAAATCATCAGCACTGTGGAAACAAAAGTGAATAAATTCATTATTACCACTGAGAAAAATATAGAGACGATCTATGATTCTCATTCAGCATCAAAAATTCGGGATGAATTAGCGAATCTAAAGAAAAAGTGGAATCAACTTGAATTATCAGTCAAAGAAATTCAGAAACGGATAGACGCAACTGTCGAATATTTCAAGTTACTTCAGGAAATAGAAAATTGGTACGCGGAGTTGAAAAAATTACTGGAGCATGCGACTAAAAAATCAGTCGGAGAGAAAATTCCCCGACATCCTGAGGATACGTTAAATGCAATTAAACAATATTTAGAAAAAGGGGAAGAACAACAAGAGAAGAGGATTAAAAAAATTCGTGAATTGTCGACGGAAATATTTGGGACTCAGCGATTACCGCAATTCAACAAAGTAATTATGGATAATCAGGAGACATTGGATTTATGCGCCGTGACAATATCTGAACTCCGCACATTAGCCGATAATATGGATAAGGCAGATAAAATTCGACGAGAGAATTCCGAAGAAAATGGAGATGAATCGAAGGCTATCGCTAAATCTACGAGCGATGGACAGGCAGCGATTGAACAACAAAGAGATAACACCAAAGTTGAAAAAACAACGACTATCATAACAGAAAGTACAATTCATATCCAGAAGAAAGCCACATTTACAGATAATTCTACAATCGATGTAAATACAATAATTCTGAAAAAACCCACAGCCATTGCGGATGATGAATGTATAAACAGGGAAATCAGTGGTCCACCCATTTTCATCAAACAATTGGAATCGATTTCCGTGAAAATCGGCGCTTCCCCCACAATTGAATGTACAGTCGAAGGAAATCCGTTACCAATAGTTCAATGGTATCGGAATGAAACGAATATCGATGATTCGCCGGATTATATTATCACATACAACAACGGTCAGGCGAAATTAAAATTTCTGGAAATCACCCCTGAAGATCGAGGACTTTACACTTGTAAAGCACGTAATAAACATGGAGAAGCCTCCACAGCAGCAATGGTTGAATTAATAAAAGGTAAATGCATTGAATTTCGTTGAATAATGGAAATAATTAAATTAATATAATGATTTATGGAGAAATGATTGATATAGATGATGAAACCTGTGGAACCGATGAAATCGAAAAATTATCGAGAACTTTTGCGAAATCAGATGATGAAAAAATGACAGCTGCTGTAGACGTACCTCAGTTCACACCCCCGAGTATCAAATTACATCTGCAAGACCTTCGAGTACATGAAGGAGGAAGTGCAACACTGGATTGTATAATTATTGGGCAACCCGAACCAGAAGTAGGATATTAATGAGTTATTGCTTTAGACAATTCCAATGACCTATATAAATTTCCAGGTAATCTGGTACCACGATGATCACCTGGTGAAAGAGTCTCCAGACCTTCAACTGCTATTCCAGGGAGACAAATGCTCACTGATAATTCATGAAGTCGTGATGAGTGATTTTGGAAGATACAAAGTAGTTGCTGTGAATTCTGAAGGAAAAATTTCGAGCGAATGCGCGTTATTGGTTCAACCGATCGAAATTAGTGAAATCGATACAAAATCGAAAAGAGATACGATGATTCCCCCTTTCTTCTCGGCAACTCTTGAAGATCGTTATAAATCCGTTGGAGAGTCAGCAAAATTCGAATGCACCGTTCATGGGACACCAGTGCCCGAGGTTATTTTCAATTTTATCCTCTCACAATATTTGATTCACTGCACCGAAGCGATCAAGGGTGACAAATGTAGAAGAGATGCCAAGGTTGATTATTATTATCCCCAATTTCGCTGCTGAATTTTTCGACAGTTATTGATAATATTTATTTCATTCATTCATTAATCACCGATAGACTGAACTGTCGCGAGTTTGGCACATACCAGACACATCCTATGCCAAGAAATGAATCTCAATGTTCCCTTATCCCATATTCCTAACCAGATCAATCCAAACGCATACTTCTTCAGCCCCAGTATTGTGTCCGATGGTTCGTCGTTTGTGCACGACATGTGGATATTTGTGCTTCTCTCAATAATTATCTTCGTACGAAATAATTACACGTAAATTATAAAGTAACTGATGACTCGATGGTAACGCTTTTGATATTTTTGTAGATACAATGGCTTTTCAATGACAAGCCCGTGAGGGATTGTCAAAATTTTTCTATATCCGCCGAAGGTGATCGTCGAATTCTCAAAATACCAGAGATAACTGGCGAACACGTGGGTTCCATCTCTTGCATTGCTGAAAATATTGCGGGGAAGGTCACATGCACAGCAAAACTCGATATTCGTAAGCATTTTATGATAGAATTTGTCTTGCTAGTGATTCAAATGTCCCATTTTTCTGCTTATTTACCCTCACAAGTTTTTTCCTCCGTCGAGATATTTTAAATTGTTTTCCCTCGTAAATACTACTCCTACTGCAACAATAATAATAATAGTGGAGCTAACGTGCAATGGTGCCACCGGACCGTTTATTAATAAACGTCTCTCATCGCACTTACATTTTCGAAGACGAAATTCATGAATAGAATACCAAGACTCACACATTCTTCTTCGCAAATAATGAATACGACAATGCGGACAATACGACAATATTATTTTGTTTAAAAAATTTTCTCGACATGTGTTTTTAAATAATATAATTTATTTGCAAGCGTCCGGTTCTCCGATCTTTGCAGTTAAAATAACATGAGAATATATCAATCGTCATGGATTTTAAAATGAAATTCGAATGTTTATTGAATTTTTTTAATGAAGCAATTGCAATATTGAATTGATACTGCATCGGGACTATCACTTTTTCATATGTGTGGTAAAGTGGTGCCCTAGACTCAGTATCCCGCTAATAGGCGTACAGAATTTCCGTTTTATTTTTATCATCACCGAATGGAACCGAAGTAAACCAGAAAGAGCGCATTGAAATTTCGTCCCGGCCGTATCCACAGTTAACTGCTGGTTCGACAATCTTAACGTTGTATAAAGTACGTTGTTTTTCGTTTTATTAAAACAACTGTTAATTACACAGAAATCATTTACAGCGACGTAACTACAACACCTTAACATCTCTGCCCCAGATTCTACTCTAAACACAGTATCTATTTCTACTCTTAACAAAAATAAATGTCAGTTTTTGTGATTACTGGTATGTTTTTTCAACTTATCAACAATAATTGAGTGAATAAGTTCCAAACGGGGTAATGAGTAAGTGGTTTGAAATTAATATTTCCGCAGATTGGATTTGACACATGAATACATTTGTACAAATTTTTGCACAAACTTTGCATGTGCAGTCTGTGGCTATTTCGATTTATTTAATTACATAATTACACGTCACGAGTAAATCCAAAAAGAGTCAAAATTGTCTTATGTACATGTTGTTTAGTCATCCCAGATGAAAGATGGGGTCAAGGGAAACTGAATGAGAGCATAAATTTATTTGCAGAATGCTATTACTGCAAATCTATTGATAACTCAATTAATCACTGTTGGCAGACGAGGGGATCGAAGAGAAAGACGTTATCGAGACAGACGATAGAATCGATATGCAACCATCGAGCAGTTGCGAGAGATACCTCCAACTAGAAACGAATAGTGCGGTACCTCACCAGATAGGTCAGGACGAAATTACCAAGATGTCCTCGTCAACAAGTCAGTCCCTGATGAGTAAATCATCTTGCATTAAAGAGTATAAATTATCATCTAAATCTAACATACTCGACTCGTGTCCGTTGAATTCCATGAATGGAATTCCTGCTCTGCACATTGAATCTCGAAAGTGCGTTAACGAAATTAATGGTGGCCAGCCAAATATTCAGGTAGAAAAATTATTGAATTGTGTTTCCAAAATATTAATTAGGGTATGGTGTACTGTCATTAATCATTATGTTATTTAGACTCATAAAGTTGAAGAGTTTCAAAGAATAATACGAGATGCGCCCGATAAAATTCAGCACGAAAAGCTCAAAATAATTAGCGACACTACCCCGAAAATTCAGAAACAAACTCGAAAGAATATAACTCCAAGATTCATAACACCGATTACTGGAATGATTGTTGATCAAGGCAGTAATGTAATTCTAGAAGGCGTAATCGATGGTAATGTCACCGACAAATACTCATGAAATTAATTAGAATGTAAGCATCATGTATTTATGATTCGTTGAAGGTTTCCCCCAACCAAAAATTACGTGGAGCAAAAATGGTCAAGATGTGGATAATAACGTAAAGACGAGTTTTGAACATAATCACGTTCGATTGGAATTGAAAAACGTGAATGTTAAAGATGCTGGAAGATATACTTGCACAGCTATAAATGAAGTTGGAAATGCGAGCAGTACTGCTGATCTTGTTGTGAAAAGTAATGAATTACACACGTGACCCGTATAAAATTGACCACGAGAATTAAATTCTATCTCAATGTTGAATAATTTTCAGAAACGATTTTCCCGCCAGTCTTCGGTAAACGGCTGCAGGCACAAATAGCCAAGACTGGTGAACGCGTAATTATGGAAGTGGAGATCACCGGAACTCCAGAGCCAACGGTGACATGGTACAAAGATGATGAACCGTTGATGGATACTGATGGGGAATTACGCCAACTCGGTAATTGTTATCTATTAATTATCGAACGCGCTGAGAAAAGGCACGCAGGAAAATATATGGTGAATGCGGCAAATGCTGGAGGCGAAGCTCAAAGTATCGCAGATTTCGCTGTCTTCGAACCAACTCCAGACACAATGGTGGAGGTCCATAAAACAATTGTGTACGAAAACATGGCAGATAAAGATTTGAAGGTAAGTATTCATAACATTGTTGGAAGACAAATGTAAAATATATTTGGAATAATGAGGATCACTGGAAATGATGATTTGCAGCTGGACGAGAAGAAAAGTCAGTTGCCCTCTGCTGCTTTGACTGCTGAGCATATTGCTACAACGATGATTCAACCGAGTCCTATTCTGAAGACACTTGTGCCACCACCATCTTCTACGACACCATTACTCCGGAGGATTGAACTGATAACGCCGACAACATCTACGAAGACATCCAAAAAAACTGAAGAAATCGTTGAAAAGGCGACACGATCTGAGATGATCTCATCAACGATTGAGTCACATCAGAGTGAAACAAAATCAGAACAAAAATTTCACATGAAACTTCAACACGAAGCCCCTGATTTGATAATTGATAATGCGAAGGAATCATCTTCGACACGATTAGTTCAAGATGTTATGAAAAAAATGGATACGAAAACAGTGGATTCCACTGAGACTCAAGACAACGATAACATCGAAACTTCAGTACTGGCGAAAAAAGATGCATTAAATTTCTTTGAATCAATGGCCAAAGAAGGCGAGACTGCACCAAAAATTAATAGAGCTGTAATAGATTTAAATGAAGAGGCCAAAGATGGAAATTACGATGTGAAGGTTGATAAATTAACAAAGAATTATGAGAGATCGACGAAATTCGAGGAAGTCCGAGGAAGCAATGAAACTGAAGTACAATCGAAGAAATTGGTTCAGAATATCTCGAATAAATTGCAGAATTCCGGAATGAAAGATAAAGGAATCGAAAACGTGATGATAGATTTTCCTTACGACAATTATAAATTACCGCTGTTGAATACGCAACGGACTATTCTGGAAGATACCACGGCATCGGGTTCACCGATTCACGGTACTTTAACTATTTCTAAATTAGCTGCTCAATCCGAAAGCGCAGAGAAAATGCTTTCTGGTTTCAATCTGACCCCTGGCCCTCCTCCGGAAATCGATTACATGCCAAAAAGAACTGACGATGCAGTTGAAAAACGAACAGATGTTTTATCGAAGACGAAGCAACTGGAACAATTTCAAACGACAAGTTGCGCTCCTCCCGTTGGAGGTGTCCAAATTTTTCCAAGTGGTCATCAATCAAAAAAGACAGATGAAAAAACAAAGATGTCTAAAAGTCAAATGGTTTCATTCAACGAATCGTCCGATACCATGAAGGATACATCACGAAAATACGAAGAAACAGAAAATGTAACCGAAAAATGGTGGTCTTCAACATCGAATTTGGAAACACGTTCCGATATTTCAACGGATTTATCCGATTACAGATGTCAATCTGCTGCATCTTTCAGTCAATTGGACCGATCATTATCTCCGAAGCCATCGGTTGACGGATTGGCAATGGAAAAAGCTTGGGCTAAAAAAGCCGACACCAGTAGAAAATCGTGGCCACCGCTGAAGAGTTACCCCAATACATCGAATCTTAATGACCACGCGGAGAATAATGAACCGTTGACAAGTAAAGTGACGTCTCATGAGAAAAGAGAAGAAGTTTCTGAAATTCCTGGGTGTGGAATAACAAAGACAAAGATTGAGTCATCAAGCAGCTTAGAAACACGATCTTGGAATAGTAAGGAGAATCGAATGGAGGAAACGGTTATTGAAAAGCCAGGAATTATTCCGAATTCGTCACCAAAGAGTCCAATCTACACTCCTCAAGTGCCAGTGAAGATGTATAAAGCTGAGACGATTAAAGTTGATCATACATTGAATTCTAATGAAGAGCAATCAATCACTAAAAAATACTCGTCTCAGTGTAAAGTTGATGAGAGCTACCAAACGAGTCAGAAAATTTCTGCCTTGGAGAAATTGGAGGCACCAAATTTGGTGAAGGCTGCAACATCATCTCCAAGATCTGCTCCGGTGCAGCTTTACCATAACGCAAGTGATAATGCTTCAAGCTGCATGAGGAATGGAAAAGCCAAAGATTTTCAATCTTCATCGTCGATATTCAGAGGAACACTAGCAACAGCCCCAAAACACAGTGCCAATATACAATTGTACAAGACAAATACTCCGACGCTATCGACTGATCCTGGTATTATTCTGGAACCAGGTACCCCTCCGGAAATTGGGTACATACCAATGTCCGTTTATGAAGAAAAAAATATTATGACGGAGAAGACAGTTGTGAGAAATCCCGTAGAGATTCCACCGCCATTTCAAAGGCAAAACTTTTCCGCTGAGAGTGATTTTGAATCAGATTTCGGATCGTACAAATCTAAATGTCGATCTTGTGAGAGTGATCATGAAGAACCGAAATACAGAAGAGTCAAAGCGCCAATTCCAAAACAACCGAGACCAAAATCAGCAGAACCAGAGCCACTACCACCTTCGAGTTTTGAAATTCCACCTCCCGAATTGACAGGTCCATCTAGACCGATGTCAATGGCAATGCCAGTTTCTAGTCGTCAACAAGAAAGGGGAGGCATTGATTTTTTGACCCCAGGATCACCACCGACGTACGTCCAATCAAATATCAAACCTGACTCGCCAAAAATGAAGAGTCGACTTTTTGAAAAAGTCAGTGGATACATGGCTGATACAGACGAACCCATCAATAATTCCACTAAAACCTCATCATTCTCAAAAAATTACGAGAAAAGCGAAAGTGTTTTCATGTCTTCCAGCAATCAGTCTTACAAAAGCTCATCAACTTATGGCAGTAATGATTTCGGAGCGCCTAAGGTGCGGTATTTCAGATTCGCAAAATTATTTTGAAGTCCCTGCTATCAATTTTTACGAGGGATTTTCATTTTTACAGGAATCAAGAGGTCTATTCAAATTCGCTGGGAGCGAATCTTGGACAACAGACCCTGGAAACAATTATAGCAATAGAATATCTATGGCAGAGTCACGTAATGAAACAAAAAAGAATTACTGTTCAAAGTCTTCGAGACCAGTAGCATCAGGTAAAAATTGAACTTCAATTGCGTGATAATAATTTCTTTTATGCAAATACTAGCTGACACCAGACTTGGGAGAGAGCAGCACGTTAAATAGTACTAACAATTATTCTGACTTGCGTAATATTTTCTTTTCAGATTTATATTAAATATTTATAGTCCTGAAGTCAACTGAACTTTCTATTGCACTGCTTTGCGTCTTAGCTTTATTAGGCACCATAGATACTGTCGCTAATTGCTTTATAATGCATAATTCTTGTTAAATGGATATTTGAATAAGCTTGAATAAATTTCATCTGATTTAATGCAAATTTCATTCTTCTAAAGACTCAATTCATTTTCACTTGTCCACCAATTACATACTTTAATATTCAGGAACTGAGAAACAAATCATTGAATCGATTTACTCATCATCCATTTCCGAGATAACCGAAAAACAAATGTATGAAAAATTGGAGAAAACATTTCATTCATCTGAAAATACAACAGCACATCATCCAATTGTCACACGAAAATCTGTTCTATTGCCTGGTTCACCGCCAGAAATTGCATACGCACCTGAGAGACGAATATCTCTTGAAAAATCCAACGAGGTATTACATTTAAATACTGTAACACCCGATGTGAAAAAAATGGCTCGAGTCCAGGACTCGTCGCAATGTAATAGAAGAACGGTTAATGTGGAACAGATGAATCATGTAATGAAATTTGAAGACCACTCTATGTACGCTAATGTTCAAAGTCCGTGTCAATTTTCACGGGATCAATCAGATTACGAGAGCGATGATTCAGTAAGAATTCGACCCAGATGGACTCCGCGAGGAAGCCAGACGGAGGATCCGCGATACAAAAAAGTGGAACCACCTCGATATAATTCACACTATCTCTCTTCCAAGGAATACGATAAAAGAGTTATCACAGAATCGAACGTGCCATTCACGAGCCGAAATCCAGTTTCCACTTTTGATAATTCCCAGGTGACTTTAGGTGGAATGGAAAAACGAATGTATCATAGCAATCAGCGAATTGTCGATTCTCTAAAAACATTACCTGCGAATGAAGATGATAAATCACTAACCGAACATCTTTTTGAGTACAATATCGGAGAGGCTGCTAATAGTAAGAACCCTTCGGAAGATTTTACATCTTCTTGTTATACTTTTTTTTATGTTAGCGTCATTATTTATAGATAATTCAATGAAGATCATCATTCATCGCTTATTGCACCATAGAACCGTCAAAATACGAGGGGACCTTATACAACAGTGATGTTTACTCAATAAATATTAAATATTCATTGTGTAAATACACCACGTCTGGGGTTCTTGTATATGCGTGTATATATGTACTTGTATGGTTATTAAATTAATTTTTGAATACAGTGAAAGCAAAAGGCTTTCTCGGTTTTTGTTTAAAATTCATTATTTCTGTTTCTTAGATCGATCACGAATGGACAATTCTACAGTCTCTAGAGAGAAAGATATTATTCAACCGTATCTAGACATTTTACCAAAGAAAGCCCCTTTTTTTACCACGGTAATTTTTACTGAACTGATTGAATGTGTAGATTAATTTCTGTAGTAATATTTGATATTATCTTTTTTTCTCTTGCTATTGCAGCCGCTTAAAGATATCGCTGTGGTCATGGGCCAGACCGCAAGGTTTGAATGTATAATTGAAGCCGAACCACAGCCTGAAGTTTATTGGTCGAAAAATGGCGAGATTATTCAAGATTCCTGTCATTTCGAGGTCCATTACAGAAATGGTGTATGCCGGCTAGTCATACCCATTGCATATCCCGGTAATTCACTGGATTTATTCGTGTTATTTTGGGTTTAAAAATAGATGTTTTATTTTCATCATTAAATTTTCAACAGATGATACTGCTACATACGTATGTACAGCGGTAAATCAACTCGGATCCAATACTACCTCCGCGACTTTGCATGTGAAAGGTAATAGAAGATCCATACAAGCAATTCATTAACAAGAAATGGGAATGACATTCGGTTAAGCCGTAATACTGACCGTAATGAGCCGTGGTAAAGGTGATTGTAATCAGCGGTGGTGGGAAATTATTCTCTTGTAATCTTGCTTTTAGTACTATAATTCAATCCTTTGTGGCAATTTACACACAATCGAGAGGAGAAACTGACGGCAGAGTATTATAATTTACGCATTATTATGTCTTCGTTGTAGTTATTTTCAAAATGGTGAATAAATTGTACATTTTTCGAAGTAATCGCTCAAAAAAATGATAGTACTAATTAATATCGGTTCAAGAATATCCAGATATTTTTGGAGTTTTCAATCAATTTCCAATCAACTTTAATTACATCATTAGAAATATGATATTCGTTTTGTTGTTAATTTCATAATTGAAAACAGTCGTCAGTTACTTCTCTCTTTTATGCACTCCATTGGAAGAACTCATAATAGAATTGTTCCACATGAATATAATGGAATAAAATGGGGAAATAAATCGTCTCTTGTCATTATTTTGTAACAGAGCTGCACGACTTTTATAAATTCATGGAAATAAATATTTACTGGTTGTTAGAGTGAATAAAATTAAACTGTTTTCATTTATCCCTACAATGTTTTCTCAATTGTTCCTTTCCACAACTGTCTCTCTGTCCTAACCAACGAACTGACATAATAAATTTAATGTAGTTCAGAATTAATAATGAGTTAATAATTTATTGTTAATGAATAATCATTTTTTTACGATATCAAGCCACAATTTCTTTTCAATACAACTCGCTTGGGTGCACTACATAAGGTATATAGGCTCAACTCCTTTGCAATTACTCATAAATCTTCGATCACCGGTCTTTACTTTAGAGAATAATATTTAATCGTTTCAAGTTAATTACGGAATTCTTTGATTTCAATTCCCCCCGCCTTTTGAGCATTCTAATGTCCTCTATTATATGAATATATGAAATTAATGATTGGTAGATGAAACAAATTTATTCTAAAAAGATTTTGAATGACTTCTCACTTTTCCTCGGTCGCCCTTATTTTTTCAACTGCATGGAAGCTGAATACTGATCCAATTTCTGTATTGTGGTAAGTATCAAAAATAGATTGTAAAGTAATCTTGGAATGCGTATAGGATAATATGAGTCCATGTTCCAAAAATAAGAGGAAACATAACAGCTCTTGGTGTCGGTATGGACAACTGCGTCCCCACATATCTCGATTATTCAACAACTGAAAAATAGATGCGATCATCCGAGGCACCCCCGAATGACTAATTGTTTGTCAAATATTTTTTTATCAGTACCGCTCAATTGACTGCCAAGAACAATATAAGATTGACTAAATTTTCTACTGTCGCGCGCAGAGACTAGACGTTATTAATTCTCTTTTTACCCACACCTGGTCGGTGGAACATAAAGGAATATGCCAGAATGTAATACAAGAATGTTGAAACATGAAACATTACACATTGTATTCATACTAAAAATATGAGAGTAATTCATGTTTTTGCGGAATTAGTAGAGTATAACCAATAGCACAGAAACAAAATCACACGATTATGCAATGAAAAACGTTGGAAAATATTATAAAGCGGTGAATCAATTAATTAAATCAAAATAGGTGCGTAAAAATGAAGTAATTGCCGAGTGGTTGAAGAGGAAAACGAGTGAAAAGCGACGATTATACCGATGGATATAAATATAATGCAGGAAATGAATGAGTGCATCTTAGCGTTACTAGTAAAATTATCTACGTTACGCATTCATGCCAACACGCAAAGTTATCCATCTGCCTCTTTTTGTTGTCCTTCGTGGATAATAATATTATTATAATATAGACTTAACTGTGATGATTAATCATTAATCGTTTTTTATTGCCATCGCTACCGGCGCTCAAGAGCAAGAAGAAGATATCCCCTCCCGACTTTCTTCCACTCCCTTCCTAAAAGACAGTCATAATCTAACGCGCGAGCGCATAACCATCAGCAATCCCAGGATAGCTCCATCCAGTCACCGGCATAATCCCGATTCACATTCGATCGACGTCTTGGTTTTAAAGTGTAACTCGGGGAAATCCATTTCTTTTCGATTATGACTTGACTCTCAATGAAACCATAGTTTAATCCAAAGTTGTTATAAACCCAGTTTTTGTGTTTTAATATTTATTTATAATAAACTAGTCCTAGTCCCGAAAAGAAATATCTAAGTTAACGAAATAGGAATTAGTGTTTTATCAGTGTTATCATCAGTGCTGATTGTGCGTGGCCAACAGACGGGATATTTAGTCTTTATGACCTAGTGATTTTGCATCTCGCAGACAGATTCGTAATTCATCATTGGCAATAATAATTTCAAAAATGAAGCGGCAAACGTCGCAAAATCAGCAACAGCAGCAGGAGCAGAGGATGATACAAGAGCAATATACTCATCACCATACAGAAAGACAAATTACAAGACAGGAAATCGTCAGTCAGCAGAGAGGTCGGTTCATTATCTCTGGCTTTGTTGCTCCATTTTATTATCAAATAAAATTTACCGATCCTCGCGCACTTTTTCGCTCGCATTCTTTCATTATAGATCTCGTCTTTTGGATGAATTTTTTTTTTTTGTCGCAAGGGGTTCTATTTTCGTGCGAGAGCATGAAATGCGTTCCACTCAGTCTTCCCCTAAAAATAGAGTCTCGGTGGAACGCTTTGGAGATTTGTTCATCATATGCCACTAGTTTTCTCATTATAGGAAGAATGCTTATTTTGCTTTAATGCGCATAGCAGTTTGGAAACTCTTATTTCATGTGAGAGCTATTGAGTCCTCATTTTTATGGAGAAAATTCACGGACACGATTCTTGGAGAGTGACCGAGTGAATGGCTGATGCCCATAAATACCGCATTACGGCGCTATTACGAAGATAATGCTTATTTGATGACTTATCAATTTCTCTGGACAATTGGACTACATTTCGGTGTTGAATAAATAGATTACCATTAAACACATGATATATATTCCGTTCGTGATGAGTAATAACTGTAAATAAGACAACAAGACTCACACATAAGACACGTTTCATCATACATGTATCACAAACGAACCGTTCGTGTAAAGATAGTTGCTCCTAAAATGGTTCCCGGTAACGCGATCTCGTCTCGAATAAAAATAGTTCAGCAGTCAGCCAGTTACTGTATCCCTCTAACATCCAGTTACGATACTATGCCATTTTATAAATATATATATATCCTTTTTCAACTATTTTTCTACTTATGCATTCCATACGGATGAATGCCGAATTAATAATTCGATTTGATAGGATCTTTCTTCTCAGATATTCAGGCGCTGAATTTTTAGATAAAATAGGTAGACCTCAGCAGGAGGTAAGCCGGAAAACTTCTGGTCTTCTTCTTGTCTAACTGATAATTTTGTTTTGCAGTACAAGGTGAGGTGATTATGACAACGACATCAGCTCCTCGGTAAATATTATTTATTGTTAATTCATCAGGTACTGTCGTCTTATTTGTCAATGATGGGTAATGGATATTTAAAATGATATAGAGTTGCTGGTGGGCCTGGAGAGTCAGCGCCGATATTCGAGAAAATATTCAAAGATGCACGATTTGCTCAAGGAGGCAATGCCATTTTTGAGGGACGAGTCCGCGGTAATCCTAAACCAACTGTCACTTGGACTCATGAAAATAAACCACTCCAGCAATCTCGAAAAGTCCGAATGTCATACAATGAAACAAGTGGTGATGTAACCCTGCAAATCAATCAAATTGGACCCGGTGATGAAGGAGAATATACTTGCAATGCTCGAAACCCTCTCGGTATTAATTATTTTACCTCCACTGTATTACCAATATATATCAATAAGTGAATATAAATCAACGAACCTGTTGTTAATTTCAGGAGAAGCGATTTGTGCAGTTTGCATTCAACCTGAGGGATTTGGACAAATGCCGAAGCAATCTCAAAAAGATTATCAGCAGCGCTACTCTCAGACTATCGACAAACGATTTATCAATGGATCCACAACGTCAACTACCACCACTACGATTGAGGATTTCAAGGTGGACACATTTGAATATCGACTGCTTCGAGAAAAAGACTTTCGTGAATCCAATACTCGTCGTTATGTTGGCGAAACGGATGCTATGATATCCACAACCGCAGACAGAAATTTGGGTCCTATTGCACCACCAGAGTTTGGACAAAAATTGCGAAGTTCAAAATTGATTGAAGGATCTGACGCAGTCTTCACTACAAGGTTATCAGGAAATCCCAAAGTCAGAACTACGTGGTTTAAAGATGGTCAAAGAGTTAGACAGTCTCAGCGAATGGAAACTGTTTACTCGAACCAGCAAGCTACATTGCGAATTAAAAACGCAACTCAAGCAGATAGTGGCCATTACACGCTACTCGCTGAAAACCCTCAAGGATGTACAGCGAGTTCAGCTTATCTTGCAATTGAACCGACCGATCAAACCGATTATGTTCAGAAGGAATCTGTGAAAACAATGGAGACTCTCATGAATATTGGTGTGAGTGATGGCCCTGATAGTGACAAAGCATTGGCCCCTAACTTCCTACGAACATGTGGTGATCGTGATGTAACAGAGGGAAAAATGACAAGATTTGACTGTCGCGTGACTGGTAAGCCCTATCCAGAAGTAACATGGTATATCAATGGATATCCCGCGGTAAATGACGCCACGCACAAAATTCTGGTGAACGAGAGTGGAAGCAATTCGCTGATGATCACTAATGTCACACGATCAGACGCTGGAATAATAACATGTGTTGCCAGAAACAAAGCCGGCGAAACATCCTTCAAATGTAATCTGCATGTCATTGAGAAAGAGCAAGTAGTAGCACCCAAGTTCGTAGAGCGATTCACAACAGCGAACGTCAAAGAAGGTGAACCAGTGGTTTTCAGTGCGAGAGCAGTTGGCACCCCAATACCTCGTATAATTTGGCAAAAAGATGGTGTGCCAATAGCAGCTGGACCTGATGTTTCGATTACAAATGACGGTAATGGAGCCTCAATTCTCGATATACCATACGCGAAAGTGTCTGATGCCGCTTGGTATCAGTGTACCGCCCAAAATGTTGCTGGATCAACAGCAACTCGCGCTAGATTATTTGTCGAGACCTTCAAAGAAAGCACTACCCCGGAACCAAGACGCCTGAATTTACCTCGACCGACTAAAGTTATCGAACCAGAACCTGCACCTGGCCCCGAAGTGATTTACCTAAGACACGTAGAACGTGCTAAACCCTATCTCCCTCCAGCCGAGGAAGATAGAATTTATCCACCTCCACGTTTCATCGTTCCATTGAAGGATGTATATCAAATTGAAGGTGGGCGCATTCGCTTCGAGGCCAGAATCGAACCGGTGGGCGACCCAACAATGAGGGTCGAATGGTATGTCAATGGAAAATCTCTGGAAGCCAGTGAGTATTCAATCTATAATTATTACGATTAATTGATAGTCCATGGCATCAATTGCCTGGATTTTCATATTAATCATCTAATCTCGTTCATTCTTTCATGAGGCTCCCGAGCTACAGCCCTCTTTAGGTTCGGCTTCATCTCACTGGACTTGATTAGTGTCCTTCTCCAAGATAGTGGGGAATACGTCTGCCGCGTTGTAAGTTCCGCTGGTTTCGCCGAATCGCGTGCTAATGCCAGTATTACAGGTGGGTAAAATATAGTGGAAAGGGCTCTCGGAATTTTGCAGAAAGCACGCTAATAAAAATCATTAATGGATTTCAGCGCGAGCGACAATCGAACAAACTAGTCAATATCCAGACAGCTTGCAGTATATTCAACAGCTTGAGGATTCCTCTAAATATCAAAGACACGAGAGTGTAGAAGAAGTTTCATCTCAACGACCAGTGTTTATCCGTCCACTACAGAACCTAGGGGAATTACAAGAAGGGAGAAATGCTCATTTTGAAGCTCAATTAACTCCCGTCAGTGATCCCACTATGAAAGTCGAGTGGTATAAGGACGGAAAACCAATTACAGCTAGTAAGAAAAATATATTTCAATATTATTGTAACAGTCGATCGCGGTGAATATTTTTATATTGATATATTCGATAAATTTCCCCTAAGGTTCAAGAATCACGACAATCTTCAATTTCGGTTACGTCTCACTAAACATCATGCACCTACGGGTTGAAGATGCTGGTTCTTATACAGTACGAGCTGTAAATCGGTCTGGAGATGCAATAAGTACCGGATCTCTCAAAGTCTTTGGTAAATCCCTAGATATTTTTGAAACCTGATTCGATTATTGACCTGACCAATACCTAACACATTGGAAAAAAAATTGATTTTAGCACGCACCAGTGTAACAGGTGACCTCGGAATCCCTGAGCAACAGAAATATATTGAAGCTACTGAGGAGCTCGAGTCTTATCAGCAGAATTTGCATAAAAAATATGTGATGGAGCAACCAGAGCAAACGAATCCACCGGAATTCAAATCACCAATTAAAGATCAAATTAATATTCGCGAAGGAGGATTTTGTCACTTCGAGGCTCGTTTAGAGCCAGTGAATGATCCCGATCTTAGAGTCGAATGGCTCAAAAATGGATGTCCAGTAGAAGCTAGTAAGTTTGCATATTGAATTGAATATTTCTTCATGCGTTGATTAAATGAATACTTTACATGTACTTTTCTCAAGGTTCGAGAATAACAACATTTTTCAACTTCGGCTATGTGGCGCTGACATTGAAGCACGTTACAATTCACGATGTGGGTGTGTATACGTGTCGTGCCTATAACAAAGTAGGAGAGGCCCGAACCAATGCTCAATTAAGTGTCATAAGTAAGAACGACATTATTTATGACAGCCAACATCCGCAAGGTTTACAAAAAATTCAAAATCTCGAGGATTCTAGTCGTTATTCACGCCAAGTTCAAGAAGACACCCAAATGATTGAAAAGCCTCGATTTTTGGGACCTCTAAAAGGCACCAATAAAATCGTAGAAGGACAACGTGCACATTTTGAAGCGCGAGTCGAACCTCAGAGTGATTTAACCATGAAAATCGAATGGTATCACAATGGCAAACCAATAACAGCTGCTAATAGAATACAAACATATCATGATTTTGGATACGTTGCTATCGACATACTTCAAGTGCGCTCTGAAGACGCTGGAACTTATACAGTAATAGCCAGAAATCCTGCGGGAGAGGCTCGTCTTCAAGGAACAATGACCGTTGAAACACGTTCCGATATTGATACTAGTACCATGCACCGTGGAATTTACGAGAAGACTCAACGTCTAGAAGAATCAAAGTTCGTTGAACCTCAATATAATATTGAAGAGATTTCAAAATCTAAACCCATATTTGTTCAACCACTGAGTGATCCGAAACCAGTGAGTGAAGGCAAAAACATTCACCTTGAATGCCGTTTGGAACCCATGGGCGATCCTACAATGCGCGTGGAATGGTTCCACAATGGACGCCCCGTAACAGTTGGCTCAAGATTTCGAACTTATTACGATTTCGGTTTTGTAGCGCTAGATATAGTCCATGCCATTGCTTTGGATTCTGGTGAATACACTGTCAGGGCGACAAATCATCTTGGTAGTGCGCACACTTCTGCTTGTGTCAGAGTTATCGCTAAATCGGATATTGTAACTGATACACAAAATGAACAATCCCTCGAACAAATACAGATGTTGGAAGATGCCTCGAAATACAGAAGACACATTCAAGAAGATGTAACAGTTGTTCAAGCCCCTCAATTTACAAGACCACTTCACAACATTGAAACGGTTGAATTAACTAATGTACATCTCGAGTGCCGGCTTCAACCAGTTGGTGATGCGTCAATGAGAGTCGACTGGTTTGTCAATGGTCAAGCTGTAACGACTGGTCACCGGTTCCGGCCGTCCTACGAATTTGATTATGTTGCTCTCGATATCCTTGGAGTTTATCCTGAAGATTCAGGAGTTTATACCTGCCAAGCACGCAATCAACTTGGTGAAGCTGTAACTTCATGTTCAGTGCGGGTTCACGCTAAACAACAATTGCTGTTGGAAAGTCAGCATCCCGAAGGCCTCGAGAGAATTCAATATTTGGAGGATGCGTCTAGGTATAAAAAACGCGATATTATTGATGAATGCGTCAATGTCAAACCTAAATTCATTACTGCACCAAAAAATCAAGAGAATCTACGAGAAGGTCAGCATGCACACTTTGAATGTAAACTCGAACCCGTAACAGATTCTAACTTGAAGGTAGAGTGGTTCAAAAATGGACGTCCAGTCACAATAGGTAATTCGAATTTTTTCATGCGATAGAAATGATATTCAACTGAATTTTCTAATCCTTTCATCTTCATTACAGGACACCGATTCCGCCCCATCCATGACTTTGGTTATGTAGCACTCGACGTAATTGACTTGATTGCTGAGGATTCAGGAACTTACACATGCCGGGCAGTGAATCTAGTTGGGAGTGATGAAGTGACTTGTGTCCTGACTTGTCGTTCAACAGCTCAAATTCTCACAAGCACTCAAAATGAAACAGGCTTAGAGCGAATTCATTACCTTGAGGATCGGTCTAAGTACCGTCGCCATGAAGATATTGAAGAAACCACAACCCAGGCGCCAATTTTCACAACGTCTATCAAAAATATAGAAATTAAAGAAGGCCAACGTGCGCACTTCGAATGCCGACTCATTCCTGTGTCCGATGCAACAATGAACGTTCAATGGTTCCACAATAATGTTCCAGTCAAAGCTGGGTCACGGTTTGTTGAAACCAATAGTTTCGGATTTGTTGCATTGGACATTATGTATGCCTATCCGGAAGATTCTGGTACTTACACATGTCGTGCTAAGAATGCTATTGGAGAAGCTATGACATCAGCAACAGCAATTGTTCACTCGAAAAAATCGATTTATATGGAGTCGCAAAGAGAGGAAGTTCTCCAGCGTCTTCAGCACTTGGAAGATAGCTCAAGATATCAGAGAAGGCAAGTGCAGGAGGAGAAAGTGACTCAAGCCCCAGTGTTCACCATGCCAATCAAGGATCTTCGCGTTGCTGAAAATCAAGCTGCCCACTTTGAAGCACGGGTTATTCCCGTAGGCGACTCTAGACTTAAGGTGGAATGGCTTCGAAATGGAGTGCCTATTGAAGCTTCTAATCGCGTTACCACGATGCATGATTTCGGATATGTTGCATTAAATATGAAATATGTAAATCCCGAAGATTCGGGGACTTATACATGCAGAGCTACCAATGATCTTGGCGAAGCTGTGACATCAGCAACATTATTCGTTCAATCTAAAGCTGCTCTTCAACTTGAATCACAACATGAAACTGCATTGACCAAAATTCAACATCTTGAGGATACAAGTAAATATCAGAGGCGCGAAGAGGAAGAGGTGACTACCACGGAAAAGCCTCGCTTCACGGTCAAATTGAATGGACCGACAAATTTGGTAGAGGGACAAAGTGCACATTATGAATGTCGGATTGAGCCGTATCCGGATACAACCATGAAAGTGGAATGGTTCCACAACGGTAAGCCACTATCAACCGGTCATCGGTACAGAACAACCTGTGACTTTGGTTTTGCATCGCTGGATGTTCTGACGGTTTATCCTGAAGACTCCGGTACATACACTTGCAAAGCTACTAATAAAAATGGATCTGAGCAAAGTTCAATTCAATTATCCGTTAAATCTCGAGCATCAATTAGCCATGAGACTCAGCATGAAAATGCTCTGAAGAAAATTCAATATTTAGAGGATGACTCACGTTATAAACGCGTCGATCGCGAGGAGGCGATAATAGCAGAAAAGCCTAAATTCGGAAGACCTTTGAAAAATATTGAACACTTGCCAGAAGGAAAGAGTGCTCATTTGGAAGCGACTCTAACACCTGTCAATGATCCTACTATGGTTGTGGAATGGTATCGAGATGGAAAGCCAATACCACAGGGCCATAAATTCAAAACAACTTATGATTTTGGTTATGTGGCGTTGGATATTTTGTACGCATACCCAGAAGATTCGGGTACTTACATGTGTAAGGCAAGAAATGCGGTAGGAGAAGCGGTTACAACTTGTGTCATCACCGTTGATTCTAAGCAATCTCTATATCTTGATACATTAGACTCTCAAAGATTGGAAAAGATTAAACAGCTGGAGACAGTAGAAGTGAAGGAAGTCGCTGAGAAAGAAATAGTTCATCAGAAACCCGTTTTCTTGACAGCTCTAAACAATTTGGATTACTTGAAAGAAGGTGAGCACGCACATCTAGAATGTCGAGTGGAGCCATTAAATGATGCCAATCTCAAAATTGAATGGTTCGTCAACGGTATTGCGGTCAAAACAGGACATCGCTTCCGTAAAACTCACGATTTTGGTTACGTTGCTTTGGATATTTTATACGCATACTCTGAAGATTCTGGCACTTATATGTGCAAAGCGACAAATCTCGCTGGCGAGGCTGTTAATACGTGCACTATAAAAGTTGGTTCTCGTAGAAATATACTCCTAGATACCCAACATCCAGACGGATTAGAGAAAATTCGTGAGCTCGAGGCTCAAGGACATCCAGCTCGATTGGAAGTTGAAGAAGCGCCATTAGCACCACCAAGATTTGTAACCGAATTGCGCGGAACTACCCAAATATATGAAGGTCAAACAGCGCACTTCGAGTGTCAAATCGAGCCACTACATGATGCCAATTTACGAATTGAATTTTACCACAATGGAAAACCGCTTTCATCTGCTTCTCGTTTACACGTAACATTTGATTTTGGTTACGCCGCACTGGACATAACTCATGCCGTACCAGAAGATGCAGGTGTATATTCGGTTCGTGCAATTAATGCTTTGGGACAGTGTGAATCATCGATTAATCTCACTGTCATCCCACGAGATAATATTATTCAAGATTCTCAACGACCAGAGGGCCTCGAAAAAATTCGTGAATTAGAATCGCACGAGCCATGGAAGAGACCAGAAGTAGCTGAAGCCGTCACCAGACAACGGCCTGTATTTACCCAACCATTGCAAAATATTGATGGAATAATGGAAGCTCAAACCGCTCATTTCGAGTGTCGTTTGATACCCGTTGGAGATGCATCTCTCAAAGTTGAATGGTTTAGAAATGAAAAACCTCTGGAGGACAGCTCTCGAATAACAAAAGTTCATGATTTTGGATTTGTCTCGTTAGACATTGGACATGTTCGCGATGAGGATCAAGGAATTTACATGTGCCGTGCATCTAATCCACTTGGTGAAGCGGTGACAACAGCTTCGATGAAAATTTTAAGTAAAGACAGTATTCTGAGGGATACACAACATCCTGAAGCGCAAAGAAAGATTGCCCAATTGGAAGCCGACAAACCCATGCGGCCTGATGAACCTGACAAAAAATTCGACAAGCCTATTTTCACCCAATTACTGACAGGCCCCAACGAACTCTGGGAAGGACAAATGGCACATTACGAGTGTCGTGTTGTACCTGTTGGAGATCCTACTCTTCGATTCGAATGGTATATAAATGGTGTAGAGCTCAAGAGGGGCTCTCGTTTCCACGTGAATCATGACTTTGGATTCGTTACATTGGACATTTCAAATGTAATTGCTGAAGACTCGGGTGTGTACTCGTGCAAAGCAATAAATGAATCCGGAGAGGCGATTTCATCGATATCGTTGAAGGTCAGAGCCAAATCTGCAATCGATAAAGACTCCATTCAACCCGACGCCTGGCAGAAGATACAACTCAAAGAGGCAGAAATGAATAAAGTTCCTGAAATGTTTATCGATACAACTCCTCAGCAAGCACCAGTCTTCACCACTCATTTGAAGAGCTATGATAAATTACAAGAAGGCCAGCATGTGTACTTGGAGGCACAAATTGAACCGCGTGCTGATCCCCATTTACGAACTGAATGGTTTAAGAATGGTGTATCTCTTCAAACCGGAACTAGACTGCGAAGTACATTTGATTTCGGGTTAGTGACTCTTTCTATTAATGGATTGAGAGCGGATGATTCAGCAATTTATACGTGCAGAGCTACGAATTTACTCGGTGAGGCGGTATCGACTTGTAGTTTGAAAATTGATGATCGTCACTGGCTTTTGGGTGATACTCTACATCCAGATGCCCTTTCGAAAATTAGTAAACTAGAAGAGCCAGTAATAGGAGCACCTGAAGAATCTGAGCCAACGTATGAGGAGCCTGTGTTCATCACACATCTAAATAATGTTGAATGCACCGAGGGAGACAATGTTCACTTTGAATGCAATGTTGAACCTTCTAAAGATCCAACTATGAAAATCGAATGGTTTATTAATGGCAAGCCTATTCCAACCGGTGCCCGATTTAAATCCACATATGATTTTGGTTACGTTGCATTGGATATTAATCATACTTATGAAGAAGACTCAGGTGTCGTTACAGTCAAGGCCACTAACTCTAAGGGCTCTGCGGTGACTACAGGAACTTTGAAATGTACAAGCAAACAGAGTATTTATCTACAAACTCAGCATCCTCAAGGTGAAGCTGGTTTAGAAAAAATACAGGAAGCTGATGAAGCAATGCGAATGAGATCGAAACGGCCGGATGATGCTCCTGACCACCAATTTGGTAAACCTATTTGGACTGTACCCCTGCAGCCAGAGTTCAAATTAAATGAAACCGAAGCTCTACATTTGGAAGGACAAGTTGAACCGAAGGATGATCCCAACTTGAAAATTGAATGGTATTTCAATGGCAAGGCATTGGCACACGGTACTCGCTATAAAATGACCAGTGACTTCGGTTTTGTCACATTAGATGTTTGCGATGTTTATGAGCGTGATACGGGGATTTATACGTGCAAAGCTTACAACAAGTCGGGAGAAGCTTTCACTTCAACAACAGTATTTTGTACCAGTAAGGAAAGCATTATCGAAAAATCTCAGCATCCCAAAGGAAAAGAAGGTCTTGAAGCCATTCAGGACCTTGAAGAATCTCTCAAGAAGCAGGATAAGAAGCCAGCCGATGTAGATGAAGGCCATCCACCAGTTTTCACATCACAATTTGAAAATCTTGTGAATTTATCAGAAGGTGAAATCGCTCATTTCGAGGCATCTCTGACACCCACCGGTGACCAGACAATGAAGGTTGAATGGTTTTATAATGGCAAACCACTTGACGCCAGCCATAGAACACGAACGGTATACGCCTTTGGAATGGTTGTCCTGGAAGTTTTGGGAACAAAGATTGATGATTCAGGAACCTATTCGTGTCGTGCTACAAATAAATGGGGCACTGCCGAAATTTCCGTAGAATTAGAATGCGTCGATAAATTTAAGGGGCAAAAACCGAAATTTACAACGCATATTCAGAGCCTCGAGGGATTGAAAGATGGGCAATCAGTGCATTTCGAATGTACATTGATTCCAGTTGGTGATCCCAACATGAAAGTCGAATGGTTCCACAACGGTAAGCCTCTGCGGCATTCTTCCCGTTTCAAGATGGTTTCTGATTTTGGTTTCGTCGTTATGGATATTGCTGGAGTTATGTCGCATGATAGCGGTGAATACGTCTGCAAAGCCAGCAATAAATTCGGAGAAGATTTCACTAGAGCGACTATCAAGTGCTTCGGAAAGAGCGGTGTTTATTTAGACTCATTACAACCCGATTCATTAGCGAAAATCCGGGAACTCGAGGCATACACCGGCGAACAATCTCATATTTCCACCGCCCCGAGCACAGAACCGCCCAAATTCATCACTCATATTAAAGATATTACAAAACTCGTTGAAGGACAATCAGCGCACTTCGAGGCACGTTTAACACCAGTCACTGATCCAGATCTCAAAGTTGATTGGTATTACAATGGTAAAAAATTACCGCATGGACATCGATACAGAACCTTCCACGATTTTGGCATTGTTATCCTCGATATTCTTTATTGTTACGAAGAAAATTCAGGTACTTATGAGTGTCGAGCGGTCAATAAATACGGTGAGGATGTTACCAAGGCAACATTGACCTGTCAATCTAAAACAAATTTAATTCTTGATTCACAACTGCCACGAGGAATGGAGAAAGGATTGGAAAAAATTCAAACTCTCGAGGACTCCTTGGTTAAGACGAAGGATGAAAAAACAACTGAGGAGCGTGGAAAAGCGCCAGTGTTTGTTGTACCTTTGAGTAATATCGATGGACTACGAGAGGGAGAGAGTGCACACTTTGAAGCACGATTAACTCCAACAGATGATCCAAAGCTCAAAGTTGAATGGTTCTGGAATGGTAAACCACTCAGAACAGGTTCACGCTTCCGCACATTCTGTGATTTTGGTTTCGTTATACTGGAAATATCACCAATTTATCCAGAAGACTCTGGCGAATATAGTTGCCGTGCAACCAATGAATACGGTGAAGCTGTTACAACTTGTTTGATGAAATGCACTGGTAAACGAAGTATTATCCTTGAATCGCAACTACCAAAAGGAATGGAGGGAACAATTGATAAAATCGCTGAACTGGAAGGTCTTGGTGGTGAATTGGATCAGACAATGCCAGATGATGATACAGGTAGACCACCCGAATTCATAACTACACCATCTGATTTAACTCTGGGCGAAAATTCTCTGGCTCATTTCGAGTGTAAATTATTGCCAGTGAATGATTCGAGTATGAGAGTTGAATGGTTCCACAATGGAAAACCACTCAATGCTGGAACTAGAATTAAAACAATCCATGATTTTGGTTTCGTCATTCTCGAAGTATCCAATTGTTATCAGCGTGATTCAGGGTTATACACATGTAAAGCGACAAATCGTCACGGTGAATCTACGGTATCTTGTAAGCTTCAAGTGCGCGGACGCCAAGGTATCATACTGGAACCACAATTACCATCGAATTTCAAAACTGGCACTGAAAGTATTCAAAAATTGGAGGAAGCCCTTTATAAGAAGGACGAGTTAATAACTGAGGAAGAAACACCTAATCCTCCGAGATTTATAGTTGAACTAAAAGACATAGAAGTCGAAGAATCATCACCCAGTCACTTCGACTGCCGAGTTGAACCAGTTGGCGATCCAACAATGCGTATTGACTGGTTCCATAATGGAAAGCCATTTGCTACAGGTTCTCGCGTCCATCAAATCAATGATTTCGGATTTATCTCTCTAGATTTATCGTATACTTATGCTAGAGACAGTGGAGAATACATATGCCGTGCAACAAACAAATGGGGATCGGTCAAAACCAAAGCTACTATTATTTGTAAATCCAAGAAAACTATTGACTTTGAATCCCAGTTGCCCTCGGGAATGAGTAGTGAAAAACTCAAAGAATTAGAGCGTGGACCAGTCAGTGAGCCGTTGCCAGTAGAGGAATTACCCCGTGTGCCACCGAAATTCATTACTCACATTCAGTCAGTCACGGTTGAAGAATCTGAGCCTGTGAGATTTGAATGCCGAGTTGAACCTAAAGAAGATCCAACATTGCGCATTGAATGGTACCGAAATGGTAAACAAATACCCGCTGGCCATCGGTATAGGACAATTTACGATATGGGCTTCGTATCGATGGATATTCTGTATGTTTATCCAGAAGATTCTGGTGAATATGTTTGCAAAGCTATCAATGATTGGGGAGAAGATACAACAAAGGCATCTGTCTCCTGTAAAACATTGCCAAATATTATTCTGCAGAATCAAGTTCCAAAGGGCATGAAAAAATCAGAAGCCCTTATGCAAATGGAAGCTACCATAAAAAAATATACGTCTGAAGTTCATTTGACTGAGGATGATCTTTACGATGCAGAGAAAAGACAGCCACCACGATTCGTAACTCAAATTCAAAATCAAACGGAATTAGTGGAAATGAATAGTACGAAGTTTGAATGTCAACTAGCACCAGTGGGTGATCCAAATATGAAAGTTGAATGGTTTTTCAATGGCAAACCACTGCCTCACAAGAATCGGTTCTCACCGATCTACGATTTTGGCTATGTAGCTATGAACTTCGCATGGATTTATCCAGAGGATAGCGGTGAATACCTATGTAGAGCCACAAATTTGTATGGAATGGATGAAACAAGGGCTGTTATAAAAACTTCTGGAAAGCCAGGAATCATTTACGATTCGCAATTGCCAAAGGGAATGAAGAGTATAGAAAAGATTCGAGAAATGGAAGCTGCTTGGCAGATATCTCCTGAACAAGAAACCGAGGAAGAAAAACCCAAAGCTGCCCCTGTATTTGTTAGTAAACCTGAACCTGTGGAAGTCGAGGAGAGCGATTGCTCAAGATTCTGTTGTCGAGTTACTGGACACCCTAAGCCCAGAGTCATTTGGTTGATCAACGGTCACACTGTCGTCAACGTGAGTGAATTGCCTTCATATCTTCCCAGATCCACTTGAATAAAATCACTACATTAATCTAATCTATAAAATCACAGGGAGCCCGCTATAAGCTCATCTACGATGGTATGTATCATCTTGATATTCCGAAAACACGTCAGTACGATCATGGAAAAATTGAGGTCGTCGCACGAAATTCACTTGGCGAGAGTCGATGTGAGACGACACTATCCGTCAAACCACGAAGCGATGATTATCGTGGAGTTCTCAAAAATTCACCAAGACGTGAGTATCTAAAACTTCTGACATTCATTTTCAACACTCAGCAACATCCAATTGTTAATATTCTTCTCATTGACTACAATTTGAAATTCATACATTCCATAAGCCAATATTAGATTGTACGGAATCATGAAACTATGTATCCAAATAGTTACATACAACATCAGTACGACACATAAATCACATTCGGAAACAAAATGAATTAGAGACATCTAATATACTACTCAATATCCCTCAATCCCTCTTCCTCTATAACTGAGCACCTGTGGTAGTTGAACCTGCTGCTTCTTTCTCCAACGATGCTTCTGTACTGATCATCAAAATTATGGATAATGCAAAAAATATCTACATTATTGTTAAATGAGACGTATAACTGCTAAGAAAGCACTTCTGCCAGGTATGGAATATCATAACCAAAACCCTTTAAATGCATGCACCGTAAAAATGATACCATCTTTTATTTATTATTCGATTTTCTATTCACCTATGGATTATGCAATCATCGCAGCGATTTTTGCTTGCTTATTATGAACGAAAATGAAATCTTTATAACTTGTCAAATTTATGTAACTACCAAATCCCAGGGGTGAATCCAATTAATTTTTTCAACTGAGGTACGATCACGAAATAGAGAGAAATTATTGTAAATGTTGTAAATCACGAATGAGGTAGTGTGTCGTATTTTTGCCTAAATAGGAAATAGTATTTGAAGAGGTATTATGGAGAACAATTGCTCTGCGCACCTGTGATCTGTTGAAAATTACAATTTGCATGCTTTTTATGGATTTAGCATGAACTATTATCGACAGTATGTATTAATATTATTGGTCATTAGCGTGGTATGATATTGAGCACACTCAGTATCAATCAGATCGGACCAACACAGAACTGGAACGAGTTTTCGATGAGCGACAACAAAGCATGACCCAAAATGTTGGAATTAATACTGATCACCTCGGTCAGAAAGTATTCAAAGAACCGGATACAGACTGGCAAAAAAATGTCAAGACCATGAAAAAAGAGCAATATTACAATAAATTAATGAATCTCGAAGAAGAACAGCTTCTGAAAGAAGCTCGACTGAGAGAGGCAAGTCATCAATTTGCAATTCCTGGAGAGAAGGTCATCAATAGTTCCATCGCTAAGGGAATGGCACAACAGTACCAAGATAATTTGTGAGTAATTATTCTACAACATTTGACGTATTAATATCACGGGCTACGATATAGGATAATAAATTAATCTCTCAATCTATCTGTAGGCAAACCGACCAGAAAGAAACAGTCGTGTCCAAAGCTAGTATTAAGAAACCATTTGTAACGGAAGTTGATATTGATAATCGAAGGCTTCAAGGCACTGGAAAACATCCTCCAGAACCTACAGGATCAGCAGTACATGGTCGTGAAGTACATGTTGCCAAACAAAAACAGACCCAGAAGGAGGTGAAGGGTGATACTGAAATAACACGTAAAATCACAGCTACCGAAACAACGGAAGTTGAGCATAAAGCCAGAACGCAGGAGCGAATTGTTGAAGGGCCTGTTCTACCATCAAATCCTCCAGTTTTCACCAAAAAAATTCAACCATGCCGTGCATTCGAACAAGAGCAAGCGCGTTTCGAAGTTGAATTTGATGGAGATCCACTGCCTACAATCCAATGGTATCGTGAAGATTTCCCAATTAAAAATTCATCGGATCTTCAAATTTACACATTCAGTACTAAATCAGTATTGATAATTCGTCAAGTGTTTATGGAAGATTCGGCCGTATTTTCGGCTATCGCTGAAAATCGCGGTGGTAAAGCCAAATGCAGCGCCAATCTCATTGTGGAAGAGCGACGACGACAGCCCGGAAGGGGTGGAACTATTCCCCCAAGTTTCGTCACTACAATTCAAAGTACATCAGTAACAACTGGACAACTTGCAAGATTCGATGCTAAAATCACCGGAACCAAGCCAGTAGATGTTTATTGGTTGAAGAATGGCAAAAAAGTAGTCGCTGATATCCGATACAAAACATTGGAGGAAGACAACACTTATACACTTCTCATACTGGAAACGGTACCGGAAGACAACGGAAAGTACGAGTGTGTGGCAATAAATCGTGCTGGTGAAGCCCGTTGTGAAGCTGAATGCACTGTCCGAGGATTACAGCCGTCATCTGCCAAGCCATCAAAGACATCAACCGCTCAAATGGAGAAAGCACCGGTTGTCACTGAACCACTGAAAGATCAAGTAATCAAAGAAGGAGCTTCTGTTGCTTTCACTTGTCGAATCAGTGGAAAACCGACGCCTACTGTGCAGTGGAAGAAAGGAGACAAAGTAAGAATCGACTTCTATACAACTCACGAACAGATTTAATTGGTATACATAATATGTCATTTTTATTCCTCGGTGTAGATTATCAAGCCTTCCAAATACTTCCAAATGCAAAAAGAAGGCGATCAATGCACATTGCGAATTTCGGAGGCTTTTCCGGAGGACGAAGGCGTCTATAAATGTGTGGCGAAAAATTCTGCTGGGGATACCACTACATCAGCAAATCTCCGTGTTCTAGGTATGGATCTAATTACTGCGCCTTTGAGAATGCCTTACTGATTAGAGATGAATAACAAATTTTTTTTCCTCGCTTAATCGTCATTTAGCACCAGAAAGTCCAGACATGTTACCGAAGTTGACACCGTTGAGAGATCAAATTGTTTCGGAAGGACAACCAGCTCAATTTAAAACGCAGATTATTCATCCAAAATTGAAGCCAACTATTCAATGGTACCGTGAGGGATTATTAATTCCACAGTCACCAGATTTTCAGGTAAATTTGAACATGTTCTTTATTCCTAGAGAATACCTTGGAGGTCAACTGAATTTGAGAACTTTCTTTCAATTTTCAGATGATTCACGAGGGCAATAATGCAGTTTTACTGATAGCTACAACTTATGAGGAAGATTCTGGCACCTTCACATGCCGCGCTACGACTTCCGTTGGTACAGTGGAAACTTCGGCAAGGCTGGTTGTAAAAAGTAAGATATAATGAAATACAAATTAATTGCTAACCCCTACAGTGTGATGATGTTAGTTTTTATTGTTTTTTTTCTCAATCTATTAATGAACTCGAGAATAAATCTCTGCTTGGGAAGATAGTATTATGAGAGAGAGAAACATTAGGATGTGAGCATATAATGTTTCATCATCATATACTATCGCACAAACAGTGAAGTAGACATTTAGAGCAAGAACAGTCACCTAATAATGATCCATAGGAACAGAATCCATCGGACAGTTGTTATTTCATTATTTATCACCCAATATATTTTTGATTGTTACTAACCAATATTCAAGGAGAAAAAGTTCGGTCCAAGTTTCATGTACGCTATTTACTCCTGTACTTGAGAGAATTTTCAAATGAAAAAAAATTGGAAGTCATTCGACTTTTCGTTTCCTCCATAACAAAACGTAACAAAAAAGTCTACAGAAATAAAAACTATTGAATAACGATTTAAAAAAATCTCAAGGTGCTTATGAATAACGCAAACTAGATGTTTGCCAAAATTACGAAATTGTTTGAAAAAAAAAGCAAAGAAACATGAAGAACTCACGACATTACACAATACTCCTAGCCGTGCATCTCAAGCATACGATTTTGTAAAACGGTGAAATACTCAGAATAATAATGTGTAAAGCAGAATTATATGATATCTTTTTACCGTTACTAGTAGACGTATAAATGTAAGTTCTAACATCCTATTAATGGAAAATATTTATTGTATCATAGAAATTTATCTAAATAAAATTATAAAATTGTGCAGAAATAAAATATCTTAATGATGAAACATTATCATGAATCATTCTGTTGAGATATAAGAGATGTTAGTCGAAATGGTCAATTTATGCAAAACCTTTTTTTTTAACACTCCTGGGTAATAAAGAGTGGAAAATAATTGTCAAGTTGAATAGAAAAGACCGGACAACAAATCAATATGTTAGAAAATTATCCATAAAAAACAGCTCATTATTTTCAACTTTTCAAGGACAATTCTTAAAAAAGAATATTTGCTACTCAGCTCCTCCAAACAAATTGAAGAATTTACTAAGGAGCCGTAGTCGGAGTGTGCCGTGTGCACTCGCCATGGCTAGAAATCTCGAATTATTTTTAACTTCTTGATTGTGTATTACATTACCTACCTATATTTGGTCACACTGTGCAAGTAGACATGAACCCGCTCTTTCTCCCTCTTCATGTCTCTCTTATTCCCTCTCGACTCTCAAGGCGTTTATTCTGAAAATTTCCCAAGTCAATTTTTCTCATGCAAAAATTCTCATGTTCTGTCAAAATAATTGTCAAATTTTCAATGTTCATGTCGGGTTCTGTTGTCTCGCCTCTTTTTGATTCATTAAATCAAATAAATTTATTCACATCCAATTACACACTATCCTATCCATGGAATAGAGAGGATCCAAGAGCAGTGGGCGAGAAAGATAAAAGCTTGAATTAGGAATATTCTACACATTATGAATCATCACGAGTTTCACGTATATCAGAGTTGGCTGGATAGCTTGCGGACCTATTTCGGAAAGGGCTCCCCTGGGAAAACGCCGATGTTCTGGTGATGCAGCGGGCCAGAAATAATCAGCCACATATTCGTGTCAATGGACCTTATAGCACATCATGTGGGGGAATAGAAGAAAGACTTTATGACGACGGGAGCAATTTTCCAGACCTAATTTGGAAGAAACACTACGACAACAACAATCTAGAATTAATCGGAAGAGAGATTCCAATTTCGCTGCCATTTTCCAATGGTCAGACTATTTTCTGCAAATCAACATAAAAATTTCAATCTTTTATAATACTGTACACTGTTACATGAAATTACCAAAAGATTAGAATACAGCAAATGATTAATTTCTGATAAAAGGGACACAATATTGCAACAAAATGAAAAAAATGTCAAGTACAAAATAGACACTGCCTTATAAGGCCAAATATGTCTGTTATATTTGAGATTTTATACATTTTTTTTGTAAATCTAGCACTTAAATATATCAGCATAATCAATAAATAAAAAGTCACACGAATCTTGGACCACTTGTTTAATGCACAATCTGCGAATATATTTATGAGAATTCATGTCTCTGCTTTTTTTCACTCCACTTGAATAAGAAATAATAAAGCACAACTTCCACAATTACTTCTTTGATTAAAAAAACTAACGAAAATCACTGGTAATATTCACAATATCGAAGAAACAATACTATTTTCATAATAATGTATGAATAACTTTCTATGGCGATCTCCAGCTGATGACTAGCAACGCTTTTGCCACAGTTGCAACTGATGTAGCGGTGAGAAATAGAATAGCCCCTCCATATTATTTTAAAGACTCGGTACATCGCTTTCCCCCACTCATATGAAAACCCTGATGGGTGAAGAAAAATTATAAGTGAGTGAGAGGAGAGTGTATACTGCCAAAAAGTGGAGCAAATGAGTCTCCTCATATATTTTTTGCTATTACTCATCCACTGCTAACATGGAATGATATAGTCCAATTTCAATTCAATTCAATTCAATTGAATGTAGCTTCTCAAAAACTTAGAATCACTCAATTTTTTTCTCTTTCACGAAATTTTCAGGACGAGTGGGCAGTCAATATGAAACAACGGTACCCGAAGATACTCACAAGCCTTTAGCTGCAACGAAAATACCTGCATCGGATTTAGCGACTATTGGAGTAAAAACACATCGAGCCAAAACTCAAGGCGAAGTGATTGAGCTGGAGGAACATGATTCACTTGAGACTTCATTTGTCTCAAGTGATGAATCTGTTCCATGGCGAGTGCGTAAAGTTAAACGTCCTCCACAATCAACTACTCCAATTCCTTGGCGAACAACTGAATCTCAGCCTACGGGTAAGACTCCTAAACGTATTGACAATGCCCAAGTCTCAGAAATTGATAAAGTGAAGCCTTGGACTGAAGAAGTCATTACATTGAAGAAAGTATCCGAGTCAGTCGTTCAGACATCTACCAAAACCGAAGATGATCGTAGTACGGAAACTTCTTTATCAGAAACATCCAAGTATTTGAAAAAAGAAATTCCTAGTAAAATAAAACCGTGGACTGAAGAACAAGTAGAATTGAAGAAAATTCCAGCGAAAACTAAACAATTACCTACGGAGTCAGTGGAATCGGTCAAATTGAAGCCGCTTACACAAGTGGATAAAGAAACGAAAAGAGATACCAAAACTCTTGAATTGCAGAAGATTACTCTGGATTCCACTGGAGAACACAGTTTAACTTCTGAATTTTATGAGGAAGATGATTCTTCTCTACTGGAGATTTCGGAAATTTCGGAAGACACTTCAATAATTAAGAAGAAACGGTGGCCTTTGAAGCCTGAAATTGCTTCTGAAACGGCTCAACCGAAGCCATGGACAGAAGAAAGCATACGGTTGAAAAAATCCACGCCTATTAAACGAGAAATCATGAAGGAGGGTATACCATCGGTAGATCTTCAACCGATTCCAGTCACACAGAAACCCGAAAAAATTAGTAGGAAAGAAGAAAAAATTGAACTACAACCAGTTGAAGAAATTACTTCAAAATTACCACAGCCGTTAGAACCTGTTATTGCTGAATTCATTACTGAAGAAGACAGCACTAGACTTGAAATTTCGAAAAAATCCAAAGTAAAAATTTCTAGAAAGGAACCTGAGCTTCCTAAATCATGGATGGAAGAAAATGTAATTCTTAAAAAATCGCAGCGATCGAAGAAATCTCCTGTAAAGGAGGGTCTGGACCTGCCAGCTTTAAAACCCGTAGATGCCATACCAAAAGTGCGCCCTGAGCAACAAGGGGTTGTTCCACTTGAAAAAGAAAAAAAAATTGTACAACCATATCGAGACCTGCAAGATATTTCCATTCTCCAAAAACATGAAACCAGGGATATTGTTGAAAAATTACAGCATGTGAAACCTGCTGCTTCTGAATTCACTACTGAAGAGGACAGTTCTATACTTGAAATTTCAAAAAAATCCAAAGCGAAAATTTCTACAAAGGTACCTGAAGTTCCTAAATCGTGGATTGAAGAAAAAGTAATTCTCAAGAAGTCACAACGAATAACAAAATCACCAGTAAAGGAGGGCCTGGACCTGCCAGCTTTAAAACCCGTAGAGACCATACCAAAAGTGGCTCCTGAGGAACAAGAGGTTGTTCCACTTGAAAAAGAGAAAAAGATTGTACAACCATATAGTGATTTGCAAGATACTTCTATTCTTCAAAAACATGAAACTAAGGATATTGTTGAAAAAGTACAACAACATGTGAAACCTGCTGCTTCTGAATTCACTACTGAAGAGGACAGTTCTAGACTTGAAATTTCAAAAAAATCCAAAGTAAAAATTTCTACAAAGGTACCTAACGTTCCTAAATCGTGGATGGAAGAAAAAGTAATTCTGAAGAAATCACAGCGAATAACAAAATCACCAGTAAAGGAGGGCCTGGACTTACCTGCATTAAAACCTGTGGAGACTATACCAAAAATGCGTCCTGAGCAGCAAGAGGTCATAACACTTGAAAAAGAAAAGAAGTTTGTCCAACCATATCAAGATCTGCAAGATATTTCTATTCTCCAAACACGTGAAACTAGTGAAATTGAAAAACATCTTATTCAAGAAGAATCATCAGTACCTTGGATTCGTGGTAAAAAACGTCCAAAAACTGCCCATCCTGAAAAGGTCGAAGATGTTATTCCCAAAGAGGTCGATGAATCATCCAAATTGCCGTGGATACATACCAAAGATAAACCGAAAAAGACTGTACTAAAGGTACCTTTAGATGAACAAAAATCAATTCCGAAAGAATCGGAGAAGGAGACGCTTGTACAGCCGTACCGAGATAACCAAGATACTTCTATCTTGAAAACGAAAGAAATTAGCCACATTAGTGAAGAACGCATAATTGAAGAAGAATCAGCTGTACCATGGAAACGTGGTAAAAACCGTTCTGAAATTTTACATCCTAAAAAAATTAAACCTGAAGATACAATTTCGGAAGATGTCGATAAAACATCCAAAGCCGTGTTGATAAAAGATAAGAAGACAGAGATTACACCAAGACCAGTTGTTCAAAAAATAATTCCAGAAAAGACAACGAAAGAAATAGACTTGCAGCCGTATCGAGATATTCAAGATGTGTCTATTTTGGAGACACGTGAAACTAGTGACTCTATTGAAAAACAAGCTACTCCAAAAGAAGTACCTGTACCGTGGGTACGTGGTAAAAAGCGTCCTGAAGTGCTTCAGCCGGAAACGGTTAAACCCGAGGATACTATTCCCGATGAGCTTGACAAAAAATCAACATTACCCTGGCTTCAGGCGAGAGATAAAAAGAAGGTGATACCAAAGATGCCTTCAGAGGATCAAAAGATCGCCCCGCAAAAAACAGAAAAAGACATAATTGTGCAACCACAACAAGAGACACAGGAGACTTCTACCATAAAAATTCAAAAAGGGACTGAAAAACAACTCGAAGGAAAGGAATCAATTGTACCGTGGGCACGCGGCAAAAAGCGTCCAGAATCGGTTCAGCCTCAGACAGTCGTACCTGAGGAAACAATTCCGGAAGATATCGATAAAACATCCAAATTACCTTGGGCACAGAAAAAGACTAAAACGAAGAAGATAATTCAGCGTGTAGATGAAGAAAACCTACTGGAAATCGTGAAAGATGAAAAATCCGATACTCCTGATAAACAACAACCTAAAATTAGGAAGGAGAAAAAAATTAAATCCGAAAAAATCGACACTGAGCACAATGAAAAGATAAAAGAAGAGAGAGAAGAAATAGCGGATGATACAAAAACAATTATCTCTAAAAAAATATCTCAAGATATAGAGAAAAAAGAATCTAAGAAAGTTAAGCCGCAGGATTCAACCGCATTGATTGTTGTACCAATTGAAGATTTACAACCATCCCCAGATGAGGTGAAAGAGGACGTAGAAGAAAGTGAGCAAGAAGATAAGAGTGAAATGTCGTCCTCTACTTGGCGTCGAAAACCTAGTAGTAAAAAAGTTCAAAAGAAAATTTCCGTTGAACCCACAGAAAAAATTGGAGAAAGTCCGAAAGAAATTTCAGAAGTAACCTGGCGTCAAAAACCTAAACGCGAAGAGACAGCTGTGACGATAATTCCTAAAAAATTATCCGAGGACGTAGAGAAAAAAGTTATTGATAAACCTAAACCTCAAGATTCAGAAGCAGTAATTATTAAGCCAATCGAAGAATTTAAGCTATCCCCAGTTCCGGTAGAGAAAATTTCAGAAGATCTGGAAAAAGAAGATACGCTGGAAATATCTTCATCTCCCTGGCGACGAAAACCTAGCAGCAAGACAGTTCAAAAGAAAGTTTCTGTTGAAATTTCCGAAAAAACTGAAGAGAGGGAAAGTACGAAAGAAAGTTCAGAACTAACCTGGCGTCAAAAGCCCAAATCACAAGAAACATCCATGACGATAGTTCCCCAAAAAACACCCGAAGATTTCAAGGAAAAGGTGGTTGACATAATTAAACCTCAGGATTCAGAATCGTTAATTGTTCAACCAATCCAAGAATCCAAGCCGTCGCCAGTTCCGGTACAGGAAACCTCCGAAGATCTTGAAGAAGAAGATACGAAACTAATATCTTCGTCTCCCTGGCGTCGAAAACCGACCGGTAAAAAGGTTCAAAAGAAAATACCTGTTGAAACTACGCAAAAAATTGTAGAGGGAGAGAGTAAGAAAGAAATTTCAGAGGTGGCCTGGCGTCGTAAACCTAAGATTCAAAAAACAGAAATTCAAACACGACCTGAAAAATCAATTCAAGATGAAGAGAAAGAAGATGTTGAAATAACTAAGCCAATTAAAGAAATTCAATCATCTCCACTTCAATTAGTTGAAGAACAAGTAAATCTGAAACAAGAAGATAAAAATGAAATCTCGTCAACTCCTTGGCATAAGCAACCTAAGAAAATCACACAAAAACTCCCTGTTAAAATGCCCGAGGAGAGTGAAAAACCAGAGAGTAAGAAAGAAATTTCAGAAGTAACTTGGCGTCGCAAACGTCAACCGGAGACTTCTTCAGCTACAATTATTCCAGAAAAACCTCTCCAGGATACGGAAGAAACTGATGTGACAGTAATTGAAACCAAAAATTTGCAACCTATACTTCTTGAATCCACTGAGGATTCCAAAACATTGGAAGACTATACCAAAGAGAGCATTAGTATCAAGTTGAAGAAAACCAAAACAAAGAAAGAGCAAGTAAAGACATCACCACAACGCATCGATGAGGATAGAAAAGATATTCCTGTGAAGGTCTCTGAAATATCTCAGTTAGAATCCCCTGAAGAAGTTTCTTCGGAATTACCCAAATGGGAGACGAAAGAAGTGCAGATTACAGAAGTTCTACCTACTAAAAAACCGCATACAAATATTCAAGAAATTGTGGAGGTAAAGCAAGAAACAGAATCAATCCAAAAAGTTGTAAAACCTAAGAAAAAAGTGGTAAACTTCAAAGGAGAGGTTGAAATAGTTCCTATCATTGATGAGGAGGAAGTTGATCAAGTAGAGGTAACAGATGAACAATTGACAATAAAAAAACCGACCACGAAGAAAAAGTCCGTCAAACGAACTGTGATCGATAAGATTATCACAAAAGAGTCTGCAGAAGAAGTTCCACTGGAAATCAAAACTTCCGAATATATCATAGAACAGCCTGAAGATGAACCAATAGCCCTTGAAGATACAACTGAATCCGTAGAGACAATGGAAAAGATAACTAAAAAAATTGCCGATGAGAAAACCGTCTCGCAAGTTTTTGAAATTCAACCCTCTGACTCAACGGAGGATATTGAAGACCATGATCGAACGGTCAAACGTAAACGGCGAAAAATGCCAGTCATTGATAAAGATAAAAAAGTAGCTCCAAGATTCATTCAAAAATTGCAGCCAGTTATTGTTGAGTCAAAACAGCCTGCTAAATTCGTTTGTACGGTTGTGGGTAATCCTTCTCCCGAGATTACGTGGTATAAAAATGAACAGGAACTTCACGCATCCGAGAAGTACGAAATGACGATTGCAGAAACGACTGCTACACTATTGGTAACTAAACCCACGGAGGAAGATGTTGGAATGTATACCTGCAGAGCTTCCAATCCCGCTGGTGTGGCAACATCGACAGTAAACCTTGTCATATTCGGTAAGTATAAAATAATTCTATCATCCCCATATTGTGACCCTAGCGTCAAAGAATCTAATGATTTTCCAATATCTGCAGAAAAAGAAGATGAAGGAATACCTCCCCAATTTACAGCCCCAATAAAACCATCGATTATCAAAGAAGATGATATAGCGATATTCGAATGTGACGTTATTGGCACTCCAATGCCGGAAGTGAAATGGTACCGGGGTCATGAAGAAATTAAACCAAAACAAGGAACTGAAATTACATTTAATCCCAAAACTGGTCATGCCAAACTTGTTGTATTAGAACCACAATCGGAGAAAGAAGAAATTTATCGAGTTCGTGCGGTCAATAAATTTGGTAAGGCTGAATGCCGAGCTAATCTGATTATTAGAAATGTAGCCGTCATATCTCAGCCGGAAGTACTGCATGCACCGAAGATTATAAAACCGCTTCCAGCGTCCATAGCAGAGAAGGGTCAATCTTTAACTCTAGTCGCAGAATTTGAGGGTACACCCGTACCAGAAGTTAAGTGGTACAAAAATGGAACTGAAATAACCCCATCTACTAAGCAAACAATAATAATCCACGAGAACACAACTGAACTAATTATTTCTGATTTGACGAAGAAAGATTCAGGAAAATATGAAATTAGAGTTCAAAACACAGTAGGGGAAGCAAAAAGTAGTGGGTCAGTGACTGTAAAAGAAATAGAAGAATTTCCTACGGATACCGAGGACAAGCCACAAGCGCCGTGTTTCACAACACTCCTTCAACCTCAAAATGTAAAAACTGATGAAGTTGTAATCATGGAAGCCACTGTTGATTCTTATCCGATGGCATCATTCCAATGGTTCCACGAAACCAAACTTTTAGAAGCCTCGCCATTAGTAAGAATTTCTACAAAAGAAAATCATTCCATTCTACTTATTAAACAAATGACTCCTCAACACGCTGGCGCATACACGTGCCGAGCTGAAAATGTAGCTGGTTCTGTAACGTGCACTACAAATGTCAATTTATTGGACACATCATGGGAAGAATTATCAGAAATTACATCACCAACGTTCGTTAAACGATTATCACCTATTCGCGTGATGGATGGAGAGGGTGTTGATTTTTCATGCGTTTTGAAAGGAAAACCGATCCCCAAGGTTCAATGGTTCCACAATGACAAGCCTATTGAAGAGGCCAAAAGCATCACAATATCACAGAACACCGAAGGTGTTTGTAATCTTGCAATAGCCGAAGTTTTCCCGGAAGATGCTGGTGAATACACATGTCAAGCAATTAACCCAATTGGCGAAGCCTTGTCAACTACAACACTTATCGTTGATGGTAAAAATTCTTATATGACATTCGGATTGATCATACGACATTTACTTCGACAATGAATTAAATGATTTCCAATTGCAGCATATGAGTATGTACCAGACTCTGAGATTGCGTCATCAGCTAATGTCACCTCTCTCATAGCTGGACAAAGTGGATCCGAAGAAGATCTGCTATCACCGAAGGTATATATAATAAAGAATGCAGTGCGGGCTCTATTATTTATGTATTTTTTTAATTCTTCAAGGAAATTATTTCATTGGATATGGATATCGATGAATCACCACCTGAAATAATTAAAGAACTTCCCAAAATGATTTCTTCCAAAGATGGTGAATTAATTAGGTAAATTTTCGGCATCCATTACCGAAACTTTTTTGATTCAATTACATGACTGATTACACATTATCCAGGTTGGAAGTCAAAGTAACAGGTAGGCCGAAACCACTGAGTAAGTGGTACAAAGAAGGAGTTCAAATAGTACCTTCGGAAGAATTCGAAATCGAAGAATTTGAAGACGGTAGCTCAATTCTGACCATTAACGAAACGTATCCAGATGATACTGGTGAGATTGTGTTTGAAGCACATAATCCACTCGGTGTATGTACAACAACGACCTTCTTATCAGTTGGAGGTAACGCAATAACTTTACAATTATTCCAGAAGTTAAAAAATTAATAAGTGCTTCTTAAGTGAAATTGATTTATTTTCTCCATTATTTTTGAGTTCATTTCAGATGCAGCGTCTGAAAAAATTCCCGTCCCGAAATTCCTTAATCCTATAACATGATCAACAAATACACTGAAAACATGCATTTTCTATTTTATAAATTTAGCAAAATATATTCAATTCATACGAATTATCTCAATATCAGGTATTCTCGGAACGAAGGAGTATAGAAAGCCTGAATGGGTGACGCAAATGGAAGAGATGCAAGAAGCTCTGCGAGGTAAAACGGAATTCTGTGAAATCCACAGATGATATTATTGTTCCTGTTCTTTTATTGATAGAATTAAAATCATGACTATGCCCTCTCAATTCATAAAATAATTAATTTTTAAAGCGACGCAGCAGATTCCGCGCTTTGTAAATGAACTTGTGGATGTCTATGCGGAAGATGGAGAACAGGTCATTTTTGAAATATCCTATTCTGGCAATCCGTCGCCGGATGTCGTTTGGTACAGGAACGACAAACTCATAATGAATACCAATAATGTGAAAGTCAAGTTGTTTGACGATGAAAAGAGAACTACTTTGACAATTTACCAAGCAACATCAGAAGATAATGCAACTTATGTTTGTAAAGCTACCAGCGATATAGGCTTAGCTGTAACCAAAGCTAAATTACAAATATCCGGTATGTTGACCATTTTCATTATTATAATTTATCGTTCGGCTATACACATGAAACACAATTTCCATTTATGCATGAATATATTTCTGTGAAGGCCCTAAGGAAGGTACGAGAGAAGTAGAACATGTGGAGCATTTAATGAAGCCCGAGAAGAAGAAGAAAATATCTGAGGCCAAAAAAATAAAGGAGACTAAAGAGAAGATTATAGTTATAAAAGAAAAACTGAAGAAGGACAAGAAAGAAGCTATCAAAGCGAAAGAGTAAGTTCCCCTTGCTATTCATTGTATGACCTTTTTATTTTTATTTCAATAACTTTATGTGTTTGTAAATAGAAAAAGACCAGTAGGGGAACAACTGCCGGTAGATGAATCTACCGATATGTTAGAAGAATTAACTGTTGAAGAATCTCAAGCAAAGCCTTTGATTCCAATTCACGAACCCGTAATAACCGAAGCAACTGCTTCTCTAAAGAAAGTAGATCATAAGTCTAAGTCAATCACATTGACATCGGATGAACGGGCGAAACGTGTTGCAGAAACACATGAGGCTTTAGTTGTTGCTTCTCCCTTAGTGCCGGAAGACGCTGTTGTAGAATTGACGACACAGTCAATAACTGATCGTGCAAAAATGACATCCGAAACATTTGAAACAGTATCTATCTCTCAAGTCGTGACTGAGACCAATATTGAAGAAATTAGCAAAACCGGTCCACAAAAGAAGTATGCCCGAAAAACTACAGTTACAACGGAACGTTCGTTGGAAATGAGTGATTCCCACAGTATAGAAGTATCTGAAGATAAACCAAAGAAGAAAAAGAGAGACAAAAGGCGGGAGCGTATAGATCTTACGGTTGAAAAAGTTATCAATGATCAGAAAGAGAATCTTTCTCAGGCCGTAGAAGAAACAATGGATTTGATGAATGCCAAAGAATTTGGTCCTGGAGAATCTCCTCTCAGAGAACTAGCAACTATAGGTTTTCTAATTGATAATGGAGTTTCTGTAAATGAAATAAATGAGAGCCTTTATCAATCTCATTATTTCCCTGCCCTACGAACGCCAGACGCTCAGAATGCATTAGTACAACTAGTAGAGAGGGAAGGACATGGACCATTGATCACTCAAGTCCTGACGGAAGAAACCACGACTGATGAAAGTATAGTAGCTGCAACTGTCGGATTTCGTGCGTTCATGAGAATGGTAGAACTACAACACGCCACAGTGGAAGAAATAATTACGCATTTTGCGCCAGAAGATTTCAGAACAAGAGCTTGGGAAGTCACAGAATTCAGTGAGGTATTTGTCTTTCCTTATACAATAATCAGTCATTGTAGTCTTTCACTAAGATTTAAAATGGAGATTGATTTATTTTCTTTTCAAATTTATAAGGTCGAAGCGCAAGAAACCATGCAAGAAGTATCTTCTACTATAGAAAGAGGTGAAATTAGCATCTCGAGTAAGTTAAAAAATTTGCATTACCTTTCCGATACTATTTCTATTTTCCCAACATTTAGAAAGATAATATGCAATTGATATTATAGGGAGACGTGAACAAGAAAAACCAGCGAGAGAACAAGTTCTTCAAGACATTATAGGTTCGCAACTACTGTCTAAAATGCATGAAAGATTTCTTTAATTTGACTCGCACGATGATTGTGGCGAGAACTTAAAAAAAATGACAAATGATTATTAAGTTGATTGGCAAGCAGTAAACTCCTTGAATATTATTATCTTTCCGAATTTTACTGAAAATATTGCTTCTTTCTTTGCAGATGCTTAAAGGTTTCGTGAATGCAGATTTTTCAAACCAGTGCGCAAACTGTCGGCTTCTACCGCTATGCTTTCTGTGCCCAATAACATGATTCTATTATTTTTAAAAGTAATATTACAAATTTCCCTTTCACCTCATTTATGATAATTGCTGCTTTCGTTCGATCGAAGAATCGAACCTTGCGAAGAATTAACAAGACGCTGTAAGTACTCGAAACCGGATGTATATGCAATGTTAAAAAAATATATGAAACAGTTCAACAAATCGACCTGTAACAATGAGATTTGCCAAATCTGATATTATTATAATTAAAGCATGTCTTGCATTCTTGTTGACATTAATTCCCTCAAATTCCTATTAAAATAATACGAATAATAGCAAATTATTATGTCAAGTTATTCTTCTTTCTCCATTGGTTTGACTTCTGTTCCTTGTCTATGTACACTGCATTCATGCACATACCAACACATAATCAATGCATTACACACTGACAAATTTTATCCGAGCGTATGCACTAAGTAGAAATTCCATGTCGCATGAGCTGCATGGCCACACACGTAGCTGAAATGTCGTTAATCGAACGGTGTAATGCGCCTATGTATCGGTCTATCTATGTATACTAAAAGAGGCGAGTGATATTATTTTTTTTCCATGACTGTTTTATAAGTTACACGTACATTACCATCACATAATTTTCACAGAATACGAGGACATTCAGGAAGTACACGAAACACAGCACAAAGATACAAAATCCGAAGAATTCAAGCCTCGAGTTTTACGAAATCTAGTCGAGGGTAAAAGTAAAATAGACGACGAAATAATTGAAGAAGAGATTCAACTTCAGCAAGTCGATACGAATAAAGCTGTTGAACGGAAAAAAGATGAAAAAGTAAAAGAAGACAGTAAAAAGAAAATGAAAAGTCGAGACATGATTGAACAAGAAGAAATAGAAGACGTGACGGTTAGAACTGTCACTCTTAGACCTAACCGTCCGAAGCAAAGTGAAGATGAAGGTTATTTCGAAGAAGTAACCACCTTGGAAATTACTCCAGAAAAAGGTCTTTTCCCACTAGCAGCTAATATCCCGCATGAACATCGGTCAGTTCTGCCTCTTGCAGATGTAGTTCATCAAGCTCCTGATAAACCAGAATTCGATAGAGCGAATATAAAAGTGGACACTATTCAAGCAATCACCGCGCAGTATGTCCCCCTTGAAGATAGCGTAGATAAGATCGATAACGTGCATCTTAATCAAAAACACGCAACATTCTCGATTCCTTCCGTAGAGCCATATTCAACAACAGAAACTATCATTCAAAGCTCGACCGATGAGTTGGCGAAACCAACTGAACCCTTCTCCTGTAATATTACAGCTGATATTATATCTACAGAGGGAATTCAAGTGACAGAAACCTTCCCGAGGGATGATAAGCTCATAAAAATAGATGCGAAACCCGAGCTAACAACACAAACAGCTAACTTGAACATTTCCCTTAAGGAGGCAACAACAGTTACCGAAATGACCGCTAATGAAGTTGAAGTGGCTACAAACAATTTTGTAAAACCTGCTAGTGTCAATGTTGGAGATTCTATGCTATCTCACATTGGCTTAACAGTTTACGAAGTCAATGAAGGTTTATTAGAAGACAAATTAGTCCTGGCTGAAACTCCTGTAGCACAGTCTAAAGTGTCGGTTGATGCAGTTGCGTATCTAGCTATTGAAGAAATACAACCGGACGATAGACCCGGAAAATATTATCCAGAACTTATTGTTCCAACGGAAATGGTAACTTCAACATTCGTTCCTCAAAAACAGTTCACTACCGGTGAAGTCTTCACAACGGAAAAAGAAGGAGATTACTTACCACAAGTTGCCCCTATTCATCAAAAAGCTAAAGTAAATGTGTCTGAAGGCGGTGAAGTTCCTATGATAAATGAGCAATCTTTGCGAGAAACAGTCAAATCAATCGTATCTGATGAATTGCCTTCGTGTCAAGTAGATCAATCGATCGATGTATTGCAAAGCTTGAATGTTTCTACGGTGGAGAGTCATAGCCAAGAAGAAGACTTGGAAACACACCAAAGTAAAGAAATGATAGCTGATGTAAATGTTATCCAATCCAATTCTATTGTGACAACTGAAACGATAATATCAGACAGAGAAAGTGAATACAAAATTGGTGCGAAACCGCTTGAACAAATGGCGAAGAGTACGATATCCTCACTGGAAATCAGTAGCAAATCAGACACTATGATTCAAGAAGCAGAAGGTATTTACAGTGAGGAAATAAAACCAACAGGAGCCATAGCTGAATCGTCTGTTAATACTGAAATACATTTAAATATTTCGGAGGTTCATTCTGGTGATTTACCTTCAGATTTAACTGAAACACTTAAATACATTACCGAAACGGGTACTCCTTCAATTATATCTACGGAGGCCGCCATAATTCAAGAAATTTCGACTCACGAAAAAGAAAGTCAATTGCCTAAATTAGAAAAATCTAATGAAAAAATAGTCGAAGGTATTTATGGTTCCTTGCGGAGTGTGGAAGTTTCTCAGACAACTTTGGCGGACACTGAAGGTCAACTTCAGATATATGATATGCCTGAGTCTCATAAAGTAGAACTAGTACCAACAAGCCACAGCATGTCGTTTCAAGTGCAAGAGACAAAGACCGAACTTGATCTTGAACTCCTAAAAGAGCAGTTGCCGAAAGAAAGAACAGCTAATGTTGAACATGATCATATGAGAGGAATAACTATAGGTATCATCGTATCAGCTGAGGATATTCAACCAGTGATTGCAGACACTATGCCGGAATGTAAGATGGCGAATTTGGCTGTGAGTGAGATTGACAGTGTTAAAACGACGGAAATAATTGCCAATGAAACAGAGAAAGAGTATGAAACAGTCAAGACCGATTCTCTTACAGCCACAACAGCCTTTGAAACGCAAGCTTCTATTCAGCAATCCATAGTGCGAACTGAATCCCCAACTGAAGATTTTAGGAGAGATCAAGCAATATCGGCAACGGCCCAACCAGCCATGATTCCTCTCGAGGCTATAACAATGATTCTACAGAATGCCGCAGAAAAGGAAAATGTTTATCAGGCAGATCAAAAACCCGATGGAAAAGTCGCCGTCCTTGAAATGACTGATGCCAAATCTAACGCGATAATTTCCGAAGTAATTCCCCAGGAATCGGAGGACACGTATTCCACTAAGAAAGAGCTCACCGATTTTGGGGCTCTGAATTTAATTGATAGTCATAAAATTGCTACACAATCAATACCTTTAATTGAACAAAGTGCAGGACATCTCCCCGATCATAGTTCCACAACTCGCAAGGCGTTCACTAAACACGATGTGCTTGACGAGTTGACCATTATCGAAACTAATTTAGGAGAAAGTGAAAAACCCCGTTTAGACGATATGAAACCATGTGCACAAAATGCTGAGATCAATTTGTCGACATCGGAAAATATAATGATCACTGAAATTGCCGCCGTTGATAAAACCGAACACTTGGCACTTGAAGAACACGCATCGAGAAAAAATACAAATATGCAACTCACACCAAGCCATGAGGTAGCTGAAGTCTCCGAGACAGTTGCTGCAAACAATGTTGGGATATTTTCCGATATTCCATTAGAAACAGAAAATGCTACAGCCAAGTGCAACGAACTAACGACTGTGCAACAAACAGAATTGATGGTTTCTGAAAAAGAAAGTATTTTCGTCGACGCAATTAAGCCAAGCCACAAAAATGTGAGTATTACTTTCACGGAAGAGACAGGATTGGAAGTCACTTCAACCAATTTAATAGATAAAGAAGGAGTGCTTAGAGAGGAAAGCATTCCAAAAAGTATGGAAGCCACAATACAGTTTGAAGCGCAGAATGTTGCGTCGAAATACGAAGTTATCGGTGACACAAAGTTGGGTATCTATACGCCGAAGGAAGTACAAAATGTGAAACCAGATATGGGTTTAATGTCATTACCCACTGCCGTCGCTGAAGAGGTTCATACCGCAGATGCTGAAAGTGTATTTTTGAAAATGCAAGAAGCTGACCGAAAAGCAGAGCTCACAGCTGATAGTGGGGAGTGTATAACAGTATCATTAATTGAAACTGGGGAAAAAGAAGCTCCCTTGGAGGACAGTGAAGAACGTGTCTCAAAATCTGCACTTTTGGATATTTCTTCTCACCCGGTTGCTGAAGCAACTGAAACGATATCTCATGACGGTATTTCTCACATGAAATTGGATGAGACACACCCTGTTACAGCAGTTCACGATCAGATTCCATTCAAAAGTCTTATTATAACGGAAGCTTATCCAAAAGACTCGGAAAGTTCTATGGACAATTTCTGCAAGCCAGACGATAAAATTGTTGACGTGGTTTATGAAGACGCTCAAATAAGTCTTGATGTCACGCAGACAATTACTTCTGAGAAGGAGAAAGATTATAATCAAGAAGAAACTCTACCGATGGTACAGGCAAGTCCCAATATAGATGCACACCGAACTGCCGAACTCGCTGAAGTTATTACATCATCATCAACTGACAAACTGGAAAGTAGTATTCCAAATTCTGCAATTGCAAAACAAGATCATTCACCATTGGAAAGCATTATTCAGACTGAAACTGTCGTGTCAATCAAAGAGCAGGAATTTACTAAATCACATGATATCGCAACCGAGAAAGCAGGAGTTATGGTCGATGAAGGTAGGAATGTTACCAGTAATGTGGAGATTCTAACTGTGGACAAGGAGGATATATTGCAAATGCCCATCAAACCTGCAGAAAAGAAAGCCCTTTTAGATATAAGTACAGATCACCGCGTTACCGAAAAAATGGAATTAACGCTTGATTCGTCCATCGGTGTATTAGATGCATCTCAACCAACAAAGGCAAACGTCAGTCCATCACAAATTTCCTTAGAAACAGTCATTAGCAGTATTACTCAGCCAACAGAAATGGAAGGAGTGTATATTCCAACGGCACAACCTAATCAAATTCTTGCTGATATATCCCTTTATGAAGATCAAAGTGTCAACGTCACCATGGTAATTACAGAGGACAAAGAAAGCGATTACAAAACAGCTGGAATGCCTGTAACAAAGACAGCTAATGAAGGTCTTTCCGGGAGTTTAATAGTTTCTGAGACTAACTTACATGTCGTTCAAGATAGCACTGGTACTTTCATTGATCAAAGTCCTGGATTTTCAACAGCAAAGTTCGATCATGAGTCACATAACCCATTGATGAATTCTCAGACGGTCATTGGAGAAACGGAAAGCACTTTGATACTTGATGTAAAACCAACGGCTCATAGCGCACAACTCGATATTGAGTCTGAAAAGAATTCTATTGCCGTCGTTGAAATGACAATAAACGACAAAGAAAATACATATGATGCAGATACTGTGGCCAGTACAAAAATAGCATCAGTGGAATTTGATTCAAAACTTGAAGTTGCTGAAACAAAAATCACGACCATCCAAGATGCACTTGCCACAATGGAAAGTACACAGTTGGATGCCCGAAAGGCGGTTTTGACTCAAGGAACTCATACTAGTCTTCTAGTATCGGAAGAGATAACAGTTGACAAAGAAATTTCATTCAAAAGCAAGCCTAAAAGCGATTTGACAGAGGTGGGATTAACGGTTGAGCAGAAAAATTGTGGTTTGACAATTTCTGAAGTATTTAGTGAAGATAAAGAAATACCACTTGACGTTACATTGAAAGCTCAAACAGAATTAGGAATTCCATCTGCAATAACTGGTCATAGAGTTGCAGTTCAATCTGAAGTAATTCCTAATATAGCTGCTAGTGGTTTGGAAATGGATAAACCACTTTCAGCCCAAGCAATAGTCGGGCAGAAACCATTTGAGCCAATTGAATTGACGGAGAACGTCCTTGGTGAATCCGAGAAAAATACCACACTAAAAGAACCCGTGCTAGAAAAGGCAGGAATTGAAATGAATGAGCATAATTCTGTCATTATTGAAACATCCATAATTCACGATTTCGAGCAAGAGCTATCCGTGAGTGGCAAGCCGGAGAAAAAAGCTGTTGAAAGAGTTTCTGAAAGCCAACAAGTCATCCAACAAAATGAAATAATTCCCAGAGAATCGATCGGTGGACTTACAGTAGAAAAAATACCCGAGGCTGAAGCTACGGAAATACAAAAAACATTCAGACCTCTTGAAATCATGGAAACATCAACCCAAGAAATTAGTCCGAGCCTTGAAGAGACTTCTACATCATTTGTTGGGCCTGCTCTTACATCGTTAACAAATGCAGAGAGTATAACAGTTGATGAAGTCGTCTTACACGAAAAAGAAGATACTATGACAATACCGGAATATATGAAGAGAGTTGCTGCACTCAACTTAACCCAATCCAATCAAACAATAGCAATGAAAAATGAAATCATAACTGATCAAAGTGCAGCATTACTGCAGGCATTTAGTAGTGATCAAAAGAAAGCAAGTTCAAAACAAGATACTCTAGAGTCGATCATGATTCAAGAATTTCCATTGGTTGAGCAAGAAGAGATCCTTAGTGATTATTCAAAGCCTATTCTTAATAGTATTGTTCCGTCAATGGAGATAGATCACGAAATATCCATTTCTGAGACAATTGCAAACGAAGCGGAGAAATCGTTTAAGGAGCAGCCGTTAATTGCCCCAAAGGAGGCGGTAACTAAAATTGTTACAGAGCATGGAAGTATATTGACAACAGTGGTGGATTCGCGTAGTGATATGAAGGATCAAACGGCGGTTGCTGATGAAATTCATCAAACAGCTGTCGTGAGCCAAAATACATTTGAAAGTTTAACGATTGAAGAAAACACAATTGAGGAAACTGAAACATCATTAACCGGTGATTCCAAGCCTTCTTATCAATCGGCTATGTACAATATCCAAGAAAATAAACCAATTGAAATATCTGAGGTAACTACCAGCGATAAAGAAAACGAATTCCGTAACATTGCTATGCCATCACATTTGAAGGCCACTTCAGAATTTCATACTCTCGAGGGCTTGCAAGAATCTCAAATCGAAACGATTCAAGGGGTTGAACAAATGGAGGATGAAAAAACAAGTATGTCTCAGGCTTCGATCACGCAGCCAACTGTAGAGTCGTTAATAAACACTGAAACAACCATCGGAGAACATGAAGGGGTCTTGCACGATCTCCTTGAACGTGAAAAACATAAGGGAATTCCTCAAGTCGATGGCTTAAATCCCGTTTCCATTACGGAAATTTCAACTAACGAACTAGAAGACGTTTTGGACATGAGACAAACACCGAAGCATCAGCAAGCACTTCAGAATATTTCTGGTAACGATATTGTTTTTACGACAGAAGTACAAACAGTTCGAGAAGTAGAGGAACTTTCTGAATCTATTAATGTTGAGTTAGTACACAGTAAAGTCAATGTAGATCATTCAACGTCGTTGGTAGTTTCTGAAATATTATCTCATGAAACGGAAAATCCCTTGCAAATCTGGCCAATCTCAGACGGAATGAAAGCTGTAGTGAACTTAGATGGGCGACAAATCGTGGAGACGTCCGAAGTCACAACAGTACTATCGTCCGAAGACATGCCAAAAATAGATAGTCCTCAAGAGCAGAAGGGTATACCTGAAATTAATGCTCTAATTCCATTAGAAGTCTATCATGTGATGTCCAATGAAATTGAAGATCAGTTTTCGGATTCTAAATCTGAAGGAAAAATTGCCTCATTGAGTTTTCCCAGTCACCAAATAGCCGAAACGTCAGAAGTAGAAACATTATACTCTACTAACGAATTAATGAAGCGAATAGCTCCAGATGAGAAAGAAGGAAGTCAAATCATATTAGAATTCCAACCTATGATAATTTCACAAACCATCCATGGGGAGACAGAAGGCCTTCTTGAAGAAGCAGAAAAATCCACCAAAAAATATGCTGCAGCAAAATTTACTGGTTATGATATTGCAGAACAAACAGAGACCTTGACTCTAGCTGCCGTTGAAAATATAAAAGAACTTAAACCACAGGATCAAAAAGGAAATTTGCAACTGGAGGAGTTGTCACCAATAACTATATTACAGATCGTCTCTAATGAAACTGAAGGACAGGTATCGAAATCTGAATTTCCGGAAGAGAAAAATGCTGAACCGCAAATCGAGGGTCACAAAGCACCCAAAGTATTAGAGATCACGCCTCTATTCACTTCTGAAACGATCGTCGAAGATACTCCTAAGGAATGCACAGCTCAGCAAGCTCATGACGATTTAATACCTCTTATTGTATCTCAAACGATAAGTGGAGAAATTGAAGGGCCGTTATCTGAACAGATAAGTCAGAACAGGAAGAATGCACAGATTTCCGTTGACAGTCACAAGATAGCGGAAACAGAAGAGAGCTTGACATTAGCCAATCTTGGAGAAATGAGTGAACTCCAATTCAATGAACAGAAGAGTGAATTGGGTCTCGAAGAATTATCATCAGTTGTAGTTACCCAAGTAGTGTCAGACGAAACTGATCAGGCACTAGTAGAAGCTGAAACAAGTAGAAAAAGGGCAGTTCCGGAAATCTCAGGGCACGAAGTGGCGGAAACTTCGCAGGTTCTTACATTGCATAGTGGACAAGAACTCATCGATGACATTATTCCGGATGTAAAGAAAGGTGAATCCAACGTAAATGAAATGCTGTCCATACAGATCTCACAAACATTTGCAAATGAAGTGGAAAATGTTCTCCGAGACGAGGAGAAACCAGAATCACGAACCGCTCATTTAGATATATCTGGGCATAAAATACCTGAAACTTCACAAATGTTTACAATGGATAGTACTGAAAAATATTCCGATGAGATAACTACAGCAGAGAAGAGTATTTTGACGTATGAGGAATTGAGTTCAGTAATCACTTCACAAATTGATATTAATGACAAGGAGAGTATCCTGGCAGCGGTCGATTCACCAAATTTGAAAAATGCCGAAGCACAGGTAACTGGTAGTGAAATAGCTGAAAAGTTTGACACAACTGTATTGACGACCACAAAAGATTTATCGACTGATGACCTACGTCATGGAGAAATCGGCCAGCCCAGTTTTGAAGAACAGAAAACTCTAATCATATCCGAGATAGAATTGAGCGAAACCGAAGGAGTCCTTGATCGTGTGAAGAAACAGGATTCTGTGACGGCTAAACCGAATGTTATTTTGCAAGATATCGCCGAAACTATGCAGACAACTACGTTGAATACTTTCGAAGAATTAACTGAACATAAAGTACATGAACAAAAAGGGAAACCCGTTCTTGATGAAAAAACGTCCCTGAATATTGCAGAAGTCCTATCTAATGAACTTGAGGACACGTTCGGTGAACCGCAGAAACTAAATAAACAGACAGGAGAAGTACATTTACTAGGACGAAATGTACCTGAATCTACTGAAATTTTGACTTTGGAGGATAGTAATGACTTCGAATCATTGGCAGCAATAGAACGCAAAATTATGGCCAGAATTGAAGAATTGATTCCATTAACAATATCACAAACGATTCATCAGGAGGTTGAAGGAGATCTACCAAATGATGTAAGGCCAAGTCATGGGTTGGCAAAAAAAGAAGTGCTACCTCACGATACATTTGAAACCACCCAAACCCTAACACTAGGGACTTCTGAAGACTTGTACGATGAAAAGATTGACAAGCAGGTGGTACGCAGTACATTGAATGAAATATTACCCTTGATTACATCTGAAGTACACACTACCGAAACAGGACGAGATTTTACTAGATTAGAACGATCAACAGAAGAAACAGCGCACATAACAATTTCCACACGTGACGGTGTAATGACTGAGGAAATTCAGAAAGTGGATACAACCGTGGCCCTCGATCTTGCTAAACTTCCTGATGAAGTTCATGGAAATATTGAAATGGATGTTCATTCATCAATCGTTGTTTCTGAGCAATTATCAAATGATACCGAAGAAACCTTCACAAGACCTGAACTTTTAAAAGAAGAAACGATACAGCAAAAATTATCTGGAAGGGAAGCTGCTACTACGCTTGAAACAATTCTATTCAACACGACACAAGAACTTTCATCGGATAAAAAACCAGAGATCCAAAAAGGATATCCTAATGTTGATGTATACTCATCAATAGCTGTCTCGCAAAATATACCCAATGAAGTAGAAGGAGACATGACGGACTCTGTTATTCCACTGGAAAGTGTAGCAACCTTGAGCATACCTCAACAAGAAGCGGCGGAAGTTTATATGATGAAAACAATTTCAAATACTGAAAAATTACATGATGCCGCCGTTCCAGCTACAATGACAACAAAACCAACTTGGAATGAATTTTCGCCTTTGACAGTTTCATATATTGACACAAATGAACTTGAAGAAGACCTTGCACCGCAGAAAAAACCAGAAGAAAAATCAGTGGATGTAAATATTTCCGGCAGAAAAATAGCCGAGATGAATGAGCCGTTCATACTAAGCCAAACGGGAAATTTGGAAGAGAAATCTCCGAATGAAGCCAGAAGTACTGAAACGACACTGGAAGCATTGAGTATTGCCGATAATTTTGAGATTGTCTCCAATGAAATGGAAATCAATTTACCAGCTAGTGTCTCATCATCAGAAGCCATTGCTATGCCGAAAATGGAAAGCATTGGAGTAGCTGCAACATCAGAGACACTTCCATTAGCCCATACAGACAGAATGATTGAAGAAGCACAACCCGAAGAAAAGAGAGTGACACAAAGTATTTCAGAATTAACAGCATTGGCGGTATCACAAGTGACGGAAGGAGAAAAAGAAAGCATATTCGTATCGTCTGAAATACCTACGCAGCAAATCGTTGACGAGTCGATATCAAGCCAACCAGTTACAGAGACCACTCAAGTTATGACATCTGCTACTACAACAGACTTGATAATTGAATATGAAGTAGATGAGAAGAAAGCCTCATCTTCCTATATTCCATTCAGGTCTCGAGAGGAAGCTTTCCAACAAGTGCACGAAACTGGCACCGATTTGAAAATTCCTGATAGTGCAACCGTTTCGCAGGCACAGATTACAATGGATAGTTTAGAAAGCATTGAGACCACGCAAACAATTTTAAGTGAGGAAAATGAGCGGGAAATCGTTGAAAGTCGAGCCAGTGAGGTCAACGCAAAATTGAATATTCTAGGACAGGAAATAGCTGTTAGCTCCGAAATACAAACTGAAATGATAGCTCGAGAATTTGACAGAGAGAAGCCCAGCTTACAAAATATTAAAAGAGTCGATCAAAAGAACGAAAGCATTGTTATAACTCAGCTAGAAATAATGGAGGAACTTGACACAACTCAGACTGAAACAATCAAACCATCGATGAAAGTGGCCAAGATAACACATGAACTCAAAGATTTACACGACATTCATGGTAAGTATCAACCGCAATGTGGGCAGGGGGGAAGCGACACCTCGCAATATTCGGTCAGGCGCGAAAGGTCCGCTAGTATATTTATTATAGTGAATCCCATAGAATCACAGAAATTTTCTTTCCATCTTAATTTCTGTGGATATGAAACCGGTTAATTTACCGCGTACAAAAACGGGGTCAGTAAAATGACCTAAGAGGACGAAAATTTTTTTTAAAATCAAGTTTAGCATGTTATGAATCCGGCAATGTGGCAAGAGGTGAGTAGCAGCTAGAATATCACAGACAGATAAATACAACAGAACATGTTACACCAAATACTTGCACTCCACTGATAAGGACAATCCAATTAGAAGTCAAACCAAATCATAGCGAGACTTTACTACCAGAAAACAACATTTCAATACATAACACATGAAATTTCATGACAATATCATTTCTTGTATACATTTCAGAAACAACAGAAGTACCAGCTCCAGAATTTGATCACGCATTACCCACACACTATGATACATTCATACAAGAATATACAGATTCTACACAAGCACAAATGACTGACTCCGATAGTGAAGTAAGCACGACAACGGAATATATGACGAAGTTCAGACGTGGAAGTGGAGATGATGATACCTGTGCAATAAAAACGAAGAAAACGATCATCAGAAAGAAGACACCAATGAAAGATGAAAAAGAAAAGGTGGTAATTATTGAAGAAGAATTGGAAGATATTCAATCAACAATACCCAGCATTCCCAAGAAACAGTTCTTATTGATCGAAGAAGTTATGGATAATCAAGAAGATGAAGAAACAGTCCCTTCAAAAATTGATGAAATTGAAGACCAACCTGAACAAGATCAAACTGATGTTAAAAAAGATACGACCTATGAAGAAATTGCAGTTACTGAGATTTCCGCGATGGAAAAGCCCAAGAAAATCCCGAAACGAAAGGTTATGCGAAAAGATATCCACGAACAGGAGACTGAAGAAATCAGAAAAGAACAAGACGAAAAAACATCCGTCATTGCTATACTGGAAAAAGATATTGAAGATACGGTCCCAGAAGATATTGTGGAAACTATGATGAGTATTAAGCCTATACAAGCAGTTGAGAAAGAAGAAATTCGGGAAGAAATCACGGTTACTGAAGAAGAAGTTACTGGAGAAAAACCAAAGAAAATAACGAGGAAGAAAATAATTAGAAAGAAAAATGGTCAGAAACAGGTAACTGAGGAAGTGACAGTAGAACAAGATGGTAAGAAACCCATCACTACTGTTCTAGAAAAACCGAATGAAGAAATAATTCCAGAACACGCTGCCGAATTTATGCCAAGTATTGAGCCTATACAAGCAGTTGAGAAAGAAGAAATTCAAGAAGAGATCACTGTTACCGAAGAAGCCCCTGTGGGCGAAAAACCAAAGAAAATTACGAGAAAGAAAATCATTAAAAAGAAAGGCGGTCGACAACAGATCTCCGAAGAAGTGACTGTAGAACAGGAAGGTACAAAACCTGTCACGACGGTTCTAGAAAACCCCATGGAAGAAATAATTCAAGAACACACTGCAGAACTTCTGCCAAACATTGTGCCTGTAAAAGCAACTGAGAAAGAGGAAATTCGGGAAGAAATCACCGTTACTGAAGAAACAGTTGCAGGTAAAAAGCCAAAGAAAATAACGAGGAAAAAAATCATAAGAAAGAAAGGTGACCGACAACAGGTGACCGAGGAAGTGACGGTCGAACAGGAGGGTGAAAAACCTATCACCACTGTTTTAAAAAAACCTACAGAAGAAATAATTCCAGAACACACTGCAGAATTTCGTCCAAGTATTGAGCCTGTACAAGCAGTTGAGAAAGAAGAAATTCGAGAAGAAGTCACCGTTACTCAAGAAATTATTGCAGATAAAAAGCCTAAAACCATAACGACGAAGAAAATCATAAAAAAGAAAGGCGGTCGACAACAGGTGATTGAGGAAGTGACCGTAGAACAGGAAGGTGAAAAACCTGTCACGACGATTGTAAAAAAGCCTACTGAAGAAATAATTCCAGAGCATACTACAGAATTAGTTCCAATTATTGAACCTGTACAAGCAGTTGGGAGGGAAGAAATTCGGGAAGAGATCGCCGTTACTGAAGAGACTGTTCCAGTCCATAAACCAAAGAAAGTAACAAAAAAAATGTTTATAAAAAAGAAAGATGGGCAGCAACAAGTGACCGAAGAAGTGACCGTAGAACAGGAAGGTAAAAAACCCGTCACCACTATTCTAGAAAAACCCATTGATGAATTAATTCCAGAACACACTGTAGAACTTCTGCCAAGCATTGAGCCTGTGAGAGCAACTGAGAAAGAGGAAATTCGTGAAGAGATTACTGTTACTCACGAAATTTCTATAGGTGAAAAGCCAAAGAAAATAACGAGGAAAAAAATCATAAGAAAGAAAGGTGACCGACAACAGGTGACCGAGGAAGTGACGGTGGAACAGGAAGGTGAAAAACCTATCACCACTGTTTTGAAAAAACCTACTGAAGAAATAATTCCAGAACACACTACAGAATTTCGTCCAAGTATTGAGCCTGTACAAGGAGTTGAGAAAGAAGAAATTGGAGAAGAAATCACCGTTACTGAAGAGACTATTCCAGGTCATCAACCAAAGAAAGTGACAAAGAAAAAGATTATAAAAAAGAAAGATGGGCGACAACAACTGACCGAAGAAGTGACCGTAGAACAGGAAGGTAAAAAACCCGTCACCTTTATTCTAGAAGAACCCATGGAAGAAATAATTCCAGAAAACACTGCAGAATTTCTTCCAAGTATTGAGCCTGTGCAAGCAGTGGAGAAAGAAGAAATTCGGGAAGAAGTCACCGTTACTCAAGAAATTTGTATAAGCGAAAAGCCCAAGAAAGTAACAACGAAGAAAATTATAAAAAAGAAAGGCGGTCGACAACAGATCACTGAGGAAGTGACCGTACAACAGGAAGGTAAGAAGCCTGTTACGACGGTTGTAGAAAAATACACTGAAGAAATAATTCCAGAACATACTACGCAAATTTTGCCCAGTATTGAGCCTATACAGGTAACTGAAAAAGAAGAGACTAGGGAAGAGACGACTGTTACTGAAGAGATTATCACAGGTGAAAAACCGAAAAAAATAACGAAGAAGAAAATGATTAGAAAGAAAGGCGGCCGACAACAGGTAACTGAGGAAGCGACAATAGAACAAGAGGGTAAAGAACCCATCACTGTTCTGAAAGAACCTATTGAAGAATCGATTCCGGAATACATCGTAGAACCTCTGCCAAGTATTGAGTCTGTGCAGGCAATTGAAGAAGAAGAAATTCGGGAAGAGGTCACCGTTACTGAAGAGAGTGTTACAGGTGAAAAACCAAAGAAAATAACGAGGAAGAAAATTATTCGAAAAAAAGGGGGGCGACAACAAGTCACCGAGGAAGTGACCGTAGAAGAAGAAGGTAAGAAACCTGTAAGAACGGTTCTGGAAAAACCTACTGAAGAAATAGTTCCAGAACACATTGCAGAATTGTTTCCAAGTATTGAGCCTGTACAAGCAGTTGAGAAAGAAGAAATTCGAGAAGAAGTCACCGTTACTCAAGAAATTATTGCAGATAAAAAGCCTAAAAAAATAACGACGAAGAAAATCATAAAAAAGAAAGGCGGTCGACAACAGGTGATCGAGGAAGTGACCGTAGAACAGGAAGGTGAAAAACCTGTCACGACGATTGTAAAAAAGCCTACTGAAGAAATAATTCCAGAGCATACTACAGAATTAGTTCCAACTATTGAACCTGTACAAGCAGTTGGGAGGGAAGAAATTCGGGAAGAAATCACCGTTAGTGAAGAGACTGTTCCAGGCCATAAACCAAAAAAAGTAACAAAGAAAAAAATTATTAGAAAGAAAGGTGGTCGACAACACGTGACGGAGGAGGTAACAATAGAACAAGAAGGTAAAGCACCCGTGACTACTGTATTCGAAAAACCTACTGAGGAAATAGTTCCAGAATACACTGCAGAACTTCTCCCAAGGATTGAGCCTGCACAAGCAGTTGAGAGGGAAGATATTCGGGAAGAAATCACAGTTACTGAAGAGGTTACTGATGATGAGAAACCAAAGAAAGTAACAAAGAAAAAAATCATTCGAAAGAAAGGTGGTCAGCAACAGGTCACCGAGGAAGTCACCGTAGAACAGAATGGTACGAAACCTGTCACGACGGTTTTAGAAAAACCTACTGAAGAAACAATTCTAGAACATACTGCGGAATTACTCCCAAGTATTGAGCCTGTACAAGCAGTTGAGAAAGAAGAAATTCGTGAGGAGGTCACCGTTACTGAAGAAATTCTTACAAGTGAAAAACCAAAAAAAATAACGAGGAAGAAAATTATTCGAAAAAAGGGTGGTCAACAACAAGTGACCGAGGAAGTGACCGTAGAACAAGAAGGTAAAAAACCGATCACGACTGTTCTAGAAGAACCTACCGAAGATATAATTCCACAACACACTGCGGAAACTTTGCCAACTATTGAGCCTGTACAGGCAACTGAAAAAGAAGAAATTCGGGAAGAGACAACTGTTACAGAAGAAACTGTTATAGGTGAAAAACCGAAGAAAATAACAAGAAAAAAAATTATTAGAAAGAAAGGTGGTCGACAACAGGTAACTGAGGAAGTGACAGTAGAACAAGAAGGGAAAGAACCTATCACCACTGTTCTGAAAGAGCCTACTAAAGAATTGGTTCCAGAGTACATTATAGAATCTCTGCCAAGTATTGAGCCTGTGCAGGCAATTGAAAAAGAAGAAATTCGGGAAGAGGTCACCGTTACTGAAGAGAGTGTTACAGGTAAAAAACCAAAGAAAATAACGAGGAAGAAAATTATTCGAAAAAAAGGCGGTCAACAACAAGTCACCGAGGAAGTGACCGTAGAAGAAGAAGGTAAGAAACCTGTAAGGACGGTTCTGGAAAAACCTACTGAAGAAATAGTTCCAGAACATATAACTGAACCTCTGCCAAGTTTAAAGCCTGTGCAAGCAACCGGAAAAGAAGAAATTGCAGAAGAGATCACTGTTATTGAACAGACTGTTATGGGTGAAAAGCCGAAGAAAATAACAAAGAAGAAAATTATTCGAAGAAAGGATAGTCAACCAGAGATTACTGACAAGGTGACGGTAGAGCAAGGAAGTAAAGAACCCGTCACCACTGTATTGGAAAAACCCAGTGACGAATCGATTCCAGAAGAAAAGAAAAAAATCTCAAAGAAGACTATTCGTAAGAAAGCAGATAAGCTTCGAACTCCTAGTGAACTTTCCCTAGGACACGACGAACCTGTTGATGGCATCGTCCCTGATGAAACGACTGAATTTTTCCCAGCCATAAAACGTGTTAGCGCTACTGAAGCTGTTGAAATTCCTAAATCTTTCACTCAAGTAAACATCATTTGCGAAGGTGCAATTGAGCCTATGGATCACGAGTTCACTAGCTCCACACAAATATCACACAAAAAACCAATACACTATACAACAATAGAACCAAAACTGATTGAGTCGGGTTCTCTAGGTGAGCAATATGTTTCTGCGAATTTATACGTGTATTAAATTCCTCATGCATTACTTGAAGTCTATATTTCCTCTGATTGTCATCAGTTATTCAATTTAAAAGACGAAGCAAAAAATTAATCATCCATTATATTATTATGAACTCAATAATTAAACATTTCCTTTCTCTGTCATAATGTAACATTATTATTGACAGTACGCATATCCAATATTCCCGTATTAGAACGGCTATATTAACTCTTTTTTTTTTCAATAGGTGTAACCGAGGATATCATTCAACTGGTATGTTCTTCAAATATTTTAAATACTGTTTATAATCGCCTTCTCGTTCACTTATTCAATATTCTATGTTCAGGAACCACTTGAGGAAAAGAAACGCGGATCAGTTGAAGTTCTGAAAACGGAAGAAGATGCCATTCAAACGTTAATAACTCCAGAAAAAACAGTAATGCGTAAAAAATCAGTCTCTGATGATGCCACGCTGGAGAGAACTATAGAGAAAGTAATAAAAACGCCGAAAGAAGAAACTAAATTATTAGAAGATCAGAACATAATCGAGATTCGTGAAACTTCATCTGAGAGAGTTATAAAGAGAAAAATTTTAACTGCAAGTGATGACACTATTCCCACTGAGGAAATTGAAATCATCGTCATCAGAAAACCTGAAGTGGAAAAAGCTGAAGCAATTATAAAAGCAGCTGAAAAATATGACACTACCTTGGCAGATGTAAGACAGGCTCCTGCGAAAACTACTGAAATTATAGAAGAAATCTTGGAAACGATTGAAACACCCACCAAACGAACAGTAAAGAAACTGAAAAAGAAGCCGCAGGACGTTCGTTTTTCAACAGAAGTTATCGAAGAATCTATCGATAAACCAATTGAAGATACTATTTTCATGGAAGAACAGCATATCACGGAAGTAGTTGAGACTCCAGAAAAAATAATAATCAAAAAATTGCGAAGTACTCCTCGTGAGGGACAGATTCCTGAAGATGAAATTGAAGAGATCGTTATTCCTAAAGTGAATAAGGAACATGCTGACATCTTAGTCGATACATTAGGGACGATTGCTATTACACAAACATTTGTAGAGGAATGCCAACCAATGGATATAATTGAAATACTTGAGACTCCCCAAAAGATTACCGTGACGAAAACGGTCAAGGATGATACGGCAGATGCGCCACATATTACCATTCAAGAAGTGATTACAAAGCCTGAAGAACAAGTAGCCTTAATGGAAAAACAACAAGTAGTTGAGACTCGCGAAACGAAAACACATGTATTAATAAAGAAGAAAAAACAAGTTGTGAAACAAGATGGGAAAATAGAAAGCGTTATTGAAGAAATCGTAATTCCCAAACCGACGGAGACAACCTCCAAGCATTTGGAAGATGTTGAATTTACAGATCAACAAATTTCGAAAACTATTGAAACGCCAGATAAATTAATTATTGAAAAACGAAGGAAATCCCAGGAAACCGGGCAATCCGAGGAAGTGTTGCAGGAAATTATCATTAAACCCCTTGATAAGGATTCATTCATGAATAAGCAAAACATTTTGCAAATTATCGAAACGCCTGAACAGACGACCATCACAAGAAAATGCACAATTATCAAGAGTGATGGCGTTCCTGATGAAATTATTGAGGACATTGTCCTACCAAAAGTAAATACCGCAAAAGCTAAATTGGTTACCGAGACAGTCGACAATGGTCAAATCACTATCACCAAGCCTGAAATATTGAAACCAACCGAGGAAGAAGAAATACTGGAAATAGTAGAAACGCCTCTGAAAAAAGTTACGAAAAAAGTTAAGAAATCAACTGAAGGCAAACCTCGAGATACTGTCGAAGAACTGGAAATGAAACCCGTTGATGAGGGAAAGTCAATGGAAGAGCAGAAAATCGTTGAGGTCATTGAGACTCCCACGAAGAAAATTATCAGGAAAACTAAAACTGTAGTAAAGGATGATGGATATCCTGTCGAAACTATAGAAGAAATAGTTCTCCTGAAGCCGCAGAAACAAAAAGCTAAACCAATGACTCATGAATTGGCGACTGTCAGAATTACAACACCAAATATATTGCAGCAACCTGAAAAAATAGTGGAAATAGTTGAAACACCTAAAAAGAGAGTGATAAAGAAGATCTCACTATCCACTCCAGATATGCAGGAAAATGTCGCTGAAGAAGTAATCGAAAAAACATTGGAAGAAGGCCACTCAATGGTTGAGCAAAATATTCTCGAGATTACTGAAACACCATCGAAAACAATTATAAAACGAAGAATTCCTGTTACCATCGAAGGTACCGGAGAAGAAGAAACAATTGAAGAAATTACCTTATTAAAACCAATTCAGGAACATGTAAAATATTTTATTGAGGATTTCGGAAAAGCCGAAATTTCCCCCGCTCCAATAATTGAAATGGTCGAAACCCCGAAAACTAGAATTATAAAAAGAAAAAGCCCGAAGAAAACCAAGAAAGCCGTAGTTGCAGAAATTATTCCTAAATCTTCAGAAGAATCAGAATTGATGGAACAACAGCAGATCATTGAAATAAAAGAAAAACCGACTGAAACAGTAATTAAACGCAAATTACCAGTAACTGTGAGCGATGGGACCGCTGAAGAAGCGATTGAAGAAATTGTTCTTCCAAAAGTGAGGAAGGAGAAGGCACATCATGTTATAGATGAGATAGGGACTGTAACGATTACGGAAATCGGTGTTCATGGTGATGTTGTCCAAGATACATTGGTCGAAAAAATTGAAACACCATCTGAAGTCATTCTGAAGAAAAAGAGAAAGAGTATAATAAAAGATAAGCCAGAGGAAGATATTGAAGAAATAATTCTCAAACCCCATACAACTGATAATTCATTGGAGGCTCAAAACATAATTGAAATAGTGGAAACATCTACTACTAAAGTAATCAAAAGAAGGAAGCCCGTTGATTCTAAATATCCGGATGATGTGACAGAAATCATCGAAGAAATTATTATCCCAAAACCTGTTAAAGAAAAAGCTGATGTTGTTATAGAACCGCTGTTGACCGCGGATATGACACAACCCCGTATTTTCGAAATCATCGAAACACCAACTATCAGGATCGTAAAGAAAAAGAAACCTGCTAAAAATGAGGAGGCTGAAGAAATAACTGAAGAAATAATTCATAAACCGATCGAAGAAGCTGCAGTCATGGACGAACAAAAAATTGTTGAAATAAGAGAATCACCAAGTAAAACTATAATCACACGAAAATCAAGTACAGTTAATGAAGAGGGAATTTTAGGCGAATCAGTAGAAGATATAGTTCTGCATCGACCTAAACTGCGCTCAGCTGAATTCATTACTGATGACATTGGTATGTCAACAATAACAATAGTTGACGTCCGAGAAGGACCTATTGAAGACGTAATTGTTGAAACTAGAGAAACTCCTACACAATTGATTACAAAAAAGAAAAGAAAACCTATGAAGAAAGATGAGGCCGATGTGATTGTAGAAGAAGTTTTCAATAAACCTGTTGAAGACAAATCGATGGAGAACCAACAAATCGTTGAAATTATCGATAATGCGTTTGAAAAAGTAATAAAACTGAAAAGATCATCATTGAAAGAAGGTCAAGTGATGGATGAAACGATAGAAGAAATTGTGATTCCGAAACCCAATTTAGTCAATGCAATAGGAACCATCGTGCCTTCCGAAAAAATTGATGTATCCGAAATTATCTCTGAAAAACCGAGAGAGAAAGTGGACCAAAAAGAATCGATTATTTCTGATGCTCCTGTCATACCGCTAGAGGAAAAGCCGACAATGGAAGGTAGTGCAATAGTTCCCGAAGCTCCCATAACTGATAAAAAGTCGAAAAAACCCAAAAAGACGAAAAAAGGAGAAAAAACAGTGACATTCAATGAAACTGTCATGACTTCTGAAATTGCACCGGAAACTACAGTCACTAGGGAGGAAATTGAAAAACCCAAAGAAGAACAGGAGGTCATATTACCTAAAGTTGAGGAAATCCCGAAAGATGAAGAAGTTACTGTCGATAAGAAAGTGGAAGAGCTGCCCAAACCTTTAAAAGAGTCGGTTGATACTTGGGATGAAGAAAAATCAACAACTGCTGACGTACCTAAAGATAAAAAACCCATCGAGGACACAACAGAGAAGAAGATAAAGAAAAAGAAGAAGAAGCCTGCCAAGAAAGAAGAATGGGAAGAATGGGTAGAACCTGAATATGAACGACCAGTTCTAGAACCAATGCCAGAAAAAATTTCTTGGGAACCATCAAAAAGAAAGAAAGAAAAAATTCCGGAATCTACAAAACTCGAGAAACTTGTACCTAATAAAATTATCAGGGGAACAAATAAACCAAAACAGTTGACCTTTACTGAACCGAAAGAAGAAATCCAGTTTGCCACAATGAAGCTGAAAAAAGCTACAGCCATACAAAGGAAAGAAGCACCGGCTGTTAAATTTCCGAAAATCATGCTCCGTAGTCGAATCACGTTTCATGGAGAATATCCGCCAGAATTACAGTATTTGAAACTAAGTTCTATTGAACCAAACCCGCCGCAGGCTGGTATTTTATCACGAAATGCTGAGGAGGCAATGCAAGTGCTTAAAAAGAAAATGAAGAAAATAAAGTTACCTGAAAAAGAGATAGTGGAATTGGAAAAATTGGATCAAGACTTCGAAAAACTGAAGGAAATTCCTCTGGAGGAAATGCCCGATAAGTCTCTTTACCAACGGCAACCAAAGAAATCTAAAGAAGAGCAAGCACCTGCGAAGCCTCTGAAAATTGGTAAAGGAAAAATTCCAGAAAAACCTGAAGAAATGATTGAGGATGTCAAATTGAAGAAAATCCCGGAACAAGAAAAAATAGATACCGAGGAGGAACCCATTAAACCCAAAAAACCTGACGATGAGAAAAAATTGAAAACTGAAAAGAAAGATACGCCCCGAATGGATCTCCAACCAGTAGAACTGAAACCACTAGAATTTTCAAGACCTGAATTAGAGGAATACCAGCCACCAAAAAAATCGCCGGAAGAAGAAAAAGTTCCAGATATTGAAAAACCGAAATATATTAAAAAACCGAAAACAAAGGTGGATCAAGAACTAGAGCAAGTTCCTATCATACCAGGCATTCCAAAAGTACCTGAACCGGAAGAACAACCAGAGGTCAAATTTAGAATACCAGAACGGCCTAAGCCTGAGGACGAGGAAATACCAATCAAACTCAAACCTTGGAAAAAACCTACTCCAGAAGAAGAAGATACTCCAGTATCCTTGCAGGTAGAACCCAAGCCAATACCTGATGTGTTTAAAGAAACTGAAGAGGAGGTAGATCAACGTCCAGATCAAGTGGAAGAGTTACCCAAAGAAAAATCTGCAAAAAAGAAACCCAAGAAGAAACCAAGTAAAAAAGAAAATTGGGAAGAGTGGGTTGAACCTGAATATGAGCGCCCTGTTTTGGAACCAATGCCTGAGAAAATTGATTGGCAACCTACACCAAAGAAAAAGAAAGAATCGGTACCGCAAGATGTTCCACAAAAAATGAAGATTTCGAAAGAGGAAGTTCCAGATATTCCTGATGGTGAAAAGAAAATTCACAATATTCTTGAAGAAGAGAAGGAAGACGAGGATATCCCTAAAAAAGAGATATTAGAAAAGAAGCCGGAGAAAGTTGTAGAAACTGAAGAACCTATTGTTGAAGTGCGACTCGTAAAACGAAACAGTTCTGTGCCTGAAGAGGTTATTGAGGAAGAAGTCATTGAGGAAGTAACATTAACTACAATTTCTAAAGAAAAACCTGAAGAGGTTGTTGAAGAATTAGTAGTAAAGAAAAAGCCAAAGAAAAAATCGAAGATTAAGGAAGAAACGACTGAAACAACAGTACTAAAACAACCGAGTACAGTGTCGGAAACCCAAGAAGAAACTATCATTGAGGAATTACCTCCCATTCCACGTGCCGAAGATAAGCCCCGCGAAATTACTGAAGAAGTTACAATCAAGAAAAAGCCTAAGAAAGATAAAGTGATTAAGGAAGAAGTTGCTGAAGTTAAACTTCCAAAAAAGAAGAAAGGTATATCAGAAGTCACTGAGGAAGTCACCGAAGAAGTTGTGTTGAAGAAAAAACCAAAGAAAAAACCAAAGACTAAGGAAGAAGAAGCTGAAGCAACAATATTAAAACAAGCAAGTGCAGTGTCCGAAATTCAACGAGAGCATATTATTGAAGAAGTACCTTTGACTCCACTTACTGAGGAACAACCTCAGGAAATTACTGAAGAAATCACCTTACAGGAAAAACCAATAAAAGACGTTTTCGAGGAAACAGTAACTGAAGTGAGACTCCCGAAGCGAAAGAGTGTCGTACCTGAGGACCAGCAGCCAGACATTATTGAAGAAGTAACAGTAATAACGGTTTCTAAAAAGGCACCTAAAGAGGAACCTGAGGAGGTTATCGAAGAAGTAGTATTGAAAAAGAAACCGAAAAAAAAATCAACGATTAAGGAAGATGCTACTGAAATTAGTGTCCTACAAAATGCAACTACAGTGTCCGAAGTTCAAAAAGAAGACGCAATTGAAGAGGTGCCCTTGATTCCGCTTCAAGAAGACAAGCCTGAAGAAATTATTCAAGAAGTTACGCTGGAGAACAAACCAATGGAGGACACGAGTGAAGAAACTGTACCTGAAGTGAGACTCCCAAAACGAAAAAGTATTGTGGCTGAAACCCAGCAAGAAGACGTTATCGAAGAAGTAACATTAACAAAGTTTCCAAAAGAGAAACCTGAAGAAATTGCTGAAGAAGTAATACTGAAGAAAAAACCAAAGAAAAAATCGAAGATTGTGGAAGAAACTACTGAAATTACGGTCATAAAACAACCAAGTGCAGTTACCGAACTTCAACAGAAAGATGTAACTGAACTTGTGATTCCTCTGCCTGAAGAGGAGCCTGAGGGTATCGCGAAGGATACGATAATTGAGGAAGAAATAACAGAAGTAAGACTCTCAAAACGAAAAAGTGTTGTACCTAAAGTCCAGCCAGAGGAGGTTATCGAGGAAATAACATTGACGACAGCTCCTCAAGAAAAACCTGACGAAGTTGCTGAGGAATTAATCTTGAAGAAGACACCGAAGAAAAAATCGAGGATTGTAGAAGAAATTCCTGAAATTACAGTATTAAAACAACCAGAAACTGTTTCGGAAATTCAACATGAAGAAGTAATCGAAGAGATCTCTGTAATGTCTCTTCCTAAAGAAAAACCTCAGGATATTACTGAACAAGTTACATTAAAGAAAAAGCCGAAGAAAAAATCGAAGATTGAAGAAGCCACTACTGAAACTACTATACTAAAACGACCAACTATAGTTTCCGAAATTGAACAGGAAGAAATAATTGAAGAGGCTTCTTTAATTCCTCTACCTAAAGAGAAACCACAAGAAATTACTGAAGTTGTTGCTGAAGTGAAACTTCCAAAACGAAAGAGTCTTGTACCTGACGATTTTATTGAAGAAATAACCTTAACAACAATTTCTGAAGAAAAACCTCAGGATATTACAGAAGAAATCAAATTGAAGAAAAAATCTAAGAAAAAGACCACGACTGAAGAAACAGTCGCTGAAATTACACTGACAAAACCAAGTCCAGTCTCCCAAGAGAAACCTGAAGATATTGCTGAAGTAACATTGAAAACGAAGCCAAAAGAGAAAAAAGTCGTGGAAGAAGATACGGTGGAAATTACATTACAAAAGCAACCAATTACACCTGATAAACCTCAAGAAGAAATACATGAGGAAGTGACATTGAAAAAAATTCCCAAACCGAAAAAACCGGATGAGGACATAATTGAAGAAGTTTCTATTAAAAAGCTCCCTGTGAAACCATCGAATGAAGAACCCGCCGAAGTTACTGGAAAGATCAAACAAAAGAAAACTCCCAAAAAGAAACCTGTGGTTGAAGAGAAAGCAGACGAACTGACTGTACAAAAACCTATGTTGCTAAAGCAAGCAGACGAAGAAACTGGTCCCACATACGAAGAAGCAACTCCAGAGGACCATCCTAAAGCAATCACAGAGATAGCGACTGAAAAACAAGTGGAATCCTTGTTGGAGGACAAGCCGCAGGAGATTATAGTACAAAAATCATCAGAAATTAAGACAAAAGAAGAAACTTCAATCGAGGAAGACGTTGATGAGGTTACTTTACGGAAACCACACATTGTTACAGAAGATGTGACAGAAGAGGTAGTCCTTCAGAAGAAAATAGGAAAACCTGCGAAGGTGGATGAGAAATCGGACGAAATTACAATCAAAAAACCAGAAATTGTCACAGAGGAAGTAACAGAGGTAGTCCTTCAGAAGAAAAAACGCAAACCTTCCAAAGTAGATGAGAAACCAGATGAAATTACAATTAAAAAACCAGAAATTGCCACGGAGGAAGTAACGGAAGAGATAGTCCTTCAGAAGAAAAAACGCAAACCTTCAACGGTGGATGAAAAATCAGACGAAATTACAATTAAAAAACCGGTAATTGTACCAGAGCAAAAGGAAGATGAAGAAGTTATTCAGAACGTCCTTTTAAAGAAAAAAGCCAAGAAACCGCAGACCACCGAAGAGATTGAAGATGAAATTACTATACAAAAACCAAAAATCGATAAAACCATGGAAGAACCTGAGGAATTTTCAGAAGAGACTACATTAATTAAAAAACCAAAGAAGACTGTAGTCACTGACGAAGGTCAAGATGAACTTACAATCAAAAAACGGGTAGTCGAAGTACCTGTGGATGAGGTAGAAGAATCGGTGCAGAGTGTAAAAATTAAAAAGCCAAAGGCGAAACAAGCAGAGGAGTCAGTTGAGCAGATCACTATTCGAAAGAAACGAGAGAGAAAACCAAAAGTTGTTGAAGAATCAGAAGAAACAGAAATCACAATAAAGAAAAAACCGAAAGAGGCTGAAGAAACAACGAAAATATCTGAAATATCCGCCGATATTCAATTAAAGAAGGGACCGGGTCCTACTGTTATTGAAAGTACTGATAGCTTAGTCATAAAGAAAATCGAAGAACAAGTTGACGAGGAACCTGAGGTATTTGAAATTCTTGAAGTAGAAGAACCCGAGACAGTCGAAGAATATACATTCAAACGTAAGCCACCCAAGAAAGCTCCAAAACCTATGGAGAATATTTATGAAGATGTAACATTACGTAAATTACGACCAAAGAAAAAACGTCCAGATATCACCGAAATCACTGAAACAGAAAATGTCACGTTCAGACCCAAAACAACTAGAACAAAAGAAGACGTTGAACAAGAGTTCAAGATCTCTTTGAATGTTTATGAAGAAGAGGATATCTCTATGTCTGGGAAAGTTCGACTAAAACCGAAAAAACGAACACCAACGTATTCCGAAGAAGCGGGAGAAGAGACTATCAAAATTATCAAAGGACCAGAAAATGATGATGAACCAATCACCGAAGAAATAATTTATGAGTCAGATGATGAAACTAAGGAAGAATATAGTGTGGAAGAACTCGAACTTGATGAATTTAATCTTCCTCTGAGGAGAAAAAGAAAAACAAAAGTTCCCTATGCTGTGGAGGAGATCGAAGAAGATGATGTTAAAATGCCATTGAAGAGTAGCCGGAAATATTCTGTCGAAGAAGCTGATGAATCTTTAGCCCTCAAGTTGAAATCGAGACGGCGGGTATCTACATACGAAGAAGGTTTGTATTTTTTTCCCCCGCTAATGAAAATTGTCCACAAATTTTCGTAAGAAATTTATGTAAATGTTGATCTATTAATTTGACAGAGGCTGCGACGCTTGACATATCAAAAACAAGTGATATTTATGAAGAAGGCGAAGAGGAATACACAATTCACGAAGGCGATTGTATGTTTTCGGTTTGTACATACATTGCCGAAAATGATGAAGCTGTAAACTTAATAGAAGGAGAACAGGTTTACGTAATTGGTATGTACCGATTAATCATCGAAATAACGTTTTCATAAAATCATGATTAAATCCTTATAACAGTGGATATTGTTATCATGTCTCTATTCTTTTTTTCAATTATTCCAGAAAATACAAACAGTGATTGGTGGTTCATTAAAAAGTATTTGTCCCAAGAAACGGGTTGGGTTCCGGCGCAATACTTGCTCGATGAGAAACACTACGCTATATATTTCCAAAGAAAACTAAATGAAAAAATTGATAAACTTCCTGTTTTTGAAAAGCCACCAGCAGGCACAGATACGTATGCTCCGCGTTTTATCGAAAAATTGAAACCCATTCATACTTCCGATGGTTACACAGTGCAATTTGAGTGTCAAGTTGAAGGTCTTCCGAGACCTCAAATCACGTGGTTCAGACAGACAGCTATCATTAAACCATCTCAGGACTTCCAGATTTATTATGACGAGGATAATACAGCAACATTAATTATTCGCGAAGTATTCTCTGAAGATGCCGGTAAATATACTTGTGTGGCTAAAAATGCTGCTGGATTCGCGTCCAGCACAACAGATCTCACAGTAGACGGACCCGTATCCGATCATGGCTCCGACGTAACGGTACATTCGCGAAAAAGTCTGTCGAAGGAATCTTCCCTTACAGATATTCTGGAAGGCATACCACCAACATTTTCGAGAAAACCAAAAGCGAAATGTGTGAATGAAAATACAGATGTTATCCTGGAATGCCGATTAGTTGCCGTACCAGAACCAGAAATAACATGGTACTATGAGAACAAGAAGATACCTACTTCAGAGAATATTACAATTGTTACTGAAAGTGATATGCACATGTACTGCAGCTTAATGAAAATCAGTCGGGTTAAAAAAGTACAGGAAGGACGATATAAAATCGTAGCTACTAATAGAGAGGGCGAAGCTACGATTGAAATACCACTGAAGGTGAAAACTGGAGTCAAAGAGCCACCGGAGATCCTAGAACCTCTTGTTCCATTGGTAATCCGCGAGGGCGAAACCGTGGTATTATTTACACAAATCGTAGGAACCCCCGAACCTACTATCACTTGGTTAAAAGATGGAAAACCTCTAAAAAATCTGAGCCCTGTCAAAGATGGCGATATGAACAAACTCACACTGATTCAACCGAAAATATCAGATTCAGGAGTATATTCTTGTACTGCTACTAATGAGTGTGGAAGAATAGAAACAAAAGCGTCACTCACCGTGGAAGGTTTGTGTAGAAAAAAATTGACATAATGGTTTATTGATCTTGGATAATTCTTTCATTACGAATGAAAAAATGTTTCTCCATAGAAAAGTGTATATTTTTTTTTAATTTCAGAAGTGCCAACTGGATCCCCTGAACCGCCATTATTTATCGAACGTTTCCAAGAAATAATAGTCCCGGAAAAAGAAACATTCCAACTTATTGCGAAAGTGACTGGTAATCCCACACCTGAAGTTCTTTGGTTGAAAAATAATGAACCATTGAAAAAATCAGCCAATACTACTGAAAAATATGATGGTGAAAACATCATGCTTGAAATAAAGAGTGCAGATTCCGAAGTAGATTCCGGTGATTACAAATGCATAGCAACTAACTTAATTGGAAAAGCATCTCATGGTGCCAAAGTCACTGTAGATGTACCACGAGTCACATTTACCAAGAAACTTGAAAAACAACAAACTATTGATGAATATAAGACTTTGGAGCTTATCTGCGAAACATCGCACACCGTATCAACCAGATGGTGGCACAACAACAACGAAATAAGTGGAATGGATCATCGCGAAGTTATTCAAGAAGGGCGAGTGCATAAGCTTCGCATCAAAAAGATGAATATGAATGACGAAGGTCTTTACAGCTGCACCGTCAAAAGCCAATCAACAAGTTGTACTGTTACCGTTAAACGTAAGTATTTGAGCCTATATTGTAAATAAAATTAATACGGACGCGATAGCATTAACGGAATTGGATTTAATTATATATGCTAATCTTACAGCAACAAAGCCGGAGTTTGTTAAGAAATTACAAGATTTGGAAGTTACTGAAAAGAATATTGCTATCCTCGAAGTAGAGATAACATCAAATTCAGCTGATGTGTCATGGGAAAAAGATGGCCAACAAATCTTGCCAAAGGAGCATGAAATTGAGTTTGTGAAAGAGGGCACAATTCGCAAATTGTTAATACGCAACACATCAGTTCATGATGAGGGAGAATACACTTGTATTTTACCAGACGAACGGTGTAGTGCAGATATGACCGTTGTTGAATTGCCACCTGAGATTATCACGAAGATGAAAGATGTTCGAATAGTGAAAGGAGATAAAGCAACTTTCGAAATTGAATTGACCAAAGGAGATGCATTAGTACGATGGATGAAAGATGGTGAAGATTTGCAATTCTCTGAGCACGTAACATTATATATCGATGGAAAACGCCAAAAACTGAAAATTTATAACGCAGTTAGTGATGATGCAGGTGTTTATTCTTGCGAAGTTGGACACCAAACATCGAAAGCAACTCTTACTGTTGAGGAACCTGGAGTTAATTTCATTAGGAAACTTCCTGAAATAACATCAACTCCTTTAGATGAAGACGTGCTATTAACTATTGAAATATCCGAATCTGATATTCCTGTTCAATGGTTCAGGAAAGACGTATTAATCCAGGATTCGGATAAGTACACGATTATCGATGAAGGCGCAGTGAAAAAACTCATCATCGGCGGATGTTCCATAGATGATGCTGCAGAATACAGTGCGTGCATTCTGAACATGAAAACAACGACGAAATTGAAAGTTGAAATCACTGAGTTAGCTCCCAAAATTTCAAGCGAAACCTCGAAAATCTACAAAGTAAAACAGGGAGATAATGCCCATCTACGAGTGTCATATTTTGCATCACCAATACCTACTTATAAGTGGCTTGTAAATGATACCATCATCGCGGAAACTGATAGAATCGTTCCAGCTTTGGATGATGAGATAGCTCATCTTAAAATCAAAAGAGTCAAGAAAGAAGATATGAGCATTTATACTCTACAACTTCGCAATACATTTGGTGAAGCCACCACGACAGTATCCCTCATAGTTGGCCGAGAACCTGACAGGCCTGAAGGACCATTAATCATTACCAGCATTCAACGAGGAGCCCTGATGATGGAATGGAAGCCACCAAAGTATGATGGTGGATTCGAAATAACTAATTACATAATTGAATCATTCGACCCCGTGGAAAGAATTTGGAAATCAATAGCAACAGTGAATAACCACGTCGTAAATTACATTTTCGATGATGTGCAGGATGACGTTGAATACATTTTCCGAGTCATGGCTAAGAATGAAGTAGGCATATCAAAACCACTCGAGTCCAAACCTACTATGGGTAAACCTTGTTTTGAAAAACCAGGAATGCCAAGAGGTCCTCTAGAAATTGCAGGAATGACAACAACATCTTTCACACTCAAGTGGAACCCTCCAGAATCAGACGGCGGTTCTCATATTACAGGATATATCGTAGAACGAAAAAGAATTTCAGATAAAAAATGGCAAAAAGTGGGAATAACAGCAGATTCTAGCCCTCACATTGATGTCTTCGAATTGAAACCTAATACGAAGTATCATTTCAAAATAACTGCAAAAAACAATATTGGAGAAGGACCTCCATATTCTCCAGAAGAACCTATAATGCTAGGAGATCGTATCAGTACGTATTTTCCAGTATCATATTCCTCTTTTCAAGTTTAGAAAACAATTTTTAATGAGACTAATTTTTTCTTGTATGTGAATTGATTCTATCAATCATAAATATTGTATACAAAATGTGATTTTGTATTTTAAGTGAATTTTAAAGTAGATTTTAAGTATTAATTTAAACTCAAATGAATATTAATAATTGATCTCATTAAGTTTAATTGCAATAATTAATTACAGCACCACCAGGTAGTCCTATTGATTTGACTGTTACAAATATAACAAGTCGGAGTGCTACTCTAAATTGGTCAGCCCCATTAAGTAATGGAGGCAGTGAAATAACTGGTAAATATCTGTGCATAATCAAAGCCTGACATGTATAGTTTCAAACAAATTCTAAAAGTATCTATAATTGCTCCCAAACTAATAGGTTACGTCATCGAATTTACATCACAAACCGACAAAACTTCAACTTGGATTAAAGCAGCGACACTAGACGCAACAACTTTCCAATATTGTGTCGAAAATTTGAAGGAAAGCGAATATATATTCAGAATATTCGCAGAAAATTCTGTAGGATTGAGTTTACCAACAATTTCCGAAAGAATCACATTGAAAACCCATGCGACTGTTCCATCCCCTCCAACAGCACCCCTCGAAATTAGGCAGATTGCCGCTAATACAATAATAATTGAATGGGGAAGACCCGAATTCGATGGAGGATCGCCGTTAGAAAGATATAAGATTGCAATTAAAGACACTAAAAAGACCATGTGGATCGAAGTCGGAAGTGTTCCAGCTGACGTTCAGAAGCTTCATGTAAGAGATTTACAAGAAGGTCATGAGTATTGGATCAAAATATACGCCGGGAATGAAGTGGGCCTTAGTGAGCCTTTAGAATTGGATGAACCCTTAAAAATTGTCGCCGCCTCAGGTATATTTTACAAAAAAATCAAATGTTGTTTATGCCTTAAGATTCTGCTGAGATATTTTTAATACCAGATTAAAAATATTTAATTGTCTAATGATCCCGTTTAATAACTTTGTATGTTTATTTTAGAACTGGGAGTTATTGAGCCACTGGCGGAAATTACAGACAGAGGAGAAACTGCTTCAGTGACTTATAGTACTGAAAACACCAGTTCATGGCTGAGAGAACACAATATGGATGCAGATATTAGCTCATATGCACGTGCTCGCCTTTTGAGAAAAGATGAATATTTCTTCAAAATTTGGCATTATGCAAAAAAATTATTCCAATGAAGTGTCACAAAAAACACTGAACGTTATCGATTGAAAACTGACAGACGATTTCAAACTGAGAAAATGAGAGAATAGGTATGATGATGAAACTGATCCGAAAGAAATTCGTAAAGTACATATTTGTACAGATAATATTAATACGAATTAACGAGCGGATAGAACTATGTATAGGTGTGATTACTGATATCCATCAGTTTATGAATGTATTTATTCCTAATTTAATTTTAACATCTTAACACTCGAATGCAATTTTGATGCATCATATTAAAGTAAATATAGCTTAAGGTTTATTTTGCTATCAAGTCCTGATTTTAAAAGAATTGTTAAGCGACTTGAGATTATATTGAAGAATAATGTAATATGAAGTGATATTGGTTGATAATGAGACGAAAAAAATATAGGTGCAAAATAACATCGATCAAATCCACCAATATCTCAATATATTATGTAAAATTCTGTGATCAAATGAATTTTTAAGAAAAAAAAACGAAATAAAGACATTAAAATCAAAACAAATTCGAACAACTCCCCCCTTAAAATAAAAAGAATAAATAGATAAATGTCTATGAAGCTGAACTCCTAACCCTAATAGTTGAATTTGAACATGAAAAACTTACAATTGGCGTTCATGAGTCGATTTGAGTTAGTCCATTTTCTTGAATTTGATTTTTGAGCGGTAGCCACGATGTTCTCCTTCATACACACTGATTTTCAACTACACAACCATAAAATATCTATGCTACACCAGAAATAAACGCACGTATTGCCTCACTGACGCGCACCACACAACTGACTGGATAGTATGGCGTCTACAATAAGCAGCGCACGCAGCTTCGCGCAGACGCAGTTGCCGAATAACACGAGCAAAGGTAGTACGCCTGCGCGTACTATAATGTGGGGGATAGTAACAACACAAGATAAGGGAGTGGGGGAAACATCAGCTGTTCGGTGACAGTTCACCGTCGGTTGAAATGGTAGTTGTGTGCTTGTGTTCTGGCAGAAAAGGCAATATGGCCGTCAACTGATCGCCTACCTCGCACTTCGCGTTATAGCCCAGAAGACAAAGAAACAACGCAGTAATTCAACGTAACTCGGGCGATTTTCGTTAATCAACAGTTGAAAACATAACTCATTATTGCTGCTATTTTATCAGTGCTCATTGTCATTTTGCTGCGTATCAGAACCTTGAATTAGTGTAAATTAATTCGTTTTTTTTAACTTTAAAAAATATATAAGCGGAGTGAGAGGGGCAAGGTCGAGCCAAGGCAGATTAACAATTGATTATAATGCTGGAACTCGAAGTTGTACCCGAAAGATCCATCGGTTGTGACCAGTGGGAATTTATTTTAGGTGAGTGATGGAATTTATCATTTGTATTACGCACAAAACGTGACAAAAAATTTTATGTGCATCATTATTATATATTGAGCTATTCCACTCTATCTTTACCTTGAGAGAATCAAGAGAGGGAAGGTTAAGAGACAAAACGGTGAAAACCTAATATTTTGTCATTTTTTCTCCTGTTGGGCGTTGTGTTTACGTTCTATCATGTATTCCCCCCTCCCCTGCACTTCTCTTTCTAGAGCTAGTTCTGCAGCTAGTTATTTACTTCATTTCATGATATTTCGCATGAAAATCCTGTAAATGTCGACAGTATTTTTTTTTGGTGAAGAAATTATGTAATTATTGTTTTGAAAAAAAAAAACTATTGCTTGGGGTTTGCCAAAAATGTTAACGTGGGATTTTTATGTAACGATGATTTGTTGTAACTGCGTTGGTACAATTGTTGATCAATTTTTGGATTATGCAGAACGTGTTGTTCATTCATTATATTTCAGGTATGCATTTTTCTCAATCCGTATCGATAATACAGAGTCAAGTGGGCATTATTAGAGGTGTACAAGTACTTTATAGTGATACTGTAAGTATTTCATTAATTCATCATTTTTGTCTCATTTGAACTTGCATTTTTACACGACTGAGTCACAATGTTCTTCGATTCTTGCAGAATCCATTAGAAGTAGACCTAGTAATAAATTTACCGTACGATGGGGTGAGACTTATATTCGATCCAGTAGTTCAGAGGCTCAAAATTATTGAAATATACAATATGAAACTTGTTAAACTGAAGTACTGTGGTTTGCCATTCAACTCGCCTGAAGTTTTGCCTTCGATCGAACAGATTGAGCATTCTTTTGGTGCAACTCATCCAGGCGTTTATGATGGTGATAAACAGGTAATTGTTTATCATAAATAGCAGTAACTATAGCAAAATATGAGTAAGCTTGATAATTCTGTTATTTATTTTCAGGTGTTTGTGCTCAATTTTCGAGGATTGTCATTTTATTTCCCAATCGACTCAAAATTTCAACCTGGATATGCACATGGGCTCGGTTCATTGCAATTTCCAAATGGCACATCACCACTGGTAGCTAAAACTGCAATTTATGTGGGTAGTATGGCTGCTGGTACCGTGGGGAGTGAAGAGCATTGTCTCAAAGCACCACCGCCACCATTACCATTGGTCAGTTTTAATTCCTCAATGGTCCCTCTCTTGTTTCCATTGAGCAATTGATAATTACATTTTGCTTATTTTCGTAGGTCTGCTACCACAATAATTTATATTTAGAAAAAGCTGAGGTTATCAGGGATAAAATGAGAACTCGTGGATTGAAACTTCATCTTTTCACCGAGGGGAGTTCAGCAACGCGAGTTTTACTGGAGCCTAAAAAACATAATCTCACTAAAGAGGTAATCAATTGATTCATTGGCCGCTTAATAGAGGCATAATTGATGGTTTGATAATTCCAGGTGTGGTTTGGCGAAAGTTGTGAAGATGTTCTGAGTGCACTAGGCGCTCCTTCGCGAGTTTTCTTTAAGGCTGAAGATAAAATGAGGATTCACAGCCCTCATGCACACAAAAGAGACAAAACGAGACGTTCTGATTTCTTCTATAATTACTTTACGCTCGGAATCGTACGTAGAACTTTCTTTCAGGTCTTCCCCCTTGCTTATGAATTTTGGAAAATACTCTCAATATATTTTTTGTAATTCAGGATCTTCTTTTTGATGCAAAAACTCAGTGTGTCAAGAAATTCGTGCTTCATACCAATTATCCAGGGCATTACAATTTCAATATGTATCATCGTTGTGAGTTTACTCTGACTCTACCTCCCGAAAATAGTCAAGCTGATTCTGGTAAACTCATCGATGTCAGCCCCTCGCCAATCACGGTAAGAATTCATTCCACTGGTGAAAATGGAAATCAAGAGGTTAAATTAGTGCTATTAATTGTTTTTTAATGACAGATCACTGCCTACACAAAATGGGACAAAGTCAGCGAGCAACTGAAAGCAAGTTCTCGCCCTGTAGTTTTGAATCGTGCGTCCTCCACAAATACAACAAATCCATTTGGTTGCACCTTCTGTTATGGGATACGTGATGCCATCGTCGAAGTTATGGCTAATCAGCACATTGCTAGTGTAACCCTGTACATGTCGGCGTGACCCTGGTAAATCGCTGCATTTTTTAAACGTAAAAATAGTGTCCCTTTGTACTCCAAAGGATGAGGAAAAAATAAAAAAAAAACATAAAATACGAAAACGGAAAAAAATACTGTTAATCGAAGATCGAGGCAAAGTAATCCTGACACTTCGAGAAATCCTTGAAACGGATTCTCTAGACGTGGATGACAATTCGCTTGCGATATGACAGAATTATAATACGTGTGAAGCAATTTTATTTATAAACGTTCCGTATGAAAGGTCGCTCGAGGCATATGAATTTCATTTTTCAAGATGAAAATTCATAGTCAACGAAAAGGACTGTAGATCACGCTATGACACATGAGATGCGTGAGTGAATTATTTTCTATGCATGGGCCTTTTGAAAAATGATAAAAACTATAAAAATGATAAAATTGACAAAAAAAATGTAAGAATTAAAGGGATTTAACGTAAACGTTAATAGATAGTAAAGGGCAATGATCATGATAACTTTAAAATGATATTAATATTGAGGACAAAATTGTCATGCGATAGTTTTTCATAATTCTCATCAAACTAACACGCCGAATAGACATTTTAACGAAACGAAAGATAATTTATGAAAATTCATCGTTAGAATTTTTGTGCTAGAACCTGTTCATCAACGCATCGTGTTATTTTTTCATTTTTTTTAATTAGATGATTTTAAACCGTTGACTCTGGCTGACGTTTAGAATTGAATTTTTTCTTCGTAAGACAATAAATTCCATATCTTTGTGAGATATGAATCGGAGAATAAAATATGAAGCTAGTGAGGGATTTTTTGTTCTTCAAAAAAATTGTGGTGATTGTCAAATTCTTGGCACTTGTCAATAGCTTCGGAAAGAAGAGTAAATTAATGTGTACATATCTCGAAATATACATATTTAATAAGTCGTTTCATCGTTGCGTTTATGTGCAATGCAGAAAAATACAAAATTGTAAATAAATTTGAGTAATGGTGAAAGTCGGTGACACATTTTTTCGGTTACTTCAATGAAATTCTAATGGTCTTTAAAATATTTTATCCTTTCATTTCTTTTCAACTCTCAAATCAAAATAGACAGAATTATTTCGTAGGGTGGGAGTAGTAAAACTTGGAATAATTGTATATATAAACGTTTAAAGACAACCATTGTGATTCGCATTAATTCTTTGGCATCATTAGTCGGCTAAAAGAAAGCATCTCCTGTAAATATTTTTTATTTCCTCATGGAAAAATAAAACGAGAGAAATGAAAAAGCAACTCAATATGTTTTCTTTGACATAAAAAATTACTAAATTGAAGTTCACATAAAAATAACCAACGAAGACCAATTTTCTAATGACAAGTTTTCGGAAAATAACTTTTCCTTATTTTTTTTCCGTTCATTCTAAATGCAAAAAAGTAATTAGAATGGTTTCTAAAAACTCTTCCCTTGCATCACTAATTGCATAGAATTCAATTGAATTATTTCTTCAACGAAGAAAAATGCCTATGATAATCATGCACTGCAACACGCACTCACATATTTAATTTCCTAATATTTGATATGCAAATTAGATGAAAATAGCTGAGAATTTAAAACCATCGCAGTTGAATAAGCGTGAATTTGACGTTTTATTAGTATCGTTTATCGATTGGATTGCACCTTTTTTTCTATATTTTACAAAGAGAAATTTATTCATCATTTCGATCTTACATTTATCTTATTAGGTGCGTCTGTGCAGATTAATCTCCCAGTGATTAAGTAATTCTTATGAATAAGAATCAAAGAAAATTTAGTTATGAAAGTATAATTTAATGAAGGATAGCAGTTGTAACACCTTAATGCGCGTCAACAAAAAAAAATAGATTAATAATTCAATCCAATTTTGGAAAATGGAGTTCACCTATAATCTTTAATCGTCGTAGATATAATTTTTTAATGTATATGCAAGTATAGCAATACTATTTAATCTTACGCATTGTGAACCTGAAAATGAAAAAAATTGATAAAACATGAAAATGCAAAAAAATTTCAGCCGTAAAGGCCTCTACTAATAGTCTATTGCCTGTTTTATTTCTGGTATATTCATTAAATTAAGTCATTAAGGAATGAATTGAGCGTTTAAAGACACGGAAAATAGTTTGAGAAATCTATTATTTAGTTGAGTGACTGAAAAATCGCCCAGACCCAAAATAATTTCACTTTTTCCACGAAAAATCTTGAAAGAAAATGCTCGAAAATTTCAAACTGAAAAATAAAATTTACAATGGTGATTCCCTTCCTCTTCAGTTGATGATTGACTTATTATTGGAGAAATGGAATAATTCTTGGAAAATTAAGACAATGGAAATAACTCAATTGACATTTATTCTTCTTTTTCTCCACATGACTAGTAAATTATAAATGATAAAATTAATTAATGTTGTCTGACCTCATACCACTTCGCATTGCATACTCCTTTTGTATGTTTACCTGATAAATAAAAGATCTCAAAACTGCACGGTGATCTAAATATTAAAAAATACCACAATCCAGAATTTGGTGGAGCCCTTCACAGGGGACAGGTGTCCATTTATCATAAAAATATACCAGAAAGATTCATTTTTTGTTCAGAACAGTCGTTCAAAGTGATGGTCCATTTCCACTGGACTCTCGCACCCCCAGGAGGGCCAACTCCCCAGGGCATCATCTACTAAAAAATCCTGACTTGTTCTATCCAATAGAAGTTGTGAAAACAAAAGGAGAACTTCCATATTTTCCCTTCATTTTCACCAGGATATTTTTCCACAGTTCCATACTAGCGAGAAAAGTTGGAAAATGAAAATAGTGAATGAGACAAATAGCTCTGAATTGGCAAGTTATTCGCTGATGGAAAAGTACGGAAAAATGTGGATTGTGCCGCTGATGAATAAACGAGGGCTGGTCTACGGTAAGGGATCGAGGGAATAATCAAAAGTAGGGGTTACTAGCACAAGCGAACCGACATTCTCCGATAACTACCGACAATATCCGAATGTTAAGTCGAGTCGTCTTGCCAATGGCATTCGCAAGTAAAGCTCCGCATTGCGCGTACGTTCGAACATCCCCGAAAGCTCTACAACAGATTAATGACATAAACCCGTAAATTAATATCTGATATTTCAGTAATTTCTCCAATTTTCATAATTTTACCCTCAATGGTCTCTTCGCCATGCGCGACAAAACCGAGAAATCGATTTTCAACCCTTGAAAATAACTAATTGAAAATGTGCTCACGAGATTTTTTTTCGGAACATTGGACTCTGCACTTGTCGGATGAGTGGGGAATAGTGTAATTATGATTTTGGAGTAATGTTAAAGTGCAGTGAACCACGTGGGCATTGAATCGATAGTGCAGTGTTGTCGCGCAGGGGTCAATCAACCCGGAGCAAGTCGGGGTCAACTCCTCATGCGCTCACCGGAGGTAAGTCGTATGCAGTATTTCCATTATTTTCCCTCATTTCATTGTTCCATATTTTCCCGAGAACCGCGAATACCGCTATCTCAATGACTTTTCCCTGATCCTCGTGAAATCCCCGGAGACTATTTCCCCGTTGATCTCGTATTCCTTCTGTATCTTGCCGCTCCTTCGTCTCTCATTTCGTCACAGAATGGATTTATTCTGATAATTCGGAGACATCGTCAAAAGTTGCGTCCGGAAGTTACAATTTTTTTTACTCTCTCAGATGGAGACGGGGAGATCGCTGAGTCAGATCGTTGTACATTGTGTTGGCTCTTATCCGTGGAGGGTTTTTCTTCTTGGGGTTGAGAGGAGATATTTCGACGTTGAGGGGAGGTCCAGAGGGTCAGACCCTTGTGATCTTTCAATCCTTCTTTCAAGGGTTCTGAGTAGTGAGCAAAGAATTGATTCGAACCCGAGCCGTGATTCAAATCCAGGAAACAAGTATTCACCCTCAGGTGTAACGGAAAGATTTATTTACGAGGTTCAGGTACATTTTTATTCGAAGTTTACGTGAATTTTTTTTATGCCAAAAACCGTGGGATATAATCCCCGAGGAAGCCAGTAGTATCCACCGAGTTTAATCTTACTCATGGGTATTGGAAACTTCTCCCCGTCTCCAAATACCGTATTATCGTTCATAGCTGTTTCCACTATTCCGTCGTAAATCTCTTCATGTTCATTCTATGAACAAAAAATTCTCCAATCTCCGAGAAGAATGGTGAATGTCCCTGGTGAAATGGCGTAATCTAAATGTTTCTAAGCCCTTGTAATTGAAAAACAAGCATCCACTTAACTTTCCGCTCTCTTGCGATCACAGCTTAAGAAGTTGAAAATTCCATCAACATTCCAAACTTCCATTTGCCATTCGCAATTTACTTATCCGCATCTCAATCGCTCCATAGAAAGGGGTCACAATGGAATACGAGCCCAAATGTCATTCATTCGGGAGATGAGTATTTTAATATATCCGTATTAAAATCTAGTGACCCATTTTGCCGATGGGAAAATTACAATACGAGTAATTGGGTCAAACAACAGACATTCAAATGCTTATGTGGATTAATATGTATGATCCATACACATTATTTCCACCTTTTCGGGGGATCAAATTAGTTCGGAAAATCAGTCTTCATTAGCAGGGGAACAATTTCAAATTAGAGAAAGAGATAGAGATACCATAGAAATAATATTTCACCTAATTTCAAGTTGGATTTAGAGGTAAAACATTAAAGGTTGAATAATGCCACTGCTAATGCCAGCCAGTAGCCATTTTCATTCCGCGATTTTGTCGAATAGATAATATTATCATTATCAATGATATACTATCTGTGAGTTTAATTGCTTTCATTGGCTGCAAGAATTTAAACCGATTAAAAAAAAGAAATGGAGGATTTATCGATATTTAATTCTCCATGTGTTATATATTTACAAATCCACTTGACGCATCGTGACTGAGAATTTATTGACATGTGAAAAGTGAGTGTGCAGTAGAAAATTGAAGATAAACAGGAGAAATGCAAACAGAGAAGATGAAAAACTGGCAGCAATAAATATGACTGATACACAATGAAATTCCAATTGATGTATGATTCGCGTACATTATTCAAGATGAAGGATAAACGAAGTATCATTAATACAGACATTTGAGAGAAATCAATAGTCATATTTTTCGAGGGGTATCGATTGGCTCGTAATTGACGGGATGGGATGAATAATAGAGAGACCAAACAGAAAACATTGGCAATTAATTCCGTTTTGTTTTAACTCATGGTACATCAAGATATATGTACCTATCGACATGTACGATATTTGCATTGATAGTTTCTGTATCGATTATGAAACCTAATACGACACTTGCCAGGACACTGGAGCGTCGGATCATAGATTGGTTTGATTCACTTTCTGCATACATAATATATTGCATTAGCATTCTCAATGCGTACTAGCGTGGTTTTACCCCCGGGGAGAAATAAGGATATTACGGTGCAAGTCGACTTGTAAAGGTTGTGGTAACCCAACTGCGTGTAGAATAATTTTACCGAGGGTGTAAACTCTTTTCGATTCAGTTGTCCCCGTATTTTTTGGTCGGTCAATTTAATCAAGAGCTTTAAAGTTTTCCATCAATTCGTTTCTCGGGAGGAGCGAGTGTGAGAGCTTTCACGGCTCGTGAAAATTTCTTTTACACTTGGGTGAAAAAAATGCCAGCACTTTGTTGATCGATGGTAGAAATGGAGGGTAAAAAAGTAAAGGAGGACAGCAGTGCATTGAGTTTATCAATCAAACGCAACTTCCTTCATTTGGCGAATGGAGCTCACTCCATAGAGCGTCTTGAAAAACCATCAGCAGTGAAAAGAGGGTCAGTCCATTCTTCTAGAGGTTCGTATGGTTGGCTCTATGCACAAATATCTCTGGTGCATTTTCTGGCTGTCGACATCCTCAAAGGCCCGCAAATGGCAAGCGCTTTCAGACGCTTCATTTTTCACGATCAATCGCGCATTTGCGGCTTGTTTTATTTTTCAACTGCTTTTTAGAGATTTTCCGTGACACAGCTAGAATTTTTGTCGCACTCAGCAAAAAGAGCTGGTCGATCATATTTTATTTCGCGGTGTATGCAATTTTTGGAGATTTTTTTTTTGTTTCAACTTTGCAATTACATCAAGTCCTGGCTATCTGAATATAAAATTTATTGTCCCAAGCGGTAACGAACATGGGGGCCACGTTCATTACTGCATTATTGTTCGGTTAATCCATAAACTTCGCCTGTCATTGTGTATTGAGCAATAGCACGGTGCTAATAAGAGTAGATGCTGCCTCGATTCGTACAATATTAACAGAGACCCCTTCGCGTTACCATGTACCCCAAAACTTTCCCTGTCACAGTCATTAAAACTTTGGAAAACTCGAATATCACACTGCGAATTAATGTGAAAATTTTCTTAACGAGATTTTGAATTTTATGGGTGGAGAGAATTGATAAAAGGAAAACTCTGGTGTAACTGGATTGGTCTGATTGTGAGTACAACTGACGATTGAGCAAACAGGGTTAACAATTACTGTGGAATCGGACATGAGGCATCGTCTCTCAATAATTAGTAGAATGAGGTGTACTCAGGGGGAGGGCAACAACAAACTAGACAAACAAACACGCAATACGTGCTGTGCTTCCTGTGCAATGCAAAAACTCGGTGTTATGCTGTGTCACGTACTTGTGACTTATCAACAGCTACAGTGGGAAGTCTCTTCATTTCGGTCTATTCTTACCGTACAGAAAAAAATAAAACAACATACCTTCGGGCTATTTCGTATGCAAAGTGAGCTATGCTATCCTGATATACTCTACCTATCCCATAGAAATATGAAATTTCAGGATTTTTCGTTGTGGAATTTCCAGTTAAATGAGAACTCAGAGGGAAATAATCAAATGGGGGAAAGGGGATGGAATAAATATTGAGGAATCTTGGAGGAGTCTCAAGTGGTCGCTGTCTTATCGAGCATCCGTCTTCAAGTTCCACGAATGGAAGTCTTCGACAATAAATGGAATAAACTCTAGGACGCGTGACAAATAGCGCTTACCACTCATCCAATGCCGTCATTCTTCTCAGAAATTCTTTCTCCGCGCTTTCATCACGATTCCAAATACATCCACGTCCCTTTTTTTGGCTTTATTATTTATTTTTTAATTGAGACTGAGACAATGAAACCGTGAACTTCTGGGATCATTCAAGGTGTGAAACAATTCGCGGACCGTGATATTTCAAAATTTCTGGGCAAAAATGAACAGTAATGAATTTATTCGCTGCATAATGAAATAATACCTCTCCCAACTTCATCGGCCATTATTTTTACCGGTGAATTGCCACGATAAATCATGGTTTAATTTGTGGAGATTTTAAGGTCAAATGGAAAAATGGTTATTACTCAATTATTATTTTTTTCTCTACCGCCCTTCGACCCATTCACCTTTCCGCCCTTTTCATCTCACCACTTGAACAGTTCAATTACATTTTTAGTCGGAAAATCTAAAAGGATTGTAAATATTTCTACAGTTTATGGATGAGAATCGATAGGTTGTGGTAAAGCCCGACAATTTTTTCCAATTTACGGGACAGTGAATTACTGGACGTATGTAGCATTTATCTGTACTATGCGGGTTATCCTAACCGGTGTCGATCGAATGAACGTCATAAGGGGGTCAAAAAGGCTCTCGCAACAAAGGCAAAGTCACCGAGGGAAAAATAGTGGATGGATACCGAATCCCTCTCTTCCTCTTCAATCTAAACCCACCCCTCGTTGCCTTCTCCCAACCCCTATATGTTTTCACCCCCTCAGTTTGAGTGACTCACCGTTAGAGTGCGTTGCTATTTGCTAACTGAAACTAGACGTTTACGTTGAGTTGTCAGTATACAATCGGGTACCAACCGAGTTGTACCGCTCTGTTTGAAGAACAAGCGGTACACCTCACGCGTTTGCAGATTAAAAAATTCTAAAAATAAATAAATAACAATTCCATGTGTTTTTATCGAGCGATAGATTTTACATCAACTGGATGAAGGTATTACCTCTGAGTTTACGGTGCTATTTTAATTCTTGGCTTTCATTTGAATTTTATTGAGTAATGAAACAATGTTTTGATGGGGGTGGGTATGTTATGAAAGAGATCGTTAAATAGGTCGAGAAGAGAAAGGAGGTTATCCACCGGTCACATTTGTTTTACCCTGTGTTGAATTTTATAAATTGCTAATTACAACTCTTTAGTCGTTTTTTTTTTTCTTTAATTTTTTAGTTAAAGTTTCGTGCGGATTTTAGCGATGCACGTGAGACGGTGAAAAGCCCTCTCGTTATGTTTTTCTCTTGAGTTTCGTAATGGCTTGCGTGACTGATTCATTAAGAAGCGTGAAAGAAAATAAATTGAGTGCTTTTCCTGTCTGTACGTTGGAAGAATTTTTATTCCACCGATTACTCTTGAATTTTTACGCAATTCGGTGGTTAATTTTTCGGCTTTTGTCGACTCCTATTGAAAATAATCCGATTGAGCAAGAGAATCGACTTATCGAATGCCGAAACCAATAACCACCGGAGAAATTCATTAAAACTCCATGAGGTGTAGTTTGATTTCACGTGAGGTATTTATCCAATTATCTATTCTGTATAATCGCTCATAAACGGTTTTTAATCGATAATTGCCCCATGAATTAAGTTGATAATTATATATTACATCCGCCGTTTGCTCTCATCATATATTTGTGTTCAAAGTTTCTAAAGCCCTGAAAGAGGGTGCGTCAGGAGTGAGTGGTGGGATTTACCTCATGATCTTATAGTCCCTCACTTGAACCTCAATTGTAGCAATAATTCAAATAGCTTCGGATATTCTCCTTGGGCCAGTACTGAAATCGTAACGAGAGCTAAAATTAACAGGAACCACTCAGTTCTAAACAGATGATCGTAACTAGACACGCGATTTTACTCCCTTTTTCTCACTCACATCATTTTCTTCACAGAAGGTGAAGTTATAGAGAGGTATATGCCTTAGCGCCTCGTAAATTCTTGCTGTATCCGTTGTAGATAACAGCCTGTCCCAGAAATAAAAAAGTTTTCTTGTGAAAATGGAATCAGGTTGCACGCGAACTTCACAATTACAACCAATTGCCGTAATTTATTTACTATTTCCCGAATAAATCTATTATCACAGAATTATCAATTCCCATTTACAGCAGTGAAAATGGTTATTGACAAAATATTTTGTTTGGGAAATAATTTATTTTTCATATGGCCCCTGGAAAATTAATCGGGCAATTCCAAATATTTGTGGCTCTGCGACAGGAATATTGTTCCATCGGTGGTGTGTTGACGACAGGTTATCGACCCATACGTATCCTTTGAACCCCCCAACCATGTCTCATTCGTAATTTCTCTGTGATATGCCCTATATTGCCATTTCCCGGTTTTCATCTCCTGAAATTTACGTGCCATTTGAAATTATTACGAGAATATTCAGGGTAAATACGTCCAACTCGCAATAATTCTTTGGTTGAATGAATATTTTTCCGAGGTGAAACCGTTATGATTATGAAAACCCTAGTACCTGAAGAAAAGACTCACGTGCAGTCTAATTGATCGTTTAATCGCGTGCACGTTACGGTGTTAACAAAACACACGTTTGAGAATTGTTGGTGGATGGGAAATATGAAACACAATGTGGCTAGGTTTCGTGTATCATGCGAAGTTATCCAAGAGCTTTTTGCATGCACTATCAGAGGTACTTAGGGTTTTAAATAGCCCAGACATGGCAAAACTTTTATTAATGAAATGCATTTCCACGCGAATTCATTCATCTCTTTCTCCTGAAGAAAATCTGAAAATCACAAGAACGCAATTATCAATTAAAAATATTAACAATTACCATTATTTTCCCTCCTACCAGGAAATCAGTTTCAAAGACAATTTACGGAATAATAGAGTGATGATAAATATTTACTGCTGGAGAATTTAATTGTCTCGTAAAGTGTTGGGGGAAAAAGAATGAATAAAAGGTCCTCTGGGTAAGAAAGCAATTTGCCTTTAAAGTAATTAATTTAATCCAATTTTCCCTGCGTTGGTATATACCGTGGATTTATTCAGCTTGCCCTCTTTCGTGTTTTTCCACTTCACTTTTTTTATATTCTACTACTCCGGTAAATTATCTCTATTCAGTCTACCAACGATACAAAGCCGGGTGAAAAAAAAAAAAAACAATGAAAAAATTGAAAAATTATGGCCGAATGAAGGAGTTCCCCAGCATCCACTCATTCTCCCCTCACTTAAAATAAAGAAACAAGAACTAAAACGTAAAGTACGTATTGCAAATTCCATCAAGCTACTAGAGTTCAATGAAAATAACTCGTAAACACGTGTTAACATATATTTCTGTCCTACTTTCAATTGTCGGGCATCGGCAGCGTTGCCGGATCGATTATACACGAAGTACTCTAACTATTTCATCATTCTTGGTAATTTAATCTCAATTTATTGTTCATTTACTTCGGACTCGAACGAGATGATTCCCTGCATTCCCAGAATTAATCCCTCATACTTTTCTGCCCTCAGATATTCGGAGGTATATTTCGGCTAGATGCAGATCATATCCAGCGGGGGAAATAAATTCCAAACAATCATCATTGGAGTAATTAATGCAGATTATCGATGATCATCGCGTGGGGATTGATCGCGGAATGACAGGCCATGACTGGATGATAGGAGATACGGGTTTTACGTGGATGGTATTGGGCGTTGGCGTTTTACGCAGTGGAATAAAGGATAGTAGTTGGAGATTCGGCGAGAATCGCAGGGGTTGAGAAGTTTTCGTGACGGAGGGCTTTCGCACAGCACTGGCGCGACTGCGGCACTGCACCCCACCCGGGGGTTCCCTGCCAAATACCCCCAATCCGCCTGCCACCCCCGAGCACAAGGTTCACGTAAGTTTCCCATATTTACTCATTTCTCATCGGATATATTGGGGGAATTCCCTACATTTCTCCCCTTTTATTTCCGCATATTTCGGGGAGAGTGTACACTGGGGAAGTCTTTTTTTTTTTTTCATAAATATATTTAGTAACTACATGAAATTATATTTGGCATTCGCCAGTCTCTCGGCACATGGTTCATGTGAATTTTCCATATTTACTCATTTCTCATTCGAAATATTCGGGGAATTCCCCATGGCTTTTGGATTTTATTCTAATTCCGGTGAGACTTCACGTTGAGAAGAATTTTTATCATTTTTCCGTGGTATTCTAGTTATTTTGTTTTGGTGATAATTGCTCTGTTGTTTTATTTCTAATTATAATACCGTGAAAAAACCGTCTCGACGAGTTATTGAAAATGTCATTTGATTTTTCCAATTTTATTGATTCGATAAAGAGTTATCGATAATAATAAAAAATTGGTGGATAATTTTTGGAGAAAGTTCTTGACATTGCAGATTGAAAATTTTGACAAGGTACATCACGAGAATAGATCGCGTGAAGGGATTTAACGTTAGAAATATGTCTGACTCAAACGTGACTCATACCACTGGATTATATGCAGTATATCACGAGAGAAAGCAAAATCCCTCTCTCATTTTCGTCGGTAATTCCTCATATTCATCGCTCCGCTCTATTCCTCCATTATCGTGTCTTTTTTCACAGGAAAAACATGTACCTAACCCAGTATTACCACTTTCCCAGGGATATTTCACCCCATTCACCGAGAAAGAATGCGACACGTAAGATGCACTCGTGGAGGACTTTATACGCGTCCAATATTACACGTTTTTCCACACTTCCATGCACTTTTCCCTCTTTCTCCTTTTTCCACTTTCGTGGACGTCATCTGTTTTTCCCCCGGACAAGAACCAATAACGATTTTCCTTCCCTCAAAACTCCTCTCTTCCTGCGTTTTTGTTTTTTTTTTCTGCTACTGCTCTCATGTACTCAGAAGAAAATTGCACAGAATGAAAAATTCTACTAGCACGACTTGTGGTTCTACTGTGATGCATCCTTTTTTTTCCTCATGTTTTCGTTTACATGATACCTGTGAAAATGATACTGTTTCCGGAAGTACGTGAAAATGAGTTGTCTGTCGAGTTTGAAGAAAGTGAATGGAATTATTTTCCCGTTGATATTTCATTTTCCTGGGTGAATATTAAATGTTAATGTGCAGAGGCTTTTAATAACGTATTTAATAATATCCATAATCGAATGATTAAAGTGCAATCGCACAATTAACTTGATGAAATTGTTTTCCATGGAAAATGAAAAAAACAAATATCCATCTTGTCATTAGAGTCACGACAGTAGTTCAGCGATGAGTAAAAAAAAAAGGAATTGAGTGTCAGATGATTTTTATCATACGCTTCACGTACTGGCATACCACATGGCGTCATAATCTCTCTGTACGAACCTCTCTTACGTTTTTTTCTATCGTCCCACGCCACCCCTTCCGAACAATGCGCAATTACAATTTCTATAAACCCGGATAAAATTCAAAATTCCATTATTACTAATAAATCAAGCCTAAACAAATCCCAGGATTTCATCGCGTCGTGTCGAATTGATCACTCCAAAATTTAATCATATTAACAAACTAATTACTGCATCCATCATTGGCAATTATCCCAGTGCAATCTTTTAATTAGTGTGATGCTGCTGCGGGAAATGCTGATTGAATGCCATAAGTCATCTTGATGACACAAATATGTCAATCAATTAAAAAATATTAATCCGACGGTCATTATCGGTGTCACAAATCATCACTTGAGCAGTCGTTTCCTATATTTAGATAATCGCGTAATAATCTGAGTGAAAAAATCCTCTTGAATTCAATAAAATAAACTTCATTGAGATTAAACTCATTCCCGTGTTTATCGAAGGGAACGAGAGGGACTCGAACAACTGATACATTCGAGTCCTCAATGCTCAATACCGAATAAGGGCGTATATTCCTTCCGTTTATTCGTCTCATCCCATCTCTCCCCTATTCTCGTTAAATCCGTACTCTCAACCGTGTCAAGTACTCAAGTATAGGTACCAAGCCATCCGTACTTAACCGTTGACCGGGAATAATTGTTATGGATTCGGAGGTTCACGGTAACCCAAACTTCTTGGAAATGTTACCAAAGTTATTCAAGATTCAATAATCTCCCGAGAAGAGTTGAAGACTCAGCGGAAAACCCACTGAATCACCGCCTCGGCAGAAACTCGAGATCGAAAAAAAAAAAAAAAATAGTATTGAATTCCAAAAATAAAGGGTAAATGGAATCAACAAACTCCGCGTAAAAGCGAAACTGTCGCTAATGAGGACTGTGACAATGCGGTGAAACAAGAAATAGGAGAAAAAAAAAAGTAATGGATGGCAAATGGGCCCGAGGGCTATAAATCCCTGCGAATGATCGGATGTGTACGACGCGGGAGGGGGTCGGGGGGTTCCCCTGACCTAGATATTGCAACCAACCACGACCAGTAACTAATAATATGGACACAGGTAAACCTCGCGAGCTAACGCAATCGATTGTGTCCGAGCGTATGTGCCACGGAGCGAAGCCTCGTTAACCATATACCCATCATCCTGAAGAGACGAAGACTCAGTGGAAAGAAACAGTCTATGTACCACAAATATGTACCAACAGAGAGGGATATATATCGAAAAAAAGAAGGAGAGGTACCATGTGATCATACCAGGTGGAAAAGTTGCCCTCGTGGTTATTCCACCGAGCGGATGAAATTCGATCCAGTCAAAGAGACTTCTCTCGCTCTTTTCCACGAGTAAAGTATCTTATCGCTTTTTTTTTTCGCATATCTTTGGATCCAATAAAAATTCAACATCGATTGAATATTGCCAATGGTAAATCACGCGGGACGCTCCACTGGGGTTTAATTAAATTCGGGACTGGCAGTTTTCAATTGGAGTTGAGGTTTTTTTTTGGGGGGGGTAATTGCTGTGGAAGTTATTGTTTATCGGGTACTCGATGTTTTGTCATGAGGGTAAATCCTTCGTGGGAATTTTTCGGCTGAGGGGCCCTTTGGCTTTTCCATAATAATTACGAAATGGTTGAGTGAAAAGTGGAATTGTGCCCGTCCTAGGAACTTTGATGAGCGTTGGTGGAATTTCTAGGGTATTCCTGGGGCGATCATGTCGGGATAGTGCACCTTTGACGATATGAGAAAGAATTGGAAGAATCGCGCTACCAATGCCAGCTTATCGTCTACTTTTATTGTCAACGTCAAGTTTGCATTTAGATAGAACGAGTGGAAGAGATGAAGAGGAGAATAAGAGGACTGATAAAATGAAAAGTGTAATGTGGAATTTTCTGTATCGGATGGTTGAGAAGAAATAGTACGTGACATTGTTTTCGTTGGAGGTAGATCTGAAAAATTTTCCCTGATTTTTTATTTATCTTGAATCGAAGGATTTTCTTCCGATTAAATAATATCTCTTAAAGCCCTCGGGCAGTGGTACAATTTCACCGTTGACCCAACTATTTCTCACGTTATAAATTTCACTGCGTAATCGGGGGATGAAATTTTCCAACATATTTGAATTTCAAGTGATTTTTCATGAATATATACATTTTTTTTTTGTTTTCGTTCGCTTTTTTTCACTTCACTCTCGGTGAACGGCCTTTCTATCCGGGGCGCAACGGACCGGGAGTTTCGACACCTCGTCACCTTTTTCTGTTCATCCGCCCATACATACTCTCTTCCAGTTCGATCCCCCGGTTTACTTCGTGTCTGGACGCTGCAGATAGGTGTAGAACAAATAGAAAAAAAAATCGGAAAAACCAGTTTTCCATGAGGAAAACTCACTCCCGAAATTACGGCGCCATTCTATGACGAAGTCATTTCAAAGTCGCATTTAAATCATTTGAAATCAATTAACCAAATCGAAGTTCACGCTTTTCATAATTCATCAAATATTCTATCTATCATTCTTCAATCACAAGGTTCGGGAATGATCTCCTGTGATTGCGCTGAAATCATCGGTCATGAAGTCTCATTAAAAATAGGTTAAAGTAGTTGACTTAATTTAAAAATAAACTGTGAAGTAATTTCATACGTTAAACGAATTGGCGTATAAAAATGATTTTGCTGATGATTGAATGAAATAATTGAACAGGGATGCGTGGACAATCGCAACTCGGGAAAAGGATCAAGGGGTGGTACAAAAGAGACAGGGGAGTCGCAGTCGCCGCCAGTACGTGGAAGTAGTCATAATGCGACTGACAGTGCTATCAAGGACGGCGATCTTTTGGCACACGCTGCATCCGCTCTCAAAAGATTGCACTTTCAATCAGCGGGTGGTAGTCGCAGCTGTCGGACTGTACCCAACATTACAACGGTACCCCAGGTTGTCGTCTTCAGTTCCAGTACAGCCTCCATCGAGACGACCATCTACAACAGCACCGACAGTGCCAAGACAATGGTCACTACGGTAAATCGCCTATATTAAATTTAATCTCATTAAATTAATTTTTTTATTAATGGAATGAAAGAAAAATTTTCAGGTAACAACAGACTCGGAACAGCGTGACGACAGTCTTGATCTGATCGACGAGCCCTCGGAGATGTCACCACCCGCTTCCTCAGTTAATCATTCGGCCTCACCTCCGTTAAAAATCGATTCAACAAATTTAGAAAATTTATCAAAGAGCACAACAGCCAATGGTACACATCAGCGCACCACTGCCCCAAGCGTTGATGCACCATGTGGAGGTTCAGCAGGTGTCAATACCATTAATGGTGTTGGTGCACCACCACCGACACCCCTTATTGGTGCACGTCAGGAAAATCGTTTTACATTTACCAGTGGTAAAACACCGGCATTACCCGATCTCCGAACATCTGACTTCAGGTGAGTGATTTTTTTGCCGAATTTTACAGCATCATTAATATCTCGATTCACCGAGGTGGTTAAATTTCATCGGAAATCCGTAGACACACTGCTGCGAATCATTGAACGTAGAATATTAATGGCTCGAAAGAGCCGGTGTAGTTTGAGTGGAATTTTATCCCGAAATTTTTCCATCAATTATTACCGCCTAATGTTTCCCAACTCTATTTTTGCCCCAGGATATCTGTCAAATATCCATAATGCCGATGTATTGAGCGTACACAGACCTCTCGGTTAATCTCGATATAGTGTTCAATCGATAATTCGTCAAGTTGACGAGGGTCGAGTTTCGCCTTTCGTTCTCTCCACAACTCCGTCACGTGTATCGTCAGCGTTTACATACACCCGTCACTATTTTTATTTTCCATGTACAAATTCTCCACAAAGTATCAAATATACAATCTGCATTGAGTTATGCACAATTTTGCCAGTGTATTGACAATTTTCCCGAGTAATGAGGGTCGCGTGGAAAACACCAATAAAATCACAGCACCGAAGCAATTACCCCGCTGTTCAAACCTATTAAAACAACACTGTTATTGCGTCTCAACGAGCGACGTACTGTGCCATTGCTTTCACATCAAGTTTATGGAAAGTGCACATTGTTTACGGCACTTGTGGAGAGAGTTCGAGGGGGATAGGGTAGATCAATAATTGATATCGAATATGCCTGTGAGAATTCGTTTATTCGCACGCCCATATTGCCTTATTGCCATATTGCCATATTGCCAATTGATAGTTTGGACATTTGGTAATAATTCCAGTACTCCAGTTCGGGGATCTGTGGACGCAGGTCAGCCAGATCCCCATCACTTGAACTCGATGTTGGCCCTGGTAGCTGCCAAGGAGAGTATGTTACAAGAGGAACCCGCTGTAATAAATCACATAAACGCAAATTCAGGCTTGAGTAGAAAAAATGATGCACAAATAATCGGTGATGGTAGAGAGAAGGTGAAACAAGCTAAGGGATCGGCCAAGCCGAGTATAAATGTCACCACAAATCCTCTGGATATATCACTCTGCGGTACCCAACCAACCTGCAACACCCAGACATCGGGGAGTACCAGAGGCCGAGGAAGACCACCAGGTAATTACCGGGTTCGTTTTGAATGCAGTCAAATTGTTGATTAATTTTGTTTCATATCTCGATGAATTAGATACTCAGCAGACCAGTGCACGCGATATTAAGCTTGATTGCGATTTTATTAGAGTCTTTCAGTTTTGATTTTTCATCGTAAATGAAGTGCAGAGTCGGTACTAGAAATATCCGATGACGAGTGAATGAAATAAAACGATCGAAGATGTAAATTCGTTGCGCAAGTTTTTCATGGTATACCGTGGTGAACAATATGGGAATGATTATTTTCGTTTGTCGTTGTTTGAGATATTGCGAGTGCACGGTGATAGAGGACTGTTTAAAAAGTGATGGAAAATGCAGGCGAAAAATATGAATTGATTGTTCTTTCTTTCAGAAGCTCATCCCCTCGTTTCAACCATTCATTCATGGGTCAGGCTCTTTTTCCCGTTTTGCGCAATAGGTACAGTCCGGGTGCCCCAGGAAAGAACTCTTAAATGCGAGAACATGAATGGACTTTTTTTCGCAATCCTTTCAGTACATTTTTTTTTCACATTGAATCATTCACATGATTTTTGGAAACACTCTTTTATAGACTATTTCGCTGGTTAGTTGAGATAAAAGGGAAACGTCTTTCTGGGCTCTTTCTTGGGGTGTACGAACTCGATGAGAGTACAAAACACGTGGCGCTTGTTAGCTTTGATTTCTCTCATTTCATTTTAAATTCGAGAGGCATAAGAAGATGAATTATTTATTAACTCGGCCAAATAAATTCTCTCTGGAGTTTTGTGAATATTAAAACGCTCTTTTACGAGAGATATTTTTTTTATTCCGAGGTAATTCTGCAGAATTGGAAAAACGCGACGAAATACTTTTATCTTCTTATATCGTCTCATCACACGTCTATTTATCTCATTTTGTCCTCTCGCAAGTGCATTTCGTGAGATTCATGAGACTTGGTATCACTCTGTCGGGATAACTCGGTCTTTTATTAAAAATTCCGAGATGAAATACTCTCTGAGATTTTCCCTATGCCAGAGCAGAGTACCTGATAAAATAGCGATGAATGGAGTAAATTCTCAATCATAAATATGTGAAACTGATGAAGATCCGAGAGTACATGAATTGAAAATTTCAAGTAATATTTTATGCCACTACTCCTGAGTCTCATCTATAGCTGCCAATTTTTTTTTTATTTCTCATGAGCTATTTTTCACCAGAGCTTTACAATATTCACGACTCGTTCACTCGTCAAGACACCTCAGAGCGTCAACGAGGTATTTCCCTATGAATTGAACAATTGTTCCTCGAGGGAAAAAAAAAATTCAACACCACTTTTGAATAAATAAACGGCGCCCCGAGCACTGCACGCCCCATTAATATAAAAACACGAGAAAAAAAAAAGCGCGATAGAGTTCGACACGAAAAATGGTAGGAATTAATTAAAACCGTTGAGTGAACAAAAATTGGTGGAAACGAAACATTTCGAGTAAAAGCTGATGTTGGATTAAATCGACGAACTTGAAGCCCTCGTGAATAATTGAAATCCGGACGAATTCTCTGTTTCGCAATACTTCAACGATTTCGATCAAGTTGACATGGCGAATTGACTAGCAAATTAATGTGCAAATAAATGGTCAAGCAGATGATTGCAGGTAGCAAATGACGAATGTATTTACTTGAATTATTGAAATTTGTAATTGAAACAAATTTTGATGCTGCTGACGTGAGAATGGGAGACATATGCATTGGCTTGATACGACGTATTTAACCGTAAAATCGTCAAAATAATTTGATACGTGGGATAGTAATTTTAGCCGATGATATATATTGGTGGAGACGGTGAAACGTGCTGGTGGTTCAATAATCGATGGGGTTGTATATGGAGGCATCGAGTTAAATCGATTTTCCACGTATCCATACGTGCCATCGGAGTAAAACCACGTTTGCGTAGGGTAAAAGGGCACAGACGAGCTCGAGTCTCATGACGACATTTATGGTGTTTCAAACAACGAGGGTGTGCTTGATAGTGCACGCATAACAAATGCAATTCACCGGTTGATACTCTATTGAAGGTCTCATCTACCGCGACTCCAGTCAAAGTGTAATTGATTATTTAATCGCTTGCCCAGGGGTTTCCAACGGTTAGAATTCAGTTAAGCGTTGGAACCAGGCCCTTGCATTGCTCGTATGTACAGGCCTATTCAGTTTCCGATTACGCCACACTATAAACCACGGAATTTCCACTATTGACTTCCGATGATTACTCGTGAATTTCATCAGAAATACAATTCATGGCCTCGTCGACGCTCAATCAAACTCTATCACTGTCTTTCACCTGGCTATGTATCTTCGCATCTCAATTGCAATAGGAATGCGCTTTAAAAAATTAATATCAATCATCTTGTGGAGATTTGAAGATAAGAGTTTTTTCACTCTTCAAGGAATAATCGATTCACCCCAATGACTTAAACAGCTCTGAAATTCTCAAATTTTCACGTTAATATTTGTAATTTCTTTAAAATCCTAAATTCATAAATATCCCATTTTCTTGAGTCACTGGGTTACGTGCTCTGTGAATAATTTTAAATGATATTTCACAAGCTAAAAAGTACTTTGAATCTCCTCAAACTTGTGAAACTCTTAGATAAGTTCAAAACTGCCTTGAACTCGGTCTTTACACGCGCACATAAATTCACTGAAGACAATTTTATCGCTATGGAATGACAGAGTGATGTTTCAAAAATACATTAAACGAATGGTAACCCATAGTGAGAATGTAATGTGAAATAAATACCAGTGTAAATACAATGCAGTAATTCACTGAATTTTTATTTGTGAATTTGAATTGAAAGGTGGAAATGCCACCGGAACAAAAAGAACAGCGCAGGCTACAATTGTGGTACAACAGCCTTCTCTATCATTGGATGCACCAGCAGCGACAATATTGCTGAGACCGGACATTGATGCTAGAAGAAGAGAAGAGAACATGCGACAAGTATTCGACGTTGCTGGTACACTTACTTTCCAAGAGATTCATGACATTGAAATGAGGTCAGTCGATTTTCATTAACTCCCTTATTTTATCTCCTGCCAACATCCAAATGCCATTTCAAAAAAATGAAAATGAAAATGCGAGGATTTCACTGGTGGTCTCCCTTAATTTCCTCTCTTCCCCCATCGTAACTCCTCACTTGGACATTTATAACACAACATATACCCCCCGTCTTGCGTGCGACAGCACAGTTTGAGTAATTTCCTTTTAGCCAGAATTTATCGTTTCAACCCCATTCCAATCTACCCACCAAGATGCTTATCTTTGCAATTCGAAATTAGCGCAAACGTGCTATTCACGGTGTGCACGAATTTCCATAATGACACGGTGTTTCAAACTGTTGAACTCCTACCCAGACAGATGAAAAATAGCGCATGTCAGTTTTAAAAGCATCCGTGGGATAGAATTGACCTCGATTGGTGGAAATTTATTGGGTACCAATTGCGGGTAGAGTCAAGGATTTGAGTCTAATGTCTATTGACTCTGAACCACTGAACATTTCAGGAGAAGCTTCGACTTTCTCACTTCTCCAATGATCATTACACTGAATAATTTCAATTCTCTTTCCCTGAATGTCTCATTTGGCCAAAGCTGGAGTGTCAAAGTGCTTTTTTTCGCGTCATTCCCATGAGCGCAAAAGCCGGTTAGTGAAAAAACATGAGACCTGCCTTTGCGTTCGGTCACGTTCGTATTCATTTATTTTATCCCTCAGTAGAGTGAAAAGGTATAAAACCGAATAAATTTCCCATCCAACTTGTGCTCACGGGACGGTATAACAGCTAAATGACGCCGGAAAAAAAGTTTTGTGGCCGAAAAAAAAAGGAACAGCGAGGAAAGAAGTAAGAAAGATTTGTGAGGAGAAAAAAAAAGAAAAGGATAAGAGGTGATGGGATGATTCGAGTGATTGAGTCGAGCAGTGAAATATATCGAGGACCGGGAGGAAATAAATGGCAAATTGAAGAGATAGATGTCAGAGCGCCCAGTTGGTACTGCAATGAGAATAGTACTTTCTCTTGACTTATATTCCTAACATTTCCCTTGTCAGGTACTCCGGATGTACAGTGGGATGAGTATTACATCCGCTCAATTTAGTCTGGTAAAGACTTATGTATTATCGAGTCTGATTTTATGCCATTGTTAACTCTCGATAATTGCTCGGTATTTCAAGATTATTCTGTCTGCAAGGATAAAATCAATGGAAGGGCCCATCTGTGTCTGGGGATAATCTATTATTTCTAGTGTGAGAGTAAGAAGGAGACGAGAAAAAGAGACTGTACCTTGTAATTTCACCAGGAAATGAAAATAAATTCTTTTTGCTTCCATATGCAGGCTTTGTATTGGGCCTTATTCAAATTGCCATTTTTTATCTTCTCGATGATCAAAGAAAAATATTATGAGCAATATCAATGGAACTGAATTTCAGAAAATCCATTCGGAAAAATAAAATCCCATAAACCAATTATTTAAAAAATAGGAAATTACCACCAGTTGAGGACGACGTCGCGAAATTTTGATTCTATTATCACCTTGGGGGCTTGAGGAGTATCAGGATGAAAATTGGATCATTAAAATATTTATCCCATGTGGGAACAAGGGCTGAATTGTCCGCCGGACATAAAACCGAATTACTGAGTTCTCTGAGACACGAAAACGTCCACCCAGTAACATTGTTACACACAAGGGGAAGACCGGAGAATGAACAAGAGAGGAGTATTATTCAATATCGAAGAGGACACCCTCGATACCACCACCCTTTTTGTGTTCGTTGAACTGACTGAATGAAGGAGGCTGTTGGGAAATTCTTGATATGACAATGTGAATATCCTGTGAGACAGGGAATTCTCAAACTTTTCTCATCTTCCAACTTTTTTCCCCGTCTTTTTCGCTCCAGAACCAGCGAACACAATCAAGCACTGATAGACAACCCTGATCGACAGAAAGACTGTCTTTCATTATTTGACGACAGATTTCTTGAGGTACTACAACCGTCGAAACGCGTATGAAACAATATTTTTTTTTATTAACAATTTAAAAACAATCCATTTCTCTTATAAACGGCAATCTTATAATAACACATCTCGATTTTTTTTATTTTAGAAATTTTTGGAAATCTTGAATGTCAAGCGAAAGAATATTAAAAATTGTGAGAGGGTAAGATTACTCTCGTCTAATATCTATCCATCGATATTTTGTTCCAGATACGGTAGTCCCCATCACAGCAGATCGCAATCGGTGAAGACACCGGGGAGTCGGTCATCGGGACGTCCAAATTACTTGTGTCTTCCACAGCAACGATCTCGTGTTGCCAGCATGCCGAATACCGGAGTTGAAGAGGAATACTACAGACTGAGGCACTTCAGCATAACGGGAAAGGGTGTCGTCAACCGTGGTGATTCCCTTAAAAGCCGACGATCCCGTTCCAACAACAGCGTTGCCTCGAGCAACTCCAGGTGAGCACAGATGTCACCCTCAAGAGCCCACCCACTTGCCCTCACTATTTTTCTTGCTGTACGCCATTTTAGCCATCACTGACACGCTCAAATGCCTTTGTAACATTTCACCCCGAAGGATATATGAGCTAGGTGGAATTTTCGTACACTATCGGGTATTTTCATCCCCCAGGTCTCGAAGGGACTCACCCCCCGGGTCGTAAAGCCATCGAGTTTGTTATCCCAGGGTTGGGGATTTCTTGAAATCTAATGGCTCAATGGATATCATTCTTGCTTATGTCATTTTTTTCAATCATCGTCGTTTAAACAACTGTCAATTGACAAATCGATCAGTCAAACATCGTGACGTTAACGGCGCGAAGGAATGGGGAACGGGAAAAAATTATCCAGAAAATGGCTTTCTGCCATCAGTCTCAACCGGAGAAAAAAAAACCGTGACAATCCCCTATTTTTTTTTATCTCTTGTTCCGTACTTGTACGATAAATTATCCACTAAACTCTCGTATCCCTTTTTCTCCTTGACTCGAAAGAGCTAGAAGTACCGAAGCGGTAAGGGATTGAACGAGTTTAGAACAGAGAAATTCAATCGGAATTTTTACCCCCATTCCGTATATCGATGGAATCCATATTCACGGAAGTCATGAAATACGAAATAACACAAGTGACAAGTTTTTCAAGGAGAAGGTACACTCCTGCGGTACTTTCTTCTGATAAAACTTCCGGGTGACTGGTTATTGACTTTTCCAAAAATAATCCCCATTACCTGTTTCATAATCCAACTAAAAGAGTTGGTAAACGTGATCTTCAGCTATCGGGATGAAAAAGTGGTTCTTTTGATAGAAAAACAAAAAGAAAAAAAGGGAAAAAAAAATGGGAGGGAATATGGGACTGGGGCTTTATGAAGTTCGGAGCGGTGATATTGAAAAGCGAACACAAAGTGCAACACTGAATCAATTACAGTGATGGAAATATTGCGTTAGGTTAGCAGCACAGCCTATACTTGCAAGCTGTGAGGTTGCTGCATGCATACGACGTTAGAGTGGAGAGACTTTAGGGAAAAGCCTCATCTATTATAAGCGACAACCTAACACCCTATGATGCATCTTACATATGCCATCATGCATGAAGGCATTCTGTTCGTATAATTGCACGTTCATTTATGCCATTGAATGTTACACAATTTGATTAAATCCATTTCCCATTTTGAATTGACATTGGAGGGCGTTATCAATTGTGACATAATATTAATGACTTGATAATTTTCTTTCAAGAAGAAAGGGCCGTCATTGTGGAAAATTCATTGAACAAATTGATAACTGAATTAATTAATTGATGGTTAATTATAAAATTTCAGGTATTCTCTCGAAGCTAAACATTATAGGTAATTTTTCATCTCCTCTTTTTTTAATATTTTTCGATTAAATGTTTTTTTTTTTTCTTTTAAAAACAGTCTGCCTTTTTTACATCGAAATTTCGTTGATATCTGTAGATGGAATGGATCCATAAACTGTAAATATTGAATTTGGGACTAGTTTCTTCAGTCCACCAAATATCGATAATGCTATTTTTCATTATAATTATGAGCTCTCAATAATGTCATGCAATAAGAGGTTTTTTTTTTTCACACTGCACTTTTATTTGTTAGCACACTTGGGGGTTGTATAATAGCCATTCTATTTTTTTTTTTTACGAGGCACATCAAACGGTACCACCGAGGGTTCCCTCAGATGATTTTCAAGGCAATAAAAACGACGGTAAACAGTGATATTTATTTCTCTTCCCTATTTCTGTGTTTATATATCTGATGTCAACAAGAGGAGGCAATAACAGTGTTAGAAGAAAATAAATGGATAGAGATTGGGATCAATTCTCTAGATCGAACTCGTGAGTTTACGTGTGACGAATTTAGGCAAACGTAGACCCGCGTGTTAGACCTTAGAGTGTGATCCGTGACCATCAAATTTGTGGCTTGACCAACCTATACCCAAGGGTACATCTGCTAATGGCAAATGTCCACCTGATGAGCTGACACAACCAGGTGAATCCACGTACACCGTACATAATATGGCATCTCTATGTATTGATCGACCCTCATCGAGTACTTCAGGAAATATGTTTTTACGGTCTACCCCGAGCCAGGAAGTACCTCGTCTCCTGGCATCCGCTGGTTGAAAAAAAAAAGCCAAAGATCATCAGAGATGAGAAGGAAAACGGAGAAAAAATAAAACTGAAAAAAAAAAATTATAGCACTGGTACGACAAATGGACGCAGCTGCTGAAAAAAAAATGTGGAGCTGATTGAGTAAATTTTCCAGGCGAATATTTCCGATTTTTTTTTGTGTCCACTATGAGTAGAATTAAGCGATTAATAAATCCGTGATTTAAAGTGAGGGAACAATGGATTCAGGTGCTATTGCCCTGTGGCAAATACAGATAAATCAGGTGTATTTGGAGTCCTTTGAGTTTACCCAGTGCCTATAGAGGCATTGTACAATCAGGTTGAAGCAGAATTCCGTCATGGTATACATCATGTGCAATGCATGTGTCAGCTATTCCCCTTAGTCCCCTCTTCACAATCATTAACCGTCTGCCTTGCTCTAGAGTGTTTCAAACAGGATAATTTCAGTCCGTTCCCCCAACCACGTGTATTTGCATTGAAGGATTCAATTGCTCCCCCAATTTTCCCCTCCCAGTAATCAATTGGAGTCAATTTTTTAGCGTATTTCTATCGTTATCTATGATTAAATTGTTACGTGATAAAATATGGCAGTTGAGTGGAGGAAGATCAGTGGTTAACTGTTGTGTACAAAATGTTTTGTTTCAGTACCGAGCATTTAACAGCCTCTTATCCGGGATCAGCGAGAAATTCAGCTGCTGGTTCGTTAGCGAGTTCGCGTGAAAGCAGCGCATCACAGGGATCAACTCCTTATCGCGTACTCATGCTAGGTGCACCGTCTGTGGGAAAAAGCTCACTCGTATCACAATTCATGACGTCCGAGTATCTGCACGCCTACGATACCTCCATCGGTGAGTCCATTATTAATCTAGTTGAGAATGATATTCGAGTACATCGTAAAACTTGGGTAAATGAAATTGTAGAGAAGAAAATAATTGTCTGAGAGGAGTATCACTGTTTCCGTGGCTTCGACCCGGATTCGCTGAGTAGGAAACAGAATGCACTTGATATTATATATTTGCATCGATGAGAAAATTCATTTAATTGGCAATTATCAATACTGGGTAATTGGCAATTGAAATATCAAATTTTCACTGGTTAAAAATTCAGTGTTACCTATTCTTCCAATTCATCTTACCTAACGATCAAATCCAATTAACCGAAAGAGCTGCCATCAACTGTTGTACGTATCTCATATGCGTGACCTAGTTTAATTTTCATCCGTCACCAATCCGAGTTGCTTGATTTATTGCCGAATTAGGATCGATGCACGCAGGTGGTGTAGAAAATGGAATATTCGAGTTGCTGAATTTTTAACTGCTAGGGCATGTTTTCGGGAAATAATTCCCATGCAATCGCCATAAATATTTAATAAACATCACTATTGATATCACATATCGATGCATCGATACTCTATTAAAAAATAACAGCTGAACTTTCAAATACAAGTATTTGAAATTTTTAACAGCAGAGAAATACATGACATTTCTCAGTCTATTAAAAAATCCATTACCATTTACTGCGAAAATTTTGTAATTAAAATTTGATGAAAAAACGCTCAATAATATCGGGATATCAATAAATATCTAACAGTGTACCTCATCCCCCGAAAAAAACAAAACTGATGTTCTAGATTCGAGAGAACACAAAATTCTAGAAAATGTTGACTGAGAAGTAAGAGTTTTCATGGAGATAGTCAACACCGTAATTGGTGTACACGTCATCCCCTGCCCGAGGAAAATTCTCCCCATCTCTAAAAGCCTAACATCTATAAACAACATTCAGTACTTGTTGATCTACACCCTCGCCTCCCTGATTTCTTTCATCTGCATGCGTCTTGGAGTTTTACTTCCCTTATTTACCCTCTGAATTTTCCATTCGCCTCAATCCGCCTCATGTACGCGTGAAAATTCATATTTTCCACTCAAAGAAACTGATTGGGACTCAGACTGGGTGAATAGTCGAATATTAAAACAGAGTTTATTTAGTATTTTGAGTAGCAAATTGTGTTTCAGATGACGAGTCAGGAGAGAAAACTGTGAGTGTACTGTTGGCTGAGGAGGAATCGGAGCTCACATTTATCGATCATCCGAGTGCTGAAATGACGGTGAGTTTTTTTTACATTGAAAAACGAATTTCTAGATAAAAGGGCGAAGGGTGCACTTACCTTACCACATAATAAAAAGTTACCCAGAGGGTTTTATGTCATTTTCATCCAGCCCCGAAGTATTTGACGTCCGACTGCTTCTGTTATTTTTACCCAGTGACTTCCTTACCTTCAACTAGAGCAATAAAACCGTCATCTGAAGAAGCTATTCTTTTTCTCAGAAGACCACGACAATGCTTGGATTTTCATCAGACACAATGGGTCATAAGAGTATGAGAAATTTTTTTTTACGAAGAAGCTCAACCGCGAGAGTTATGCAGACTTATTCAATTCAGTCAGTTGATATTTTATTCTCCGCTGAATGCCTAAGTCTCGCGTTATAAAAGGCCGTGGAAAGACCAAAACATAATTGCAAAACTTTCTTAATCAAGGAACTTCTGAAATGAACAATAGTTCAACCTACTAAAATTCAAAATTGCCATCGAAATATGCGATCAAGCCGTTCATTTTTGCCTCCGTCATGGCATAAAATGTCAAGATCCATCATTCAACGTGCGGCTGGTACTTGAACAAGTTGAATATGCGTTGTTTTAGGAGATTGTGGTAAACTACACCGCTAAACGTCACCCCCAGTGCCCATAGAGTTTTGATTGTCCGGGTCAACCCAGGGTACACAGTTCCCATTCGCTGTATATGCCCTGATACATATGGATATTCCCTGACCTTTCCCTCCGTCATCTTGAATTATCATCTTCATTCTCCATTCAACTCAATTCCCAAAACTCCGTGGAATTATTTCCGGGCGTTAAGATAGAATAAAAATAAAATTCGAGTTATTGGATATCGAGTGTCGAGGCAGTAAGTGGGTCGTTGTTTCGAAAAAAAAAAATAATCTCTTTTATAATTATTTATAAATTGCCGTTTCCTCCGATCAACTTCTCGAGCATTTCCTCTCTCTTCGCAATGAGCACTTAATTATCGTGGTACAGTCAATATCTCCGGCAAAATAATTTTGGAAGGTTATTATCACTGGTGATAGGCGGATGAACTCTCGAGGTTTTCACCGCTGGTTTAACGACGTTTATCTGGTAACTCATCACCGAATAATTACAGGGGAGTTGGTGAGACATATGTATTTAACTGGCGCATATGTAAAGATAATACGGCAAAATCCACTCGGGTTTACATACTATTTTACCTAGCACACGTATGGGTTTTATGAGTTACCGAGGGTTGACGGATGTGGATAATATAATGGGATAGGATCAAATATCAAAATTATTATTTGAAAAGTTCTAGGGAACCTACATTATCGTATATCTATCATCTTTGGAATACCTGGGGAATTACCGGTTCTCTTATAAAAAAATTGATTTTCCATAGATGACAAGTTGGAGATGACTTTTTCGTCGGGGATAACTCGACTTTTTAATCTACAAATCGTAAATGGAATGTAGAGCAATCGGTTTGAATATTCGGGAAATTGCTGTGCAATGAAAATATTTGGGAAACATTCGTGTACGAGGCGCGTCGAATACTTTAAAAAACTCTGAATTTTTGTTATAAAATAATAAATGAGAATTACGAGAATATTCTAGAGATTAAATAATTGATCGATGAGAAATAGTGGAATATTTCAAATTTTTCCACTTGAAATTTTCATCGCGATTTTCCAACGAGAGAGAATTTGATTATTAGATTGTTCGTCACATCTAGTGAGTGATGGTACATAAAAGAAGGAATTCCTCGTATTTCCGTCGTTTCATTCCTCTCATTTACTCTCACTGAGGAATGAAGAAAACCCCGACTGCTAGTCGGAATGATACGCACCCATTATCAAAGGCAACTGTTGAATATTCCTTTGGTCTCGAGTCTCTCTGCACTTTTGTCATAAATTGGCGGATAGTGCTGTCGAATAGAGAATATTCTAATGCGCACAAGATAAAAAATGAATTCCTAAGGAGCTTGCCAATCCGCTCTCTCGATTTTTATTATTTCGTGTTAAAAAAAAATCTTTTTTACTCATCATATTCGCCAGCAACTCTTTGATGTGAGATAGAGTAGTTGTACTTTGACCCAGATTTATCCGAAAATTGGAATTGCCATCGTCCATGTTATGTCCATTTACCGTCACGTACCTGTGAACTTCATGTACAGTACTTTATCGAATTAATTATGTAAGCCACAAAGTGCTGAGGGTCTCATACATCGGGTGTAAGGAAAATGTCTCAAAGATAAATCACGTGAAAATTCAATAAATCCGTGGGGCGGTGAAATTTGAGGAAATTCAAGTCAAAATAATTGTCTTGTTTCAGAAGAGATAATCTATTCCATTGTAATATTTATTCGAGGCTGAAAATAAGAGGTAAAGTGCTTATAAACGTAACCCGTTTCATCTTTCTCAATGGGATTGCCTTTTTTCTCGTTCTATTTTAATTCTTTGCTCAGCGGTAGAATCGTTTTCCTCTTTTCTCGGATTTCCTCTATCTCCATGTTCTGATTTTTCAATTTAAGTCGGTGATTTGAATTTTACAATTAATTTCAAGGATTCACTACTTTTCAGTCTCTAGTATTTAATATTCCCTTTTTGTTTCGTTCGTTTTGTTCACGTGAATAAAAAGTGAAGCAATATTCTTTGCGGTGGCTCGACAATTTCAGGTTCATTCCCTCAATTTGTGTTTCCTCTCGCTTTATTCTCCTTGTGTCAAGATAAAAAATATCTGTATTATCTCAAATGATGAAAGGACATGGGAGGCAATTTACTCCTGAGGCTCCGAAACCCGGGGATCCATTCCTTGGGAAAAAAAAGGGCTTTGTGTTTGTATCCCCTGTCTTTCCAATAATCCTCGTGTTCTCCGCCCACCATTTTTTCCATAGTCTTCTCATATCACACATCATTCGCAGATATAAAAGTTATTCTCTATTACAGCTGTAAAAATCCTTCGAAATTTTTCCAAATAATTCCAGCATTTCACTTTAAAATCCCGGCGACCGCTCTAAATTTTATTCAATAATACCACTATCTCTGAAGACATTCATTCAGTTTTTTTCCTTAATCGTATTTTCAACTGTAATATGTGGAATTGTGTCAATTTGACAAACAAAAAAAAATCCTGGGGAGAAAATATATTTTCTGTTAATTTAACTGACGAACTATTCCACTTTACTACATTATTACAGATTCAATTGACACAGATTTTGATGGATGTCATTACGCTGAATTAATTGAATGTCACGAGCTATCGAAAACTATATTCACATGTAATTAATTGTCGGTTAATTAAACATGGCTGATGGTGAATTCTCATTGTTCCCAGAAGTCTTCTGATGGCTGTTGAACAGGAACTGCTTGTCCAGTTGAATCAAAACATGCCTTTAGCGTACAAAGTACATGTCCATTACCGCAAAAGCAATCATTACACCCGTCAAAGTACTGCTTGCCATTGACACATTTTCTCTCTGAATCACCGAATAATCACAAACTTTTTTATTGAAAAATTGTAATCGCGTGGATGAAACTCACCATCTTGGGCTGCCGTCAAGCTGACAAGCAAAATGGCACAGAACAGTGTCAAGTACTTGAACATGACTCTGCTGTTGACAAACGACAGTTAAACTTCCGCGAAGACTTTGACGTTATTGAAACTGCCAAGAATATCTTCTATCAGATTATCCCACAATCCGCTGATGAAAATTAAATCAACGATCTTTGCATCAACTATTTAAATCATCAAGATCCGTTGACTTTTCCACTCTATCCTCTCCACCAGGAAATAACATGGAGGAAAATAGTGAATGTATGGGGGAAAAACATGTGCTGTTAATCCTTATTTGAATTGCATGTTTTTGAAACGATTAAAATTTGCATAAATGGATATCATGGGATACAATGCGTCATTCGTTTCAACAAAAACATCTCCATAATCTATCGAGAATTCTAGAAAATTCCACATCTCATTTAATCACACCTGCGCATTGACTCGTTATGAAAATGTCAGTGCAATAATTCTCTTTATGGTTTGTAATTATGAAGACTCATATAAAAGCTGAATGTGCATCGCATTCAATTATACCATAACGCATAATGTTGAAATCATGATTTACATATTTTGTTTATACAGGATGCGTCATTATAATGCATTAACATTGATATTAGTCCTTAATATTATTATTTGCATTAACATTTTCCTCAATATACTTTGGGAAATGTTGATTTTCCTGAACCAAGAACTGGGGAAAATGTCATAAAGCACATATTATTATTATCTACTTTTTGTTATCATAAAAATGAAAATAACAACTGATTGATTTGCAGAATTTTTACGCCAGTGAGTAATAAAATATTGGTGTACACAATATATCAAATTAATTGACAAAACTGATATCCGATTTTTCGGTGTTTTTTGCGGCTTTTCCGGTTTGTCGGAAATTTAATTGACATAAATTATAATACATCGCGTTACGCTCAGTTAATTAAATATCACGGAAATTGAATTACTTCCACATGAAATGCGGGGTAATTAATTTGGTAATATAGTATACGGTGTCACAACCTATTGTTCAGTAGATTATTCGACGTGCGGATTGTGAGTGCGGACAATGAAAAAAAAATTGAGCTGAGTGATACTAGTGCAAAATACAACAATTCAACTGCAAATATATCTATTCATGAGGAGTGATCGAATTATGCGTCTTCTTGAGGTTCCCAAAAGTCTTCTGGTGCTTCTATAACGTGAATATCTCGACACTCTTTGAGTGACTTAATAATATGTCCATTAGCGCAATATACATGATTGCAGCCGTCAAAATAGGACCGACCGTCGACACATTTTCTCCCTGAAATTCGAAATAAATTTCTAAATAATTGCGCATAATGTGTATTTATTTATAAACTCACCAGAATGTTTAGCCGCCGTGAAACTCACGAGGAAAAGAAAACAGAAAAGTGTCAAGTATTTGCGTGGCATAATTGGTGTGGAAAATTGACAACTTCGAAGAAAACGTTGACGTTGAAACAATGAAATTCAACTTGTTGAAAAGCAGAAAATCAACTGAATTCTCAGCGTCGTCAGTGTCTATATTTAACAGACAAAACCGTGACGATAACTCGTGCTTGTTATCAGAAGTATTCACGAGACAATTCTCAGAAGAAGACGGAATAAAATTATTCGTCAACTCTGGAGATCGAGTCATTCTTAAATCAGTATCTGACGGTAAATTCCGCGATATTTTTATTAAGGGATGTTGCGTTAGACTACCCCTGTGAAAAAAATCTCGACTGTAATATTTTTCCGTGGAAAATAAAGAGAAAATATATTCTGAGAGTTGTATCGCTTCGTCCGTGGAAAAATCGATCAGCACGTACACGTGTACATATACATTTTCCGAAGTACGAAGGGGGTAAATGATGTAATGACCGTGATTGCGAGTGTCTCAGCCGATGAGTTGGAAACTTTGATCACGATGAATGTTTCAAAGCCACGACCGAAAACTCAGTCGTAGAACAGCTACTCTGAATCACATGGAGCCAATTTGGCCTGGTCTTAAAATGTTCTGTTAAATTCACGATAAATTATCTATTCCTTCGACTCTTCAATGTAAATTACTGGGATTATTGCGTAATTTTTGCTGAATCTCTCGTGTACACGAATGCCACGTTGGGTCTTGATGGAATAATATTTGGGAATTGCGAAGGGATTCAACCAGAATTTACGCCGACAACCGTTAGATACACCCTCGTTTCCTGTATCTCCATGAAGTTCGAAGTCGAGGTATTATGTAATAATGTAAATTCCCGGGCGAGTCAGTCACCGTTTGCAATATTCATACCTTCAATTTACGTGATTATGAATAATTTTTCAACATTCACAGAACGTGATCCTCAATAAAAACGGACATGATTAACATTTGGATGCACAGAGGATAAATATTTTTGTAATAACAAACTGAATATACACATCTGCAGCTAAAATTTTCGCCTTTCATACACGGATTTAGTTGATAATTTCTGTGGCAATAATTGTGAGAAGGTGAAGAACTCGATTAAATTTCCGCATCGGAGTTACAAACTGGCAAGTCCAAAACAAATTAATGCTGTAACCCAAGCGCAATCAGCGTCCATCATGTTCCTCGGGAATTCAATTAATCCTTCCCACGAAGCATTGAAGATTGAGAGAAGACAGCTGTTCCAGATGTTCTAGTTTTGATTCCGCTATCTCGAGATATCCCTCGAAATTTTCACCAAAAAATGTATCAATCACGAATTCGTCTACCCATGTACCTCGGTAATTACCGCAGTACCACATTACCATTAACCGGATATAACCGGATATAACCGGATATAATCGGACGCTGTGGTGCATGTAACAAAGGAAAACCCGCGCTGGATTAACCCTCAAAGACACGTATTATGAACATTCCATTCATGGCTCGTAAGATTAAGCTAATTCAAATAACGCATTATTCGCTGTACAATGACACATTGTAAAAATAGCGAATGAAGTCTTGCAGTGAAAAGGAATTGCAGTCGGAAATCGTCATGAACGTGACGGGCGAAACCGTTTGAGAGTCAATACGTCAACTGCCATTGACATGCTTTTTAGATATTTTTCTGAAAATCAAATGTAAAAACGCGCCCTTTGAGTGCCTCGAAATGTCAAGTAAAAGTAACACGACTTGAATTGGTTTTCTCTTCGTCATCGCTGTTACTCTCACCTCGTCGGGTTCGTCGTCACAAAGTGAACGAGAAATTCCTTTTGTTACGATTTTATGAGACTGCGTGACTAAAATTAACTTGAAATGAAGATGGGAATTATATATTTTTTAAAATGAAAAATTGCTCAATTGATTTCGAATGAATTACGACGAAAATGATGTAAAATCACTTCAATTAGATTTAGAAATTACTTTTGAATTGAGTAGCTCCTCGGAATATCAATAAATCGGTCCACCGAAAGAACTAATTGCTCTACCAAATTTGACAGTCACAATAATTGCGGTTGGATAATCAATATCTACACATTAATTGCACCTTGTTATCGCAGTGATAACGAGCGTCGTTAATTTTCCTAGTCTGAACTCATCCTTCCCGAAGGGTGTACACCTGTTTAGAGAGTCGATGGACCAACTATCAGCTGCCATGGGATCGATGACGTGACAAATTGACCTTTGATCGCCTAAACCAACATAACCGATCAAGGCTTAATCAAACACATCGTTATCTGCATAATGATAAACGATAAAATTAATACCGGTATTACTCCTCTAGTGAGTGTCTTAAGGGTATCGCTATATTTTTAATTCCTCATTTTCCCCAACAGTTATCCGTAGGGTGAATAGCCAATTAGATGAGAATAACGGATAAGAAATTTGAAAAAGAAAAAAAAACTGGCGTAATTGAAAATTTACCCTCAAGGGATAATTCATTATTGGAGGGATCGATATTCATTCACCCTCGGGTAACTGGAGCCAACTAGCTCGATGGGAAATCATATCCCTTTCAAAGTGGCTTTTCCAACATAAACGCCATCCCTAACTCTCAAGTACACCTATACTTGCTGATACTTTGTACTTCGAAGCGATGAGTTCATCACGCGATGCGGATAATCCACCGAAATAAATTATTCACAGGTGAAAATTAAATTCATTAATTTTTGGGTAATCATTACTCAGCGGGTGGAAAATTCACGGAATTTTACCGGAAAGAATGGCGACAGGGGAAAATGTAATTGGGGATCGCTCCCTCGTATTTTAGAACCCCATAAAATATTGGAAATTCGTTTGTACATAAAACTAGATCTAGCACGAGAATTTATGATATGGCCTCCGGTGAAAGTCTCAATTCTCAGCTCGAATCTACAGAATTCAACGGTTATGATAATATGGTACGGCCATAGTTTACAGGAGTGGTTAAAGGAAACTTTAATTATGCCAACAAATTTCATTAGACAAAAGTTACTCAGCCCGTGAGATTTCCGGACTAAAGTCTCTTTCAGTTCTCATACCATGAATTACATGAATCACATATATTTTATTTGAATTAAACTTTTTATGCAATTGTCCAGATATTTCTGGCAATGGAGAATTTATTGTCCCCACCATTCACTCCAATTTTTTTTTTCAATTTTTTGCACAACGTGTAGAAATATTTTCGTAAAAAAACAGGTGCCTGGGGTGAGGATGTATCGATTATATATATCACTCTGAAGGGGAATGAAGATACGGTGAAAAAGGTCTCAAGGGTAGAGAAGCGTCCGAGCAAGAAAGCATCCCTCCGTACACAAGCACATATTAGATGTATCGATGGATTTATTCATCCGGAAGTTTAATTCATCTGTAAAATATTCGATCTCCATGGGAATATTCAAACTACATGGGTTTGGACTGATCGTGGGAGTCTCCAAGTCACTCTGAATTACACCCACCGATATTCCGTTTTAATATTTAATTTTCATGATATATTCTCCCGATTTTCCCCCTTTTCCTTATATATTTCCGAAACCGTTGATTACACATCCGAGATCTTTTGACTTTCAATCAATTTTATTGTTGTTGTTTCATTTTAATAATTAAATTTGGAGCGAGTGGTCATGTCATACTGGAGTGACATGCGGTCATATATCCATGTAATAGCACTCAGAGGTCCTTTTCTCTATTTTCGACGAGTCCCAATAGACTCGTTAAAAATTCAAGCGGTCCTCCAGCGTCCGTCGGGGTCCCAACAAATTTTTCGTCGTTAGCTTTTCAATTTTCATATTTATTCTCAAAAAAAAAGTCCTCCAGAGTGGAATTTAAACAGAAAAATTAGAGATCCATGTTGATGGTTTGACTAGTTAATGAATTTCCGGGGACAGATATTTTTTTTATCACTCCCCACACTCGTTGAGGTTTTAATTCGTTAAACCTCGACGTTAATTGCTGAATAGTGTTTTTAAATCCAGGCAAATGGAATTGTTGGTGGAACTGTTGGGATCGATCACTTCACCGATAAATAAAAATTCGAGAATTTTGTGTTTTATGCGAGTTATGGCCGCTGGATGGACTCCAGGGAATTCTCCAATCAACTAAGAATTGTACTACTGTTGGTTTATCTTTCAACTGATCCTGACCATCTCCATCTCCCTCTGGTTTCTTCTCTCTCGGTGGAATTAGATCAGCAGCGGTGGAGTAATCCGGTATTACGATACGAGCGTGCGGCAAACTCCGGAGGTCGAGATAAATTGCAAGAATTGAAAGATAGTACATAACTTTCATGTACAAAATTGGAGAATCGCGTTTATATTCCACATTCTCCCTCCGACCGCACGAAAAAACATGATCCGGTGAAAATTGTTGAATTTTTCGTCTCGCGAGAAATTCTCTCGAATTTCTCTATTAAAAAAAGCAATCACATACACAATTGGATTTAATTAAAATCCAAATGATTATTCTGTTTCATTATTTTTTTTATTAATATACCCATGCAGATGTAATATCAGCAATTTTATGAGAAATTCTTCAAATAATTGACTGAACATTTATAATTTGGTGGATTTTCCAGTGAAATTCTGAGTTGTCAATGAAAATTGGATGAAAATCCCGAGAATTGGAGGGATTTTCTCCCGTGGGGTTTCACTTATCGGGTAAAATTTACCCAGTATGTGGTATTTTACTTGGGATTAGATAAGCTCTTACGGTATATCATTGAAACCGTCGAATCTCTCGTCATCTGGATTTTCCAGGAGATCGATCTCTCAATTTCTTCAGCAGCCTCCGGTGTGAGAAATGTAAGGGAATCAAGACAAGACCGAAGTGGTTGGGGTGTCATTAGAGCCGCAGGACAAGAATCCACAGTACAGCACTTTCCCTTGAGTGAGGGGTAATTCATTCTTACCCTGGATGCAGAACAAATTGCTCAAACCAGAATTGCAAGCTTTATTCTCAGTGAGTGGTGTAGGTTGTCGAGGGTCGACTTTTCTCGTACCTAACTTTAGTAGTCTCAAGCTACTCAGGACTACTTCACATCGCATTCCCGGGAGATCATAAATGCTTGTATATTCGAGTTAGCGTATAAACGTTGCTTTCATGTTGGATTGTATGTCTTACTTGTTCTCGGAATATTGCTACAATTTTATGGCCTCAGGAGAGGAAATTACCCCTCGACTAATTCCGTGCAAGAGAGTATTTTCGAATGGTAATAATTGTTCAACCGTTGACTAATTCTCAGGGTTCACCATTTTTTATGATAACTCAAAAAGTAATTAAGGGAATCAATCCTTTTTTGGGGAAATCGGGGAAATCGTTTGTGTTGAGATAATTTGATTGTTAATTTGGATGTTTCATGATTTTCACAGCCGGAAAAATGCATCGCAATGTGTGAGCCTCATGCCTACTGTGTTGTTTACTCAACGACGGATAGAAGTTCAGCTAGGGTTGCTGAGGAAGTTCTCCAGTCGTTGTGGAGAACTGATCACGTGTCAGCGAGGGCTGTGATTCTTGTAGGAAATAAAGCTGATCTTGTGAGATCTCGAGACGTTACTACAGAGGGTATGTTGACAAAATATTTGAAATAATCACAGAACCCTCTGAGTCATTGAAATGAAAAAAAATCACTTCTGACTGATTACTTCAGTAAACTCGGGCTAGAATAAATACAAATACGTAATATCCGGGTGCCATCAACATCAATTTCAACATGAAAAATCGAGTTTGATATTGTATTATTCCGGTTTTATTTACGATGGCTATTCCTTTGATTCCATATTCAAGAGGGTAAATCCATGGCAACAGCTTACGATTGTAAATTCATCGAGACATCAGTCGGCATAAATCACAACGTGGATGAGCTTCTGGTTGGTTTATTATCACAAATACGCCTGAAAATGGAGAATCCAGAGAGGACACGTGATTTGTTTCGAAAGAGATCAAGGAAGACAAGGAGCAGATCCCCTTTGAGCTCGTGCTCCGAGAATAATTCACCCAAGAAGTATCGGGGTAGTCGCACCAGTGCCAGTCTCAAGGTAAGGAGTTTACTTGGTAAAGTGTGGGCCAGAGACAGTAAATCTAAGAGCTGCGAGAATTTACATGTACTTTAAGAATTTCATTACACTTGAAAAATAAAAATACCAAAGACAAAATTAATTTAATCGATACAAAGTTGAGGAGATGCATTTGATTTTTCACAAAGACTGAAATTGGTGAGAGAACAATTACTCACTCTGTCTCGCCCTCATGAACGTTTATTTCTCCGGTTTTTATTAAAAAATTGAAATTAATTATCAGATTCGGGATAAAACTTGTGGAATTTTTAAGGGTCATTTTATCTGAACTGATAAGAATCTTCTCATCTCAGTTTTCACGGGCTCTTTTAAGTTTTTGGTTTATAGTCTCGAGTTTGATGGCGGGAAATATACTGTCGCATTTACTCCGTGCTATCATTCCATTTCGACCTTCCAATTCTGGGGTCTCATGGGCATTCCGGGAAACAGTAAAAAAATTTCATTTCGACCCGACGGCCTGAGAAAAGGGTAGAAATACTGTTGCTGCTGTATCTTTGCGGGGAATTTTTTAATTTAAACTAGTGGCGATTTGGCCGAGTGGTTGACGCACTGACAGAGTATTATGGAGGATACGGGTTCGAAACTCGGAGGGAACTGGATTTTTTTCTTCGGTGAGAACTCATGTTCGGGTTGGAATCATCAGTTCATGGGTTCCATGAGTTCTAAAAGAACAATTGGGTTCATTGGACGGATCATTCCAATGAAATCATCAGTTCAGGGGTCCATGAGTTCTAACAATTGAATTAATCGGAGGGATGATTCCAATGAAACAATTCAGGGTTCCATCCGAACAATTGCATGCGTTCGGTATTCAGAGAAAATTAATCATAATCAGTGGAGTTCATTATCAAGGACATATCCCAAATAATAATAAATGCAAGTTATCACGAAAAAATTAAACATTAGATAATGTGTTAAGTCGAAAAAATGGAGGGGCGAGACAGAATGAGTCGTATTACCAAAGGATTATCATATTTTGAGAGATTCAACATGAATTTGAGGATCGTTGAGCTTTAAGATTGATGTAGGGTAATTATAGTAATTGAAGGAAGAGTAATTATCTGAGGAAGTCAAGATCAGAGTGTACTGCACTGCATTTGCGTAAAAATACTCCAATTGCGGTGAATGGCGAGAGCATTGAGATGTTCGAGGTGTATTTTTGAATCCCATTCCAAATACGCTTGGATCATAGAATAGGTGAACCTACGAATTTAAGAGGAAATACGTAAAACTATGAATTTTCATCTCGATGACACGATTAAAAATCAGTAGAACAATTTGTGGTAAATCTTATATATCATTGTGCATAGGTAAATAATCCAAAGATATTTATGAAAAATCCTTAGAGTGGAAATTTACTCTTCAACGTTCGTGACCGTAACATGAATTTACAATTTTTTACATTACGATTTTGTACGTTGAATCATAAAAAAAAATGAGTGGAAATTTTTTAAGAGTGAACAAGTACATAGAAATATATCAAATCACTTATACATCATTCAGCGATGTAATGCCCAGCGCTATATCATTTGGAACATTTTCATTTATTTTCCGTTCATCCAATATTTTTTTCTCCAATGACAAATGAATAATTGTTCAAAGTACACGAGTAATCGAGCTAATGTTCAATTCATTATCGGATGAATTAAATTATTGGGTGACAAGTGAATTTATTGGCATCCACACGAGGTCCATTAGATTATAAGTCGTCGAAAAAAAAAGTCAAGTACATAAATGCGTATGTGCTCATTGAATCGATGATCTATTTTTTTTTTCGAGGTGAAATTCAAGTGGAAATGTGTCACATTCATTCGATTAAAATCTCATTCGGCGAAACACAAGTTGAATTCGCTGTTTTTTCAATTTTGTTCATGCATTTTACCCTCCACTTCATTTTACCCTCGTTCATGTCTATAGAGATGAAAAGTGTTCATCAATCCCATCAATCCCTAGCTCTCCAATAAAGTCCATTCAATGAATATTTTGCGTGAACTCTTTGTACTGTTCGTAATCTTTCCATTATCATAAAATTTTCCCCTTGAATTTCGTCTCTGTGAGAACGCAATCAGCGAACATAATGCTGTGGGCGTTATTCAAGTGCTGCAATTTCAACAAAAGTTGAGGTTCAAAATAAATGGTCTTTGCATTCAGCACAAAAAAAAATAATAATCTGAATTCTCCGTACTCAAGTGTCCCCTTTGAAGAGAATAATCATCTCGTGTTCGAGTGTTACCTTGTTCTCCCCAAGACTGTTGAAGCACCTCTCCAAGTTTACAATTATTTGAATCCCCATTATTACTCATAATAATCAGTAAGATCAATTTATTTCTTTGATGGGTATTTCCCTCGAAGGAACTATTTACGCGGGAATAAAAGATATCTTTCCTCGTTAACAGAAAGTACGTTGTCTTATTTTCTTATCTTATTTTATTCCAATTACGGAAATGTATGATAGTCAATGGCATTCCCGAGTCGGTCGTTAATTATAACATTTATAGGAGTGGCGAAAGAAAAAGAAAAAGGGAAGAAGAACGAATAAGACATAAAAATAAAAATAATATCTTCGATTCGCTGGATTTCTCGTTTCATTATGAAAATTGCTATTGGATTAACAAAAGCCATCAGCATTAATTCTTTATGATGTGAAGGCAAGTCACAAAAAGGCCCGGGAGAACGAAGGGAAATGGATATCGAAATGAGCGAAACTAATTTACATATTTCAATGATAAATGTCATAATCAAAACGTTGAATTATTCATAAAGCTCTAGTGAATTTAAAGATTAAAGACATGTCAGATATCATTTTGATAGCGAATTAATTGCGTTCGCATGTCCGTCGATTTTCATCAGCCCAAGAGATTTAGATTAAATGAGAAGAAAAAAATTATAAAATTTGTCTAGATGATGAAATAAATCATGTTATTCTCTGTGTCCATACCAACTCGTTTTGTGTTCCTAAATAAATGATAAATAACAATAATGATAATTGATAATGTCAAGGTAACGCCGGACTGCGTGAACAAATTGAATAATAATAAAAATAACAAACAGCGTCTGAAAAGAAAAAAATCATTACCCAAATGGCGCAAAGCTTTGACCAATGTTCCAATGAATTTTAGTACTCTAGGTGCGGAGATTATTCTTAATAGTTAATTAACACGTACGATATATTAGTAGTCCTAGCGGGCATTTTGCGTCATCGCGGAACAATTGAAACAATTAAATTGACGAGTAATAAATCGTTTAAATAAAAGACAAAATAATACAAAACATTGTCCGTAAGGAAATGGTGAGCGGAACAAGTAGTTATTATGAATTTCGATGACGTCGAGGCGGGAGATCAATCTCCCGTTGGATTCGAGTCATTTTTCAACCAAAAAAAAATCCTTTCCAATCAAATTTGTGTGAATAATCAATTGACGAATACATGTGGAAATTATTGATAAACTCCATCGATTTCTGTAATCTCCAGTGTCTCGCATTCTTCGTGTATCTCGTCATACTATCCATTTCGTGGAGTAGAATAATGTGTTCCATCATTTTTCACTGCGATAAAAAAAAATGCAGAAAGAATGATTGACGCATTACCTTGAAATCGTAGAGAACTAATAATTCGATGGTAAACGACAAAAATGATAATTTCGAGTAATTGACGACTTGAAATGATCATTTTTATTTTTTCAACATAACATGCACTTATATAACATTAAACAAATGTCGAATTGTAAATCCACGTGTCTGCACTATAAAAATATGGCCACAAATTATATATTGTACGAGATTAAAGGAAATCCCGGAGAAACCCTTACTAGTGCGTAATGAACGATTGTCTGATCCATAACGTGTGATCAATTTTTTGTAGTCTATGTTGGATAATTTAAAAATTCATTGTTTTATAATAAAAAATGAAAATCAAAAATAATGAGTATACTGACTGGTGTCAATATGTGTTTTTATTATTTTTACTTCCCAGAGAATATATCGTCGACATTTTTATGAACGCGCAATTCACTGGGAAAAAAAATGCAATTGAAGGACTACATGCGTCCAATCATGAATTACGTGAGAATTCCGTTCCTCTCGTATCTGCGGATATTCTTCTCGTTGGGAATTCCGTATTTTATAAAAAAAAACGTCGACAATAGCATATTCACACGTCGTATCAAAGACTGATTACGCATGGCTGTTTGATGGAATCGTAAATAGCAGAAGACCCCACGAGATAAAAAGAAATTTCACTACCGGAAATGCTCTCAGAGACATTCCGAAGCTCCAGTTAATGAAAAAAAAAATCCCATCCCCTTTGATTAACGTGGAATAATTAGAAAAGCCAGTGAATCGAAAAGTGAATTAATTTTCTAATAAACTCCCAGGCGTAATTACACAATCATTACAAAGTAGAAAATTACCCGGACTGAAGATGGCTCGATTCATCCCTGAGTTTTCGAAAATGGGGGAAAAACTTTTTCCCCCGTCATGACACGAGCCAAAACGAGACAGACAATGACAGCCACATTGCAAAACTAGTTTTAATTGTTTTTCAACTCTACTAATGACTCACTGCTGAGTTTAACTGAAAAGTGTGAGAGAGGAACAGGAAATTGTGAGTTACAAGGGGGTTAAGACCTCAGGGGAGGGTGTAACTCCGTTAATCCATTCTCTCAGTCTTGCAATTGGCTACTACCCAAACGAGAAATACCCCTTCAAGCAAACTCATAGTTCTCGCTTCCTCGTTATCTCCAACGCAATTTCCCTCTCCCATTATCTATCCCCTTTATATTACCGCGTGCATGAGTCTTTAATAGCTTTTTACTAATAATATGCTTATGCAAATTGTAAAGATCCGCGTCAACCAGAGCATAACGTAACGCCGGAGAATTAAAATAATTTAATGACCAGCGCAATCGACTCAAGTTTTATTTTCACTCACCCCGACAACTTCAAATATTCAACAAAGATAACGCCAAAATAAATGTACCCGATTGTTGAAATCATTGGCTCGTAACGTTTAAACCAACACCAATTCGGAATAGCTGATTTAATTCAGCTCTGTGGGTGAATACGTTCGACTAGTTTCCGGACGGAAATGTTGAACATCCACCTGGAGATTGGGAGTGAAAGAGAACGGGGGGAGGCAACGAGGTTTCAGTATCGACATCATAATAGTTATCAGCTTGCCAACAGTATCCTGCTATGACAAGCAACAACAATTCAATTGGTAACAATAGGTGAAAACCGACAGGATACAAGCCACTGCAGCTTATGGATGCAACGACGTTCCTGTTATAATACCGCACTGCCTTAACATTCCCCGGGATTCCCCCGAATTCCTCTATCCCATTTCCATCAAGGATCTAATCTAGATTTATTATCTTCCTACGGATGCCATATCCAAGGCTTCTGCTTATTCTGTCCTCGTACCAGCGTATCTCGTAAAAAAGATACATTTATGATCTATAATAAAAAAAACTCGGGGTCAATCCAGAAAGTCAACCTTAAGCCGTGATTTTTACGGCTTCTCATGGAAATTCTCCACCACAATTTTTAGTAGGCGAGAGAAACTTTTTCTCATTCATCAAATATCTCGACCTGCTGAGATATTTTATTCCCCTCGTCCCCAATTATTTAATGGCTTTTTCAATTCACTGGGCAATTTTTAGTTTTCGATGTGAATTTTGCGCTCAACCGCAAACTCTATGACGCAAAAATTGAACAATTGAAAATATTATTTTCACCTGATGTTTCAACTGTCAAATACTGGCTTATTCCATTGTACAAAGCCACTGATGTATTTTTAGTGTGCGAGAAACATTTCCGAATGATTTCCATCAGAGTGAAATGAAAAATCGATAAGTTTAAAACTCCTTGGGGGCATTGGTATACGTGAAAAACCTTGAACACATGATTTGAGTTTTGTTTTTTACCCATGCAATTTTTTTTTTCCTTTTACTACCCCAAGCACTATCTTTATCTCCTCCACTATCGGGATATTCCATCCCCTGTTTCACCGCGTAGAACCTATTACCGTTTATCACTCCCGAGGTATCGATACCCAGCCTATCGATAAACGTTATTAAGTTGTAACGGTCTGGTGGAAGAATTCTATGTGAATGGCACAACTGTTTTTTTACAACTCCCTTTTATTTCCTTTTTTTTATCTGTCTCAGTTTAGATTGAATTTTACAGATGAAAACCGAGGACATTCCCAACTCAGTGCAGCGCGTCTGCCGCCAATTGGTTGGTAATGTCATCAGATACTCATTCGATCAGTAAAATCCAAGTGTCCAGCGTCTCGTGGCGATAAAATGAGTGTGTGAAGTATCATTGTTATGACCCTGAGGATGTAATCACGATTATATGGACGTTATTTCAGGATACTCGTTGGGAATAAATTTTTATTTCAATGCCATGAAAGGGAATTTAATTCGACGAACATAATTGCTGAAATCGTGGTATGCATTCACTGAATGGAGAGGCACTAAAAAAAATACAATTCTGGAGGAAATTAAAAGTTCTATTTTTAATTCTCAATTGTATATTACTCTGGCAGGGCGATGCATGAATTCCTTGAATATTGTAATTTTACATCTATTGTTCTTGCTGTAATTCAGAAAAATATTTTATACACTCCTATTGCCTTTTTTGCACTGGACTCCCACTAATGCATTTAGACGAGACGAGATTTACTTTGATGTCAATGGTCGGACAAGCCTTGCATCACATCACGAAGGAATTCAGTACTGGATGGGGCAGTTGTGTAGAGACTTCCTGCAATAACAATAAAAATATACAAAATATTTGAAATACAAATTGAGATATTTCATATGACCAGAGATACATACCAATGAACTCTGATCCAGTGTTGTCATACGATATGAGTTTGCACGCATTTTTCTTATCGACTTTGAATCCTAAACACCGAAAACGCTCGTCCGTTTTATAGAGTGCACCGTTTTTATGGGGATTCAGATAAGGTTGGCCACTAAATGGGTTTATAAAATCCGCCCAGTATCCGAACATCTTCAATTTCGTGCAGATGTCAGAGGCCGCCAGGAGAAACTACAGATTAAGAATGAATTAATCCAATAATTTAAACCTTTTCCATTGAGAGATATTTAATTGGTAATTTTTAAAAGTGTGACTTACAAATTTAGCTAATCTCTCAGTCTCAATTTCTTTGCTCCACCTGATCATTCTAGGATTGAGTCTCTGGCTGATAGTGACAATAGTGAGCTGAGGAGAGGCAGCTTCGACACAACCAGGGAACAGCTCCAATATTCCTTTCCTTAATAACATTGGGCATTCCTGTGCTACACAATGCAAAACAGGATCACTACTCCTATTTGTTTTGACAGCTGTTTCTGGTTTCTCGTTTTTCTCTTCCATCTCGTCATCATTGCATACAATTACTGAACGTGTCTCAACTTGAGCAGTTGTTGACTGGTCCAGCCAGCCTGGGCCTGTACTACCTGGTAAGTAAAATCTGAAGCCTCTGGGCCCAAATAGCTCCCAATTTGGATTAGCATCGAACTCATTATTCTCAATATCTGCATTAATTCCATCCGATTTTATCAGCTTGTAAGAGCTCGTGCTTTTTGCTGACCTGCGAGAGTATTTCGCCTTCAATACCAGATTGACAGGTCTTAGGTAATTCTTCTGAAGGATTTTAACACAATTCATCTGGAAAATTGAGACACCAATAGGTTAGACTGATGATTGAAATTCAAGGTAAAAATTAAGATTACAATTGTAAATAGGGATCAATTTACTTCCAATTTTTACAACTTCACATGCTTGTTGCAAAACACTTGTTATTTTATTTAACAACACTATTTGCGATGCCTGTACTGGCTAATGTCATTGGGATTTCACGTAGCCCATGCGTGACGTATGCAGTTATATCGTATATTTCACGATTGCAAAATAAGAGTAGCTGATGAAAGAGTAAAAAAAAAAAACTTGTTTTCTCGAGATAACATTCACGACCTCTGTATCAAGACAAATGCATTAGCCTTTTGGAAATCCATGGAAACCTCCAGAGATGACAGCACTGCAATGAAGATTTGAAGATTCTCTCAAAATAACGACAAATTACAGATGTTATTTGTCACTTTTTGATAGATACAACTGTTGGAAATTGTTTAATTATAATTAATCAGGAGTATTGAGCTTTGGTTATGACAATGATGTTTATAATTTCCGAATTCTCCAGAATTTTGGAGCCGTTTTGTTACGTTGGCTAAGTACCTGCGCGCGCATTCATTCCCCGAATCCGCCATTCTGCATCGTCTGGGGGAGAGCAGTGACGTAGAAAAATTATTGTCCCCAGATAGCAAAATTTATTTTTATTCAACAAAAAACTAATGCCATTGTCATCAATTTTTTATTATTTTCCATTACTCAGTAGCCAGAGAAAAATCGTCGGGATAATTTCAATCGAGGGAACGTATCCGGTAAGTCAGCAGAATTAAAAAAACACGTGAAAATATGGATAAGCCTGAGGTATTCGTTATGAAAGTGACGACACTGTGACGCGTATGCATATCACCTCCATTTTCCTCCCAGAAGCCCCAAAGACCCGAAAAAGAACTCAACACCACGGCCATTTTGCTAGGGAGTTAACTTCGCTACTAGCAATTACGCCTAGTCGCATTTCCAATCTCGGGAAAAAAGACTATTTGGTGATTTTGTGTTTATCAATTTTTTTTTCACTTGGGCATTTTTGTTTGAATTTTGTGGGGATAAGTTACAATTGCGAGAGGATTATTTGATTTTTAATAATCATGGATGAAATGGAAAAGGAGGATATGTCGGATGAAGTTATTGATAGTAATCAAACAATACTTGCTGAGGGTATATTCGCAGCGCCAAAACTTACACCAACTGGTAAAATTAGTCACGCGAAAACACGCGTGTATACACAGAGATACAGAAAAGAGTGGGAACAAATGCCAGATTTCAAAGGTAATTATTATTAATTGTAATTACTTGGTTAATGGATGCTGCATGAATTTGTGGATCACCTAGGATTATTTTCCATGTACACACTTACATTTGCTCTAAAACACCAGTGGGTGAAATTTCCCTCCAAAAATTTGAGGGACATTGAGTGGGAAAAGTTATTCTGATTTTTCTATTCTGATTTTTCTAGGATGGTTGACATCAGTGGCTGCACAACCAACTCGTGCCTACTGCATCTACTGCAAGAAAAATCTTCACGCCCATCGTCTTTCCCTTCTGAAGCACACATGCACGATGAAGCATCAACGAGCAGCACTCCTGGCCCAAAGTGAGGACCCAAAAAAATCGGACCTCGAAGAATCGGATAAAGTCCTTGAGACCGACGTGGGGTTCGAGGAGGTGACAGTAGTGGGATCAATAAAAAATCTGATACACGAGGACGAGGACGAAGTCGAGGAGTATGTCGTTGAGAGTCTAGAAGTTGAAGACGAGGAAGAGGAGGAGACAAATGACTCGAATGACATGCAAACGAATCAGGAAGACGAGATGGAGAACGCGAGATTGTCGTCTGGAGATGAAGAGGACAAGAGTCCAGCGAAGAAAATAAAACTGGAACACTATCCACGAAGGGATGCACTTGCTGAGGCAATGATACATGTCCATGGGGATTATCTAGATCAGAATGATGATGGCACTGTGGGACTGGACATGGAAGTCGAGAGTGAAACAACTATTCTGCCTGATAGAGAGGACGAAGAGGCCTCCGATGGTGAAGATAAAGCCGCAAAATCAAAGATAAAACATCTGCAGATTGAAGATACCTCAGTTTCAGAGACATCTCAGAAGTCGAAAATCGTTGCCTATAAAATAAATAGTGCTGATCTCAGTGAGCTGAATCTCCAGGGAGGTAACACTGTCACAATTTCCACGAATAACAACAAAACATTGACACTCAATACTGGGAAGACAGTGACTCTGAATGCATCTAAAATCGGTAATTCCACTCAATTTGTACTGAGTAAAGTCAAGGGGAATTTACCAGCGCTGGTTATGGCAGGATCCAAGAGTGTCAATCATAGACAATTAGCTCCCAAGTGTGGAGTGCAAACTTCTCCTTCGAATTCGGTACTGGCTGTGGCTAGCACCAGTGCAAATATCGGTCAGGAGGTGCTAAAACAGCAGGAGATACAGAAACAGAATGACGTAGTGAAAAATCCTTGCATTTCAACCCACGTGATGGATACGAGCAAAGGAACACCTGTTGCTGGATTGCAAGTCAGTTTGTACAAACTTATGGATGGAAGGTGGACGTTTTTGAATGAAAGGTAGTATTATCATAACTCCAGCAACATGATTTTTTTTTACACAATTAATCAATGCTGTTTTTATATTTTCTGTTTCAGTACTACCAGTGGAAGTGGTCGATGTACAGACCTCGTAAATACAGGAAAAACCGCATTCACTGCTGGTCGTTATAAAATGCATTTCGATGTGGACAAGTACTTTACTCTGAGAAGAATAGAAACGCTGTATCCATTCATCGAAATTGTTTTCGACGTTAAAAATCCCACTGGAAATTACCACATACCTGTCCTGCTGAGTCCGTACGGCTACACAACATACCGAGGCAGTGACAGATGATGTGAATGCATCAGTGAACTCATTCTGCCCGATTGACTCAGAACATCTGAATATCAAAGACGTTTAATACATGATGAGATATTTTCTCCCAGTGGCCTTTCGGATTTTCTAAAGATATCATGCGTAGAAATAAGATCATACGATTTCAGTTCGATAAAGAATATTTTTGTAATGTAAAAATCAGAGTTGGATACGCTATGAAATTATTTTTATAGTATCACCTGTCCATAATTTTTGTTTTAGTTGTATTTTAAAAAGTGGAATAAATGCATTTCCCTAACGATTACTTCATCCTCCCACTCCATTCACAATCTAGAGATAAGATAGTATTACTCGTTGCGATGACCTCCAAATTGACTCATGTCGATTTCTACTCGGCAGAGTCCACTGGCTCATTGTGTTTTTACTCATAATCATGAACAAACCCCACATTTCCACTCATATTTTGGATACAAGTCTGGGTAATCCAGTGCCAGACGTCTCCATTAAGTTGTACAAGTATTATAAAACCACATGGAGTTTCATAAGCGAGAGGTAAGTGGTGTACTGTCGATAATATCTTTACAGCGTTCAATTAATTATTATTAATTATTAAAATCCACTCATACGATATTATTCGTACTTTATTTTTCGTTAACCCAGCAAAACCCTGTCAAACGGACGCTGCGAGGATCTCCTGCAGGTAGCAAACGAGACATTGACAGCCGATCGTTATAAACTAGTCTTCGAAGTGAAGAAATACTTCGACTCGACGAACACAAATTCTCTTTACCCCGAGATCGACGTTATCATAGAGATAAAGAATGCAGATCAGAATTATCATCTTCCATTGTTATTGAATCCATACGGTTACAGCACTTACAGAGGATCTTAAACATCATCAGAAGGTGTATGTGAAAAAATTAATTTTGTAATTAAAGTGATATAAACATTATTGAAGAAATAAAATATGTAATAGAAAGAGCAGTTTAACTCGGTGGAAGGTAATTTCTCTCAGGATTCATTTTTGACGGTGGAAGATAAGTGCTGTCACCTCCAGCCTTTCCTCCACCACCTCCACCTCCACCTTTGGTCGGCTGACGTCCCCCACCCCCACTGGAACTCCCTCCAGGCCTTCCTCCAGCTCCAGAACCCCCTCCAGGTCTTCCTCCAGCTCCAGCACCCCCTCCAGGTCTTCCTCCAGCTCCAGCACCCCCTCCAGGTCTTCCTCCACCCCCAGAACCACCTCCAGGCTTTCCAATAGTGAAACTCGCCCTATTTCCATTCTCATCTGCCTCATACCTTCAAATTCATTTACACCCAATGAACAAAAAATTCCTCTTCAATGGTAAAGTCACAAGAACTTACTTGAGTGCCACGGGGAGACCCTCGGGACTGTCATACCCAACACTTCCCTTGACAACTCTCACCAACTGTCCATCGACTTCTTTCAACTCCTCCGTCTCCTCCCTGATCACCCCATCCTCAGTTTTAGCTGGAGACGTCGCCTGTCTCGGTGCTGGAAGTGGTGGATTACCTCCGCTCCTACCCACATCCAATCTGCCTCCAACATCAGCTGCACCACCTCGAAGGGGAACTGTCAAGGCAAGTCCACCGGAGGCACCAGCCCCCAGGGGTGCGCGCTGCCCTGGCGAGAGTTTGTCCCCGTGGGAGACACCCAGAAGAAGCTAAAATACCTTCCAATTTATATTCAAATAAAAAAAAACCTGTTCATTTGATGGGACTCTGTCGATTTATGGTGAATAGAATTCCGCCTTTATCTAATGAATTAATCACTTTCACTACTGATTAAACCATGAGGTAAATGGCTAGTGATGATCCAATGAAGATACATCAGCCGTTGCAAAATTGGTATTCCATTGATGCAATTCACTGGGATCATGTCAACGATAAGTTAATGCGATTGCGTTAATATCGATGTTCACAATGAAGTGATAAAAATTTGTGACTATTTTCTTAATCACGTACCAGATAAAATCCGATTGTGTGGAGATACATGTCGATCGTCTCCCTGTCTATTCAGTTTTATAAATAATAATTATAGAGTCACTTGAAAAGGCATCGTCGACAGAATAGAAAAAAAAATTGACGGGACACGAGTGGAAATCGCGACTGGTAGCCTGGGGATGCTAGTCATGGGGCTTTATATAGGATTCAAGGTATGTTTGAGAAAAAAATGTCCCCCTCCGTAATTTCATACACGTTTCTTGAAAGGGCTACGTATCATCCTGGTATACGTTCTCCTTTCTTAGGTTTTAGAGAATCCGGATCATCTTGAGACCTTTTACAGGATTTTTCTTACGATTACGGGAAAAAATCGGGTGATATTTGAGATCGAGTTGGATAATTTCCGGTGGAATCAGATGGATAGAGTCTTCTCCATCATCTTGATAAGTCTTCTCCAAGGATATTGCGGAATTAGGATAATCGTGAGAAATTCTCTTTTGCTCGGGGATTTTCATAAACATATCATTTTCATCGAGTTATTTTTTTGCCGTATAGATCCCGGAGTCTTCGATTTCACGATTTATCTCTTCAACCCTTAAATCATCGGCTCGTCTCTGCAAAAGGTCGACGTTGTCATCATGAATGAATAATAAAAAATATCACTTGACGTGTGCTACCGTGTCATTGTCCCCTTAAGGATAAATATGCAATTATTTTTCAAAGAGTATAAGCGACGAAAACATCAAAGCTGTCGTGATTCGATTTATTGTCCTACTGGGAGTGTTTGAGTCGTCAAAAGGCCAAGAGTGTCGTCAGGTAAATTTTTTAACATCTTTTAAAATTGTTTTTAGCAACCAAGTTTTCAGGGCAAATGCAAACGATCGGAATACGTGATCTTTTGAACCTTTAATAGGATGCGTCGCGGGGTTTCTGAATCTCCGTGGAGTTTAGAAAAGAAGTATAAAACATGGGGATTGAATAGAAGGAGCAATCGTTTGACATTTCAAATCTTGGGACAAGGTTTGTTAAACCGTACCCACATTCCCGTGATTCAAGTAGCGATTCTGAGTGGAAATAATGTGGGTGAGGGAATGGATTGAATGGTAACAATGAGTTAAGTATTTTAGATCGGGAATCGATGGCCGCAATCGATTAGAATTAATTAATTCAATAGCCAATGGAGCTTCGATGAAGATATCCTTTTCTTAGTTCAAGAAGAAATCGATAATGTCTTCTAATTCTGTCTGTCAAGTGCCAGTTATTGTGCAATTGTTGTGCAATTATTGCTGGGCGATCTGTTGGGGGTTGTGTTTAATGAACAAAACACTTTTTTTAACAAGACATTTAATAATTGTTAAAAATCCGCAAGCTCTGCAGATTCAACAGGTCGGTGAAAACAGTGACTGGAAAGATTACTCAGGGTTTTACTTGAATTTTTTTTTTTTTTTGGTACATATACATTATTCTCATTGTATTGTGAAATAATTGGTTTATTGTTTCGGGAGAAGTAGGATTTGGGATATATCGGTGATTATCCTCGGAGATGATGAAAGATGAGGAATAAAACTTAACATCATTTTTAATTCAGTTATTTGAATTATTTCTCACACTTATACAAACTTAATCAGCGGCTAAAACTTACGATTTATTTTTAAGTTAAAAAATAGGATCACAATCTGGTACTGTCCGGCTGCAAAATCGAACATTTGTTTTGTGAGGAAATCCCGGGGCCATTGGGAATTCGATAGCCCGTCTGCTTGTTTATTATTTTTATTTTGTATTCTTGAGTGAGAGTTTAGATGCGACCGCCGGACGTACACAGGCGATTTAATTTCCGCTCGTAAATCATCATCTGAATTTGAATTAGTGAAAAAGCGGAAGCCTAAGTTTCTCATCAATTTCTCATCTCTCTCTTTTATTTTTACCTGCATCGATCTAATTGCGAAATTGAGAAGAAGAGGAATTGCACAAAGAACTGCTGAGCTCTTGTGAAATCCGGGCTCGGTAAAAATTATATAACTCCCTTAATATTTTTGTAAATAGTAATCATTCATTTTTGATAGTTTCAACTGCAGAAATGTCAATTTATCGAAATTTTCTCTATTTGGGACACTTTGGGTATTGAATAGAAAAATTGAAAATTTCACTTCATTAGGTTTTATCTTTATCGTTTTTCATTTACTATCTTTGCCACCTCACATCCAACGAACAGTCTCTTGTGATAATAAAAAATAATTATTAGAAACACAGATCGTTGCCAAATTATGATTTCACCGTGAATTTATAATTTGATCGATTCTTGTTTATTACTTGTCGTTGTTCCATGGGAACATCATCATTATCCCATCGGACTGATTATTTGATTTTTTCATTCTAGTTTCATTCAATGATCAAGGAAATAGACGAGTGGGCAATATCAATTAAATAGAAATGCAAATAATTCACACTTATTCTCATTAATTTTCCAGAATAAATAAATATTTAGGATTTGTCACTCTGTATATAATTACAAGAATTTATGATACATTTTGACAGAACAATCATCAATTTTAAAATCTTATCCTCCATTCAATTCACTTTTAAACAATTAAAAAACAAATACTTATGTGAATTTACATACACATTATATTTTTGTCATCCGTTTTATAAATATTTCGATATTGATTAAATATTTATACACTCATTTCAGAAAATAAAATCTCCTGGGGAATGGAAATAAAACTGATTCCGTTGCATCGAAATCTGTAAGTAACTCAATTGAAAACATCCCTTACAATTTTTTCAACGTTAAAACCACATTTTAAGAATCTACTCAAAATAAATATCTCCCCATTAGACTGAATGATTGAATTATTGCAATTTCAACATACAATGAATGACTTGTGCACGATCAAGGATTTTTCCATCTGTCAAACATTTTTGTTCCTCCAGAGCTCAAACAGTACACCGAGAGTTCACATCCACATGAACTGCCATTCAAAATAGCATTCTCTTATTTATGTACCCGAAATACATTTCGTATAAACATTTATTCCCATTCCATTTCCGTATCAGCGCAATTTCAAAACGTATGATAACGCTCTGTACTATTTACATTGTCTCACCCATCAATAGTTCCTGCAAAATTTCTGCTTGTAGAAGAAGAAAAAATGAAAGATCATTCCAAATTATTTCTCCCAATTTACTGATCAAAAAAAAAACCAACTACTCGAATGGAATATTTGAATTTCTATGCCCATACTCGTCCAGCTATTGCAATCATTCATCTGTCCAATTACCCTTCAATTACTCCCTCTCGTCTCCCGATTAATCACGATTAACCTTAACGATAAATAACCACAATAATAAAAGCATATAAGCTATATAGCTACCATTCTGTATCTACAATATACTTTAATATATATAATTTTCTTGTATATCGATCAATATCTTTCAGCACTAGAGCTTGACGTTCTGTTCTCATTCTCACTTGAAAAAGAAGAAAAAAGCGTGGCAGAGTGAGTGCTTTACTTATTTCTTCACGCAGAGTGGGACATTGGTGGTCCACGAATTGAAATATAAAAAGAAAAAATTTATTTTTCGCATCTCCCTCTGTACAGTCAGTCAAATATACGGAATTAGCCATGCACCGAGGATAAAATGATAATCAGAGATTCCATCTCGACTGAAAGTATTCAAGACCCTGACATTTGTCCTTAGTCCCTGTTGGGCTCACTTTTTCATTATTCCCTTTAATTTTCAATAACTCATTTCACACCACATCCGTTACTGGAGAACGCAACACTTGCACTTGGGCTTTTTCTTCAATGTCACATGTTCCACTTGTGACGCATCACCTGGCCCCTGTGCTGTCACTCTTCCAACTTCGACTGTTGCTGTACTTGTTACCGATGCAACCTATTTAAAAATCAACAACAAAGCATTAGTCATTGTTTCCCCAGAATTTTCCCAATTTTCCTGATGAGTTGGATAAACAGGACAATCCCCACCTCCCAACTCCACAGCAAAATCATCGAATATAAAATGAATGTGTGATAAGTGAGACGTGTTGAAAGCACTCTGACTAGCCAAAAATAAACCCCAAAAATTGAAACCAAAACAATCCGTGAGTATTAGTCACTAAATTTCATGAGGATGATCAACAAACAATCCATAACAATCATGACAATCGTGAAACTAAAGATCAACTATAAACAATTAATCGGGGATTTTAAATAAAAATAAATGCAGTCTAATAATCGCGTCAGTATGAATGCCAGAAGATGCAAAAGTCATTGAACGTGCACCTTTTCTTCCAAATGCTATCGAACATATTTATCAACACATTATCCTCTGATTATTATTCAAACATTTGTTTATGTAATCTTTAATGACGTGGAGTCACCTTCTCGTTGACGGGCTGCTTGGCATTTTGGTTTCCATGAGGTGTGCCATTGCCATGAGTAACGTGTCCCGAATTCAGTAAAGGACTGGTACTAGAATCAAGATCATCACCAGTTTTACCATCACAACCTGGTAAAGGTGGTGAATTTTGTCCAGGTGTTGGTGTTATGGGTTTGCCACCTTTTATTAATTCAACGATCTCATCAGCCTCTCGTGATAGATCGCCATCGGGTCTGAATGGATTGTCCCAGCCGCTGTCAGTGCTGAAAATACAAAAAAAAAAAAATCCATTGAATATCTCATTATCATTACAATCCTGACGTCATTGGCGCCCGATAAAATATAAATTCAGACGAATAATCGGATTGACAACAATCGATACTCAACGACCGTGACAATGAATAGGCCACTTCATTTCCTCAATCGTTACATTCACTTATTTGTCCCCATCATCTAATGCTCATTAATTCAGAGGATCAATGCTGAATCCATAAAAACAACCGGTGCTGTCATTTTTTTCCCTCTTTGTCTCTTTTTTTTTTCTCTCATTTTAGAATTTTTTTAACACTATCTTTCATTTTCCTGGGCGCGTCCGATGTAACCGAGCGTGCGATAAATTACGTGAGAGCCTGGAGTTGTGTTTCAATGACCGTGACATTATGTCAGCATTGAATCGTCCCTAATTGCGGACTACAAGCGAAATATGAGAGGTTCCATTGTTACCCGAGTTCATAGTTAAGTAGTTAATGCGGTTTTGGCATTAAAGTTGACACCAACTGGTAGACTGAGAAAAAAAAAACTACTTCCCGTTTGATTTTGTCCACTTCCCTAATCCCTGATTCGATCCATCACCTCTGATTGTCGACCATCGTCCGGAGGAAATGGAAACCGGCGTCAGAGAGGAGAAAGACACCGGCTGTTTGTATCGATCAAACATTTGCCCAGAGAATCGATTCGAATGGGAGAAAAAAAAATATGTAATCCGAGAAACACGAGGCACCGAATAAAAGACTAAATGAACAGTATCACGTGGGTGATGAGTATTATCAATGGAGCCGCTCCCAGCATGCGCAAGTAATTCATCCACTTCGATTTCTTATCACAAAAGCCACTCCTTTCCTCATCGGCAAATTTTTGATACACATTTTTATCGAGCGCACATTTATCAGATAAATCTAGAACATCGAGCGTCACAGTTTTTCATACTCTCATTTTTTCCCTCAATTTTTATTATTTCATCAATTCGAAAAGTGCTGTCACGAACATAACAGTCAGGATATGAGAGGAGAAAAAAAAAAGTGAAACGAGACAATGGAAAAATGGTCTGGACGAGTGCCAAACGGGCGACTGGAAAGTCTGCGATAAAATAAAACTCAGACGGATAAGTTAGATAACTCCAGTTAAAATAATCACACCAGGACGTTAATAATCTCTCCGGAAGAAGTCGTCCATGATGATTTGGAATGATAAAAAATGGGTTTCGAGTGGTACGACAGAATTCTCAGGTGAAAGCCCTCGGTTACCCCCTTTTCTCGGAGGTCTATGCACCCAGGAATTACCAAGATACCAGTCTCTGGGTTGAAACATAAAAAATAACGCCCAGAGCCAACTTCCTCGGTCTCAAAGGAATCTAAAAACATGTCCCCCTCCATTCAACAATTTTTTGCCCATTTATTTTTTTATTCTCTCCCACAGACGAGGGTGTCTAGCACACCTTAGCCTCGACGATGTTCTTTGAGGTACTCTGGGTTACATTGAAAATCCGTTTGTACTCATTTGCCGATGGGGAGGAACCACAGGGGGTATTTGTACTCGGGGTCAGGAGTTACGGTTCATCGTACAGCTCAGTATGTAATGACACATAAGAAATGCTCTAGTGTAGGTACAAGGGGTTGAAGACCTCTCGTCAGTTATGGCCTCCTTACACTTGTCGCTCAACAGCAGAGGAATACCAATTGAGATAGTGCGTAATTGCTCATGAATAATTACTCTAGATCTCAAAAAAAAAATAAACCACTTGCAATAATTCATTACCTCTCATTAACGTCACCATCTTTGGGCACTTTGATCACGTAATAGACATGACCTCCATGTGATGTCGTCATAATTACTCTCTCGATGATAATCTCTTAAATAAATTAAACGTAACTATAAACGTTGTAAACGTCAGTTTGACGTTATCTCGAGCTCAATGCCACGTATTCATATCTCGCACTTTCCATTGCTCCAATTATTTTCATTCACTTATTTATCTTTTATCTATTAGTTCAGACACTAGTGTATTAACCACTTATTTAGTGCTTTGAATTTATTTACCGATGGTATAGGAGGCTCTACCGCTGGTTGTTGCCAGTGAATGCCGAGGGAGACGTTTGAGAATTATTTTCAAAGCTTATTTCCAGCGGTGGTCTTTTGGGCTCGGGTGTTTCAGTTATTTCAGGCGGTTGTCGTATTTTTGCGATGACACGCTGGTATCACCCACGTACTGACAGATGACTAGATTCTTTATTTAACAAAAACAATCATCCCTCGTCATTCACATCATCAAACAACACTGAAATTAATAATGAGAAAAAATGAAAAAATCTGTTTCGCACGATTTTTTCATTCTTCCAGTGAAAACGGAAAAATAAGCAACCGAGTGGGGGTTGAAAATCAATAATCCTTGAATCTAGTGATGTTTTCCCCCTTTGGTGAGACCTTGAGATCTCTGCAGACCACATAACACGTATACCACATGGAGATTCCCCCTCTGCACTAGCTTGCCCTATTTTCACTCAAGTCCCTGACCCATTTCTCCCTCAATTCCACCGAAACCCCACGCAGCTAGTCCAATTATTCATCCAACCCAATTACTCACAGAAATAAAATTAAAAAACCCGCACAATCCCCGGGATATTCTCGTCCTATCAACAATTAACATAATCCCACGGGTATTAAATATCGCGCTATCGATTCACCCCGAAACCATAGGGTTTCCGTTCTCACAGAAATTCCCAGGTAATTGAGAGCAATTACTCGTTTTATTTCCACCAAAAGTACAAAGAGAGATAAAAATTCCTGGCTAGCATGGATAACCGACAGAAATTACCGTCTCTTGTATCTAGGGGGAGAGTCTGGTTAATCGATGCTAACTACCGCTAAATGACGACACGCGCAATATCTGTACGTGTGAGAATGTTCATAGTACTTGTGACAATAGTACCCGCAAGAAAAAAATTGAATAAAAATGAGAATCATGCGAAATTCACCTCAATGATTCCAGAATGTCAAGAGCGCAATAACGTATTTGAATTGACATTTAAAATTCTTTCATTCCCACTTTTCCCATCCACGTGAGGTATCAGAATGTGACAGGGGAGAAAGGAGATGGTGGGGTATTCCAGATGGATAATATGGGGCACCGGGTTAATACAGTACCACGCACCGGGTCCTCTTACGCATGCGTACCCCAAGGACACAACTTCAACTACTGACTTTATTATCAAGTGACACGAAACGAGTTACGTCAAAATAACCGATTATAATGCCAGATATTTCGACCGACTCATTGATGGCTATTCGTCTGAACAGGATTGCAAGAATAATTAATAAAAAAAACATGACAAACTTTTTTGGCAGCGATATTTCTGGCACTGGTCTAGCAAGAGTCCATTAAACTTGAGATTAAAATATCACCAGCCAATTGGTTATCCTCTGGAATAATCTCAGGATAAATTTGAAAAAAAATCTCGAGGCGAAATGAAGACGGAATTGGATAAGCCCTGATGAAATTTCCCGTAATTCCATCAGGTGGATATTTCATTTCCCATCCTGAGGTACCACTGGATTTTCACGGTTCCTACATTTATCCAGCAAAAAAATCCCGTACCCCATTCTCCTCTTACCACGTAATCACGTTATCTTATCGTACATTAACTATTAACTGCATCACTGCACTTGCCCTGTTGCATTACTGAATTATTTCCCAGACTAATTACACGCACATTTCAATGGTGCAATTGCGAATGGAAAAAAAGACTTTAATAGAAATGAGTTCGCGTTTCGTATTGATTGCATTAGAGTGAATGAAAACTGTTGATGGCACAGGTGCAATTCAAATGCCCCTGAAAACTTCTCTCCTCAAAATAATCACGTAATATTCTCGTACATTCTCTCGTAACTGCATCACTGCACTAGGATTAGCAATAATTAAACGTTTTATGTGGGGATATTTTCGTTTGGCTTGGAGTTAATTTATGTTGTTGACTTGAAAATGATAATTGTGACTTGAAGACGAGGAAAATGCAACTGTTGGTGAGGTGGTGGCACCGATGCAGCCGACAGTGCGACTGCTAGCTCTACAGCGCCTCTGCACATCCCACCCACGCTATATCGATCCCTCCATCCTCCCTCTTTCCTCCCCCTTTACTCCCCCTTTCCTCCCTCTTTCATGCACAACATTTTGTGGCAAGCCTTCTCTATTTTTCCCATTTTTCCCCCATTTTCTCCGATTTTTTCTATTCTTCCAACAGCCTTCACGTCGTTATGTCTCCAGTTCCTTCAAAAACTCATGCCAACATCTTCACAGCTTTACGATATAAATATAGAAGAGAAAATAATAAGGGGGAGAAAATAATAGAGCAGTGGATACCTGGGTAAATATAGATCGATTGTTCTGGGAATGCTTGGAGCATGAGAGAATTCGAGGAAAATAATCTCCGAGGATGATAATTTTGGGGATAATCGCACGTTTTTATCACGTTTTATCGTCAATGTCACTGGGGCATGGCATGAATATTTCGATGGTAACTATTTAGCAACACTTGGCTCGAGTTTTGGTGTCTAATAATTCCACTGTTGCTCAACATGTGGGAGATCTCAGGATGCCCTGGGATTCCGGAAGGAAATGGGTGACGGTGGCTTGTTATCGGGCTCGCGGTTTAATTAATTGGATTATTTTATTGTGGGAATAAACGGAACAGCTGATGAAACGTCTTCACGATGAACAATAAAATATATCCTCACAACGACATGATATATATTTTTTTTTACCGTACTAAGCAGGAAGGAGATCATAAAATGTTTGTATCCTGTTATAAAATTCGAATTCTTTTTGGGGGCGATGCGCGAAAGGGTGTGCACGTCACATCCGGGCAATTGCTCCCAGGGATTACGAGGATTGGACTCTAATTACACCCGGGGCAAAGTCCTCGGAGAGAAAGAAATAAAAGAAATGAATAAATAAAAAAAACAGCACAAGGTTTACCTGATTTGAGCATGATAAGCAGGCGATGTGTGCTCGGTGTGGGTTGTGAGGAGTTCAGCTGGTCCAGTTGACATTGCGTCGATGTATCCCAACGAGGGTAACACAGGGTCAAGGAGAAGGACACCTGGTGTGGAGGGATGGGGCTGTGGGCCAAGAAATGCCACCCGGACTTTCTCCCTTCCCTCGCTGGAATGAAAAATCATATTTTTTAAATAATACTCAATGATTCTGATATCGTGTGGTGATTTTATGATTTGGAGGGAGGAAATTGAGGAGAGGTAGGTCGTGGTGAATAAACGAGGGGCATCGATCTGGCCAGCTTGGCGCCGCTCTAGCCTATACCCTATACCACTCTCTTCCAAGTATGTGGACAGGTTTACAAAGAGAAAAATAGGAAATAGTGGTCGCCATTTATAGAAGTACTTGTGGATCACTTTCGCACTGATGTTTTAATTAAAGTTCATCACTCATTGTGATCGATCGATACCGATTTTTCAAAAATCGAGGTGCATTTCACTGAATCATGCGATTTTTTTACCATAAATTTTCTAGGTGAGAAATTTTGTTTGTCAGAATTTATTTCTCTCGGTGTAATTATTAATGCAGTGTATTAACCCCTTCATCACTTGCTATTCCAATCGTGTAATCGATCTTCACTGAAGATCGGGTCAGAGAGCCGTGACTACCCACACCCGATCGCTCATAACGTAAATTATTGTCGAAGGCGTTAATAATTGCTCTGATACGCTCTCAATGCATGTCCTGAGCATTTACCTAGTCGTTAATTTGTTTAATTTTCACCACAACTTCAAATAAATTACGCAGAGAAGATAGACGGCGAGAAAGATATTCCATGATTAACAAAAAATCCCCATAAATAATTAATTAACATGGGAATGATTGAAAATGACTAATTGATGAATATTCGCGTGGGCATTCCTCGTTCTTCACCGCAAAATAAATAACAGTCTTTCTGATTTTTCCTCGCTGTAATGAGCGAGAGCAATTTGTTGGTAATTGGAATGAAAATAAAACGAGTATATTTTTTTTTCCATGAGCCACCACTAGGGAATTTGTTAAAATGACGCTGACTTCCTGTGCGCGATTTTCTCACGCCATCGCTGACATCTTCGCTGAAAAACAATGCAGACATCTCTCCAGACACTCGAGTAATCATCTTGACAGACTATAGCCGCCGTAAAATGATTCATCCAAGACACTGGGAATCTGTCTGAATCTAAATACGAATAATATGGAAAAGTCACTCCATCAGCGAATTAATTCCTCGACAACTCTCATTCACTGAGTATTTCCTATAAAATGTTTTCCTCGTCGATGGTACTACGTTCTTAACGATTGAGTACTCCAAGTTGATTTGAGCAGTGAATTCCAGCGATAACGACACAGTGGATCGAGTCGTGGGTTTTAATTTCAAGAGGAATAGATAACGAAATAGCTCGACGTAGAGGAGTAGCTGATGGGGTGCGGGGTTTATTCGATTTCACAATTTATACCAATCAAGTTTGACCCAGTTATTTAGACTCTGAAATAAAATTTCATTCATCTTCTGTCTTTTTATAGTGATGGTAACTCCACGCTTTTCAGGCACGTCGTGGATGTACGAGGAAAGTAAATGAATACAGTCTGCGATCCCGTAGGACTCCCCTCGTTTGAAAAACCGCTTTGGAGGTGTTTCTTGAATACAAATGCATTCATTGCGTTCCCATTTCCTTATCACGCGTGTGTTACGCGTGCTGGGGATAAAATCCAATCCCGACTGAATATGAATGAAAATAACTTTGGAATCTAACAAGAAATCCAATTCACAAACCGAACAGTTAACTCACAATTTGCATTCAATCATTTTTTCGAATAATCGATTTGTCTCTGGAGCTATCGATCCACGAGAAAAACATTGGAATACTTTTTTGTTGGTAATTAAATCCTCTACAGAAAAGGTATTCTCATGTCTAGTCCTGGAATCAGTGGTTATGGAGATAAATCCGTATTTAATACAACTGCGAAGTTCGACTGCTGTTTATTGAATTTTTTCTTGAGTTTATTTAATCCTCTTTTATCCTCTTTTGGTAGAAACTAACTAAACGAGTTCACCAGGTAGATCCTTCTTCGGAGCCTGAGAATTCCAGATTGAATTACACAATTTGCAAATCGGGTTAGCAACTTTTGGTGGATCAACTCCAATCTGCCATTGGTGATCATTGTTTTTTCTCTGATTGTCGTATTTTTTTTTTCATTGAAAATCTCATTGCAGGTCTATGCAAACGAGCTGACGTCATGAAAAGCAAATATATCAATGGAATAGCACCTCGAGACCTTGAGGCCTCCAATGTGACATCATCCAATAGCAGATTGCCTCCACCAGAGAACCTCGACTGTACGAGTTTTTGGTACGACGTAACGATTCTATTTTCAGTGTATCATTTTATCCATTAAATAATCAATTATTTCGTGAAAAATTCTGATGACATCCTACAAAACAAAAGAATTCTTAAACAAAAAGCCCCAGACCATCAATGACAATTAAGCACCTGAGAAATAACAGATGATTGGAACCGAAAAAAAAAAAACATCAATCGGTATCATTAAACCAACGGAATGTGTCATTAACTAATTATTGTTCATTAAAGGAAAAGCAGAATGAGGAATGTCATTAACAATAAGTCCGAGTGCTTTGTTGTGGAGACAGAAGATGAATGAAGTATTATGATTTTTCATATCCCGTTTTTATTTTAATCGATTGTATTGGAGCAGGATATTTCCTCAGGAGGGAAATGAGGTGGGAGGATAGGTTGTAACATGTGTCAAGATGGCGGGTTACCATGGCAACTCTCAGGGGAAAACCGGCGCTGCTCCATTAACTTTTTTTTTTGCCCTATTGTTCCATGAGAGTCTAGTATCTCCGTTGTTTCAACAATCAACAACAAACAACAATAAATGACGAGTGAGTCCTTGAAAATGAGAGGAACATCGTTTGCTCCAGAGGACGATGATACAGTTATGGTATCAAAAGAGAACCAAGACTTTCACCCGGCTTTCAGCTGGAGAAAGGACCAATTGTCTAATTGTTGAGAGTAACAACTGACCAGTGGTCGTCACGGTGTTTTTCATTTTCCACCAGCTTTCAAATTACTTTTAACTCTCAATAAAACTGTGGAATGGAGGATTTTTTACTCGTTCTTCTGGTCCTTTTTTTTATGATGACTTTCAGGAATGCAAGGTGGGGGGACTTAGGGCCCTGAAAGGGACCGACAGGTAAGTCGACTAGAATTGACCTGGCGAAAACCGAGGGGCCAAGCCTCGAATTTCAGGACTTGAAAATCTACAAAACGTACGAATTCAAACTCAAATCTCAAAATTAAACAAAAATTTACCTCTAGACCTGATAATCCAATTGGAAATTACAGATGACAGGTGAAAAAATAACAGCACTTATCTCGTCACTGGAGTCACGTTATCACCAGAGAACTTGGAATTATTGAAATAATTTTCAGCGATGACAATTAAATATACGGAGGACTGACTTTTGGAGTTTAAATTTCTGGATTGGCACATAAAAATTGATTGGATCGGCGTTAATTGGAGATTCAAATTTGAGAGAAATTGGGGGGGATGTGAATTTTAGGTTGAACTAATGTCAAGCCGAAAACCGGGCTCGACGAGGACTAAATGTTTCTCGACAAGTAACATGGGGTTACACTCGCGTCTTCTCGTTTACCCACCACGCCTGCGTTCGGCTTTATTCGTTTATGTATTGCCGGCCGAATACCACCGAGTTTAACCGAAACAGGTAATATCAAATCTCGTGAGCACGCGTAATTTTTTTGAACATTCAAAAGCCCGAAATTACGATTCATACCGATTTACTGATGATAGGGCCTTTACTCCGTTCGTATTTTTACTCCAGGGCGTTTCCCCTGAATTCCCTCACTATCATCCCAGGGTCGAATGAAAAAAAGCAATATAAATTCTCAGTGCACGTGGCACGCCCCAAAAAAACACTTTCGATATATCATCTAATTATAAACCTGCAGCTAAAACTGGAGAGACAATTCACTTAGTTTATCGGAGAATATCGAGAGTGAAACTTGGTTTATCAATTCCAGGAGAAAGTTTTCAGGAATTGTTTCTCCATTATAATCTTTTTAAAAATTAAAAATATTACAAAATATACCGAGTAAATAATTTCGTCCTCATTCTCGTGTTGGTTGATAATAATACGATTTATCTGGGGCTTCGACGATTTTTTTTAACGAACAGACTATTTTTCTCTCCGGTCGTATTATTTTCGGCGATACAATTTCCATTCGCTCTTATCTTCCTCCCGAGTCACTCCAGACAAACAAAATTATACGAACGTCGTTAGATGTGAATGGAGATACCCACTGTTAATCCACCCACACATTGTCTTCCCCTGGGCCCCAATGTCTTTCACTGCTCATTATCACTTTTGATCCCATTAATGACTGGTGCACGTGTCCCGCATGCGTGATACTCAGAGACGAGTCTTATAAATTCTCGAGATAGGAATAAAGCAAGAGACACGCACATTATTTTCTCCCCGACTTACGATCTGGCATTGGATATATATCGGTACACGATACTGAGAAACAGGATATCATGTAACCGTGAAATGAAAATTCAATTGGTAACGCAATTAATTAATTTCGTTGTTGGCTGATCCCTAAATCCCTCATCTCCTGGGTATTACACCGGATATTTTTAACCGGAAAATTCCCTTGACCATGAAATACCGTGGAAATAATTTCGTGGATTATAATCGATGTGCGAGTATAAGGCGTATTTATTTTTGGGTTTAGGTGTGCCACATGACATCATCCCTAAGTGTTTTACATCACTGCCGCATGTGGGTGTTCTGCGTCGTGATATTCACGAGGATTAATAAACAGGAGAAATTATTAAGAATTTTCATCGAAGAATATGATTTTATGATTTACTCACTCGGTGTCGGGCACTGGCATCATCGGTAGCCGACCATTATGATCTGAGAAGTGATTGATCTCCGGTTCTTCCTGGACTGGAGTTTCGTACACCAGGGTCTCCACCATGGAGCCTTTGCTCGATCCAAAGGACACCCTGCAATAAAAAAAAACAAAGGGGTAATAAAATTTCAAGGCATTAAAAACTTTTTAGCGTCGATAAATTTCCGTTGAGTGGGGGCTCGCGGTGGCTAGACAACCGCAGAATATATTCCCAGGAAACCTCAGGTTTCCTATCGCGTGACAGGTAAATGACGATGATAAACCACAGAAACGAGTATCTTTTGCCTTGCGTCACAGATTCAACTGTCAATCAAAAAAAAAAAAATCAGGGGATCGAGACCATTTGTCCTGATTTTTTTTCAAATCAAATCACCCGCCGGGTTGATTTTATCGACGATCCAACCTCGAGCCTTTAAAAGTCCTCCGAAATCCCCAGGAGATGGCGCCCCATGACGGGCCTCCACCTGACCGCGAATTTCAAACAGAAATCCGCGATTGAGTCACGTGTTCAGTGGAAAATGAAAAAATCTTCCAGAAATATCTTTGAATCTGAGAGAAATTTTAATCTCTCAATTCTGAGACAGTATTTGCAGCGTTGAGATTAGATCCCGAGATATTTCACAGTGAATTGACCTACGGAGAAGGGGAACAGGTGTTGTGTCACTCGAAATGACGCAGTGTTCAGATGCACATGCCCCCCCCCTAGTTTGCGCTCAATTAAAACAGAATTGCGCAATTGCACAATTGAAAATGGTTTTCAGCACCGAAGAGATAATATTCGGTGTCATTGCGTTTGTTATTCTCTCTTTCGTCAATTGCCGTTGGCAAATAGTCTCAAGGTGAAAATCCAGACGTGAGTCTGAGAGACAGTTAGGGGTAGGTCGGGGTCGAGGCCATGTAGACCCTATCGATTCACCACGGATCCAAGACAACATCTTCCACCATAAACCCGAGGCATAAAACAGTCATTTAAAAAATTTATAACCGACGGATTGAAGATAATGGTGATTTTGTCCAGTAATTGTAAACACATCGTCAGAAAATCCAGAAATAAACTCCAATTAGCGAACAGGAGTTCAATGAAACGATCATAATGACTCGAGGCTATTCCATCGAGAAAAAAAAATATTAAATGAGGAACTTTGTCAGTGATATTATCACCCCAGTCTGCAAGCAGTTAACAGAAATTGAACGAGTAGTCGAGAGAATAAATGGAGTCATTGTTGATCGCATGGAACGTATGACCCGAGTTATCAGGTAATAACGACTCTCCTTCATGAATCTCTAATAGAACTCTCGTTAGTGCGTGATAATTGCCACCTGCCAGTGGAATCAGGTGACAAGTCCCAGTTGAGTTATCGGGCATGGGAAAATTTTGAATTTTAAAGAAACTCGACAACTGAAATAGAAAGGAGGAAATGCGCAGTTAAGTTTTTGGATGGGATCCAGAGAAATGATCAGTGCAGCAAAACCGATGGAGATTAATTCAACAGATTATGGTGTGTCGTATGGATAACGTTATTTCTTCTCGCACTCGTCAGACCCATCATCTTTGATAGAAAAAAAAATACCAGAAAATAGGCACAACTCGTTAATCTCACTGACTAATCCACGTGACCCTGAGGAGCACATAAATATGCGTTACAATGCGCTGAAGCCAAAGTTTAATTGGTGGAAGTGAAGTCACGTGAAGGATTTATAAAATCCGCATTAGCCTAAGGGACTCTAGTGAGGATAATTGGATGGTGTATAAATAGATGTACCTGAAAACCACAACCGCCTACGCATCAGTTTAAAAAATCACGTGTGATAATTGGAGCCCTCGAGATGGACAATGAAAAAAAAATAACAGCTCGGAGCAAAAATACTGGATTAACCAGGAGAAAACTCGTGCATGGCATTACGATGGGTTGATCGCCGTGTTGGATTTTTATAATTATAATTGTCGGGCATTGTTGGAGAGAAATGATGGGCGTGGGCGTTTTTGGCGCTCAGAGCCAACGATTCAGAGACGAGTCCCTCGACATTAATGCGAAACGCATTATTTCCATCGTGATTAAACGTGTGCATTCTTTGATGCATCGTACCTCGTGCCTCAGTCGAATGTACGTTTACGATGCTTATTACTCCATCAAGTCCTCCCTTTTATCGTGTACCACGGGAATTTCAGGGTGACGTAATGCGCGTTAATCGCGTTGTGCGTCAGATATTCCGAAAAATTATTCAAGGCTTTGAAGACATTGCGGGAATTCTCATACATAATGGTACACAATGGTATGGTATACTTGGATTTTTTTATATTTTTCCTGAGATTGGGGTGTGGGACATTGCGTAATCGAAGATATCTGTAGTGATTTACGGAGAAGATGGAGTTGCTAATGAGCCCCAGTGCATTGTATTTTCTGTTTCTCCACGTGGGAATCGACGAATGATAAAATAAGTGCTATTTTAGAGCCTTGACACTGAGAATTTCTCAGCATCGTGATTCACACAATATCACTCCTCAGAATATTCCAAAAAATATTATAATGTCAATTTATTATTTCGCAAAAATATTTTAGTCTTTCACGAAATTCGCTGTGATTCTCACGTAAACAAAGAGAACTGTTTCGGATAAAAAAGAGCAGAGGCCCTCACCTTTTGAGACTGGCATGTTTGGCGCCATTGGCAATTTTCGACTTCCTGTCACTGCCACCGGTACTCGCCTCGCTGTTAATGCTGTGCAAACTATCATCTTTGCTGATTCTTGATGTATGCAGTGTCGATTTTCTCGCTGTTGTTCCACCATTGTGCTTGGGGCTCTCGTTCATATCGTTACCCAAACGATCACTACCGTCATTATCATTTCTATTTGTAGATATAGTTGTTGTAATCATCGTTGTTGTTGATGGTGATGTCTTACTGATTCCATTGCGCGTCATCTGACTGTCTCCACGATTTTGAATTCGAGTTGAATGACTGCAGGATTGAGTTTCTCCAGGAGGTGGTTTGTCGCCGTTCGGTAACATGTACGACAGCATCGTTACAATTATTCACTGCAACAATTAATAATAAACAATAATTAATCCGCGAAATACAAAGTAGAATATCGAGTTCGACACTGTCTGTGGATTTATCTCGGAAAGTGTTGATTTCAGAGGAAAACACTGAGGAACTTATTTGTAGCCGATTAAATTTATGGAAGAAAAGGTCTTTTGATGTTTTCATGTAAAATCAATACTTCTGGGATGAATCGGTATTTACCGAAACGGAATTGACTGTATCACCGATTTCAATGCGATAATCGATTGCTCCACTTCGCGATTCACTGGATTTTTACCGATTATTACCGATCGAGGGTCTTCCGGACTATACGGTCAATATCCGTTGCAGATGATGGCAATTGTCAATACACGAGTGCAATGATGTTTCCGCGTTCAACCGAGCGTGATGATTCAAGAGTTCGATCTAAATCGAAATCCATTGAATCGGTTATTCCATCGGAAAGAATAAAACAGTGTGAGAAACAACCGTTGATCAATTACATGACACGCACGTTTATAAATAACTCGCGATTGCATTTCAATCATACCGATACAAAATAAATGAACTGAATAATCGGTATGTGCGGCACCTAGTAATTGACAAAACCATCATCACATTTATCCATCGAATCCCGATCAACTCTCGACACATTTCATCAGCATCACGTGCATTGAAATAATTGTTTATCCCATCCCTTTCGACAGATGATGAATAAACGCACGCCAGAAGAGCGCTGAGCGTTGACTGCGATCGTAAGACCGTTTTACCGAACGGCTTGTGCTTGAAAAAACATGACGTAAAAAAAAAATGTATAGATACTCAGGCAAAGGTTACTTGAATGATGCTTTCTGCCCACACTAGCTTCACTATTCTACATCAATTTCCTGTTAATTTATCGGTAAAAAGGTTGGAGTCGATTTTCACCGCACGAGACAAATTGCGATGATAGAACTAAGAGGAGTTTCTTTTTTAAAAAAAAACCTGAACACGGGGAATGTGAATTTAACAATGAATTATGGGTGGATCTATTGCGGCGGGAATATCAGATTTAATCTGTCCATGGAGAATAGCCAGATCCACAAGAGTGCAGTTTTAGGTTGTTTCAGACTATTGCATACGAACAAACCGAATCCGCTCTACTTTCATTTTTATTTAAAACTGCTGACCACATTGCCCTGCAACTGTGGTTTATAAATAAAATTATTTTCGTGGGTAACTTACGTTGTAGACTGGACGGATTGCATCCCAGGTAGTTCCAATGGTCCAGCATCGGAGGCATCTGCAACAGAATAAAAATTCATTCAATCGACATTCCAGGGGAATTGAACTTCAATCGATTGAGGATCGATTCAACTCTGCCATGTGATCAGGAATGATCTCCTCAATTTGGCGTCCGTTGAACTGCAAAATAAAAATTGAGATGGAGTATTGCGATGAGCAAGAGCTTTTAATCTCGAGGATCTCTGAAAAATCCATTTGCATTCAGCTATGAAGAGGAAAAGAGGGTGCTAGTTTCTTCAATGAAGACTATTCCGGAAAAGCGAGAGACAAGCGTGGAGGAGAGATTGAAGTGATCTTCAGTGAATAGCCACCTGTTTCCTCTCCCCATTTTTTTTTCGCAGAAAGGTGATATGTTTGCACTTGTCCGAGTGTAATCCCGTGGGAAACGCTCAGCGATGAAAAAACATGTTGAAAAATCGGTGATTTGTTTTTATTCTGCCACGAGAACACGCGTGATCGCTGGATTTTACCGTTTATTTTTTATTATTCCTCACGCGCAGTGTTTTGGATAAATTGACAATGAAAAGAGACAAGACTGCGTGATTGCACTTCAATGCACTCAATGCACGATGGGAGGGTGAATTAATAAATTTGCATAGTCTCGACACACATGCGTCTACTCCTCAGCACTCGAGCAGTTGAATGAAGAAAATAGCGATGACGGATGTCTCTGAAGTGTTTTGTTAGACTATTACTCTGCGATGAATTTAAAAATCATATTTTTAAAAAATTGGCATTGTTCATTTCAAATGTTGTTAATGTAATTCTGGTAATTTTTTATGAATATTCATTCGACTTGAGAGAAACTTTCTCGAGTAAACTATTTGTCTGGGTGGGCAACGAAATTATCATAATATTTTTCCTCCACTTCAGGAGGACAGAGGAATATTCTGTGGGCATAATGGCCAAGTTGTTGAAGAATCACTCGGTCTAAAGCCCCTCTCGGATTTTTGTCGAGTTTTGTTTCCAAGTGAGACTGAGGAGGTCATGCTTATGATGTAATTCTGTGCGAAATGGTGGTTTCAAAAGAGGAGGCGTAGACAGAGTGAGTCACGATGAGAATGACTAGCAGATACCACAAGCTATTACATCTGTCATATTGCATCTGTCATATCTCAGCGTGTCCGACACTTTACCCTTAAAATGAAAAATTACCGACTCGAGAAGTCATTGAGAGAATGCTGAGTAAAAAAAGAGAGTCATGTGGATGAATGATTGGGCCATCGGTTGGATAACTGGTGTTTATCTGTAATTGACAGGTCAGTCGCATCGATATAGACGATCAGAATATAGAAGAGGGTAGGATTAACTTCCGGTGGAATTTCCGGCTCGTGACATCCTGTCAAGACCGAGTCGCGTGTCACTGCTAAATGCAGATTCATAATTTTGAGAGTAACTGGCAAAATTGAAGACTTGCCATTTTTTAAAACTGATTCTCGTGAATACTCGGCGAACAATCGACTTCATCAAAATGGATTTGGATCCGGTAGCTTCAATTGCGTGGGTGCAACTCTGGAATAAAATTCTGGTACGTGTTGGTTGTACAGTGCATCAAAATGCCAATCACCCGGTTATAGTCACGGTAAAATGTATTTATAACTGCATGTGTTGACGCCCGTATGGGAAAGATTGTTAGTCGACAATAGCGTGGGATGAGGCACTTACATCATTTATGAGACCCTCAATAATCCATATTTTTTTGTTATGCTCGGTGTTCGATAATGGAAGGCTTGCGAGAAAGTCTTGAGAATCTTGAATTCACTGACAAGCTGCTAACTTTACTGCATTCAATTGTGATGGATAATAGATACCCGATAGATACGACATTGACATTTATTCAATTCATGTGGAGACAATATGTCGGGAATATGGGTGTGTAGACCCAGAGGACTACAACCTGAGGAACACGGGAGCAGCCAGCCAGCAAGAAACTCGTCGAGGATAATTAGATATCAGATTTCATCCCGTCTCGTCTGGATCCGCCTTCAGCTAGCATTAAAAATTATATATCTCCTAGATATCCCGATAAAACAATCACCATTTCAAGAATTCTCCAGACATTTCACAAATTTCAAATAAGAATTACAAGAATTCCACGATTTCCCCTGAATTTCCAAAGCTCCAATACCTCAGAATGGATCTCTGAATGGAGTTTCCAAGATCAAAGCTGACTCCAAGGCACTTAACGGACCCCTTCAAACATCTGTTGTTCAGTGATGGCACTTTACTGTTAGGATGTCGAGAAAATGAATATTCAAGTTTGTTGAGAAAAAATTATGTGACGAAATATGAAGATAGTGTCGGGGAATGACATCTAGTAAATAAAACCAGAGCGATATAATCCAATTTGATAAGATAGTGAATCGAAGAGATCTTTATCTTTCTAATGTCGAGGGGTTGTTGCACTCTTGCTCTGATGACTCGCTGTGATTCTTAGAATGACCATGACTCTGCGTAAAAGGGACACCGAATGTATACAGTAATATATCGTGAATTGCAGCCGAAGGGGAATTGTGATTGTACCATTTGAGCACGTACGAGTTTGTTGCCAGCGATTGATATTTCCACGTAGCGGTCTTCGTCCGGCCTTAGAGGCCTCTCAGATGCTCTGAATCCCACACTCTTTATATTATGAAAATTACAGGTAACGATCCACTGCTTGGATTTTTTTAACCCGGTCTGTTATTATTTATTAATTGTTATTATGCTCCATTTATCGCTGACTATTTCCCACAAGTTTTTTTTTGTTCATCTTTTGAATCGATCCACCGGTGGCTGATAGAATTCAATTTCACAGATATTAAATGTTCAATGATATCAGAATTTCAATTCAAAATATCTATATATATTCCACTGACACGATATTAATATATAATCGAATATAAATTAATCGAGGGACAAGTGATAATTGAGAAAGATTTTTATTCGATTCATTTTTCAAGGATATCTCCGGAATTATTGGAGATACAGAAATTTTAGTGATAATGTTTTTTGTAGATCTTAATTAAGTCTACAAAAAAGGTGATGGTGAAAAATTAATTATCTCCTGTGGTTTAGTGGATATCTCTGAAAAATGAATTCATCCCCTTTGTGCACTTCGCTGGATAATTGTACACCCCCGATCTCCATTGTGTCATTATCCTGATAATTGATAATCATCATGAAGTGCCTTCATTGAGATGTTTTTCCCTCTACAGTTCCCCTCTTTTCACAGTGAAAATAAGGGAGAGGGTTGTACCACGAGGGAAAACATGAAAAGAGTCGAGCACTTTTTCAGTATCCGAACAAGGCGAATAAAGAGTGAATGTATATAAAGGTTCTAATATATATACATATGGGATTATAATACCAGACGCGTTTGCAAAATGAACCTGTAGGGATTCTGGTAGTCTGCCAACGAAAATGACAGAGAAAGAGAGTGTCTGTCTCATAGCATTATCACCCGGAAGACCGGAGGGTACCAAAGACATCACCAGCGATAAAACCTCCGAGGTAATTAAACCGTGAAGATATTTAATCAGCGAATTAATATCGTATTAAGATATAAATCTCATTTTTTTTAATCTCGTCCCCTCACCTGAGGAGCAATTCTTCCGGAAGTATGAAACGCGTGTCCCGATTATCCCCCCCAGGTTAAACTCGGTGGAAGAGGCGTCACGCGAAGTGCATAAACGATGAAAAAAAGTAATAAAAATATCCGTAATACGGTGAAAAGGGAAAATAACTGAATTATCACGCAATACATCGAAAATCTACAACAGGGTATCAACATTGTCCATTGAATCCGGGAAAATCCCCAGAATTCGGTGGTAATAAACCTCAACGGCTCTCAGGAAGACTGACTCGACAACTTGGAATGCGGAATTAACTGGTAATATAAACACATGTGCGAAACGCACACATCAAAAGCGTTTAAAATCCCGTAGGCGGGTTTAAAGTCAATTGATGGAATTAGATGGGGTTAAATGCAACCGTATCACCGCGTTAATTCGATTAACTATTTTATCCTCCTCTTCGCCACCGGTGGAATTCTCTAGAATAAAAATTGTTGATTTTACGGGAATAATGACGTGTGAGAGATAGTCTCGAGAGGGTGATCCAATCAGATCACATCAATCGATAAATCATTGGAGAATAATCTGCTGATTAGTTGACGGAAATGATTCTCACGAGCATGAGAATGTCTAGCATCGCCCACATATTTCCTGCTCTCGCATTAGCACCAGTGGGTTAGGTCAGTTGACTGAATTAGAAATCCACTGATTGCACGAGACTGTTATTTCTGTCCAAAAAGAGACTGAATTTTCAACGGGAATTGAGTCTCATCTCGATAAATGCCTTTGGAATTCTCATTCCCCTTTTGTCGTCAATCTAGAAGACAAAGGGAATAATAATCGGCTAGGATTCAGTCGACATTGTCAAAGGGAAGTGATACAGCTTTTTTTTTTATGCTTATTGATGATCAGAGCTTGGGGATGACTTGTCTGATCCCTCAGTTGTCTTTAGAGATATTGTGAAAGGAATCTGGAGAGTTTTTCATTGGCATCAATGGATATTAATGACAGATCTACCCACTCCAGATAAATACATCATTCGTGTGAAAATAATTATGATAAAAAAAAATTGGTTGAGGGGTGGATTCATTTATCCAGAGGGGTAGTATCTGTGCAGATGTACCAGCAATATATGCTCATGGTTTTGCTGTTGGAAATCGATGGGACGCGTGCGCAGTTATCCAAGACTTCCAAGACGAATTCATTTCACATCCCCCTTTGGTGTTTGTGTCCATGTGAATATCGTCAATTGCTTTCACACACACGTGCTACATCTACCTCTGGGCCAAACTATTCTTTGTGGCTGTTTTACGCCTCTTATGGACGAGCCGATTCCGGTAGTTTTTTTTTTCTCCCCTGTCTTCCTCTGGGGTGTCCTGGTACGATCAACTTTTATAAGTCATAAACTGCCTTTTCAACTTCTGATTTTTGGGGGGACAGAAAAGAAAAATCTTTGACTGTTCCAAGTCGTTAATTTTCTACTTCTGTTCCTTCCTGATTTTTTCTCTTATTTACAATGGGAGGTTTTTCGATTCAGCAACTGAATTCAGTCGGAATTACTTTTATATTTTTGGGGGGTGGGTAACGAATTTATTACGATCTCCTGGATAATTCCTCTGAGAGAGAATTTTCAGAACTAATTGTGAACTTGAGACGGGAAAATTATTTAAGCGAGAGTGCCAAACGATGACGTTTGATGGGGCCGACAAGGGCTCAACATCAGGAGTCACTAGAAGAGGGTGAGAATTATCCTGGTGAAAAGCTCAGCTCTAAAAGGGGAGAATGGACCGGGAATCTCAACGAATTGGAGAGAATTGGACTCCACGTCACGTGGGAATCGATATCTCAACTATTTTCGGGCTTTTATTCTAACAGATGTGTAATTCTACCATCTTAAAATTCCTCATCGAAACCATTCAACTTTCATGATCAATATAAATTCCAGAGAATCCACAAAAATTCTACTTCAAAGAGGGGATGGAAAATTAACGTGAAATATTCCCTAAGCAAGAGGATTAGAATAAAATTCGGAGTTCACATTTCTTTAATTAACAATTTTTCGAGAGAAGTGAAGATCTAATGGGAAAACGTTGAAGAACTTTTTTGTAGGTGCTTAAAATTTCTAGAAGAAAGTTCTTCTGTCGTTTTCTCGTAAAGTCAATAGATTTACTGTTTTCCTACTGAAATCCTTTTCCCCTGCCCTGCTAATTTCCGGGACTTATCTAGCTCCCCGGTAGCTTCAGAAAATCTAAAATGGAGAAGATTAGAGTGGCAGATGCGATAGCAAACGCACCCCAATAAATACGTCGTGGTAAAACGAAGAAAGGGAAAACGATGTTAACAATGGGTGCATATGGCTGAAACATTTCACCCTCACAAATAAATTCGCCACAATGTTCCCCTAGTAACCTTTGCGTGCCTGAATGAATCACTCGCGTGACTAATAAATATTGTAATAAACAGGAATGAATTGAACAATTACTGAAAATTAAAAATTGGCATAAAATTATCCGATTGGCATTGACTTACCCAGAATTTCGCAATACCCGTGGTTTCTCCATAATTAAATCACAAACAACTCTCGAATGTTGAATAATGAAGAAAATTTATTGAAACCGCACGTTTCACGTAAACTACATTTTTCAGAAAAATACAATCACTGAAAAACCGCCAATGGCACAGTGACACGAATTATCCTAGCGTGCATACACGTTTCTCGTAATTACAAGCACGACAATGCGATGAGTGTTGCGAGTAAATTCATTGAAGCAAACGTAAGGAACGAGGAACGACGATATGTCATGATAAACGAGTCAAGGGTTGGGATTTAGAGAAAAAAACCCAAAGAATGAGGAGAAAAAAAAGAGGGGGAATCAGGGGGCATTAGGAACGAGGCTGGCACGACTTAATTGGCCTAGAATTTAAATTACTCCCCCTCAAGCCCCAGAATTCTCACCTAAATGTTTATTTAAATTGAATTATCCTATAACTCCTATGACTGTTTGATTTCACTTTAGTAGAAAATAATTTTTAACTACATCACTTATTTTTACGAGCGCAATTCCAGAACTATCGTCATTGATTAATTTTAATTCTTTATGCTCTTCAGTCCTATAATCTATGTGAAAAATTATGTGTATAGAACACTCATTGACCTATTCGGTACGGTCTACATTATGTTGGCAGTGAAACTAAAGTGGCAGTGATTGACTGTAATATAATGCCCACGGAGCATTAAAATGGGTCGCAAGAAGAGTTAACCGGAAGTGGTGAGAAACCAATACCTCTCAGTAATTTTTTTTGAAGGAAGAAAAAAAATGAAATAAAGAAACCAAACGACTTTGAATTAAAAAAAAAGACAAATCACGTGACGATATTAGTTTTCACCTTTTTCATCGGATTTTTCATGAGTTAAAAATACTTATGCAATAGCGAGGATTCGAGGTGTCTCATTACCACGAGGTTAACACGTACTGGAATTGTCCGAGTGATATTTTCCACTTGAAAACCATACCATTACGTTATCGGGGTGCAGAGTATCCTCGGTGAATTGATAGAGGGCACATTGGCCTAGATATTGAGGTCACGAGACTCCACCGAAATCGAGAATTATCGAAATTATGTATCGATTCGGGGAAATTTTTACATCCCCCTGCAGTGAAAAATGGAGAATCTAAAAATAAGTGAAGGAAAAGTGTAAAAAAAATTGCTTCTTTATACCCTGCGAAGCTATAAATATTGGATAATAAAAGTATGGCTGCAAAGTATGTATTGGCCTTGGCCGCTGATTTACTGCATTCGAGATAGATCGTGTCGATAGGTAATGAACAACGCCAGAAGCAAGAGTACCTCTTATTAAGAAAACTTGAGATAAGAAAAAAAAAACAGACTGATTGTCCTAATTGGAATAAATCGAATGTCCAAGTCTTTCCCGACCAACAATTGCACTCGTTGTCACGTGTTATTGTCGTACCGTCAACACTGAACATCAATATTTCATTTTCACAAGGTTGTCATACAAAAAAAAAACAATCAATGTTTACACCCACAACTTCCCGACGGCTTATCATTATCCGAAATACTCGTATTCTAATTTTTGTCAAAATAGTTACAACTAGTTGGTGGAGTAAACAATTGTGCAATTATCTGTCTTACCTGGATTACTCCAATGTATATAACAGCTGATCACAATATCCCCGACGAATCACACAGGAATAATTTCACAATAAAAATTTCAGTCTGTCACATTTGAAACTGGAGTGATCCCAGGTCGTTGGCTCCTCTATTTTCCCATGGGTCAGCCCAAAATCGATCGCATTCAATTGATTCGTCCGTACATTCTGAGATCGATTAAAAACCCGGATATTCCCATCCCCACCATTTTTTCACCAGTATTTCCCTCCACTTGAGATCGACGGAACAAAAGGCACAAAAAGTCCTGCAGGAGGTGGGAGGACCCGGAATAAAAATTGTGTCGATAGGTCGAGGTCCCAGGATTGTCCTGCCTCCGGGAATTTTTTGATTTCACATTGACTACTCGGGTGTATCTTTTTCGTGATTAGTTAATCGGTGGAACATTCAGTGGTAAATTAATGTTGGGAGAACTGGTGGAACCGAACAGAACAGGCACCTCACACTTGGAACGTGAAAGCAGTACTGCGGACTCTATTGGAGATACCGTAGCGCCATGCGCAGACGCTGGACAACACCGACGCTGTTTTACTCCCCCACTCGCATCAAAACACCATTTTTTTATTTTTCTCTCAATCAAGCTTTTTTTCGATGTAAAATCAGTGAATTCGAATGCACAAACTGTCAGGATCACCTCTAGAAAGTCAAACGAAAATTGGAATTGAAAAATCACCTCCCAACACGTGCCATTTCAATTTCAATTTTCTATTTTTAAATTCGCAGAATTGACGTTCGCATGCAGTTTATTCCGTAATATTGACAACTTCTGGTCATTATTCTCAGTAAATTGGACTATTAAATAGTGGTTTTTAATAGAAAAAAGACAAATTTATTGACAGGTTTAAGGAAATTAATATTATGATAATTATCGCTGACACTATCGACAGTCAATTGAATTCAGCGAGTTTGACAATCGATACATCATGAATAAAAAACAGTTCTATTCCTGAATTTCTATTTTTGAAATTGACTCGCGAGGGACTGGAGGTGTTTATTATTTATAACCAGATGACTGGACGAATTTTTATTCGATTTCGTTAATTAATGGAAAATAAATGGGCGAGGTCTCAGGGCTTTGGGGGTTCATTAAGTCCCTGTCTCGTAGATCTGCGTAATGACTTGTTTATAATTAACAAACGGCGGCTGTTGGAATTTAATCAGTGCCAGGTTTCGGTTGAAACTGTTCACCGTGAAATTAGTGATAAAAATAGGGGAACCACCGTAAAGGTTTTCAGATGATTACTTTGCTCTGTTTCCGTTCATTTTTCTTAATCGCATGCTCGAGTTACTTGCAGCGGAGGAGAGAATGGTCCTGAATAAAAGAGGCTGCGTGCATAAAAAATGTTGTAAGAAGGGGTGGGGAGATTGAATCGTTGGTTTTGGAATGAAAAAGCTGTTATTCTCATTTGTCACGGTGGATCGTTGGAGGATGAATTATTTCCAGGGATGAATTGAGAAAAAGTGTGTCACCAAATGCCTGAGCCTCAACGTCTTCACTTCGTGACGTTGAATATATTTTTTTTTTTCGGTGAGAAGAAATTGTTGAATAGGTAGAACAGCCGTTGAATTATTTGAGAGGATAAGAAAACAATTTTGAGTTCTAATTTTTAGTATGCGTTATATTAAAATACAAATGCCGATTCTACAACAGTTAATTAACATATATAATATATTTTACAAGTGTCCATACGTTCATTTAATATCCCATGATTAATTTTCGTGTAAAAGCTACTCTGAACACTGAAAATTCCGAAAAAAATGCCCCAAAAAATCAGGAGTTTGAGAGAAATGCAGTACATCGAGGATTAAGTAATGTAAAAGGATGATGATTATTTTATAGTCTCAATGGATTAAATTTACTAGTCCCTATCGCGTGTATACGTACGAAATGCCAGATTCCTTAATTTAGTGAATGATTTCCTCGACGCAGATAATGACCTGGTGGCTCATCAGTGCCTCCAGGAGCTACAAGGAAAAGTGAAAGCATTGGGAGACTTATGCTGAATTTATTTCACTGTTCATCCTTGTCCTTGGCACCGTGCTTCAGAATTCTGGTGAACTCGAGATAATCGAACATTGAGCCTTTTATCGGGGCCTCGCGGTACATCTCGTCCACATCATCATCCGTAAATCTGATAAAAGGGAAATTCCATATTTAATGGACAACTCCCCATATTCCCACCAAAAATATTCATTTTTCTTCATAATTTATAATTAAAAACATGTCAGGAGTGAAGCAAGTGAAATCGAATGCGATATTTTCTTTAATCATCGATTTATCTCGAAGACTATCGATTTAAAACGAAAACACCAAAGGACTTTTTTGTAGCCGATTAAATTCTCGAAGAGAAAGGTCTCTAGACATTTCCTCCTAACATGAATGGCTGTCAAGATTAATCAATATTTAAGACAGGAACCTAATTTTTTTAGATGATTACCTGTCTCCCATTGTTGTCAGGAGTTCCCTGAGTCGTTCTTCATTGATGTGCCCGTTATTTTCCTCATCGAAGCAGCCGAATGCGTTCTTGATGACGTCTTCAGGGTCAGTGCCCTGGAGACGTTCCCCGAAGAGTGTCAAAAACATTGTGAAATTTATTGGGCCTGGGGCCTCATTCATCATGCCCTCGAGATACTCGTCAGTGGGATTTTTCCCTAAAATCGAGACATTGAGGTTTTTTTTCGGGGATAGGGGGAATTAAGAGATTGAGGCGTTACCCAGGGATGCAAGCATGTCATGGAGGTCCTCCTTATCAATGAATCCATCGTGATTATGATCGATCATGTTGAATGCCTCTTTGAACTCGGCTATCTGTGCCTGATCGAACATTGCGAATACATTGGATGTTGCCCTCTGTGCCCTCTTTTTCGTCGTGCCACGACGACCAGCTGTTTTTCTTGCTGACATGGTTTGCTATTCAATCTTAAACCAAAACAAACAGGCCATTAGCCCCGTAGAAATTCCCAGTGACATTTTACTGAGTGAAATCGAGATTGGGATATAAATAATTCAGCAGTCAACAGGGAAATGAGACGATTCGAGTATTGATTAGTTTTTGGGAAATTTTGGTTCACCCGAGCGAGATAGCGATATTTTCGGTAGGACCTTTTTCGTAGGGCAGTAAAAGAGTAACAAGAAAGGTGATTACAAAAATTTTGATATCACTGGCAGATTCGGAGATATTCCCCGAATACGAGGAACGATTGAGTTTGGATCGTTTACCCTTTCGCTGCTGATTTTTATTCTGAGTTCTGACTGTCGTGGGGTCATTAAACTCTGGGTTACGAGTGGAGTTGAGGTTTATTCTTCTCAGAAATTTTGGGAAATACAATTTTTTGGTAAATACCATGTAATTAGGTAAATCAATCCTGACAGATTCGATAATAAAGAATAAATTCCTTGAAATGAGTGAATAAAATTCCTCCTGTGGCAGCCCCTGGAGAATAATTTCCCAATCTCCCACTTTCCTGGAGTTTTCCATACATAGTATGACACAAAGATAATTTGGAGAGAACAAAACTCGAAACCGCCGCCTTAACCCCATTTCCCCGAAATTCCCACAGTCGATCAAAGTTTATGAAATTACAGGAGTGAAATGATGAAACATGTAGTTTTCGACACAGAGCAAATATTTGAGGATGACTCAAGCTATTGGAATGTATTTCCTTCAGTATTTTACATCCGAGGTGACACACAATGGCGGCTTTTCCCGGAGGCCTATCTGTTAATCAAATCACTCATTTCCAGATGTACTCCACTGCTCAATAATTTATTGATAAATTGTAATTCAGTTGGAATTTGAAAAACACTTACTCGTCAAAATTCTCCAGAGAAGATTCGAGAGATCGATATTCGAAACGTATGAAGTAGACAATCACACTCGCGTCACTGATGGACAAGAGGATTTACCACACCCGATGGGTGAATATCAGCTGATCGAAGCGACATCTGGCGTTTGAAAAATAAATGAGAGACAAGCAGGGACAAACTAGCCTTGTGGCTTCCATTGTCATCTTTATTCGGGTTTATCTCTTTCCTGGGAAATAATCTCCGTGAGTTACACTATTCTTCTTTATTATTCCCTTATCTCCACCAGTTCTTCTCCTGGAATTTCATCGCCCTGGAATGGCGACAAACATAAGGGACTCCTTTCTTCTCGTTCCAAATTCCGTATTCGGAGAATCAAGTCGTTGTGTGACTCATCGCCTTTTATGGACACACGAGAATTCCAAACTATTGCGGTCGTGATTTTGCAATGAGACTGGGGTCAAGAGCAGGTAAAAATACCCCAATTAAATTCTGGATATGCATGGGGATTTGAGGATTGATTCCTACGAGGATTTATTGGCTTCAAATCGTAGATTCACTCCTCAAACATAACAATATCGTTTTTATTCGTCTTATGGGTACAGAAATAATGATAAAATACTTGCAACTATGAAAAATAGAGCCAGAGATTGTCTGGGTACGTGATATATACAGAAATCTTACAGTCGTTGGTCTTTGAATCTTCGATAAGACCGGAATTGTTGAGAACAGAAGAATTTTATTCTTCTCTTCTGTCGATACAATTTTTCATACCGTCTCTCGAATTGTATTTACAATCGATTATAAATAATGAGGCATTGCTAATTCTTAATGATAATGTTTTGTTCTGTTTTCTTTTTTGTGATGAAAAATTATCGAACGGATACACCATTTATGGTGATGCCATTCCTCGGCGCTGGTTCGGCCTCGTAGTGTCCAGATCTGTTGTATCCTCTTCTGCCATTGGCGTATCTGAAAATATCTCGATCAATTGGTCAAAATTGTCTCTTGAGACAGAATAAATAATTTTTTACGAAATTTAATTGACAATTATCAATTGAAAACTTGAGAGATCTCAGAGTTTTCTTTCTAGACTCGATATCTCGAAAACTATCGACTTGACGGAAAAACGCTACAGGACTTTTTTATGGCTGACAAAATTTCCGAGGAAAAAGGTATCCTGATATTTCTTCCTAAAATCAATAGTTTTCGTGATTGATCGATGTTTTCATGAAAACTGTAGAATTCGAAGCCTTTCTCCGACGATTATTGGAATCATTAATATTTTCGCATTTTTATTCTCACCCATATGCACTACTGTTAACACTGTACGGATTATCGTAGAGCCCATCCTCAGGAACATTTTCGTACATTCTATTTGGCGTCCCATCATTCAAACTCGCGTACGACATGACCGCGGCATTCTGATCCTCTTTCCTCTCCGCGGCTTGAACATTCTCAGTGTTTTTCACTGGAGTTGCTTTTCGCAATCGAAGATAAACGAGCCCTAGGATTATCAAGATGATAATGATAACACCAGCTCCGATTCCAACACTCGTACCAACCCCCTGTTGTTCCGCCACTTCGTTCGAGACCACTGCAATTAAAATTGGCATATCGCAATTTCATTACTCAATAAGAAATTTGTAACATCTACACATTTTCCTTCGTCTCTCGTCGAATTTTTCCTGCATTAACTAGGATGCGATAAAAAGGCTTTTCTAATTTACTCGTATCAGTTTTGACTCATTTTTATTTAAATTGATGGTCTATTGATGGGATTCAATTGATTTAAGAGTTGAAATGATTTTTTAATCACTTACTCTCGCATTTGGGCTCTTCGCCACTCCACATGCCGGTCTCAAGGCATTTCCTCAGGAACGGTCCTATCCTCTCATACTGCGGCAAACAATGATACTCAGCAGCTCCACTGAAAAGAGTTGATCCATTCACCACGATAACTCGTCCATTGTCTATGGGGCCCGGATGCTTGCAGTCGAACGCTGCAAAAGTCACAGGTCATAAAAAATGATCAATTGCGCAATGATCAAGTGATAAATGTCAAATTACCGAAACAGGCTGGCATGGATCCACTCCAGGAGCCATTCTGGAGACATATACGTGTGCCATTTCCCTCCATGTAGTACCCACGGGGGCAACTGTAATGGGCAACTCCTCCTACACTGTGGGTTGACACTTGGGTTTCCAGTGGAATTACTTTTTCCGGATCTTTGCACCTTATTTCCCGACAAATTGGCATCTCACTGCTCCAAGTGGCATTCTCCAGGCAGAGACGTCTGGCGAATCCATCGAGCTCGTAATTACCATCACACTCGTAAATTGCAGCTGCACCGTAGTATGTCGCGTTTGATGTCAGGGTGTAGTGACCGTGTTGCGTGTTTTCCGGCTTTCCGCAGTCTACGACTGTTTGGCGAATAAAATTGAATATTGAGAGTTGTAGTTTTTGGGAGTTTCTAACGATTTATCGTCGTACTCTGGACCAGATACCGATTTTTACACGAAAGAATCAGTGAATTAATGAAAAAATAGTAATTCTGATCCGACTGGTGACTTTTGGGGAAGGAAAAATTGAATTTGTATCAACCGATTATTAATTCCGCATATACTTCTAAAAGAGTACATTAGAACGCTCGAAACAAAGAAGTGAAGATAAATAAATAAAATGTATAAAATTCAATTTCTCAATCACTCAACAGTTCTCGAAGTTTTTCCCTCAAACAAACATTTCCCAAAAATGAAGATAAACATAAATTAATAAAATTCGCATCCCGCAAACCAGTGAATCAATTCATTAACGAAATATTTTGGGACTTGGGATTAACATATGCGGATGACATTTTTTTTAATAAATAAAAAAAAACTACAACTCACAAATACACCGTGGCACATCACCACTCCATTTCCCATTGTCCTCGCACGTTGACAGTGGCTCACCGACGACCTTGTACCCCCTCTCGCACCTGTACTTAGCTAGTGCACCGATTTTATACGATGTTGCACCAGTATTTGAATTCTCAGCAGTTCCGGTTCTGATCAGTGTCCTGCCGTACATTCGATCGTTGCCAGTCACCGAGAGAATTCCATGTTCCGCAAGAACAGGTTCAGGACACCGGATCTCTGTATCGAAATGTCCATGAAAGTGACAACAATCCCCGAAACTAATCAATCACTCGAGTAGTCGTATTACCTTCACATTTTGGTGTTGCATCACTCCACTGTCCATTATCGAGACAGTACCTCCTGATTACACCGTTCAATCGATAGTTCCGAGTACAACTGTACGTTATTTCACTTCCCAAGTGCGTCGTACTGTTCACGTACTCGACAGCCCCATTAGGAACCGGCAGAACTTTCCCGCAATCGATATCTGAAATTCCCAAGTAAAGAACATCTCGTATCTTTAAAACCATTGATTTTAGGAGAAAACATCATAAGACCTATTCTGTCAAGAATTTAAATGCCGAGAGAAAAGTCATCTGCTGTTTTCGCTTTAAACCGATGAATTCCCCAGTAAATGCCACGGAAAATGTTACATTTTCATTCGAACAGAAAAAATCGATACAAAAATGAAGAACCGATGTAGAATCCTCACATTCACATGTTGGAACTTGTCCAGACCATTCCCCATTCCTCTCGCAAGTGTGTCTCGCCTCCCCATGCATCAAATACCCAGACTCGCAATGATACAGAATCGAGCTATGAACATTCAAGTCGTAACCAACGACATAACTCCCTGGTGGTATCTCAGGCTCCTCACACGTGATCACTGAAACATTTTTCAATTGAAACTTTTCGGTACAATTCCACCCCATGGGATCTCTTCATCAAATTCATGGGCTTACACTCGCAAGATGGTGTCTCGTCACTCCATTTGCCCTCTTTGGTGCACTCGTGCTTTCGCTCACCCACGAGCCAATAATCCTGCTGGCACGAGTACAAAATAGTACTCCCCACTGTTGTACTTCCATTGACCAACTCAACACTGCCAAATTCAACTTGCGCTGGTGCTCCACAGTCGACGAATCGACATTGAGGGGCTTTACCAGACCATTCCCCACCGATTTCACATGCCAGTATCTGAACAAACAAATGGTTTATTACTTCTCTCATGAACGAGTCGTTAATGACTGCTATTTTCTTTTGAAAATTATTTGAATGGATTTATGTGTCCTTCATGAACAGTTACAGCTACAGTTTCTCAGAGAACAAAACGGTTTTTTAATGTCCAGTAGATATTAAAAATGACTTAATTCCCAGTACATTTGCAATTCATCGTGCCAGTGTACTACATATCTTTAAAAAAAACGACTGTAATAACGTTAATTGATGCACGTCTCAAGGACGAGACTTGTGTAATGATGAGACAGGGGATTGGTTCATTCCGAAGGCACTCACGTTGTCGCCGAAAAGAATGAATCCATTCTGGCAGGTGTAAGTGGCTGTTGATCCAGCACGTTTACCAGTCGTTGTGACAACACCACCAGTGACATCCGGGGGATCCGGACACCAATCGACTGCGATGGAACAATGAATAATTAATCACATCGATGAGATGAGAATTGATCGAGATGAGAATTGATTGAGATGAGAAAAACTTACAGAGACACTGGGGCTGGTGTCCACTCCAGATCCCACCGTCTCCACATCTTCTCCTGGCATCTCCAACTAGAGTGTAATTTTTCTTGCAAGTGTAATCCGCGAAAGCCCCATGGGTCGTTCGCTTGTTGACGAGAGTAATCTGACCATTTTCGAACTCAGGAAGTGCTCCGCAGTCCACAAATTTGCAGGAGGGTGGATCTCCACTCCAGAAGCCATTCGGTTCACATGTCCTGGATTTGGCACCCACCAGCATGTGGCCATCTGGACACGTGTAATCGATCGCTGAACCTATCGATCGTTTCAACCCTGAGATTGTCGTGTTCTCGAGTTTCTCGGGGCTTCCGCAAACCGAGGGCTCTAAACATATTGGGACAGCATTGGCGGTGAAAATAGTAAAGAATAGTTTGAGCAATTGAGGAATTGAACTCACTGCTTTGACAAATCCAGTGCAGATAATCCAAATTACATCCAACATCGTTCCAAAGCCAACTTCTACCTCCATCGAGCACCACGCAATTCTGCTCACCATTGTAATTATTTGGCTGATCCTTTCCCCATGACGGTTTATGCACAGTCTCTCCTGTATTGCAAAATACCAGAGGTAAAATAAGAAATTGTGAAATTCCTTCAGTTTTATCATCAACATGTCCAGTTGATGGTGTCCGCATGTACCGTGGACGTATTACAAACAAGTTAAGGCTCATTCCATTATTTTATATGGACACTTGAGCACGAAAGGTGCAACTTCCTGTGAATCACAATGAGCATTTACTTTCACGACTCATTTTGCTCTGATATTTATACCGATCATTCGAGCATAAATTCTGACCGGGACGGCTCACTGCTCGTATTTCACTGTTCGAGAGAATTTTTAGTTTTTGCTTTTCGAAAAAATCTAGGTGTTTTTCTTTTATTGGTCTTCTCGCAGATCTTGACACGACTACAATTATCTAATGAATAGCGTGAACACACATTTTCAAAGTTATTGCATAATCGTGATTACTACCAGGTAGAATTTTCCATGGAAACCCTTCAATTATGATCACTTAGTATAACTCTAGCGTGCCGTCTGTACACACACGTGTTTCGAGTTCAATGCACCCTCGGATATATTTTAACGTATTACCTAACGCCCATATTGTCGACCCAATTCTCACAATCGTCTCGTTCGAATCATCATTATCAAACTGGCTTGAATCGATCGTGGGAGAGACTTACGTTGCGTTACTTAATTACCGGAAATTGAATATTCACGTGAATGAGATCTCAACTAACCATCGACCCATCGCCAAGTTCTTGCTGTTATCGATGCCTCTTTCTGCGCCCCGATCCAGACTAATAGAGTCTTCAGTTTGTCTTTTCGCCTTTCGAGATTATTCAGGATGAATGTCGACGCAATTCCCTGGAGGACAAACAATTCCCCAAATTACCACGAGATTAAAAACTATCCAGTTCAAAAAAGTTATAGATAACTTCGCTAAATTACGAACCTTGAACCCATGAACGAGATCACCACTCCTGGATTTGCAGTAGTTCCTGGCATCCTGGAAGGATCCACCTTTGGTAACCGCGAATTCGTAACAAGTGGAATTGAATGCAGCGAGATCAGCGTCGGCTGGTGTTCCAGCATGTGCACATCTGTCTACCGAGAATTCTAAAAAAGAGGCGCAAGTAGATAATTAAAAAATTGAAATAACGATTTTATGGGTTGAGCGATAAAAATATTCACCATCTGTTGCAAAGACTTCGACTTCGCATAGACTCAGGCTGCCCTCAACCCCGACAAGTTGAAGGAAAACGTATTGCCCAACGAGAGCTCTGGCACAGGCGAAAGTCTTCGTGATGCCTTCCTCTGAAAATTAAATAGTTTATTCATCAGGAAATCAATTCAGCGAGAGCTCTGATTTCTCAGCTCACCAATTGTCCCAGGAAACCATGCGCAAAGTGGATTCCTCTGTAATTCCCCACTGCTATTTCCAACTCTAATTTCAATGTCCTGAAGTGGCTGATGACCACAACAGCCCCTGGTCGTCACCCTGACGACTTTCACAGCGTAAGGCTTGAGCAAATCAACTCTCCACCAGGGGCTTGGCTCCCTCTGCGTCTCTGTACATCTCTTTCCATCGTGCTCAGTTCCAACATCACCATCATTACCATGACCAGCGTCACCACCTCTAACGGTTGTTGATTGATTCGCTGGCTTGCGAAATCCAACATTTGTCCCTGAATGCCAGTCCATTATTACGATTTTCTCATGCTAATTTGCACCAGCGGTTTGCTAACTTTGCGAGTGTTACTCGTATCGATAAATTAATCAACTCACCGCAGAACGGTAATTCCCCCTGCCATCGCCCTCGGTTACTGCATGTCAAGGTGGATTGCCTGAGGATAATTAAACGTTTAAAAATCTGTGGACTTTGAAAGATAAATGGAGATGAATGTAGGAAATCGGTTGGATAGAGCTAGAGTGGGTCAGGACTTGTTCTCCAGTTAGGGAATGATTTTGGGGAAATGATTCTCAATGGGGAGGTAATTTAATTGGAGCGACAGTAATGTTATGAGTTGAGCTCGATGACAAAGAATATGGGCAGAGCGATTCCGGTGAAAGTTGGCATTTGGACGATGACGATTATCAATGGTTGAAATCGCCTGGGTCTCGGTCGGTCGGACAAGGAGGCATGCGTGGACGTAACTAGGAAACCAGAGGCTATTCGGTCACGTGTGGTAGCTCGATAGTTGCATTAATCTCGTGGGCTGAATCACCAAGTCATGAGAAATTTTTTTAATAAGTCCAAATCAGATGAAACCGACACCCTCCCGAGAATATCAACATTCTGAGATCGTCTATTTCCAGAATCTTCAGTTTTTCCTTTCCACTGCCCTAGCTTCTACCATTCAGGCATGAAATAATGAGAAAGGCTTGTGGCTAGATCTAGTGGCTGATCCCGAGGTGAATGCATGAAATTCTTGTGTACAGGATGAGCTGATTCTATTTGAAATGGAAATATTCATCTCCATCGACGATTTCATGCTCGAGTGAATTCTGGTGATTACGTGGAATCTATTTCAAGCGCGCAAGGCCATTCGCGATGGGTAAAATGTTATGGTTTTCCGGTTGTAAGTGAAGATTGTAAAGGAGGTGAGAGATAACATTCAATGGGGAACAAAGGGGAATAGGCATGTGATGAGAGATATCGATGTGGTGTTCAGTGATACCGTTGAACATCGTTTTGGTTAATTGTCGTGGTTATTGTCCAGCATTCTTCGGACTTACCCGAAGAGCTCGTAACCAGCATCACAGGTGTAAGTTGCTATTGTTGTGGATGACAGAGAATCGTCTGACAGCGATACCTTAGAGTTCATTGGCACCGCTGGGTGGCCGCATTTTACTGCTGCTTGAGAAGAGAACAAATGAATATTTTATTAACTGAAATTCTTTGATGAAAATAATTGAATGTCACGTGTTTTAGAAGAATTTCTTTTATTCGTTGCAAAATCATCAAATACACGGATTTTACAAATTACAAAACGTGAACATTAATTGGAAGAACGTCTTCTCAATGTTTTAGAACGTATAAAAATATAAACATATGTTGGAACATCAAAATATAAAAATGTGGATCAAGATTTGAGGAATTATTCTTAGATATTTAGGTTCAGAATGTTGAACAGCACTTCTGGTTTCTCCTTGCATAGTAGTTTGAAGTTCTCGAGAGACATGACGCTGTCTTTATTCAACTCGATAAATTCTGAAGCCTTCTGCACTAGCCGGGGTTCATCACAATTATCAGCTGCAATCAGAGCGGGGACAACTGATTCCGTCGTGAGTGCTTTTTCCAGTCTACTAGCACATATAGTTTTCAAATCAGTTATTTCATAGGTTTTAGTCGCAGATAAGATTTTCACCAAGGTGTCCGTGTCATATATTTCTGAAAGTTGTCCTGTATACATATATTTTAATATTTCTAACATGACAGGCGCCTCAATGTCTTTAATCGATAATACATGATTGGTTATTCCTGTATTATGTAACAAAATGTGTTCAAATACTGGACTATTTGCAGCTAGAATGACTTTGTGAGCATGTAGTGTTTCGTCACCCATTTTGAGAGTGATATCAGTGAAGTTGTTTTGCACCTGAAGATGAGGCATATCCAACGACTTTGGAACCGTCATCAAGTTATTCACCAACGTTGTCAGAATCTCAAATGAATACTTCGGATGCGTTTCTTGCAAGGCCTGAAATTCTGTTGATTGTACGACGTATTTAGCATTTTTCTGGATGTACCCCTGAGCATGCCTCTTCAACTGATTTGCGTTATGCAAATCGGCCAGGAGAAGAATTTCAGGTGCGTTTTGAACTGTGAGATTTTTACGCAGAGACTCTTCACACATTATTCTAAGTCTCTCCAAGTCGTAGTAATTAGCCATTATTAGCAGATCTTTCGCCAGGTCGTGCAAATTCTGCACTCGATCAGTGTAAATGAACCTCAGTAACTCGGTGAATGCCTCTGGCGAGAAATCAGGGATGTTTACGCAATTTTTTTGGCTCTCTTCCGTCTGTGCTTCAAATGTCGCTCGAAAAACTGAACTTCGACCTGCCAAAATAGCTTTATGGGCTGAAATCTCGCAGCCATCTGGTCCAAGGATAAATTTCACATCACAATGCCTTTTATTGGCAAAGACGTTCTCCAAAACAAGCGCAATATTGCTTTTAGGAATTGATATGCTTCTGATGCTTCTTTCTGTTGCGATATTTTGATATTCTTCGTGTACAACCAGATTTAGGCATAATGTAAGTCGACCATTTGGGAGCCATTCCTCTCTATTATCTATCAAGTCTTTTAGCGTGATAAATCTTTTTGTAATATCAATATTTCTTGATATATCGCTGGGGCCGAAAGAAACAGTTTCGAATTTCTTACCATGGCGGTCAATGATTGTAACAATCATTTCAAGAGTTGAACTGTGGGGTATGTTCTGTGCAAGAAGCCTGATTGAATAGATCTCATAATTGAGTATAGTATCGTTCATGTTCCTAATCAGGTGTATGGTGTATGTGTTGTTATCATGTGGAATAGTTGAAGCGAAGTCCCTTACTCTACCAGTGAAATTATCAATAACCCATAAGAAATTTATTTCTGATTTTTTAATTTCTGAATGACACCACCGTTCAATGGTCTTTGAACAGATACTCGAGTTAGGGAATGAATCCATCTTCAGTCCTACAAATAAATAATCCCAGGAATTCTAATTATTTGAATTTTCAATCGCAATTGCAATATTTTACCTTCTTCAGATGTAGAGCGCAATAAAAGGTTATGGATTGGATTTCTGGTTCCCGTGGAATAAATGCGTCTGGTCTCTGTATTTCTTGATTGATTATTTATCGGATATTATTTATATCGATGATATCTACCATTACTTTTTTATATTTATCTGTCTATCGATTATGTATAGCAATTTCTATTCTCACTACGCAATTTTCATGCACGCGTTCTTCGAGGTGAGTAGTTGGGATTTCCCTCACTCTTTCTATCTCCAGGAGTGCCAATTGATAACTCCCGCTTAAACAACCGAATTTTGAATCCAGATGGCCCGACGAATTTATTCATTCATCAATAATTCTCAGAGAAAATCAAGAGACAAAGGAGGAAATACGAAAACGTGGATAGAGTTAATTGAAACGGATCTCGAATGAGTTATTTGTGAGAGGTAAATCAACCGTATAATTTTGAGCTACCGTTCGTCGACCCGAGGGTCCACGACACGACTCAGATAATGCGATGCGATTATCAAGAGTCATAGCAGAATACTTCGTGACAATACTAGGAAGAAATCTCCAATTGCCTCAAATATTTGGTAATTGAATATCTAATATTTGAAAATTTCCGTTTAATTGTTCATTGATTGATTGACATTTAATTTGATTATTCAATTTATCTGTGGATCAGTCCCATAATTTACTGGCAACTCAATATTTTATATTTGCTGTGCATAAAATAATATTTTCAATAACGCAAATGTTAGATTGAATTGAGAAGTTGACAGATGCAACCCACGTGAAATTCCTTGGTACATCGCAATGTCAGACCTTTCTCCATTGCAATTCCCAACGCATATGCAATCTGAATTTAATTGTATTTTTACAATGGACCCAGTCTGATATGGCGAACAATGGATTAAGGTCATTCACACTTGTCAAAAAAGCCTGGGGAAAAGATAATGAATAAATCCTTGCGACTAATAAATTCCCACGTCCTAAGTCCTCCAAAGTCCCAGACTATCTCATCAACATTTTAAAATTACTCAACTCACACAATTATCAATTATACCAACAAAATGTTTAATTAATTGAATATTCTATTTGTTCATTGAACCATTGTTTATATTCACTCGATATACTGTTTTTTTCTTGTCCGAGGGAAAGTCAGGAAATCAGCAGATGCTTCTAGTTTATTTATGATACAAAATGCGGTCATGTATCGCTAAGTTTTCTTCTTCACTCCTTTAGATGCACGTCGAAGTTTCCAAGTGAGAGTTTACAGGTAAATTATCTATATTTGCGTTATCAGTTATTTAATTACCCGAGGCTGAGTAATTGGACTCTTTTCTTCATTATCCCCCAGTGGCCCATGACTTCTCTCGTTAAATCAATCATCCAAGGCCATCTAATTAGATAACGTCTTAATTGAGAGCTGTTGTTGGCATCAATCAATTATTAATGATTTAATGCTTTCAGAAGATTGTAGATTCTGGGAGGAAGTCAATGATTTTCTTCAGAACTGCAATAATTTTTTTTTGCAGGGAAGATAACTTCGGGGTTTTATTGTTGTTTTTAATGGTTTTTCCGCAGGTACGACGCGACTTTTACTTAATCGACTTGGACTTTTGCCGCTTTCACCGTGTGCAGTCTCTAATGCGACAGTCTGATGAATTCTATTTTAATCTAAAATCCCCATCGCGTGAGACAATTAATTTATGATTTTATCGAGATATTACAAACGATTTATTATTTACGCGTATGAATAAACGCGAAACGATTGACCTCAAAGCTATCAATTATTTATTCACATCCAGTCATCTCGTCTAATTTACATAAACTATTTAATTGATGACTGGAAAATGTTTAAATAGTGATAAGAATTTATCTGGGAATATAATAATTGCTTTTTGGGGGGGGAATATTTTCATTGGATATTGGATTGAGTGAAGGGGAAATATTGGAGGTTTAGTTTTATTTGTTTATAATTATCGCTGGAAACTGTACAATGGCTAGATTTACCGGTATAGGAGTTAACCAGTTCCACTCCCTTCTTACGGAGGTCTGGGTCACTCGGTTACAAAACCTCAGAGTTGCCGAAATAACGGGATTAAACCGTGACGTGAGTTTGGATGAACATCGATTCTTCAAGACCAGCGTAAAAAGTTGGACGCCCATTTTTCCACGCACCGTGAACTCTACAGAACCCTGAGGAATTTTTATTAACAAATCTCAAAAAGTTTTTCAATCTCCAATTTTTCAGGGACAATCAATTAAATTATAATCGAAATGTAAATGATTGAGGCTTTGAATTAATTGAAATAATGTAATTAGGAATAAATTAATGCAGTTAGTTAATTAATTAATTAATTGATGCTCAATTATTTGTATCTTATTTAGTTTGCTTTAATGTAGATTATTCTTGGAAAATCGGAAAATATTTAGAACTATTGAAATTTATTTTACTGGATAATTGATCTTCCTAAATGGTAATGAAAGCTGTGAGAGTGGAGAAATGATTTTATATTGTGTGGACGTCCTCGGGGGCCGGAAGAGCCAAGGCAAACGTAATAATAAATAATACATAAACTTTTGTCAGTTCCCGCTGGAAATTATGGCGTACGAGCATGAAAGTAAGTTTTTATTCCAATAAACATGCGGAACGCCTTTTGCTGATAAAATTCACTCTTTCAGACGTCTAAATGATAAAATAATCATTTCTGCGAAAAAAAATTTATTGTGCTGGTAAATTGTTTAATTTTTATTGGTTAAATCAAGTTAATTGGTCTATTTTCAACTAGTCTGTATCAAAAAAGCCGGGATTGTTAATTAATATAAATATTTTTGCTGCAAATAAAATTGAAAATTGAACCGACTCAGAAATGAAGTGGTAATGGGATAAGTGTATTTTTCGCGTCCAGCTTTCAGCCCATATCTCGAAATCAAAGGGACAAACCGAATTTTTTTGTACAAACATTTTTTATGCAAAAAACCGAGAGCTACAAAAAAGGTATCCCTGAAAAAATCGTTATCTTCCCTCAATGCCGAGATATTCGCTGAAAACTGGTCTCGAAAAAATTACACTTATCCTAATTAACTACTTCACGATCAAAATAATTAAATAATTAAATAATTAAATGATTCGCTTGACAAAAATGTAAAATGTGAATGTTTTCCATCAAAATAAGTCATGGAATGATAATTAAAATGATCGAAGGGGTTTTGAAAATGGGATATTTGAGAAGGCGAAAATTATTCGTAAATTGAAAAATCCAAAAACGTGGAATTTTCTGGGGTCAGGTACCACAATCTGAGAGTTGATTTGTCATCTCTTTCTTGTTCATCACGCACAGGTATATCGTGTTTCTCAATCCATTGTCTCCAGGCAAGGTAAAAGGTGCACCACCCTGTGTTAAAGTATCGCTGAAACCGTTACGAAATCGACGACGTCCGTTTGGTCTATCTAACGCCCGAGAGAAGAAAAATTATTATGAAATCGCCGGAATTTGCACATTTATAAAAAAATAAACCCCAAAACAATTTGCCGGCAAATTTATTCCCCGCATCAAGACAATGGTAATGAAATTAATTACCCAATCATTTGATGTCGAGGAAATTCGGACGTCATATACCAAAAATAAAAGGTGAATTCTACAGTGAGAAATAAATAAAAATTGCAATACGATACTCAGTGCAATAATTATACATCCTGTATCTAAATAATAATTCGCAGTAAAATTGAATCCCGTAATTACTCTGGAGCTGCAGTAAAAAAGTAATGGCTCCATGAAAAATCATATTTTGTCTGTAAAAATTGCGCAAAAATGTTAATTTTTAATAGCCGTGTAAAATAAAGGAAAATTTGCGTTTCACTTGAATTTTTGTACTAGAGTAATTCTCGAGAATTTTTCTTCCTATTCAGAAAAAAAAAATGAGAGAAGAGAATGAATAATGTGCGAAGTATCTACAACTTTAATAGCTCCTAGTGGCCTTTACTTGTCCCTCGTAATAGAGTCATTAAGAAAATAGTTCAATAATTTGTTTGTACTCTGTAAACAATCGCGGAGTGAAAGTACCGTGACAGTTGAAACACATGACAAATTCGAAAAGAAGATTTGTTGGGAAACGAGTAATTTCCCCTGTGGTACACCGAGGAATTCCGATAGATTCGTGACGGCAATAAAAAAAAATGGTGGTCCCTAATCGCCGAGGAAAATCCATAGAGTTCGATGGAAAAAATAATGAATTAAATTCGAAAGGCTCCCAATAAAAAATAAAAATAGAATAAACAGAAATAAAAATGATGAATTAATGTAAACTGTTTCTAACATTTATACAGGTGTGTCAGATTTAATTAACGTGAGAACTAACGACCAGATTGTGACCATTACACTTGTAGGAATTAATTCCATCAGGGGAATGAGCCACTGGAGGTGGAATTTATTTTCGGTCCACTCAGGAATTAAAATGGTTGATATATTTTCATTACAAACTCCGCCTCGGCGACGCAAACATCTCGAGTAAGTGCAAGAGATTTTATTTCGTTAAATGTTACGCCTATCCCACACCAAGGATCTCATGTCCATTTTCCTGGATACAAAATCGTGTTCACCAACGCCCTGGCGCTTTATCATACCGAATGAATTGAACTAGATTGACCGGGGCTTTGAGAATCGATACATTCAATTTGCCTCTCACCCTGTACAATCATGTGAGAATAGTTGCAGCTTTAAAAAAAACGAGCATGTGAAAAATAAAATAAATGAGCGGAATCGAAGAGGAGAAACTTAATTAGTTCAGCTGATGATCGAGCAATTGAGAGCAATCCTAGCACCCGGATATGCATCAAACGGAAAAAATCAATCTTCTTTTTTCTGAGATAAATGAGAATTCTAGAAATAATTCGTAAAGCGCCCAAAACACTTCGAGAGTAAAAGGAAATATTTACCCATTTAACCCCAAAATTTCAGTTTCTGGAAAAATTGAACTGTAATTTTTGTCTGGGGAATGGGACTCGTTTTTTTTTAAATTGTAAAATTGATGATAAAAAGAAAAATGTTGAGTGGTAAAATTAAACCATAATTTCCCAGTGGAACTGGTAATTTCCGTGAATTGTTGTGAAGAAATCCAATGTGGAAAATAACTGGATGAAAGTAATTTTAAATGATGACTCCTCACATTCACGTTACAAAAAAAAAAAGAAAGGAGGTTTACACCTGTTCGAGCCTCAATGATTGACACCGTAAATATTATGAATTGAGCCATAGAAGAATGTCCAAACGTTAAAATACCCGGGGGTATAATATTTCACGACGTAAACCGATACAATTGCCTCCGAAATAGCAATAGGAATAATAAAAATATCCCCTATCCCTCCAGTTTCTCCTATTTCTTCTATTTCTCCATTTTCTCATGTCTCTGGTAACACCTCAAGGATATCCACATGAACGAACCCCAGGAAGAGAATGCAGAGCACTTGATCTCACCTGATAGAAACGCTTTTCTTGCAAATTTTTTTCAACTCTGTGCGCACACGGATGTAGAATTGTTTTTTGTTAATCAATATGGGAAACAGCGGTTGCAACAGGTGGACGCACTTCCGGCCCTTTACTGACCCCTTTACGGGCCCCAAATAATATTTAAATTACATCCTCCAACGTGTGAAATATAATTCTCAAGTTTCCACTGAACTCCCGTTGCAATTTCGAATGAAAAATGGGATTCCCCTGAAAACTAGACCCCTAGTTCCTTTTCTGCAATTTTTCCTCTGGAATGTTGGCAGCATTTTTGCGGTTTGCGGGGAATTACTTGATTTTAGGAGAAATTATGAAAAGGTCTTTTTTCTCGGGGGTTTAATTAGCTAGAAAAAAGTTCTTTGAGGTTTTTATGGGGGGTCGATGGTTTTCGAGGTGGAACGGTAATTACGGGAGATTATGCGAGATTTGGAGTTGGTGTTCCTTTTTTTGGATTTTTAATGATTCAGGGGTGGACATTATGGATTGTAAAGACGAAAGCAGTTCAATTTTCGTAGTCGATCATTGAAGGATACAACCCGTCGACCTCGGTTGTGGCCAGAGGAAATCCGAGGACAACGATCTTGTGGGCGTAAAATGGTGCGCGCGTCTCGCATTTTTTCATTTCTAATTTAACAAAACACCACGAATGACAATCTGGCCATTAAAAAAGTGACTAATCCCCCCAAAAAATATCCAACCATTCTGATAGATCGGGGCCCGAACTACAGAGCGTGAAAAGGCTCTCGGTGTTTGCATCAGAGAATTTTTTTTTCCCGAGTGCGAAAGTTATCTCGTTGTCCTTCGACGAGAGGAAAAATAATAGAAGAAACAAATGGAAAGGAACAATTATTTGTTAAACAAACCTTGTGCCTGCAACGGTAGAATCCCGAGGAGGGACAGTACCCCGAAGAGAACGATCATCTTCTGGTATCTGGCATTTATCTTACAGGTCTCCAAGATTATCAGCACTTCACTCAAATTCCTGGTGACTCCTCTCTGTTAACCTCTGATATTTTCCGATAAAACGTCAGTGAATAAAAAAAACAAATACACTGAAGTTTCAACTGGAGCTCCAACTTTCACTTGTTAACCGAATGATTTTAATGTTTCAGCGATTTTCCAGATCCTCCTCAGGCATCAGAGTCCCCATGGTTCCTCTCAAACAATCTCTGGGTAGAAAATTGATCGAAATTTGCAAAATATCAGCGCTCTCGTTCCATTCAACATTTATTATAAATTTTTTATGTTTTATGATGCGATATCACAGCGGGAACAATCACCCGGGCAAAATTATGCTCAATAACCTCGGAAAGTTGGAAATTATGTAAATAATATAATGAAGAAATTGTTTAAAATTTCACACGCGCACTGAGTGAAATCCAGGGGATCTGTTCCCTTCACCGGCCGAACACCGAGTGCTCGTGCCCCTGGGTAAGACCTCGTTGTCTGGGGATATGAAAGTCTCCGGGAATATAAGCACAGAAAGTATAGAACCCACGACTAAACATTTATCATTACCTCAAAAAGCTGAGATATATGTTTGCCCACACGAGTTGAAAAATTATCGAGAAATCAATCGGTCAATTACTAGAGCGATATGTTCTTCCAAAAAAATCATTAACTTCGATTTCAATTTTTATCATTTATTCTTTAATAATTATCTGAATATTGATTAAAAAATCAAGAATTACTTGAAGATTTAATGAATGAATTGATTGTTTTTGCCGTTAAAAAATAGGGGAGTAATTATCGAGATTAATTGAAAGGTGAAGGAATTAAAGTTAATTTCGTGATTTTTTGTTATTATTTTTTTTATGGCACGACAAAGCCGAAATTCCATCAATCTTGATAATATCTTCTAAAAATGAAACTAAAGTTTCCAAATGCGGTCAATCGAACCATAAACTAGATAAGAACCGAACCCACCAGTTATGACTCCGTCTAATAGTAAAAATACCACTGAAAGAGTTGAAAGAGGGCGGAGATAACTAGATAATAGTGGATGCGGCTTATTTCCATACCTGCGCTTTACCTGTCTGAGGAAATTGTAGAGAAGTTTAAATCCTCTTTAGCTGTTACCAACCGTGCGTAACGAAAGTTACGATACGAGGGCCGTTTCTCGAACGATTACGAAAGTTCATACTCATTGTCTTTCGAATATTTGAGAATTCTGTACCTGTTCAATTCGATCTACTCTCCATTCACTAGAATCGAGCGAATAAATTCGCAAACGCAAACTCAAAATTTCCCTCAAACTCATTTATCCCAGAATTATTTTATTTTATTTAACAATCCCACGCGAAATCAGCGAAAAAAAATCGATGCCACCGATTTCATCCGCAATTATTTTCTCTTATTTTTCCATTCTACGATGCGCCGTTATGAATAAATAAAATAATATTCGTTGTTAATGAATAAATTATTGAATATGTAAAACTGGATTGTAAATTTATAATTTCCTGATGGAGGTGAATAAATAAAAATTAAGTAATTGTTATTTGATAATTATTTATCTAGACTAGAGACCGTAAAGAATAGAATAATTTGTGGTTCTGATAAAATCCTGATAAAACCGGTTCTGATCGATCGAGTGCTGGTGATGGCTTCCGGGGCTGGAGCAACAACAAAAAGCAACAAAAAAAATGAGAAAAAAAAATGGAATATGTGGAGTACCAACGGTCAGAGCTGATCAGTCCAGGAGTTACAGTATCCCCTGGTGTCTATAAGGTTACGCTTGTTTTAACCGTTAATCCACCTCAAGCTGTCCTCTATCCTTCTCCATCATGTAGATAAATAAAATCCTCCATCTCCAGTGTTGGAATACATTTCCCTCTCGAAGTCGCGTCTACCTTCCATTAGAATTTTTTCATCTTTTTCTTTTTCTAGTCACTTGTTGGGTTTTCAGGTCTGCTCTCGTTGACGTCAGCACCAGGAGCCCCTTTCACCTCTGGAAGGCTCAGGATTTTTTAGGGTGGGGGTCATTTAGGATTTATTAGCTGCTGTGTAAGTAGGTGGTGAATTTAATTTGGCACTTGCTATTGGCTATTTGTCAAAGACAGTCTTACTAAAATCACTGACCTTTTCGGGTTCAGAAGACTCGTTGATCTTTCTAGGAGATGACCTTTTCATTTTTTCGCAAGTCAGGAAACCTCTGTTCCACTGATGAACTATTTATAGGTTGAATGACCTAATTATTTAATTAAATGAGATGTTGAATGTAATAAATATTTTTGGGATTGAAATAAATTTATTCATTGAGGTACATCAGGAAAAATTTATTTTGTTGTTAAAAATTTGAAAAGTCGGGCATGAGAATTGGAATAAATATAGAAAATTCAGGAAAATTCTCTGTGAAACTCCGGAAACGTCTTTCTGAATTTCCGTTAGAATTTTCCCGAAATCCATTGAAAAATGCAGTTTTTTCTTAACTAAACCGCATGTAGCATAAAAGTCGATGAATTTCAGAATTTCATCAACGCGCGCGTAATTTAAAAAATCCTGGGACCTCGATGATAACCTCAGGTTCTTCCTTACCGAATTCCCTAGGTATTCAACCAGCGATCGACGTCCCCGCAGTCGATGAAGAAGAGAATGGCGAGTGGAGGGGGTGGCGCGGGTCCGCAAAAAAAAATTTCAAACAGCATTGCGCAAGTACAAATTGTCGTTCGACGAGGGGCAAGAAGGGTGAAATAGAGCTGGAGTGTCTCGATGAGGAGTTTGCTCATCATGGTGTCGGTCACTGTCGTTCCACGTCAATACAATATCTCCACGGGTTGTCAGTTTTCCCGGGGACGCGGCCCCGCGAGGGCCGCCACACATCCTAATTAAAAATGTAAGTTCAATTACCCTAAACAACGCACCCCAATCACCCCCAAAATTCCCCATCACCACCACATCCGGAGGTCAAAGCCCCAGACACTTTGTTTACCCCGCGTTATCAGAGTAAAAATAAATAATAAGTAATCTAATTTAATTCTTCAAGCATCTCAATCAAATCCCTCCATTAATGATTGCGCTCTCATAAAAAATCTTTAACTATTGTAATTATTCAGGCGTGAGTAAATAATCAATTGATTTTAATTGATTATTGAGAACTCGAAGAATGGCAGAAGGTGGAGGGAATGATGGGAAGACAAATGGTGAGAATCCAGTGATAAAAAATCAGATGGAGGTGAACGAGTGCCTCGGTAGTTGGCTCACTTACTTGCAGGTGAGATATTTAAAAATTGTTATCCCATTTAAACAATTGAAGGAAATTGGTGATTGCTATTTGCAGATGCTCAATGGCCTATGCTCCGCTGGTACGAAGCTGGCGCAATCATTGCAAGTACTTCTGTCAAATCATGATGCAGTTCTTGACTGCAGATTGACTGGCCAGTGTTTAGCTGGATGGGAAGAATTAACTCGTGCTACTGGTGTTGCCAGTAATACTGTTAAACACCACGTGGTTGCTGCACTGAGGGATCACGAGGCACGCGATAACGACAGTGATAAGCACGTCAGTATTATTTTCAATTTCTGACCTCTCGGGATTAAAACATCACTCCCAATTAATTTCTACGAGTCATTAAATAATTGTAGAAAATGAACTATTATATTCTACATTAATTTCGACGGCAAACCATTCAAGTTATAATTTTTCTTCCACTAGTTTTGTGAATTCGGAAAATAATTGTAGAAGCGAATTTTTGGATTGCGAATTGTGGAATTTCGTGGAGTGGTTGTTTAGAATTTTGAGAGATTTTTAACGGAAATTAATAACTAATGATAATTAATAATGGGTGAATCGTAATGCTCGGTAATTGGCTGGCGGTAAATCACAGACAAACTTTATCTATCTTGTAGTATTGATTTAACGTCTGTGTCAACGACAGATACATTGTTTCCGATTTCAGGATATACTGCGTGACAATCTCCTGACCTTCATTAATCTGCAATATCAGTTTTGTGTGGCGTGTTGCGAATGTCTAGGTGAGAGCGATAAGACTGTATATGAAAAATGAAATCGTTACGCATTCAGCGATAAATCCTCATTTCCCATTTAACTACCATCTCTCATTTTATTCCAAAATGCATTTATCCCAAACAACTTAGTTTCTTCATCCCATAAATAATTTTAAATAATCCCAATTCAAATTGATTGATAATCAATTCGAATAATGGTTGAAAAAATTTTGCGAAAAAAATGCACAAATTATTTTTTCTTTTTGTTCATTGATTTTTCTACCTGAAATCTGGATTCGAAAACGAAAACGAATTGTTGTGAATCGATGATTTGTTGATAATCAGGGGGAATAGCCGAGTGCTCGTGCTCCCAGGGTGGTAAATCTGAGTGCGACATCGCGGCCCTTCAGCAGTGCTTCGAGCGCCTGTACAGTCCAGCAACACCTGTCTCGTCGTCCTCGATTCAGCAGAACTGTCACAGATCACCACTGCGTTATCCCCTGTTCCCCCTGCAGGTGCAGAGAAGATGGTCCGAGACAGCAGCAGCGGAGATGTCGGGGGAATCAACGGAGAGTACGATGAGACGTTGGTCGATGCCCTGGGACTGTCGACACATCAACGAGTGGCCGAGACAGGAGGAGAGATCTAGGTTGAGAGTACCGCACAATGACAGGAGTAGATCAACGACACCGGATTCTGTGTGGAAGTCCTCAGGGATGGCCAGTCAGGATGGCCTGCAGGAGGCCATACAGTTGCTGTCCTGTCGACCGGGGATCAGGCCAGCTAATCAACTCGCTGTCTTCAACAGTCAGCATGTGCCGGGTGTCATACTCACCACCTGCAGCTTAGAAAATAATTACGATGGCTCTGGCTGGCCGGATTCACGCAGAGTCGGATCCCCCAGGTACTGGCCACAGGATTCACACTCTAGTGATCATTCCGATCAATCTGGACACAGTGGAGATCACAGGGACTCAGGTAAAGGGTCGCTAGTATAAATAACATCATTTAGATACACGTGCGGCACGTGGAATTTTGCCGCATGCTTTCAACAGTTTCCAATACAATTTTCAAAGAAATAAGGATAATTATTTTAAGGGTTTTAATTAGATATTTAATCAGCCCTGAGGTCAGGGATTTTTGAGTTTCCAGTGGAAATTTTCCCCAATTCTTATTTATTTTGATAGAACACAGTGGAGGGAGTGGAAGTGCTGGACACCGTGACAGTAAAGACAGTATTCAATCTCACAGTGATCATGGCTCTCACAGGGAGTCGGAAGCTGGGGCTAATGTCGATGTTCTTCCATCTAGGAAGAACAGCTCGTCAGCGGAATCCTGTCTGTCGGCTAACAGTCGGTCTGGCTCGGAGAGCGCTGGTGCTGGGGTAAATTCGAATTCTTCATTCTTAATTAATTATTGTAGAATAATTACTCTGACGTAAAAGGGGAGTCGGAGGAAAATGAAATTGCCCCATCAGTTGACAGTTAGAGAAAAATCTGTTGGACTAGTTATTTAATTCGTAATTGTTTTTAGTAAAGAAATAATTTTCAGGAAGCAAAATCACAGCTGTACTCGATGTGGAGCGGTGGAGATCTGCCTTTCATCAAACTGCCAGAAAGTACTGAGCTTCAGGATGAGAGACCACCGACTAATTAATTATTGAATGATAAATAAATTGATTACTTTTCTAGGCGAAACTGTTCATTAGAATATTCCAGTTTTTATTCGGTATCGAAGAGCTAAAAGAGGAATATCTCTGAATACAAGGGGAATACCTGAATTTTTGTAGGAATCTTTTTGGTGGCTATTATTCTACTCTACAAAAAAGGTTCTGGGCAAAATATCGATATCTGTTTTGTATCAAGAGATATTCAGGGAATTGCTACCTTTTACGTCTTCGCCACTGGATTTGTTAATTTTCCACTGAATATTCGACACTTTTTTTAAATAAATAGTCAAGTGTTCAATCGATTTAGAAAATATTAATGTCTCTATGATGGCTAGTCAATCCCGCGGACCAAAATACCGAAATTATCGCACTATCGACGTTGAAACTGAATCGTAATCCGTAAAATTTCCATATCAACAATTATACTCAAAATATCGATCTGAAAATAAAAAAAAAATCGACGTGTAAGAGAGTGAAAGTAGAATAAAGTGAAATTCAAAATTTCTGTTAATTTCTGTTAATTTGGGATTTATTTTCAAGAGGATAAAAATGAAAAATTCGAAGATAAATAAAAAAAAAACCTCACACAACAGATTAGGGAGAATCTTGATATTTTTTATTACCTTATATTATATATAACTATTTTCTATATATCTTGGATCAACGTACTCGTGATGCACACGTTTAAAATCGTATGTACAAATTTTTCTTTTGTATTTTATGGCACTAGTACCCTCAGAACGATAAATAATTACAATGACGATAAGAAAAACAGAATCATACGTTCTAAACCATCGATTGACAATAAAAAAAATACAATCATTCAAGCCACTGCACAATTATCCTTCACTGTCAAATCAATCTGTACAAAAACGAAGTGACTTTGAGCCATTCGCTTGGACGAATTGTTCCCCAGATCTCCATAATTTCACGCCGATAAAAAAAAACGTAAAAAAAAGAAAGAATAATCAACCCTTCCAAAGGGTTGAGTTCCATTATTAAAAATCACCCACTGCTCACGCCATCATCAACATCGTACGAATGAAAATTTCGTATAAAAAATTCAAATCTAGTAATAAAATCAGAGAATAAAAACAGCACGAAATTCATAGAGCTATTGTCACCGGATCAATGAAAACTGCAGGTCACTGATTTCTCTTTTCCCCACTGGATTCTCCACTTGAATCAGTCGAGATCATCAACGAGCTCATCATCGTCCTGGCCATAATCGTCGTACGGCTCTTTCACTTCGTCCTCCTCTTTGTCAGCTGGACAATGAATGCATCTCGATTCATTGATACCATAATTTATACACGTGTCACCGATGCACTCGCAGCAGCCATCGTGGAACCACCTGTAACTCGTTGCTCCCATGCTTTGACAAGATGCACGACACTTGTTCCAAGAGTTGCATTGCGCCATGTACGCGACTGTACAGTTTACTGTCATTATATTTGGTTTGAGAGGGTGATGCACCTCGTCCTCGACGGTTTCTGTATTGACAAAGTAAAAAGAGAACGCTCATTTAATTTAAGGTTTAAAAAATCCAGAGTTTTCAGGGATTTCCCCGATTTTTCAAAATGTTTATGATTTTTTTTCATGGAAAATTATACGGAATTCTTTTAAATCCATTCGATTTATAAAATAAATGAGCGAGTGCACCAATTGAAGGGAGTTAATTAACAATTTATTGCATGAATTAATAAGGGAATTAATAATGCGATTGGAGTGGGATTGAGTCGAATTTCTTCGGGAGAAGATAAATAATTTACTCACGCATATGATATTTAATCTCTCTCTCGTGTTTGGGTTGATACATGGAAACATCGAAATCCACAGGATACGTAAATGTCATCCACCTCTCGTGCTGATCGGGTTCAGCAGTGAGTGCCTGAAAAAGACCAGGAACAGGCTCACTGAAATCCTCGACGTGAGACTTTTTGCTGAGTGGATTATCCGTTATGTTGGGCTTCGGGCACAAATCTGTAATAAATAAATTGCCGATTCAGGACAAATCCGATACGCAACGAGATAATTGAGCGATTGGGTGGGGGCATTGAATAAAAAAAAACATGTACTGACCAACACAGGAGCAGCACTCGTCGTACAGATAGGACAGGCATGAGAAACACTCCTTGCAACACGTGCACGTGACAAGATCGCATTTACAGCTTTGAGTAAGCATGCACTTGCTCACAACACTTGCGCAAATGGCTTCATTACAGGCGCAGGTGAATCGAGTTGTAGAGATTATTGTGATTCCAACGAGAATCAGTACTCGGTTCCACGTCATCGTGTCCTGAAACATGACAGTTTTCCTGGATTTGAGTTAATTATTTATTTATTAAACATTATTATGAATAGCACAACAGACTTTTTACTGGTGAAATTTGCGTGTGGAGTTTAGAAATTATTTAACAAAACCATTGAAATACAATAAAATCTCGTGAAATCATGCGAAATTATTTGAAATCATATGAAATTGAAAAATATTTCGTGAAAAAATTTTATTGGATGTTGAAAGTAGATTAGATTAGATTTATTTCGCGCAATTCAGTTCTCATTATTTTAAAATGCAATGAATAATTTCAATGATTTAATTATCTCGTTGAAATCATTGGAATCGTGGTGTCACTGAATTTCTTGTAGTCCCTAGCACCTCGGAAAAATAAATTGTCAGAGAAACAATGAAACGAACGCCGACAAGACTTGTTCCTCTCATTGCGCACATAATAAGCGCAATTCCACTTGGTTTCCATCAGCAATAATTCTCGAGGTCATACTGTTTAAATCCACCGGAACGTAAGAAGCCGGACGTTTAATGTGAAAAAAAATTAATTCATTTAATTTTACAAAGTTGAACGAAAAATGTTTATCCCCCAGTGGCTAAATCCACCCACGCGATTCAACGGAATTCTGGAATATTCTCGGGATAATTTATTTGTTTATCAGTATTATTCTTGGATTTATGCGTATGTACTTTCTAATCGTTTTTATCCGTGATCTATTTATACGCAAAACCCCGAGATTGTGGTGCGTAGTACGTGAGCAATACCACGTGAATTATTATTGGAAAGAGAATGGAGTCAATACTCAATGATCGTCAACAAATATCGAGAGAGTATGACAGAATATTTTTCTCCTCATGGAAATAACAAAAATATTTCCTCAATCCACGCTCCACCCTCCAAGGGTTAACCAATTTTTCCAAAATTTTCCGGCATTTTCCCGGAATCAACGGGAATTTTACCGGTAAAAATTCAATTCTCAGTGAAAATTGAAATTCAATGCCACGAAAATTATTCCCAGAAATTCACACACATCCAAAAATATTGCGCTCTAAATAAAATCCAGTAATTTTCCTCGAAAATCGGGGTTAACAATTTTTTTTCCACCAAAAAGGGGGATAAATCGGTATTAACTATTGGTAATTACCAATAATTAATTTTCACCATTACACTAGAAATTGTAAACACTCACAGTGAACACGAGGCAGCAATCACGATTTCACGTCTCCAAGTAATTGAAAATATAATTAAAAACAGGACATGCACCCGACAAGCAGTTGAACTCAACTGAATGAACGAAGGACTGAAGGAAAAATTCTAACAGGACATGAAGTCCAGCAAGTGTTCCCCCTCTCCCTTCAACACCTCTCTATCCACCCCCTCCACCCCCTCCACCCCTTCCTGCCCACCATTCCGTTATTTTGGGTAGTCTATTTGGGCACTCCCCCTCCTAAACAATTTCCCCCAGTTAACCAGAGTTTTATGATATCCTCCAGGTACCCCAACCCTTGCGACTCGATCCTAATCCGGATATTTCAACTGGAAATGTAATAAACGACGGGGGAGGGGCTCACCAGGTGAAGTACCTGCTGGCGGATGGCCACCCTGTGGATTACCGATTTATTGAAATTTTTCTTTCAAATTGTCAAAATCCTTCTACTCCTTTTATTCAAATATTTATCAATTCCACAGATTCCTTGAAGGAGTTGTAAAATGGCGGGGACAGCGGGCATCTTTCAATTTCTCTGGAATGATGAATTTCACCTGCAGTCCATTTTTATGAATTTTTGAACAAAAAATTGCGGAAACATTTATTTAAAAATGTTTCATAATGTTTTATTGATTGGAAAAATCGGTAGTGTTTTTTTTTTTTGATAAAACGGGAGTTGCTGTTGGGTAAATCGTGGGATAGATTTGAAATGCGAAGCCAGGGACAAGAAATCGGTGTCCATGCCGCAGCCTCCAGTACGGACCTTCTCCGAGAGGTGCCCGAGGCGATGAAATAACTCTTATAGGAGTCTACCAATCATCTCCTTCTGGATAACACTTTTATCCACAACGTAAACACAATTTTCCTACAATAACATCTAATTACGCAATTCCCAGTCGTCAAGATCGGTAGATCGACCAGCAGATCGCTCACCGCCAGGACAAATATGAATCCCATTTACCTGGATATATTGAATTAGCTCTTGTTAAACTCCAACTTGATGTTTTCTCACGTTATTCCAAGTTACCTACGCCGGAGAAACTATTTTAAGATCTTGCAACCGGTTAGCGCTTGGACTCATACAGCCACGAGACATATTTTACTTGTTAAATTTTAAAAATGTCCACCTCACACAAAAAAAAATGGGTCTGTCAACCCCCTGGGCTGAGCTCCACCGACAAAATGTCCGGATGCCGATTGAATCTAAAAGCCACCTGGTGAATTCCTCTGGATCCGATAAAATTACCGATCACTGGATTAATTATTACGATAGATAAAATTGGAGAACGCTGAATCGGTGAATCGAGTGGTTCAGAGACACTCTTCTGACTGAATCGGGAAGAACTTGGACCCGAAGAAACTGTTGGTGGTGGAAGTGAGAGGTTGTCTTGAGATGAAGAGGAAGGAGTTGTGGCATGTGTAGTGGTTGTGAGACAGAGATGATCAATATGTGGAATGAAGAGAGAACTTTGCGCTGTGGGACGGGTTTTTGGTCTTTATTTTTCATTTTTTCTCTCCCCACTGGCTTCAGGTACTCTTTTTGTTTTACCTGAAGACTCCCCACCTGAATCCCACGGTGAACACAGCCTTGTCGAATTGATCAGCGATGCCTGTCGCTCCCCCTATTTTACCACCAAACTATGGAGAATTTATAATCATTAAATTCAGTGGATCATCGTCCGATGATATTTCACGATAAAATGATTTTTAATCCGTCGTTCTCATGCCCGACGCTGCTAATTAAATTCTCAAAGAGAATCTGAATGACTCGTTTGCAAGTTAATTACCTTGGTGTGGAAACAAATGTGAGGGCCACTGAATTGTCGCTGTCTTGACACGAATGGGAAAATTGTGGATGACAGGATATAATAAATAGAGTGGACAAAAGACACGGTTCATTGAGTTGTGTAAAAGTACTAATTTACCTCCTACTGCAATCAACTGGGGTACAATGTTCACATTTAGGCATGTCGCCGGCTACTTCCGGTTGATTTATTCGGACCTTCGACGTGAATTTATGAAAAATCCCTGAGATCCATCACAAAGTTATAAAACATGTTAACCGATTTATCCGGTTTTCCTCTGGAAATAAATACCACGTCAAGCGCGACGAATCGATTTAATAGATAATTAAGTTTATGTGGATTATTTATGGATGTAATAGAGATAGCGAAATTTTTTGGGGGACTTTTTTATAGCTCTTACTTTGATCTGTAAAAGAGGTCATGATGAAAATTTCGCTATTTCCGGTGGATTTAGAGATATTTCGCGAAAAGATAGAGGGAAATCGGTATCGAAGGTGAAGGCGTTTTTTGGAGCCGTGCAAATCGGTCGGCGTTAAAAAATACTCTCTGAGGATGAGGAGTAAGCGGAATAAGAGGATTGAGAGATGGTGAAATGTACAGATGGGTCAATCAGATACGAAAACACTTGTCAGAAAATATAGGAGGGTAACAGGTCCCCAGGAGATTGTAGACACAGGTATAAAGGTTCCTAATGACTAGGACCTTCTGGACGTCATTCTCGTGGAATTCACCTCTCGAAAAATCGCTGTGGGGAGTCAAAAATGAGGGTACGTTAAAAGCAAGAGTGGATAGTTGTGTAGAATGCGATTTAAGCCGGGGGCAGGCGTTTTTTTTTCGTTGGAACCTCCGGTAACTATACAAATTGAAATCCACTCGAATTGCGATTTTTTTTTTCTATTTGTTTGGCCCCTGGGGTCCACTCGTGTGGTCCTGGTAACGAGGAAGGGATTTCTGGTTGGAAAACAATAATTAGTGGTCATTGGGATTCATTAATTCTTCATTTCTGTTGTTTTCATGCTATTAACATTCCCTGGGGGGAATTTGCACCGGTCGAGGCGAGGCAATATGCATGTACATGGGATTGGTATATGCATAATGACTTGTGTACTTGAGACGAGAAATCGAGGGGAAATGAGAAGAAACCGGTCTTGACTCGTACAGTCACTGCTATTTGCGAATTTTATGGTTCCATTCGGGGGTTTCGTTTCCATTTTTTTTTTTCGTATCAATCGTACAAAATTCATCTATTATTCATTATCGTGAAATTGTTAATGCGAAATTTTAATGGTCTCGTACTCATCAGTTGTCATGGCGATTTATACCGATTTTTTTTATCTAATTTATTTTAACGGAGTCATTGAGTTGGAAAAAATGCACGTGATTTTCAATTGAAAATCCTTCCATTAAAGAAATTGTATTATTTTTATTCGTCGATTTATTACATGGAAAATCGATATTTTAATCGTGAAAAAATCGTCAAGTTATTTGCGAGAATTGATTGAATTATTTTAATGAATTTTTCGGTTGAACTTTTTTTCTGGATTTTAATGAGTTTCACGAGGAAAATTGTATAAAAAATTATTAATAAAATTATATACTATGGATTAATAATGGAATAACAATTCATAAATTATAGAATCACGTTCGAAATTCGTGGGAATTATTTCAGTTGATTTTGTTAGAAAACCAAAATAAATTCTAAAGTAAAAATGATAAAAAAAATTAATGACTTTCCTGTTAATTATATGACTGTAATTATTATGGAGTTGATATCCGCTGTCGATTACACGATTTCCAGGCACTGGAATTCTTTTTACCGACGACAACCTGTGGTGACCTCTTCCCCAGGTCTTCAGTACCCAACTTCGTCGAGGTCAAAGAGGATTGACTGAAGTAGAGACTCAGTTCTGGGGGTTTAAATTTATTTTTCTTGGGTCAACACACGTCACAGCTTTCCAAAACACTTGACTCCTAATCTCCCAGGATTTATTGAAGATCCGACAAATTATTGTCAAGTGTCACTCAACAAAAAAAATTCACCTGAAGCTCCGGGGGTCTTCCCCGATTGTTCACCATCTTGTGATACTAGAATGTGAGTAATCCAGATTAAAGTATTATCTGAAAGTTGTTTAATGTTCAGTCATTCAATTTTTCATCGAATTTATCAAAATGCATAAAGTTTTACGATTGGAATGATTCAGATTTTATCTTCGACCACTCAATTCGTCCCGGAAATAATCAATCGAGACATTTCACTCTAGAATTTAACCCCTACGTGGCCTTTTTTTCATTTCAATTTCCTTGTTTGTTTTACATTGTCATCAATCATTATTCGAAACGTGGAAGTGCCCACTGGTAATTCTGGGAACGTGTGAATGCTTTCTTGAAAATATAAATCTGTCATCCAAATTAGTGAAATTATTCCTCGTTTTTCTCGTTAATGTACGTGCCTTTTCACATTGTTTACACAAACTTCCAACATCCGCTCCCTTTTTAACGTGGTGCACAGTAATTGGCGGGATTCATTAAATGTCCCACATTTCCACGTCATAAGGAAAATAAATCCAGAATTTTTTGATTCTATCTGAGTTATCTGTCACGGGCTAGCCGATAAAACGGAAGATCTTCATCGGGTATTAAATTTTTCAGATATTCGTTGGTGAAATGAGTAGATTTTTATTATTGAGTGTATTGTTGCTCGTGGTGCAACAAATTGTTGCTCCTCCTGTCACCAAGACACACCATGAAGGAGATAAAAAGAATGGAGTCGACGAAAAGGCAGAGGACGGTGTAAGTATTCCTTTAAGAATATCTGGGAATCCAGGACAGATATCGAAATTTTTCTCAGGACCTTTTCCGTAGATTAGAATGACACCTACAAAAAAGGTCATTACAAAAATCTCGTTATGTCGCTTAGATTCAGAGATATTCCCCGATAACTATTTATTATCTAAATGGAGTTGTGGAATTTTAACTCTTGCATTGAACTCCAATCGAAGATAAATTATCATACCGTAATGAGAGGATTTCAAATATTCCTAGATGGTCTTTGAGTATGAGAGATACCTGAAGGAGGTAGTCCAGGCCCTGGAGAGTGATCCCGCCTTTCGTGAGAAGCTGGAGAAAGCTCAGGAAGTTGATATACGAGTCAGTAAAGAAACATCTCTGATTTTTTTCCCTCTATCGATTATTTTGGTTTCATTAATTTGCATTCGTATTATTAGTCAGGAAAAATCGCAATGGAATTGGAGCACGTGAATCACCACGTGAGAACGAAATTAGATGAAGTGAAGAGGACTGAGTTAGCGAGACTGAATGATCTCAATCGTAAAAAAAGAGAATTGAACCAGGGACACAAGGTGTCGAAGAATGCGGCTTCTCATATTGATCATTCGAATTCCGATACTTTTGAAATTGAGGATCTCAAGAAGCTAATCCAGAAGGTGCGATTCCTGACGACTCCTTGACATTGACAATAATTATTGATCAATTTGATTAATAATTTTCTATTTTCATTGACAGACGAATGAAGATTTAGCTGAGGCGGACAGAAAGCGTAAGGAGGAGTTCAAAGAATACGAAATGCAAAAGAAATTCGAAGAGGAACAGAAAATGAAGGGTAATTCTGGCAATTACTGATAATATCACGCTTATTTCATGGGATTTGGGTGATTGGAAATCATATGGTGATGGAAGCTTAGGGTCACAACTAAGTTTTCATGTTTCCTTCGAGGGAAAAAAGAAACTAATTTTTATTTATTTGTCAGTATTGAATGAGGAAGGGAAAAAAAAATATGCAGATGAGTTGCAGAAAATGAAGGAGAAGCACAAGAAACATCAGCCAGTAAGAAATTTATCTGGAGTAAATTCAAAAAATATTGCCATGGAAGTTATTAATGAATTCAAATTCTCCAGTTGCATGAGCCTGGCAGCAAACAGCAGCTGGAGGAAGTCTGGGAGAAACAGGATCACATGGAGGATCAGGATTTCAATCCAAAAACATTCTTCTACATGCACGACCTCGATCAGAATGGTTACTGGGATCAGAATGAAGTTAAAACACTGTTTATGAAGGAATTGAGTAAAATACACAATGGAAACCCTGAGGATGATCCTCGGGAGAGGGAGGAGGAAATGGAACGCATGAGGGAGCACGTATTTTCGAGTGCTGATACAAATCACGATGGAATCATCGAGTGAGTACTCGATATTTCCTCTGAGCATGGTTTTACTCTTGTGGTAATTAATGATTGATTATTAATTTCCCAGCTACGATGAATTCATTGCGCAAACGAAACGGGAAGAGTTCGAGAAAGATCCAGGATGGAAAACTCTGGACGAACAGGAGATATATTCAGAACAAGAGTACCAGGCCTTTGAAAAACAAAGAGAACAAGAAATTCAAAAGTTGATTGCTCAAGGACTGGTGAGTCATCTCCCTCTCACCTTCAATTCAATAGCGAAGAGTTAACACGTTCTCCGGTCGAGTTCTCGTGGAATATTTATGCCAAATTTCTAATACCTTTCACCCCTCCGCTATTGAATTCTATCTGTTACCGATGAATATTGTGAAATTGTCGTTGAATTTTTTTTACGAACATGCATGCGCAGTTTGGCATGTGGCATGCTTGAATAATTACTCGTGCTATTTTCCATTTTCTTCATTCCCACTCATTTTTCAACGTGCGAAAAAATTTAAGTGGATTGCAGTTGATTGGGGAATAATCATGCCTGTGCACTTTTTTTTTGCAAATTAGATACCCTCTCATCCAGACTATGGACACCATGAACAGGTGAGTGGTTTTCAGTAGAAATTTATTTTTATTGCATGACTACTATTTGAAGTGCATATGTAATCATCTCAGGATTATTTAACATTTAACCACTAAATAAATAATTTATTGACAATTATTTTACAGATTAATTTCTTAAAAATGCATTACAATTTTAAATTTTGAATAGTCCTGTCAGATTCAATACATCGAAGGGAATATGAAAGAAATATTGTGGAGTATAAATTATTTTTAATTTTTGTAGTTCCCACCGCATATTGATCCGAATCAGTTGCATCATCAGGGACAAGTGCCTGTTCAGCAGCAGTATCAGGGACATGTACCTGTGCAGCAGCAGTATCAGGGACACGTACCTGTGCAGCAGCAGTATCAGGGACATGTACCCGTGCAGCAGCAATATCAGGGACAGGTGCCTGTGCAGCAGCAGTATCAGGGACAGGTGCCTGTGCAGCAGCAATATCAGGGACAGGTGCCTGTCCAGCAGTATCAGGGACAAGTACCTGTGCCACAACCGCATCAGGTGCCAGTGCAGGGCCAGGCTCAGTATCAAGTGCCTCAGGGACAACAGCCCGTCCAGCAGCAGTACCAACCACCTCCTCAACAGGTTCAACCGAATGTTGTTCAGGTTATTAGTCTCCCGGTGAACCTTCAAGACTGATTTAATTAGTTAATTTAATCAATTTCTTTTTATTGTGCAGCAACCTGTGATCAGTAACCAGCACGTCCAAGGGAATGCTATCCCAGTGGCGAAGCAACAGCAACAGCCTCTTCAGGTTCAGCATCCACCTGAGCCAGTTGCCAAAGTTCAACCGATCGATGCAATTCACAATGCCTCCCCCAACGTGGTACACACGTGAAGGAATTGCATTAGATAATTGAATTCTTCGCGACGTTTGAATTTCTATGACGTATTAATGAATTTTAATCCCTTCATTTCGAATTGACGAGTGCTCTTTGCTGATTGGAATCATTTGCAGTCCAAGGATTTACTCTCGTATGGTTTATGAAAAATTTAAAATCGATATCGTGTATATCTTTGTGAGAATTATTCGTACGTCTTGTATTTATGAGATTGTCAGAGGCATTTAAAAATAAAATATCTCCCTTGTATTATTTCCTTTTGTTGTGCTTTGATCACTGGAAAATAGACGCTGGATAAAGTGAAAATGAGGATGCGAAGGTGAAATAGTAATAGAATGTTCATTTTTTTTTCTCCTCATATTTATTATTATTGCATACTGTTTATGTTAGTAATATTACTTAGGTATACGTGCCAAGTAGCAACTTAAATGTATGATTGCGTGATTTTTTTCTGTTTCTGTTTCCATATTTTTCTTTTATCATCTCTCTCTCATCCGTAAACAACAACGGATTAAGGTAGGTAATGTACGCTTAATTCATTATATATAAGGGTGTATTTATAAGTCTAGCATATTCCGGTAGAACGTCATTCTTAACATCTACATTTTTTCACTTCGGGTAATAAATAAAAGTTCAACAGCATTTTTTTGGGGAGAGGGCGAGAGGGAGAGGAGGAAGGGGAAGGGGATAATCATCTCTCATTCACCAGTAAATATCAATTTACCGTCACAATTTTCTTAATGCAATTGTTCGCTTCTTCGCTTCGCCCGCAGAAAAAAAAATCTACACTACCATATTTATTTATCATTAAAAAAATATCGAGTAATTATCCCTATAAAATGTCCAGTCGGGGACAATTAAATCGATAAAATAGAAATTTAAATAACAAATTCATCTATCTATGTAAAACGGAATATTCTCGTTCGAGATATGTAGCAATATAAAACTAAAACAGTTAGACTATTATTATTTTCTTTTTTTTATTACGCCGAGAGCTTGATCGACTCACAGTCGAGGGCTCCAGATGTTATTAATTGTGGCTTTTTTAGTTAATAGCACTCGATATGATCATAAGCTCTCGGTGCAAGGACATGCGTTCAACGGAATAAATAAAAGAATGATTTATACAATTGCTGATGGATTCCCCCTGAGTAGCCATCGATTTAATAATCAATTTTTCCTTCTCGATAATCTCACTATCACTATTCGACAGGTAAACTATCATCAACTACTTGTAAAAATAAATCGAAAAGAAAATGTCTAATAAATATCATTGGGCCCTCGGGGGGAATCGAAATTAACGAATAATAAACGTTAAATCACTCAACGTTTATTCAAACATCTGCGCAATTGTTCCATTGCATTTTAAATAAACGACAAGTAATTATAAATACAATTGAATACAATAATACATTTATTGAACCTGCCGTGCGATGCTGCGTCTTTCATATTTACACTCTTGCACAAACGTTCGCTGATTTTCATCCACTGTTGTTGTTGTTTTTTTTTATTAGCAGATCTCATTGCGCGTGTATACTCCTCGTTATTCCAGGGATTTAAAAATGAACTGTGAGGATTTCTGGTAGTTTCTTCCACTGTTTTCTGTTGTATCCTTTGCTATCATGATTCGAGACCAAATAACGTGAACTCTACCCTTTGAAAAACAACTACCAAGTCTCTGATAAACTAGGAAATTTACCTATTTTAACTATCTCTCAACTGTAGTTTTTTAGTTAGCGGGATAAAATAAGCATTCGTGATTTTTGTTCGGTTTTATTCTGTAGGCTCATTATCCGTCGTGTGCGATTTTTATTTTCACCCATCGATTTAACGTCAATTGTCATTACCCTCGTCTATCAGTTATCATTTCAAAGAAATGAAGGATTGAGTACGATTCTAGTTATTGCGGCATGAAGTGATAATCATATAATTAATTAGCTTTGATATTGGGTCTCATTTAGATAATTTCTTTGTATTCTATTTAGACGAATTGGCGTTCTCCAAAAATCAGCTTTAAACTGTCATATCCTGCCTTTGAATTTTAACGATTGCGTACTACCACCAAGACTCCGTGATTTAATTTTTTTTTCTAGTCTAGAGGATCGTCTTGTAATGGAAAATCAAAGGAAAAATTTACTTAGTTCTTTCCGTAATTTTCATTCTTGTGTTTTTGGTAAATGCACCCCAGCAGTAACCGTATCGATATACATATATCAATTTATATATAATATATATATATATATCCTTTATATAATCATTTCATGTTCACTATATCAATATTAGCGTACTAGATACTTTTTGTGTGTTTTTTTTTCATTATTCTTCACTTACATATTAAGTATGTAATATAGGTATTTATGTATTTTTGTTATTTCTTTCTTCTTCACAGATATATCAAAATGTGGAAACGAAGGATTTTAGTTTTCTCCAGCTTTTTAAATTTATTCTCAGAGCTCACGTTTTCATTTATTTATTATTATTATTTTTTTTAATTCTCATTCTCATATCGTTTCGATAAATGGAAAAAAAAAACAAGTTCAACTTCCTACAGACATGCCATTCAGGGTATTACCGGTGGTGGATCGATCCAAACGGAATTTAATTATTGTTTCTTCGGAGTTTTTATAAAAACGCGTGACGTGCAAACGCTAACGGGCAGGCATTTGAGGTGTTCCCGGCGTTTGCACGACAGGCGACTTTCCTCATCAGTTTTTTTTTTTTTTTCATTTTTAATACCATACACTCAATTCGCAAACACACTGGTTATTCTTAGTATTTTTTTTTTCATCGACACATTGCAGATACCAATTTTTAGTTATTCCTGAAAGTGTTACTTTGAGATTTTTAGAACGACGAAATTTGGAATTTCTTTCACTTACAACTGGTCACGATCTACGGGACTCTTTAAACAATTTTTCTTTTGGAAGGCACTTACTACTTTTTTTTTATACAATATTTAATTTTATTTTCTCATGTATCAATCTTTCAAAAACTTTCGCACACTCGCTTGCTCTCGGTCTCGCGATTTTGTCGTGTAAGTTGTTTTAAAATTTTTGCTTTTTTCCCCCTCCGATTTATCTGAAAGTTCACTCTGAACACATTTAAGCCTAGATTGTAAAAACCGTATCCATTGTTTTCCGTTTAGGAATTTTTAAAGCGACTTGTCGGAAATAAGAAAGTTCAGGATTTATTTTTAAATACGTATACGATAGCAACAGGACGTCGAACGGCCCGTGAGATTTTTTATTACGTTTTCCTATTTAGATGGTAATGCAAGATTTTATCATTGATCGTTCGTGTTTCTTTATTATAATTTTTCCACTTTTTTTGAGTAATTTTCGCACAAAAATGTTTGTATCAAGAATATCATTTTTTAATATTAATCACCGTCGTGCTAATTAGAACGAATTTGACTCGTTATCACTTCTTTCAACGCCAAATTAGTTCAGTCATCATAATGAAATTTGTGATAATTAAGAATTCCCCACGTAATTAATTTCAAAGAATTTTACGTTTCGATCCACGGAGAGAAAAATACTGAAAAAGTATAGAAAATAATTAGGGACAGACAAATAGTAGAGGCTAATCTTTTTTTCCAAAAAAAAGGCCGAGTCGAATCCCCATGGGGATATAAATAATACTGAACTAATTTGCGCGTCACTATTTATCCAGAAAACGTTAAAAAACGACCGAGACGCGCGAGAACTTTCTTTTATCAATTCCTGGACAAAAAAAAAATCCAACACGTGGAAAGAAAGCCAAAAAACAAGATTCTCATGGAGATTTGTTTTTCATTTTACGAAGGCCACTTCGAATTATTTTTTCTTTTTACACTAGAGAAATTCCCAAGGGGATGGGGTTTTTTTTTCTGAATCGAGAATCCCAGGGTCCCATTACTTTGGCCGAAATAACGCACGGCAATTTCTTTACAATTTTGAAAAATAGCACGATCTCTCGAATAAACAAAGAAAGGCAAGCTCTCATCCATAATCACACGCAGAAATACTCACCTTTATTTTTCCCCCATTCACTCAAACACTCAGATGATTCGAATACTCTCCAATGTCCTCAAAGATCCAGTCTACGTTCTTCAATTCATTTTTTTGTCATCATAAACATTTTTTTTTCACTTTTTTTTATACCTAAATCTTATAATTTTTATACTTGGCATACCCCAAATATGGCAGGAAGGCAATCATTACTTAAATAATTCGACTCTTTGTCAAAAACTCGTCGAGTTGTTGCACCTTTCAGTATAATTTCACGTATTCCCACCTCCAAGTCTTCATCTCCTTTAAAATTTTACGGTTGTCCCCCTTCAACTACATCCCCGACAAGACGAGGACGTGCGACAAATTTTGTACATTACTTTTCCTCTATCATTTTAATTGATACCATAAAAAAACACGGTGACATTTTTTAAAGAGAAACTCTGAAAATTTGTAATTCATCTGTATCTGGTGTCAACGTACCGAACACTTGTCGAAATCCAGCAAAAAAAGGAAAGAAAAAATTTCCAATAAATAGCTTGGACGTTCGATTGACTAGAAAATGACAACATCGCCATTGCCCCAATTCTCACCGCCATTTTAACCCCAAACAACTAAAAATTTTCATCTTATTTTCATGCAATCAATTGGCTCTTTCGACGCGTGTTCAGCCGTTAAATAAAAGTGACCACTCAATGATTCATCTGAAAAAATTCTCCCTACAGCATGCAACCGATCCTCATCAAACTATTATACATTTGGCATTAACACATAATCCGTATTGCGTACATATAAATTATCTTGAGTACCTTTACCCCGAAATCATCTAATCGATATTATCCGTATCCTTCGGGTGAATTTTGGCGTAAATTCGGTAATCAACGACTAAAATTTAATAATTCTAATCCCATACTCCACTCAACCTACGTTCAATCGTATTTTGTTCCATCCGATCGCTTAATCCTCAAGTACTCCACTCAGTGTCCCACAAAATATGACTCAAACACTCAAGGGGGTACGAGACAAATAACTCTTTACACTGCTCGTAACATTCTTTTGATTTTCCCGCGTTCTCCCGTATTCCTCGGTAAAAGAAAAAAATAAAAACAAAAAAATTGATCAACTCAAGTACCTCAACAGTTCCAAGCTCCCTCACCACCTTAATTACACACCCCAGGAGAGAACTGCAACGTGGGCCCAGAGCCTGACAATATAAAAAAAAACGAAGAGCCTGCCACGACATGACAAAATTACTGCTCGCTTCTGGAATCAGTCAATGGTTCAATCTTAACTGGCACTTTGTCCTTGTCCTTGTGGCCATGTGAACTCTTAACGAGATCAGATATATCCTCCTGGAACATATTCTCGGGTCTTGGACTGACATAGCTACGCTGGGGTTTGTACGTCATACCACTGACACCAATTCCAACTTCAACGCTACTGGGGATGTGAGCTGGATCCATCAATGGTGCCAAAGGACTTGCCAATGGACTTCCCTCCATTGGACTCTCCGGTGGTCCACCCGATCCAGGACTTGGCAGTCCCAGTATCAACGGTGAATTACGATTATTGTTATTAGTATTGTTGTTATTACTCGAGCCGCTGTTGTTATTGAGATGGTGCTGATTAACTTGAACAGCTGCTTGGAAGTTTGCTGATAGATTTGTAGCTATCATGTCGTGCTGGTGGGACTGTGCTGCTGCTACCATGCTGCACATTTGGTGTCGAAGGCCTGAGACACACAATTTTTACAAAATTTATTAAAATTCGGTAATGAAAAAGAATAGGACAGGAGCATCAGCAAATTGGGAGCTCTCATCAGGAGAGCTATAATTACCAAAAATTTAATTAATCACCAATAAGAATCAGTAAGAATCAATAAGAATAATGAGAATTTGCCAATGGATGATGGAGTGATGCAATGCCCGAGGCGTCGATGGTGTATTTCGATATTTATCAAAGTGGGAAAGAGGTTTTTGGGGTGAGAGTTTGGGTTTTGAGGGAAAATATCGTTGGCAATTACCTTGGGCGACCGCAGCAACCGCAGCAGCCGCAGCAGCACCAGGGCTTACCGCCCCCTCTGGCCCATTGCACGCGTAATTCGCCAGGCTGGGGTACATTGGATTTGGTTCGTCCTTGACGATGGAGCCGTCACGGAATACAACAGCCCTGATAACACCACGGATGTGCTCGTCTGGCCACACACCGAGGAGAATCCTCTGGGGTCTTCCCCGTCCCTTTGGTCGTAGATCTGATTATAAATGAAAAAATACAAATCAATTGATATGTTGAACCTGGTGACAAGCTATCCTGACATGTCCTGACTCCATTGACAACTCCACCGAAAAATCTATGGGTGTTAAAGACTCGGAAAATTTTTTAACAGAATTAAATCCTAGGGGGTGGGTTAATGTTGTTAATGCTATTATCGTTCTCTCCTCTCGTCGACGATAAAATAACGAATTAAACTCGGCCCTGACGTAAACACAATGGGCGTCAAATGGTGTAACTGCGAGAAAACACTACGGCTCGCCCTAATGCGTCCAACAAACGAGCTGCTGTACGTTTGTAATTGCTCCTTTTACGAGGGCAACTAAATTCAAATGCACACTCCATAGGTTTCGATAGTCAGGGCTATTTCACGGTATTTTATCCTTGGTTATTGATTATTCGGGATAATTATGAGTGGGTGATTGGTTTTAGCCGGGATTACCTCGATTTGTCATTCGATTGGTCGATATTGAGGTGCAATAAAGTCAGCGAGTTGTCAGATTTTTTTGTTTTCATATTTATTTAATAAAAAAAACTGGAAAATTGCAACTAACACTCACCGGCCCCGCCATCGGAGCTCGGTCCTAGCATGTTGTGGACACGATTCGCGTAGAGGACGAATGTTGGATATGGAATATCGTATTTTCTGAAAAAAGAGGAGAAATAGTGGAATTAAATTTATTCGAATGATGCAAGTTAAATTGACGGGGTAGTAATTTTTTTTTAATTTTCAAGGGAGAAGTTGGAGATTTTTTTAAGGGGGAAGATGAGAATTAGTGATTTATCGAGTTGCTTCATGAGCCAATTGAATCAATTGTTGAAACGGGTTTTTCAATGCGGAGTTTTATTGAGGAGCTTTAATTACCTAGCTGCTTGACTCAATGATAGTCCCTCCTTCAGAACACTGAAGATCGCCTCGGCCATGGTCTCGGGCCTCCAAGACTTCAGTGGTCCACGTTCCCGAAAGCGTAGATTATGAACAAGTCCCGAATTTGTGTTCCAGCATTTTTGCCAGAGCGATTGGAGCTGATACTGGTAGCTGTCTGCTGAAACATCCCCCCGTGGGATAAGAAAAAACGGGGGAAATATTCCATTAGAAGAATAATCTCGATTCAACCCGCAATGAGTCAATAAAATGTATGATGCAATGAGACCATAAATCATTGATAAGATATCTCCAGGCATTTACCAGAATGATAAATAATACTATTTGTATTTTTTTTTCTTTATAGATTTTTTATACCTTTCGGCGATACTCATCTGAAACTAAAACCAACCGAGCATGAGCAATTAATTCCAACAAATTGTGAAGAGAAAAAAAAAATATATAATTGGGTTAATTGAGGGTCAACACATTGTATTCTTCAAGTGATACAATAGACACAAAAAAGGCTATAGTTTTAACACAGCGGATTTTATATTCAACAATAAACGACTTACAATAACTTAAATAATTGATAAATCGATTGATCGTCGGGTGAGAAAAAAAAAATCTCACCCAAGTATTGACTTGAAAAATCGTGGGAATGGATGGTTTTTTTTTAATAAATTCTCTAAAAATATCTGCAGTGATGCAAGACGTAAATTTGTCAAGAAAAATACTCGATCACCCGTTACTGCCCCTCGTCAATGGCCTCAATTCGCGACGATTATTTAATAGTTTTAGTTATTGGTTCTAATTACTCCTACCTCCAGTTGAATGATTAATTAATACAATTAATTGGAAATCACATACGCACGCCCATGCGAATAGTTTCTATCTTTGGAACGTATAAATGTCAGAATTGCTCGAGTGGACTTTTATTAACTACTTAAACGTTTTTTCATTTGTTAATTTTCTAAACTCACCAAATTGAGCATTGCGCTTTTTGCCTTTTATTTATCTCATCGTTTAAAAGTCATTATTGGACCTAATGGAATGAAATAGCACCACGTGTTCTTCGATAATCGCTCCATCGAAATAATAAAGTACAGAAGCAAAAAAAAAAACAACAAAAATTGCATTAAACAAAATCGCCACCAATAAAATTGAGCAATTGATGGGGGAATGCCGGAATTCAACGAGTTTATCTTACATTAACAATTGAGCAGAATTAATCTCAATATTTATAGCGTTATCATACATAGATCTCTTCAAGCATTAATTAACAGTTATTCAATAACTTATGTAATCAATTTGAAAGGCAGTAGGAAGGCACTGAATTTCTCAATCACTTTGATATTGCTATTATTTAATTATTAATATCATTATTCGTTATCGTTATCGTCGTTGAAGTAGAGGGAGACAATGGAATGCTTTTTACAAAATGCCCACCACCACCTGAAACCGGACAATCCCGTGAATACGAAGCCGGGTTCACGGCCCTTTTTCAATTTTTCAACAAAATTTAATATCGAGTTTAGGGATTTTTTAGTTCTTCGGTTGTAAGGGCTGACTGTTATGTCACAACAGAATTCAAGCACAGCATTTTCCTCGATGGAGTCGAGTCCTGTCTCCTCGAGGACCATCATCCTCTTTGATTTTCCAAGGATGTTGTCGTACAGGGTACCCTTTGGTATTCCGTACTTGCTGGATGCCTGGGTGAAACGCATTTTTTGGGTAACAACAGCCTCAATGGCTTCCTGGAGATCATGACGAGTCCATGTTGGTGCCTTCAGCTTCATCAGGCTCGAATATTCAGCTAGAATACACAGCGACTTTTGGCTAAATGCATGAGGATTTCGTGGGTTATTAGAAATTCCTAAGGATTAGATTTTTTTTTCGGTGGAATTTATACCTTTTTCCATCGTCTGCTTTCTCACATTATACCCCATCGCCAGTTATTAACGCACTTTTTATCCCACCATTTCAACCCTCATCCCCTATTTCACCACGAAAATTGCGTGACCCCTTCGTTAATCCAAATCCATCATGTCCAGTTGTTTAATTATTTTTTTTGGGGATCATTCAATTTGATTTCTCCATCAAATAGTCATTTACTTCGAAGAATTTTTTATATTTTTTATATAGATCTAATTGCATTTGTTTGAGAATTCTAATTCAATCTTGAAGACTAATTGAAGAATAATTATTGGGAGTACCGGGCAAGGCATTGAGTTATTGAAATTATTTATGGAGAATATTTTAATCGAGTAAGTGAATGTTTGGCGGATATAATTTTTTAATACGGAAAAGTAAATTTTTGTGATTAAAAATAGAAAATTTATAAATTCTCCCACACGTTGAAAAATCCCTGGAACTGCGAGTGGTCTCGTCAAGTGGTGTTCAAGGGTTTTGAAATTTTATCCGGTTGAACAAAAAAAAAAATCACAAAGTTTTGTAAATGAGGGATGGAAAGCCACCTGTTGGTCCACCGGAAAATCCCCGTGTTTTTCTGGTTGTTTTTTTAAATTTATTTTTCGCCCAATGAAACGGTTGTTTTTGTTATGACGAGAATACCCAATATTATTTTCAAATGATAAATAAAATGAATCGTGAAGGTGAAACGATACAATTGCGGGATAAGAATAAACGATTAAACATAAAATATAATGACAAATCTCGCGGGTTATTTGCCAGTAAAATGTCCCCCTGGCAGTTTTGAATTTCTTTTGGAATTGTTTTTTACCACCGAAACTAAATTTCTCCAGCGAATTTAATACCTGAATGTTTAATTGTAAATGCAGGAAAGAGTTGGAAGGATAAATAATTTTTTAAATCCATTGATAATTATCGAATGTCGATGCAATTGTAATTTCACGGTTTTTATAAACAATTGGGGGAACACTCACCTGATATATTGGAGGTGGAGGCACCGAGCCAAGCATGGGAAGACTCCAACAACTTGGCCTATAACAAAAAAAATAATGAATTATTAAAACAACTGCAATAAAAATTAATGAACAATCAATAATTTTCCAGAAATCGTAAAAATCGTTCGAATTCATGTAAAAATGGAAAATTCGGGTTATTATCATCGGGAATATTAATGTTTGCCGAGGAAATCATATTTTCTGAAATATTCTTAAGACTTGTTTTTTCAAAAGCCCATCAAGAGCCCGCAGTCCTCTTAAAGTCACTCCCCAGGTTAATTACTCCCGGAATAATTACCTCGAGCCGCCAGAAGGGAAACAACTTTGGTAATATGTGGATGCTTTATCCAACATTCAGTACGAAGGAAAATAACAGTAGAAAAAAAAAATGCGTCATTTCCGGGAGGAAAAATAACGGTGAAAGACACACGCAAAGTTGGTTCATTTTGAAAGTTTATTTCCCTGCACTTTTTGTTCCAGAACGCAATACGTATCTCGTATTACCTCCCCTCACTCCTAACCACCCCTTCGCCCTCCCCTCACTTTTCCCAAATGAATTTTTGAGGGTCTTCAAGGGATTTACTCAGATGCACTCTTCTTCTCGTCCAACTCCCATTTCCATCCACTTCATTGAAACTTCCGTCTGTTATTTACATTCACGAGGTTTTAAATCTCATGAAAAATTGTTATTGTTTATCAACAGGATAAACTCGGGAGTCGAGTTGTTCTCTGGTTTACACTATTCTGTATTTTTTGTTGTTTGTGTGAGAAAATCAGTGGAAATTGGAAATTTCTGGGGAATTATTTGTTGGAAATGAGTGGAAATTTTCTCATAGAAAATTTGAATTGGAATTTAATTTCCGGGGAATTCCTACAATTTCTTTCTGTCGGGGTCATAAAAATTTCTCGAGATTTCCGAAAATAAATTTACTGATTTGTCGCTAAAGAATTTACCAGAAATTTCTTTCTCGGTTACTGTCTCGTTCTTAAAAACGCCAAGTTTTTTCACTTGAATTTTCAACTATAATTTTCCACCAGTTCAGAGTGAAAAAGTATTCCTGGATGATTGCAATGATTGATGAGAGCTCCCCTCTATTTTTTCAACTTATCGTTGCAGTTCGCAATCCCATTAACATCCCATAATACCGTAGAAACAAAAGTGCCAGTATATTTTCTCCACTGACTAGAAAAAAAAGTTGGCTAGAAATAATAAGTGGTATATATAAAATAGAAATGGTCTGGAATACGAGAGTGGCTGCTGCAATTTTCTCGTCAATGCCCACGTCAAGTACATCGTGTACACGTCTCTCGGTGAAAAAAAAAAAAGTAGTGAAGATAGAGAAAAAAAGAAAGCAGAGAGGCGAAAAAAATGAGTATGTGTGCGTTTCTCGGGACACGAGACGATGAAAAATGCACGTGTTATATACTCTCCCTTCCACTCTCTTCCATTTGTCTCCCTTTTCTCCTTTTCTTCTGGCTGATTCTCTTTTTATCCTTGTTACTGTTTGCATGGGGACGAAAAAAAGCACAGAATATGCGGCCACTCTGAGAATTGGCTACTACTCAATAATTCTTTGTGTGGTTTTTCACCGGGAAAATATCGGGTGCGTGTGCGTTTTCATCGTGATGACTGCTACTGTCTTTTTTCCAATTTTCCACCCCATTTTCGCGATTGGGGACGAGTCATCAGACAGAAAACTTCTCTTCGCGATTAAAACCGTTGAAAATTCATTTCTACTCCCGAAAAAAATTAGAAGTCGTGGAAAAATCGCGAATTATTGCGCCATTTTTTATCTCTTCAAATTCCTCCGTCAATTTTTCATCTCAAAACTTTTCTTCTTTCAAATAATCTTGACATTAGAATTATCCGATGGATAATTTTCTTTCGAATTTATTATAATAAAAATATTTTGAATCGACTGAAATGAGTAAGAAAAATCCAAAAAGATTATTTTTGTATCTGTTTTTAATCAATTAGTCAGACGGAAAATCCCGTCGTAACGGAGACCGACGGGAATTCCCCAAATATTTACCAAAAGAGAAAATAGAGCCGAGAATTAGAGTCAACATCGGCATGCTTGAAGTGAACCGTCGGCCCTAACGTCGGGCCCAACCCCGGCGATAGTAATGGCGGATTTAGCATTGAGGAAATATGGGTGGATAGGAGTTATCCTCACCCTCCAAAAGTCTCCCTCATTCGCCTGGCGATGCACCCCTGGGGCAAATTTCTAATCGGATTACCTTGGATTAGCAAAGTTCGTTTGTTCTAATGAAATTCGTCTAAATTAACGTCCAGACTGCGCGGTACCGAGGATACGTATCCTGGCCAACGGTGTGACTACTTTTTCCATGTTACCTTGAAAATTCATTACCATTTTCACCCAAAACTTCAAGAGAATTTGATTTTCACGTAATTACGATGAAAATAGTCATCAATTTGACATCTGTATCATTTCTACGTTTAATTAGTACCGAGAAAAAAAAAATCTCCCGTAGATTATCCATGAAAAAAATGAGTGAGAATATTAATTAATGAATTATCAATGACAGAAGTGCACAGAAAACGAAATAATTAATTCCTCAATCGCAACAGGATAAAAAAAATTCTTGTTCGATAATATATTTTTTTTTCTTTCATACCTTTTAATATATATTTCTGTCGCCCTTTACCCTCTACTGTCTAGATCGAGTGGATCTTCCCTCGAGTGTCGTCTCCATCCAGACGTTATTACGCGATTGGAAATAATTATTTCATGAATTCAGTGAATAAGTGGATATTGTTAAGGACGAGTGACTACTCGAGAGGAAGTTAAAGAAAATAAGTTGAGCAGTGATGTTTCAAGTACGAAGGAAAACCTTCACTTTATTACTCATCTGTTCGTAATTTTTTACTTTATTCTCTTTCTCTTTCTCTTTCTCGCGGTATTAAAAGGCAAAAAGAGCATAGGGAATTAGAAGAAAGGGATCCCTCCACCTCTTTACCCCTCCAACCCTTTTTTTTTTCCTTCTTTATCCAACAAAATGAAGCGGAAACGACTATTTGTATTCACAGCGCCTTGTGAAACGCCCCTTTGAATCTCTTTTCGGGTGAGAAACAAGACTCGTTATAAATACTTTTCGTGTTTATTATCACAAGTGGCATCGGCCCTGGATTTATCGCTTTTTATATGTGAAAATTTGCTGTTGAAAATATTATCTGTTAAATATTTTTAATAAAAAACGTGATTCGGAGAAAAAATCACATGAATTTCCTCCATTCTCCTCCATTTTCCATTACCACAAAAATATTCAAAGCAATTATCTAATTTTTCAATAAAAAAAAATTAAATCTATTAACTCTCCCTTAACCCGTTTTTTCGCATTAGAAAAAAATTTAAATATGCGAGTAATAATACAAAATGACTCTTCCTCCTCCCATAGACAATAAAAAAGTCCAGTAATGACTTAATTAATAATAATAATGAAGAACGGATTTTGCTTGTATCGTGCAATTGAAGAATTCTGAAAAAATGTGAAAAATAATAAACATGGAGTACAGGCAACAGATAATTGGGGTACCTCAATCGATCCCGTGAGAATCAAGTAAGGAAGGGATTATCCTCTGAATAATGTTCACTGTGGTTAAATCACAACATCCAGGAGCACCAGTGGGACTCAATGCTGTATCTGTGTTGCCATTACAACCCGGGTACAGTGTACAAAGTCCTTTCGTACGAGGAGTGCATAGATGCTGGTTGCGATGAGGAATGCATGCTGCTTGCGCATAGAGAAGGCAAGTACAGCAAGTACCAAGTACTGGCGACTGGATGATGTCGCGTGCACGCACGATCTGGCTTGGTCGTGTACGTTGGGATAGTGATGGGTGGTGAATGGGTGGTGAGTGGGCGGTGGGGGATTGTGAAGGGATGGTGGGGGGATG